GAAAAAGCTCCTCGTTCCCGGCGGCCGTCTGCTGATGCAAGAATTATGCCCGGGTATGTGAGCTACTCGAGATTTTATCTATAAGGCACAAGAGAAGCTAGGCTAACAATTGAGAAGATTCACCTCATTATGACTTCATTCTGGTGTGTTGCTCAATAGTGGAGGCTTCCTTTTCTACGCTATTTTCAACTGACCAAGCGCTAGGGAACCCTTCCGGGCTGGTGGATTGGTGAGAATGACAACCGTCTAGAGCATCCTTATATCAATGGAGAGCGTTGGGATACTGAGCTACGCAATGCCGGTCTTACTGGCGTAGAAGCAATCTGCTACGACGCAGAATTACCTTATCGCCAAGTTGCCAACATTCTTTCGAGAAAGCCCATCGACGACACCGACCAACCGACTGTCACACTTGTCTACGGAACAAGCCTTGGTAAATGGGAAAATGATCTCGGAAAGCAGCTTGTCGATCTAAACTTCAACGTGACCTGGCTACGACTAGGACAAGGTGTTCCGAAAACTGGCGATGTCATTTCCCTCCTCGATCTGGAGGGACCCTTCCTTGATGACATTTCGGATGAAAATTTCAGAACTTTGAAAGAGTTTCTGATGGAGTGTGCATCTTTAAGAGTATTTTGGTTGATGCCAACGGCGCAGACATTGTGTGTGGATCCTAGATATGGGCTTGTCTTGGGATTCGGTCGTTCCTTGCGAAAGGAGCTAATTCCCCAGTTCATAACGATTGAGATTGATATCTTCGACTGCCAGTCAATCCTCTGTACTCTACAGATTCTGCAAAAGCCTACCAACAAGGATTCCCTCCCTGAACTGGAATATACCCTGACAAAAGGAACTGCGCATACCAGTCGATTCAAGTGGGCTTCCATATCCGACTATACTGCGAAGTTGGTGGATTCTAATGCCCCAAGAATGATTTCAATGGACTCATCGCACGCCTTGGATTCATTTAAGTGGATCACATGCATCGAAGAGCCGTTGGGAACAGGGGATGTGGAGGTTGATATTGCCTATACTGGGTTAAACTTCCGAGTATGATTCTTTGGTAGTGGACTCAATACAGACTCCAATGCTAATTGATTTCATAGGACATCATGCTTGCTCTAGGCCTTTTTGGCGAGAAAGAAAGCTTGGGCTATGAAGCAAGTGGGGTCATCCGTCGAATTGGACCTGGCGTGGAGGCATTCCAGGTTGGCGACAAGGTAGCACTCATGGGGGATGGACTTCTTAGAACACGACGAGTTGTTAGTGGTAATTACTGTGTTAAGATTCCGGCAGGTTTATCCTTGGAGGATGCGGCCACCATGCTTACTGTGTTTGCGACGGCGATATATTCGTTAATTCATGTCGGCTGTATTAGCAAGGGCAAGGTATGCTACTTCTTAAAGTATTAAGATCCGCGATGACTCTTCGCTGACACCATATCAGTCTGTTTTAATTCATTCTGCCTGCGGTGGAGTGGGATTGGCCTCCATACAAATTTGCAAGCTGGTGGGCGCCGATGTGTGTCAAGCCTTTCTCTTTTACTTGCACGAATTGTTGACAAAACTTAGATCTTCGCCACGGTTGGCAGCGAGGAAAAGATAAAGTATCTGCAAACAGAACTCCAAATTCCGAGAAACCGAATTTTTGATTCCCATAGCACGGAATTTCTGCCTCGGTTAATGGAAGAGACGGATGGTCGAGGAGCTGACGTGGTGCTCAATTCGTTGGCAGGAAAGCTCTTGCATGCATCGTGGCAATGCGTGGCCCCTTTTGGAAAGATGATCGAGCTGGGGAAACGCGATTTTCTAGGCCATGGCAAACTTGATATGGCCACATTTGGAAAGAACCGGGCATTTTTCGGAGTTGACCTGCATCAAATGGGTTCAGACGCACCTGAGCTTATTCTAAGGTTTGTTGACATCCAATCCCCAATAGGTTGAAAATTGACTGGCTAATTCACGTCTATTCAGTCTGATTTCTCAGTTCTCGGAATGGGCGCGGGATGGGAAAGTGAAACCCATCAGACCTGTGACGGTTTACCATGCTGACCAAATATCTGAGGCGTTTAGATTCATGCAGCAAGGCGTCCACATGGGGAAGATTCTCGTAAAAATGCCCACATGCTCTTCAGACTTGCCGGCGAATCCTTCAATCAAACCGTTCTCACTATCATCTACCAAGGCATACCTCCTCGCTGGTGGCCTTGGGGGCTTGGGGAGGTGTGTGTCAAATTGGATGGTTGAGCAAGGAGCCAGGCATTTGATTTTCTTCTCCCGGTCTGGTGGCCGATCGGATGAGCACAAAGCCTTCGTTCGGGAGTTGCAGACTCAGGGATGTGAGGTCCTTATCGTTGCTGGAGATGTTTGCAACCTCGCGGATGTCAAACAAGCAGCTTCCCGGTCTGCATGGCCGATTGGGGGCGTTCTTCAACTCTCCATGGTTCTCCGAGTAAGACTTTCTCCTCGTATCCCGGAAATTGGCCAAACTGACCACAAATATAGGACCAAGGTTTTGTCAATATGACACATGAAGAATGGAAAACTGTCATTGATCCCAAGGTAACTGGCACCTGGAACCTCCACCAGGTTTTTAAGGATTCTTCGCTTGACTTTTTTGTCATGTTCAGCTCTCTTGTGGGCTTGGCTGGAAATACAGGCCAGGCCAATTACGCCGCGGCAAATACTTTCCTGGATTCCTTTGTCCAGTACCGTCGAAGCCATGGTCTACCCGCCTCTGTCCTTGATCTCGGTGCCATGGGTGATGTAGGGTTTGTGAGTCAGGATAAAAGGCTTAGGGACAGATTGGAGGCATCGTCTTTTATTATTCTGAGAGAGAAGAATCTGATGGATGCACTCATGGTTTCCATGCAAACGGAGGCAAATGCTCGACCGGACAATGGCAACCCAGTTTCCAATCTGTTTGCTATCGGTCTTGGGAGCAAGCGCACAAATCACCATACAGTTATGCCCCTGTACAATTACGATAACCGATTCAGCTTCTACGCAAACTACGAGGCAGCAGAAAAAAAGACCGAAACAGACAAGACCGATGAGTTGCGAACTTTTTTCGCCAATGTGGAGAGACATCCAGAGCTATTGGATGACCCCGAGACAGAGCTTCGAATCATGAGGGAGCTGGGCAAGTCTATCTATTCATACAAGGGACAGGAGCGGGAGTTGACGGATGAGGAGATGTCGGCAATTGTCATTGACTCCTTAATTTCCATCGAAATCAGGAATTGGTTCCGGCGGAAATTGTCCCTGGAAATTACTCTGACCGAGATCTCTCGTGCCGGTAATGTAGGCGCGTTGAGCGAGTTGACCGTTGCAAAACTGAAGGCCAGGCACCAGCAGAAGGAAGAAACACTTGAGGTTGCGGCGGCGTGATGAACGATTTGATCTTGGTTTTCTACCAGTCATCGAATATATTTTTCCAATCTTATAAATCAGACACATCTTGTGCCTCGCTGAAATTTGAAGTCATTTAAATTATTTGGTGAGGCCAAACTGAAGGAGCGAAACCTCAGATTTCGTGGCTTGCCTAAAAACACGCCATGAAACCACAGAGACGCGTGTAGACTATTTGGATTGCTCCATCAGGCCTCTATCTGATACCTCGTTCCCTGTGGTATCCTATATCGGTGTCTCCGGGGTGGTCAAAAGGGTCGTTCTTTTGGAATCTGAGCTAGAGGGAAATAAGATCTGGTTTGAGCATTGTGAAGAGTGAATTGCCATCGAAAGATTTGCATCTATTTTTCCTTCTCTAGAAGTGCAACTGGGATATCAGGTTCGCCATATTAATCAAGAAAGTCCAAAGGAAATAGTAATATAGCGAATTACTCCATTCAGAAATCACCAACTCGTCAATCCACGGGCACGATCGAAACCCCCTCGAAGCTGTGAGTCGGGGTGTACAACCTTTCCCTGGAGTAGGGTGTACTTGACAATCCCCTCACAATGCTCCGGTCGCACTCTTGCCAGCCAAATCATCTGCTGATCCTTCTTCCGATAGACAAGAACATTTGCTGAGAACTTGTGTCCACCGACATGCGACACAAAGAATATCCCCACGCCTCCAGGTCGCGAATCATCGGCATCGCGGTCTAGTCCCAGTGGACGAAGATGTCGCTCCAGCTCGCGCTTGATTAAGGGTGCTGTAATTCCGCACCGTGCGTCTCGTCGCCGGTGTGAGCACAGGAGTACCACGTAATCCAGATTGCAATGTCGAGAGCTGATTCCAGCTACAGGGGACACTGTACTAGCGTCGGTGTCCTTTTCATCGACCTGGTTCTGAGTGATTGGATGATCGATGAATCGACTCATTACTTCTGGTACATCGGCTTGGGTGATACCGTCGACGAATGTGAATGATGGTAGAATTAGAATGGAGGCGGCTTTGTCGGGTCTCTCTGCTGCGTCGTGGTCTGGGGCATTGAGATTTGATGCTGAGACCATTATGCGCTGTGATGAGAGTTAGTTAAACAATCTTTCCAAGTTGTTTAAGGGTTAAGCTTACACCGTGCTCAGATTTTGTCTGATCAAATGCCTCCATCAGGCTGCCTTTTTCCTGCTCGACTTTCTCCTTCCAGTCCGATTGCCCGGTCGCCACAAGAACGTGTGAATGGAAGGACTTGATCTGGCCATATAGTTGCCTTGAAGTCTCGACCTTGACTTTTGATGGATATTGCACTGTACAGTCGGCGCAATCTTTCAAGCAGTCCGGTCCGTCCGCCTCGGGGTTCACTGTCGGAAAGATGTACTCGTTGGCGCGACCGAGTGAGAACCAGGAGCGCAGCATTGCGTGAAGATTAAATTGTTACAGAAATGAGATTTACAAATGTGGAAGCGGATGTAGTTGCCTGATATACTCCAGCTTCACTATCTCCGAGATCTGACAGGCCGAGTCGGGGACTGAAAAGGCCGAACTCCGGACTCGGAGAATTCACTTCCTTTCTTCCTTTCAACCGCTCTGATTGAGAGGTTTTGCAAGTGGACGCTCTATAAAATACTGTGTTGCATCAGAACCCACTCTCCCTTAACAATATCCCGCAGTTCAGCCTCCAGACTCGGCCGCGTCGGCGTCCAGCCCAACAGCTTACGCGCGCGAATAGCCCGACATCGAACATTCAGCCCCCAACTAGCAGCCTCATACCCGGCCTGATCTCTTGCCTGCTGAATATCCAATGTTTCCTCCTCGGCACTCGATATAAAGCCTTCTTCAAGTGCAATCCGTGCAACTGATCTCGCCAGATCACCCCAGCAATGCTCCCCATTTTCCGCAAGGACATATGAACTAGGTCCCCACAAGAGCTCATTCCCCTCCAGCGCGCCCTTGACAAACAAGAGAAACAGATCCGTCAAGTCATGAATATGAACATTAGTGCCCATGGACTCGCCCGCACCAATGATAGGAGCTTTACCTCGTTTGAGGGTCGTCCACGCTAGCTCATAGACCTGTCTACTGCGCTGCGAACAGGGTCCACGGCCAACACCTAAAGGCTTGTTAGCACCGACCCACATAACTATCCCCAGTCGGGCTGGACTCCATACCATAAACAGTAACGGGTGAGATAATGGCCGCACGCAATACATCTACATAGTCTCCCGCAGCCTCGAGCACGATCTTGTCTACGTCCCGGTGGAATGCATGGTCGGGAATAGAGACGATCTCTTTGACGCCATTCCAATCATCGAAGATCTTCGCCCGTTTCATGCCGTATGTTTTCTCGTCTTCGTCAATGTAGCTGAAGATACCTGCTCCGCTGGTGTGCAGCCAATATGCGGGTCGTTCTGGGGTATGGCCTTGGATGATACCTGCGGCGATGGATTTCGCGGCTGGGAGGTTGTCTGCTGCGTCGGCGGAGTCTGTGGTTTGGTTTGTTAGTCGGGTCTATATGTGGGATCGCGGCGTAGATAATTGGCTCACGGATGATGATATCTGCATTGGCGCTCTCCTGCTGTAGAATGGCGCAGTCGTCTAGATCGCTGTATACTATCTGTACTTGCGGATATTGGGCTTGGATTCGTTTTACTTTCTCCTCGGTGCGTACTAGAACTCGGTATGTGAAGGTGGGATATTGGAGGATGAGCTGGGATAAGACATCACCGCCGATGTATCCTGTTACGCCTGTGCTGTTCGGTTTATCAGCTTTGGCTCGAGATGATGTCGCTCCTATGCATGTAGAGAAGCAACTCACACGAAGACTTTTGACATTTTACTAGTAGTAGATCAGATACTGGGTTCTCTGAACGGCAGAATCTTGCTTATGGATTGGATTCCAATAGCACGGCTTCTTTTAAAATCTCCCGATACCTTCCCTCCCTTATTCAAGGAATATATTTTCCGCTTCAGTATATTACTAACGCAATTTGAAGCCCATCTAGGCACCTTCAGGGCTCGGCGTCATGGCTATAAGACTGATCTTATGCCCCCGGCATATTCGATCTGATAAGATATTTTCAGTCCGATTTTGGGACAAGCAGATCGGCAATATGCTTGCGTGGCGACGATCATAGCATGGGCCCTTTTTCACCAACCAAGACCGAGAAAATGCTGCAAGGGATTTCTTGGTGAACCATGCCAAGCAATAATTGTACCTGCTACTAGTGCTTAACCCTTGAAATGTTCTTGGACGGAGTATATATGCGAAGCACGAGACCGTGGAATTTGGCCATGAATTAGTGAGACTGCAACTCTGACAATTCATATAGTTGTATCAATATCTCTTAATATACATGCATTCATGAGAGTCATCATTATAGCAGGTGAAGTGAAACACGAGAAACAGAAAAAAAGATGTGCCGGGCGTACTTTCCGCATTTGGAAGAGCGGGGCCGGCGCACGCGTCGACCTCGGACAACTTCTCTCGGGCGTAAGTTGTATATCCTCACCATATTGAATATTGAACAGAATAATGGATGTTCAAGATGTGAATGTCCCAGAACGAGTGCGCAAGCGCCGCCGTCGCACAATGGCGTGCACGCAATGCCGCACTCGCAAACTACGGTGCGATCGCGAGTATCCCACCTGCAGCCGGTGCTTGAAGAGCAGGACTCCGAACAAGTGCACGTACGAGGATGGTTTCCTTTGGCAGCAGCCCACCACCGTTGCAACGACCTCATTTGCTTCCGACCGAGGGCCCACCACGATGCCCCGAGCTGACCATACCCCTCTCGACACCCCAGACTCGGGGATAGCGACGGGGTCAGCTCGGACGGAGCCACCACAAGTCAATGACCCCAGCTCGGGCGCTGTATCGCATCATGTGCAGCATAGTAATCATCATTCGCATCATCCGCACCATCATGATCATCCATCACATGCTCTGGCGCCTTATTTTAGAGGAAAACCGCATGGTAAGGATCGCAAGGAGCGAGGCTTTTTGGAAACGGTTCTTGGTGCGCCCAAGGCTGCTGTGAACCAGGAACCGTATGTGAATACGGGATTGTTGCAGCGTCCGAAGCGATCAGCTCCTGAACCTGATTTGCAGTCGTCGCGGGTCGATGATGATCATGTTTATGAAGAGGAAGAGGACGCATTGACACCATCGCATCAGCTCGATCTTTCTCCTCGGATTATGATGAGAGGTCGTGAAACAAGGACTCGCTTTAGTGGATCGGGCATCTTTGCCAATCTTGTAGCGCAGGTCGGTTCCCTTTGGTTCATTCGGCTGCCAAAGATAGGTTACTTCGCGGTATCCTGATACTGACTTTCCGTATAGTTCCCTGATATCCGGTCCTTTGCAGAGGAGATCAAGCTATCCAATCCGGTTCTTTCACAACTCCGACCTGACTTGGAGAGAGCCAAGCGAGGACTATGGAAGCGCATGCCACTCAACACACCGTTCCCCGATCCTACTACGGAGTCACTCATCGGCTTGCTGCCCTCGCGCGGCGTGGTGGATGAGCTGATTGGTTTGTATCTTACATATATCGAGTCAACCCACCGTGTTCTTCACGTCCCATCCTTCTTACGAGAAGTGGACGAGTTCTGGGCTTTGCTAGACACCCGGGGTGCCGTTTCCCCTGCCTTCGCAGCCCAGCTCCTGTTAGTTCTTGCCTGCGCATGGAATCTCGCCGACCCTAGTGGTCTGCAATCAAAGAACGTGGCCGAACTCAAGTGCTACACCGCTGTAAATTGGGTTTTACACGCCGAAAAATGGATAGAGAACCTCCACACCAAGCGCCCTGAAATTGTTTCGATGCGCCTATCCATCTTGTTGATCTTGGCACGGAACATCTACGGAATGAAGCGCAGCCAATCCTGGCTTGCCATTGGAACTCTAGTGAAACAAGCAATGATGGCAGGATACCACCGCGATCCAAGCCGATATACACGAATCTCAATATTCAACAAAGAGATGAGACGTCGAATCTGGACTACGATCGTGGAACTCGATCTGCAAATCGCTCTCGATCGGGGCATGCCGCCTTCTGTGCAGAGTTTCGACTACGATGCGTCTCCAGCCTTGAATATCCACGATGATGAGCTCCACGAAAACACGACTGAGGTGCCAGAGAGTCGTCCGTTGGGCGAACCCACTGACATGTCGTTCCAATCCATTCTAAGTCGATCACTTTCTCTCCGTCTGCAAGCCTGCTCTCTAATGCACTCTCCGCGAATCAGCTGTCGATATGAGGACATACAGCGTCTAGACTGGGAACTCAATCGACATCTTTCTCGCATCCCCGCATGGGGCACGACTGAACCGAACGATCTAGTGACTCAACACAAAGTGACCTTGTGGAAAGCTTTGATCGAGACAAAGCTAGCTCAGACACTACTCTCGGTCCACACACCTTTCGCCATTGAGGCCCGGCGGGAAGCGCTCTTTGCGCCCTCAGCGCGGTCTCGTATGGATGCTGCAACCAGGATATTATCCACTCAGCGACGTCTTCACGAGACATCACGACCGCTTTCACTATGTATGTTTGGTGAATGGACACTTCAAGCCTACATTTCTGTCTGTCAACTTTTGCATTCGACAGAGTCCGACAACAGTAAGTTTCTCCATTCAATCTATGAATCGCGACTCATTTCATCAGGTGTTCCTTTCTCTCCAATGTCCTCAACATCCCTCCTTCAATCCCTACCAGGTCTCCCTGAATCACTCCTTACCCTAGTCGAAACGGCACTAGTCTCCCTCGAGGCACGATCCTTGTTGGTGACGAAAGGCGCAAAAGACTACTTCTTCTTTTCGACAATCGTCGCGCTCGTCAAAGCCCGACTGTGGCCCGCCCAGGCAAACATGTACAAACAGCAGGTAGTAGAGCGAGTCCTCTCATTTACGCAGACACTGTTCTCGCGACACGCCGGCTGCGAACACCTAGGAGCACCGGGAATGGGTAATTTCAAGACCAATCAGGTATGTCAGCATTGCTATATCAGCCCGACTTCAACTGACCCGGTCGCAGGTGGCTGCATTCACAGCGACCCCAGGCATGGTACCTATCATGCCGGCAGACTTTGAGGGATGCTCCCACCGCCCCATCTGGGTGTGACGGTAAGCCGCAGGTTCTCTTTAATCACAGCATATTCGACACTGACTCTTATTCCACTCAGCCGCCCGGTGATTTTGATCCTTTCTTAGATGTGTTTGATTGGGAGGATTTAACAGGCATGACGCTCCCCTGTTGATTGAGTGTAATAACAGATTAGGGAACTCCTCTGCAAAAACAATGTATAGTAAAGTCATTCTATATCGGCGATGCTATGGTTATATTGTCAAGCTCATATTCAAACACAGTGTAACCCCTGTCTATCATTAACTCGGCAGTGGTCAGTTGCGTAATCTCAAATTTCTGCCGCGGGTGCCCAGGTGTCGTGATTGCCGTTTCTTATTTTATATGTCGACGGACCCAGTCAGGTCCACCTTGAGATCATAATTGGAGAGATCAATTTTGGCAAATGTAAGGGTCCGGCCCCGGTGTACATACATCGCAGCGGGAACGAAGCCGCAAAAACGGGAAGCGAGGCTTATCAGGGTGCCTTGTTTACCTGCATCGCAACTGGCGAGCCTTGTTGGGGCTATTTTCTCTAGCTCTTGTAGTATTTTTAGCGACCTAGCACTCTCATCGTCCAGATTCTATCGGGGGCGATCCTTGGGGCCCTTGTGGGGGCTATTTTCTCTACAGTACAGTAGCTCTTGCAGTACGGAGTATTTTTAGCGACCTTGCACTTTTAGCATGGGAAGCCCGACTCTCAGTCGGGGGCGACCCTGGGGGCTGTATCGGGGCGACTTCAATACTTATTTTGAACCGAGGAGGTTTCGATCGCTTAAGGTGACTTGTTTTATCGGCTATTGTGGTAATATGCGTTAAAATTTACCTCCCCGCATATGAAAGTGTCAGATAAAAGAGCAAAGATAAACAGTTCACCAGCGTTTACATCGCCAATCAGCGACCGTGGAAGGTGGAGCGTGTCTTTACGATAGGCTGTGCTAGACCTGGGTGGGTCATGGTACCTGAGAATACATTGACATACGCAGGTAATAGGCGTGTGATCAAGTACCTCTCGGTACTATGGAACCAATAAATATAGCAGCCTGAAGCCCCTAAAACACTTGGCTTCGATTTTAGATTCCGACCCTGCGTATCGGGGGCGGTGTTTTTCTTTTCTTTTTACTCTTTATTCTCATTTTTATTCTTATTCTCATTTTCCCTTGCAGGCTGCATATAAACCATGTGCTAATCCCTCACTTCAGGTTCTGTTATTCTCCATTCTCCCGCTATACTTCCGACTCTCATCCCCTATTCTCCGCAGCAAACTATCTAAAAAGTAGCACAGGCATGTGCAAGTCAACCCGATAATTACCACCAACTCCCCGACCAAGGTCAATTGACCTCCAAACAACACATTGCATCGCGCCCGCAATCAACATTCCATTGTACATAAAATCCCCCATCATGCATCACCTCCCCCTCCTATTATCACTATTACTCGCGATCGCAGCCCCACTAGCATGGGCCGCCCCAGCATCCCATCAACTGGGCCAGATATCACATATATACGACACAACAGACAAACTGCCCCTCCCAAATGAAGGCAACCTCCAAGTCCACGACCCAAATATTATCCTCCACGATGAGCACTACTATCTCTTCAAAGGCGGCATCAACATCCCAATCTTCAAATCCGCAAACATGTCCGGACCCTGGGAAAAGATCGGCACAGTCCTAGATGGCGACAGCATAATCCACAAAGGCAACCGCTCCCGCCCCTGGGCACCAACAACAATCGAACACAACGGGAAGTTCTACTGCTATTACACTCTCAGCTCGAGGGGTTCGCGGAACAGCGCCATCGGCATCGCAACCACGACTACCCTCGACGGCAGTGCGTGGACAGATCACGGCGTTTTAATCAACACGGAAAAAGGACCCGGTTCGGATGTGTATCCGTACACGATCACGAATGCAATTGATGCATCTTTCATTTTTGATCAGGATTCTGGCCAGGCATACCTCAACTACGGCAGTTTCTGGCATGATATCTGGCAAGTGCCGTTATCTGATGATCTGCTTTCTGTTAAGGATGCTGGGAAGCCGGATGCGGTGCAGTTGACGTTTATCCCGCGGGAGAAACGCAAGCCTGAGGAGGGGTCTTGGATGAGTTACCGGGACGGCTGGTACTATACTTGGTTTAGTCGTGGGAAGTGTTGTAATTTTGATGGTGTGTTTCCGGATCGCGGGGAAGAGTATAGTATTCGTGTTGGGAGGTCGAAGGATGTTCGGGGTCCGTTTGCGGATCGCGATGGGAAGCTTTTGCGAGAGGGGGTGGCGAGGTTGTTTATGGGTCGAATCATGGGGTTGTTTATGCTCCTGGTGGGTTGGGAGTGCTTCCTGCGAGTAATGAGTCTACGCGGGATATTCTTTACTATCATTATTTGAATACCACTATTGGGTTCAAGGATGGGGTGAGTTTTATTCCTTGGTTTCTGGTTTGTTGGATATGGCTAATTTTCTTTTAGGAAGCTCGTCTTGGTTGGAACTACTTGGATTATGAGGATGGTTGGCCGGTTCCTGTCGAAGGCCAGGATCCTACGGCTACCAGTGCAGGCTCTATTCATGGGGTTACCAATTGGGATTACCTCCCGGTGGTACTGGGTGAGTAGTGCATCGTTTGGACTGTATGTCCTTTGCTCATATGTTCGTTCTAGCTTTATGGTTGTATATGTGGCTATAGTGGTGGATTCTCTTTGCACTGGATAGAGATGTCTTTCATGTTTTGAGCAATTACACTGATAGATCATAGCGACGGCGTTTGGGCCTGTGAGTATCATGACCTGTTATTTAGCGAGCATGTTCTTTCTTTCATATCAATGCATAGCACCTCATGAGTGGTGATTTCAATTCTGCAAGTTCTGTTTCACTCTCCATTGCAGTAATGCATACACTTCCCTCTCTCCTATTCATACATCCCACCCGCCATCCACACTCACAACCTGGCCAGTGGTGTAAGAAGCCGCATCACTGAGCAAGAAAACAACGGTCTGCGCAACCTCATCAGCAGTCCCGATGCGCGGAATAACAGTCGGCGGAGGAGTAATGCCACCTTGAATCTCCTTGGCCATATCAAGCAAGGGCGTCTGAATAGAGCCACTAAAGAAAATTGATCAGTCACATCCAACAAACCAAACACCCCACAACACACCGAATAAACAAAGAAAGAAAAGAAAAAGAAAAGGGAAAACTCACGGCGCGACAGCATTAACCCGAATATGAGGCCCAACTTCCTTAGCAACAGACCTCGTCAACCCAATAACCCCATGCTTAGTAGTCGAATAAGCAGCATGCAACGCAAACCCCCTCAACCCCTGAATACTACTAGCATTAACAATGCTCCCCTTCCCATCAGGTGCAGACTCCATAATCGCCCGCAATTCCGCCCGCAGACAATACATCAACCCGGTAACATTTACCCGCATCAACATATCCCACTCATCATCATCCTGATCGATGAATTTGCCCGTGCCATGCACTTTGCCTATCGTCCCAGCCATATTGGCCGCGCCGTCTAGTCGGCCGAAATGTGTGACTGTCGATGCGATCCAGTCTTTTACTGCGGCTGCGTTGCTGATGTCCAGGGCTGTTGTTGTGATTTTTGCAGTGCTAGGCTCGGCTTCGAGGATTTGGAGGGCTGTTTCTAGCACTTTTGGGCTTAGGTCAGCTAGTGAGAGGTGTGCGCCTTGCGCGTGTAGTTGGCGTGCGACTGCTAGGCCGATGCCGCCCAGCCCGGTTACGGCGTAGACCTTGCCTTTGACGGAGTCCATTTTGGGGGTAGATGGATTGGTTTTGGAGGTTTTTGGTGTAAAGGATAGAGGGACTGAAGGGCTTGAATTCTCTATGGGGGTCAGAGGGGTTCAATGTTACAGTATGAATAATGACAGGTGGGATGCGTGGGGTCGGAGCTGCTCCGTGTCGAATGTATGGAGTGGCGGGTATATTGAGGGGGCTTTTTATAGGCTAATTGTATTCTCCAAGTCCCTTACCCCGCGGGATAGTGATATTGGCATACTCCACACTCGGGGTTACATTCTCCGACATTGTGCTGAGCGTACAGATTAGCCAATGCTTGATCCAAAGTATAGTCAAAATAAGAAGGGATATAGGTGTCTGGCCAGCACTGATACAGACATAAAATTCAGCTCAGGTTAATCATTGCTAAACGAAGACCCAATTGGAAATGTTGGATGGTGCACAACTAATCAAGGCTAATAGCTAACCAACTCGGCAATTTACGTCTTTCTTGCACGCAATTTACATGTACTTCGTTCTATCCCCAGAACACCCCGCTCAAGGCATCGCAGATCAAGCGGAGACTAGTAATGCAAGGCGCAAGATAAGCATTCAAGGAATGTAAATATTAAGCATGCACCCAGATCAAAAATGCCCGACATCGGCTCCGAACACACAGCAATTGAATTAAATAATACATATCACCCAGTCAAATATAACTAGCACCAAAACCATGCAAAGGGTATCTCAAAGTATAAACAAAACTCCAAAACAACAAATCACCCAATTTATACAAAAACCCCAGCCAAAAGCAACCCCCCAACAACGAAAGACCCCCAAGAAATCCTACTCAGTCCAACACGTCTAGCACTAGACTCGGCCCGACTCCCATGCAAAACCTGATGCGCATTAAGACAATACATCACCCTCTGCGTTTCAGCAGACGAAAAAGAAGGACAGACAGCCGTACAAGGATCAGGATCCTCGAAAATCCACACACGATACGAACAGCACGATTGTAGAACCTCTCGCATATTCGTGCTCGGGTTTCGTTCTTGGTATAGTGGGACTTGGTTGTAGTAGTTGAGGTTGCTTGGGAGGGTGGGCATTGAGTCGCGTGCGTCATAGCATTCTGGTGGTTGGATGAAAGTTGTGCCGTTTGAATTTGTCATTTTGGGGGTTGAGGGTTTGGTGGTGTGATTTAATTGTGAAAGCCGGATGATCCGGGTTGATGCGATGCGATCGATGGTGATTTTGGTTGTTTAGTGGTTGATGGAATGGACAATAGGATTGAGACGATCTCTGGAGGAATGTCCACTGGAGGAGAGAGAAAATTGCGAGTGAGGAAGGGATGATCAGGACGATCGAGACGAACTCGCGATCGCCAAACGCGACCGAACCCTTTTTAAAGGGCGAAGCGTCGTGCCAAGGCGCTATGCTGGGGATATTGATTCGAGTGGGGACTGGCAAGCCCAACTCTTCAGCTGAAGGGGGTTCAGGGTGGAAATGGTCATTATTGATTCGCTAGGTTCTCTTGTGGGTGCATTAGTGGCTTATTTTGAGGTCATTGGTGTCAGACTCAGACGGAAAGGGTTCGACTATGCGTATAGTTTGTTTTCCCTTGCTTTAGGGTGTGATCTATGTGTACGCTTATTTATGTACTGCTGCTTCAACGTTGGGCCAAATGTTCCCAAATATCTCACGTCTTACAGTCGTGCTGCTTGATTAGCCTTACGCCACATCTTTTTCCTGCGTTCGTGGCCGGCATTGAAATCGTCCACCCATTTTTGGTCGAACCGAGGTAGACGTCGCCCTGGCGTGCCAGCATGCGGTTCCCCCGCAAGGAGTCGGAGATCCTCGAAGTAGGCTTCAAACTCAGGGTTGAGCACGGTGAACCCGGGACCATCACTCTTCAGGGCAATGCGGTCAGCTTCCCATTTCTCCTGCTCTGCCACAGAGGGCAGAGTGGCCTTGCCAGCCAAAACACGGGCGGCAGCAACAGCTTGCCATTCAAAGACCTTGAAGGTCAGACCGGCGCCGACCTAAGAAACATTTGTTAGAATTTTCAATCCAGGGGTTGTGGGGATCTGAAACTTACAGCCCCCACAAAGACCAGTGTCGGATCGTGTCTATAGAAGATATGCTGGTATAGATCTGGCACACGATTATTCCGAGTAGCCACCTGCGGCAGGAAAGGCAAAGTCCAGCTGAAGCCAGTTCCGAAAACGAGATGGTCAACTCCAGTCTCTGAGGAGCCGTCTTCGAAATACACGGTTTTGTCGCCGTTCTCACTCGTGATATGCGAGATAGGTGCCCTCCGTTGAATCTTAGGATGCTGGAAAGCCTCATCACCGAAATACATGTTGTAGCGACCTCGCACAACAGCAAGAACAGGAGTCTGCGCACTATCAATCAAACTCACGGCAGTATCAGCCGCCGACACAGACGCCCCAACAGTGATAACTTTCTGCAACATATCAGCAAAGTAGAACACCAAAAAGATCGAATTATCCAAATTACCTTGCCATGATACTTCTCAGGTCCCCGATAATGCTTCGTATGCTCCACACTCCCAGGATACCTCGCGGCAAACTCCTTCAACCCAGGAATTGCCGGGATATAAGGAACAGCATAATGCCCCGAAGCAACAACAACAGCATCAAACTCCTCCTCCCACCAATAATCAGACTTCTGCCCTTCATCACCATCACCAACCTCCGTCCTCCGCAACGTAAGGACCCACTTCCCATTCAAATCCTTAACAGCCCGCTCAACAGTAGTATCAAACTGCACAAGACTTTGATAACCCTTGACGGTAAAAAGATCCTCAACATACTTCCGAATAACAGAGTGATGCCGGAAAGGCGTATCTTGACCATGCCGCTCAATAGACCACTGCGAGCGCACAGCCGGAATAGCTTCCTGCGAGAACGACATGGCGCCCGCGTCCACGTTCGTCTCTAGTGTTGGGTACACGGGTGAATCCGTGAACCGGTCTTGAGAGACTACAGGTGTCCGGCATGGTAGTTTTGCCGGGATTTGGAGCGGTTTATCTGCTGTTCGGGCGGATAATCCGTCCAGGTCGAATTGCTGGGGTGGTTTATCGTCTCTTGAGACCCTGTTTCGTTTGTTAATGCATTGGTCCCCCTGGATCCGGGAGTTTGAGTGATCATACCAGCATCCGCCGGCTTTTTCTTGTCTGTCGAAGACGCGGATCACGTCGAATGCTTTTTCTTGTGCTAGTGCGTCGACTGTGATGGCACCTGCTGGGCCTGCGCCGATTATGGCTACGCTTTTGATTGCCATGGTGTTTTGTATGTATAGGGTTAATTGTAGTTCTAGGATTGAGGGTTGATTCCACACTGCTGAACTTCAGGAGGGCCGTTCTTCTCGGCCGAGGATCAATATCTGAGGTGATGTTAGACTCTGTCACGCCATCGCGCCTGTTTTTGAGCAAATCTGGACTGATAAGATCTATGGGGTGCACGGCGATCCTTGGAGTATATCAACTCACATTCTATATGCAGGTAAAGCTCAATTGTCTCTAGCGCTAGATTGTAAATGCTGAAGCTTTTTATGCTTGAAATTTATTCGCATCCAGTTGGGGTAGTTCGGCATTTGTTCCGTTGATTTAATTGGTTGATTTGGTTGAAGTTTTATGGTCACGTGGATGGCATGTGGGGAGTGTCAGGAACTGTATTCTGATTGGCTGTGGCTACATTTAGACCTTCGGCGAGGTAGAAGTTAGCCTTGGAAAGGAGGATAATAGAGATATAATTTAGAATGTACGAATGGCATGTTATAAATTCACATCCAAACCCGCAAATCTAAGTAAAAACATCAGTAGCATACCGCTCCGCAGTCCTCAAGCGATCAAAGAACTTCTCAGCAGCCTCTTCATCCCCAAGCTCAGCATCAACAGGCGTCTCCCCCTTCTCCTTAAGCTCAGCAATCTTAGCAGCTCGCTTCTCAAGATACATCTCCTTACAAGCATCCCTCACAGCCCCACCAACCCCGGTACTACCACAAACATAAATCCTCGCACCCTGCTCAAACAACTCAACCAACTCAACCCGGTCGTCAAGCATGAGGTCCTGCACATGCCGACCCTTGCTTCCATCTGTGGGACGACTATACGCCCACCGGACATCGACAGCACCGAGCTCCGCCCACTCAGCCAGTTCGGATGCGTGGATATCGTCCTGGCCCTGTGTACGGCAGCCGATGTATAGAACCGCTTTGGCGGGCTGGCCGTCGTGTAATTCATCTGAATTTGGTAAGCTGCGACGGCCGCGGATCTTCTCTGCTCGGTCCATTATGAATCCGCGGAATGGGGCCAGGCCGCTGCCTGCACAGGCCATTATCATTGGAGTTTCGAGTGAGATGGGGGGTTTGAAGCCCGAGTGGGAGGGGCGCACGGTTATGTGGGCACGCTCGCCGACTTGGAGTTCTGAGAGGTAGTTTGATGCTACGCCGAGGTATTGTTCGATGAGATCTGTGCCTTCGGTTGTGGATGCTAGGGCTGGGGCGTTTAGTACGGAGAAGGTGATTGAGCATTCGGATGGGTTGGCGAGAGGTGAGGAGGAGATTGAGTATTGGCGCACGCGCATTGGTGGGAGCATGGCTAGGAAGTCACCGATTGGGAGTTTGATGGCTGGGTGGCGCATTAGGAGGTCGAGGGGGCTGACGCGCTTTTTGACGATTTCTTCGGTGAAGCGGCTTGGGCTTGAGGCGAGGTAGCGTAGTTCGGCTTGGGTTTCGGCATCGATGGCTGCGTCGGCTAGCATGTTCAGGTCACGCTTTGAGGCGGGTTGGGAGAGCTCGACGTAGGTGGATAGCAGCTCGGAGGCTGAGATTGGGACATCAATGGGGATGGAGGGTGGAGGGCTTGAGCTCTGCGAGGGCTTTTTCACGCAGAGCACGGCATCCCATGGGAGGTCGAATCGGCGGATTGCGCGGCGGACGACTTGGCTTGGGTTCACTGGTAGGACGGCGAGGTAATCACCGCACTGGTAGGTCATCTCTGAGGGTAACTTGAAGCGCACCATGCGCTTTGTTGGGGCTTCGGGGTGCGTCAGAATCTGATTCTCGACAACGAAGCCCTCTTCAAGCTGCAGGCCGAGGGTTGATGCCCGCATGCCCGAGCTGACCTCAACCTGCAATGATGACTTCGGCTTGGTCGATTTCTCAGGGCTAGCACCGCCAAACTTAGCAGTGAGAGCTGGCCAAAATGAAGTCTCACCCCAACTGTCGAAATCAGTGAACATATCCGAGTTGGCTGCATCGGCAAGACCAATCTCGCATAACCTGTTGGCGCCATTGTCCTTGACCAGCTGGTCAATGGCCTTGGGAATGCGGTAGAAAGTGGAGGACCAGTCATGGTGTCCACAACCAAAGACCGCATAGTTGACACCATCCAGATCACTTCCCTTCAACTCACTCAACCACTGGAAGAAATGAGCCGCGTTATCCGGGGGCTGGCCTTCATATGAAGCAGAGATGAAAACAACCGGATCGCTCTTAGGAATGTTTTCCTTAGCGGAGTCGAGAGAGCTGACTTTGGCAGCATAACCATAGGCCGTGGCATCATCAGCCAATCTGCGGGCGAATACCTCACAAGTACCAGTGTTGCTCCCGTACAGGATGTGCATAGGCTTCAACTGGCCATCGACAGGTGCAGCAACCTTTGGCTTGCGATCCCGACTGCCAGCAGCAGTCTCCGTCGGCGCACCACCGAGAGCAATGCTGAGCTGGGTAGGATCAAGATCATGTCTCAGAGTTGCCTTCATCTGGAAGTCCTTAGGCTTGATGGTAAGTGTTTGCTTAATGCGAAGGTCGTAGCTAGGGTTATCTAGTTCAAAATTGAAGTTCTGGAGGAGCATAGCCACAATCAGGAGGACCTCTTGCCATGCGAATGGCCGTCCGATACAGCCTCGCATTCCATTGCCAAATGGTTTCCATGCGTTCTTTGGTAGCTTGTCGAAGTGCTCATCAAGCATTCTCTCGGGCTTGAAGGAATCGGCGTCAGGGCCATAGACCTTTGGATCGCGTTGCATCTTGCCCAGCATGAGAGCGATGGTCTCGTCTGGGTGCAGGACATATTTCCCGCCTCCCAGTGTTACTGGATCCTCCTTGTTCTTATCAGGGTGGGGATGGACTGCGATCATTGGGGCAGTTGGGTTCAGACGGAGAGTTTCACGCATCACAGCTGTGATGTATGGCAACTTCGACATATCCTCGACAACAATCTTGCGTTTGCCGATAACACGGTCAACTTCCTCCTGTGCCTTCTTGTAGGCACTGGGGTTCTTGAGGAGATGGTAGAATAGGAACGACAGCATGCCGGACGTCGTCTCATGACCAGCAATCAAGAAAGTGATCATGTTATTCACAATCGAGTCATCAGTCAAACCCTGGCCAGTCTGCGGATCCCGTCCCAGAATGAGAGCGTTAAGAAGATCCTTCTTCTCAACCGGATTCTCCTTCCGGTTATCAACAAGCTCCTGAGCAAGGTTCCGCAGATACTCAATGTCCGTCCAGTACTTGTTGTTCTCACTGGTCGGTAGGCTATTAATCAAACCAGGCCGACGAGCGCGAGTTCCAGACCCAGCCAACAAGCCAACCATAGCCTCGACGAACGGGTGCATTTCATCGTGGTAGAATGAATTGAAGCGGGTACCCATTGCGCAGAGGGCAATGGAGTCCAGTGTTAGGCGGGTGAAGTCGTCCGTTACGCCGATAGGCACGGTAGGGCCCTGGCGCGCCCATTTCATGACGAGTTGAGTGGCGATGTCGTACATTTCTATTCAAATGTCAGTTATACTTGCTCCCTTGGTTGCTTTCCACATGGAATATACTCACCATCGAACATCCCCCGAATCATCAAAGGACCAAACGCAGGAACGAGGACACGGTGAGCAACAGCCCAGTTCTCCTCGCCGGGATAGTTGGCCGTAAACAGACCATCGTGGACACCATTCCGGATCTCATGTAGACCAGCTGAAACAATCTTTGTGAATCGTTCCTCGTCGCATACTTCATCGACCAGCTCATGCGAGCTGATAAATACTCTGGGTTTGCCGAAGGTAGTCAATCGGAAAATGTGGCCTGCCAAATGAATATTAAACGAATTAGTCGATCCCTTTGCTTGTTGTAGGTTGATCTAGCATACCGTAGTTTTCGGCCAGTAGCTCGAAACTGTTGGCAGGGACTTCGGGTTCGATGTCGTAGATGTTGCCCAAGATCGGGACGCCCCTTGGCCCCGGGATGGGGACCTCTTTCACGGAGCTCATAATATGTGGATTTGAAGATGAGATCAATGGGAGACAAGCAGACGTGAAGATTGGCGTGTAAGTGGATCAGATGGCGGGGTTGGGAGATCCCGTGCGACCAAATCCGGTGGCGTCGACGATTGCAATATTGATAGGTGAAGGTGAAGCTTAAAGGCGATGTTGCTGAGAGGCAGATCGAGGAGGAGAGTGTTTTCTTATAAGGTTCCAACAACAGTATAATCCAACCTCGGCCTCTCACTTGATGTCACAACAAGTAAATCCCGTGTTTCACATTGTTCTGGAAGCAGTTCCACCGCGGGTTAGGCGTGTCCGAAGGCCAATCATCGTTGTCGTATATTAATCGCGCCGAGAGCTAAACTTGGCAGTCAAGTGAAGTGTAAGTGTCGGTCGGATTTGACGTGAATCCCGACCTTATGATCGGAGATTCGGCATAGATAATGAACACAATGCTCACATCTTGCTCACACAGTGCCATAAGGATCAGGAGCTCCGAAACCATCAGCCACGGAGCTGTATACAAATCAAGCCGACTCCGACCATATCGTCCATACATAAGGATAGGACTCGTGTCAAATTCTCCAGATGAAGTCATACTGCAGGGATAACCCCCCAGAATAAGTCTCTGAAAGGTGTGATACGCTAATCTTAGCACAAGCTGCATGAGGATAGGCAACCATCCGTTTTTGATCAAATCGCATTAAGGTGGCTGTGTTGGAAGAGTTAATGGATGGTCATTCTTTGGCTGTTAGAGTGTCGGATACTCATCGCCCCGATCGGGCAAGGCCCGCAAGGAATACAACCACACTGGAACAACACTGGAACAACACACCCCAACAATTGAAATAAAACCCGTTTTATATGTTAAAGTATGTACATGTATATGAGCTTGCAAACGGCACAGCATCGGGCGGTCTAAACAACGCCAACGAAGGGAATCTTCGACCAAGGCCAAAAAGTGGGATATCAAAAGAAACGGAGGCGCAGGCGGAACGAATGGGCTCTGCAGGGCAACGCGAAGACAGTGAGTGAGAGAGAGAGAAAGAGAGATGAGGCAAGTGATAGGAAGCCTGAGATGAGAGAAAATGGTCATTATTCCGACTCCGTTGGTCACCAGAGGCCCGAGGAGTGGCATGGCGACAGCTGAATGACCGGACATACTGTGCAACGGAGCGGAAACCAATCACAGAACAATTCATTATAGAGGGAAAACAAGGGATGCAGGTTCGTGGAATACAACTTTCAAGGCTAGTTGCTGACCTGCTGGTAGCCACCGTGCTTCCACTCGCTCTGCTTCCAGTCATTTTGGAAGTTCTGCATCTCGGTGCGGTTCTCGGCGTAGCGGCTGTCATCAAGGGCGTGTTCGAGACGGCCCTTGCGGCGCTGGCGCAGGCAGAAGATGAGGAAGGCTGCGATGCCAAGTACACCTGCTCCGGCTGCGCCACAGTAGATTCCGATGTGGGCTCCTTGGCCCAGGTCGTCCCATTTTTCGGCCAGGGACTTGGGCGGGGGTTTGTTGAGTTCTGTGAGAGTGGTAGAGTTTCCACTGGACGTAGAGTTAGCTATGTTCTAATGACTTGTATCAATCTCGAACTTACCTAACCACGTCGATACTGTCGTAGGAACCTGAGTGGTCTGAGTAAGTGTACTCCTTTCCAGTGTGGAAATCCTTCACACGGAGCTTTCCAAGGGTCATGGTGAAAGGAGCATCGTCCCATTGAACCAGACCACCAGCCCAATCGATTGTACCCTGTGCAGCACCCTCCCGACCAGCAGGCCACAGACTAAACTTGACACGACTGGGTGTCTGCGGGTAGTTCTTTCCGCCAAGGGTACCTTTATCATCGTAGTTAAGCTGACGGACCATATCGCCGTCGATCCACCACTGGAGCTTATCTTGGTCCCAATAGGTAGTGTAGTTGTGGAACTCGGAGTCTGCATTTGTGACGTGGTGGTAACCGCCGCGGTCGAATGTGCTATCGTTGCCCTTTCCGAAGAAGTTGGACTGCACCTGGCTGGTGTTATATCCAACCCACTCCCAATCGATCTCGTCCAGGTCGTCCGATTCCAGGACCACACTGCTGATCAGACCGGCGCCCTTGGCCATCTTGACGTGCGATTCCACGACACCGAAGAAGATATAGAAGTTGGATTGTAGGAGGGTGGATGAGCCCTCTTCGGTAAGGGTGAACTCGGCACCGTCATCACCGTATTCGTAGGTTCCGGTGGTCATGTTCCAAATGGTTTCGTCTAGGGTGGTGTTGAAGTGCCATGTGTGTTCTGTTCCTAGAGCTGGGTCCGCGGGACATGTTACGTTCAACGGGTTGCAGTCGGTTGACGTTTGGGCGGTGGCATAGCTGGCCAGGGCCAGTAGAGCAAGAGAGTACCACATGATATCTAAATGAATGTGATCAGGTCTGCTGCTGGTCTAAAAGAATGACTATTCAAAAGAATGGACTCGAGAACGAAGCTCGATAGTAAAGAGTGGATGTGCCGATTGCACGAGAAGGCCAGCAGTCAGTACATGGAAGAAGAGAAAGGGGAAGGCTAAGTGGGCTTATAGGCTAGCGGTGTTTTAGGCGTTGTATTATTTTTGTGTTTCTCCTTACGCTGCAGAGATTATGGGCAGGTCTGGGCTAACTTGATACCGTTAGGGAGCTCCATTTTAGTTCAGTGACTAACTTCATCGGGTAAGCCCCAGGGCCCCGTGCCTGAGACTAGTCTACTTTTGGGTGATAACGTCCCTGATTGGTTGGGCAATTGAGAACGATAAGGTCCCGCAGGGGTAATTAAAGCTGCTTAGGGTGTTTGTATACTTCGTACTTTCTAGTCCATACATTATCTTTGCTTACAGTACATTATCCGAGATGTTTTTCTTACATTGAAGGATGTCCTATCGCTGAAGGAAGAAAACTAACCACCTTGGTTCCACTAGCGGAAAGTTCCGGTCTAGACCAGTTGAGGAAAATCATCTGCAATGAAGATCCCATTTGACTTACTCATGCACATGCCCCTTGAAAACTCAAGGATTCTGTCAATCTATTTCTGTTCGGTTCCTCAGGCCTGTTCTTGAACTGACTTTGATGAGTATCCGCCTGTCGGGGCCAATAAAAACTTCATCTAGAAGCCAAGCCCTGTCTCCCCAGTGGAGATGTCTAACCCAAGTTTTTTTCCCTTTCCCTGTCGGGTGGGACCGTCGCCCATCACACGAGGCTACCTCGAATTACTAGTCAGGGTCATGACCCCTTATTCGCCGATAACAGTGCGGTGACGGCTGCGGCGTTCGTTCCAGAGCCGTTGGATGAACTCGACTGTAATCAGGGGTCAACTTGGTGATCGATCGGACGCCACTGTCTTCGGTGATTACACGGTTTGGTCTAGCTTGACCATGCCAAGTACACTATACACCTGGGCAGGCCTGCTCATTTCCCGCTGTCCTACATATATTCGGTAGGCAACCAAATGTATACAACGTGCTTCAACGTGAAAGGTCATAACAAGTTTCTAAACATGCATCTCAGATCGCAACAGGGGAAAACTCGCCCAAATCACAATCAGACAATTAAAGAAACAAAGCACCGATTGGCAATCTTGGAATTCATCCCAAGATTCATAATCATCAGTCATCAAGCTTCATATCACAAAGCGTCACTCATATCATGTCTTATAACCCAGGCTCCAAGCCTGAACCTGGTCCATCCACGGCCCACCCCACCCCATACCATATCCATACCCATATCTCCGAGATCAAAAGCAATAAAAATAGGCAGAATCACCTGCGCCAATTGATCAGTCAAAAGTTCAAGATCCCTCCGCCCAATCCCAATCCAAGATGATCAAAAAAAGAAAAAGAAAAAAGAAAAAAAAAAGGAACATCCCCCACATCCCCATCCACTGATTCAAGGATCAGTCAAATAAACCTTAGCCGGCCGACGCAAATCATCACGATCCCGATACCGCCGCGTACTCGTCGGCTTCTCAACATAGTCAACATAAGTTCCCGGACCACGACGGCGCTTTCTCCGACCGCGACTGCTCGCGCTACTGCGGGTAATGGGCGGTCGGTATCCGACGTCCGGCTCGTCGCCACCGCTCCACGCACCCGGCAGGCGGAATACACGCCACAGCCAGAGGAGCAGGAGTGTGCCTGCGATCGAGCCGATGACAATGCCTGCTATTCCCCCGCTGGTTATAGTACTCGGGCAGTTGGCGCCGCTTGATTGTCTCGGTAAAATGGAATTGATCGGAGCCTGGAAGTAGATTTGGTTAGCTGTTGGACAATTCGAGGTTTGATCCGTGGTTCTTGTTCGGGCCGGGCATCGGAGCCACGGATTGGGTTGAGATGTACATATCAATGGATGTATGTGAATATGTGTATCTGCTTACCATGACTGCAGTCTACACTTTGGTCTGATCTCGATCTGATCTCGGAGAATTCCAAACTGTTCCTGGCCTGGTGGCTGGTAATGGTATGCAGAACAGGTGGGTCTGCAGCTGGCTGGAGCTCGCCACACCAAACGTGGGTAATGTGTGTATATAAAGTGATTTGAAACGAATCACCCACACAATGAGGAAAGGGAAGAGGGGGGGAAATCTCCCCGAGCCTCACATCTTATAGCCCTAAGTTAACGCGCAATCTATTCAACCCCCAACCTCCTCTCCCGCTTCTGACGTCAAGCGGACGTCGGCCTTGGCGCCCTGGAAGAGGTGCGATCTTCGCTTTTTCAAACTTGGAATTTCTTGTTTGATTGAGCAGGGCTGCCGATTGGCTGCTGGAGCGGCTTACTGGTCAGATTTCTTGCAATTGTGTTGCTACATGGGTCATCCTGAGTCTGGTTTGGCCTCGGTTATGGAGTATACTGGGAATCCTGTGAATCCTGTAAATCTTGGGGCGAACCCACTTGCGTGCACTACCTACAGTACCTCGCTACTCTACATGTATGCATGCCACAAAGAAAGTCTTGTCTAGTGGGTTGGATGCGGGGAAGAAGTGTAACGGACGATTAAGTTCCTGTTGTGGAGAAACGCCGAGAACTGGAATCAAGAGAACAATGAAATATACTTTGAATGCTGCGCTTGGTCGTAGGTAATATATTCCATCCTAGGCAGGCTTGGTCAATGGTGATCATTCAATGTCTTCTAGCGGACTGAACGCCCCTACTCCTTGTTCAACTGCACATGTCCCGGAGAAGGCGGCACATCCCCAATCTCCCACGCCTTCGCATCCGCCCCAAGATCAAACTCGATCGTGCCACCATTCGTCATAACATCATCGTGTTCGAACCAATTTTTTCCCCACTGCTTACCATTGATCTTAACGCTCTGCACATAATACCCATTCTCAAGACCACTAGCAGAGATCCGGAGCGTCTTATTTCCATTAATTGTCATATTGAGATCAGGGAACCAGGGCGACGAGAGTAGATAGACAGGCTGCGTGACGATTGGGTAGACACCCAACATCTGCCATAAGAGCCAGGAGTTCATTGCGCCAGCGTCGCTGTTTCCGGGGATTCCGTAGGCTGTATCCTTGAAACTGTTCCGGAGAAATTGTCAGCGGGCTCGGATTGGACGGCACATTGGTATACTTACTATTGATTGGCTAGACTGCGTGATTGATTCACACTCTTGGCTTGCTTGTTGATGTAGTTGTATAGATATGGCGTGGCAAAATCGGGTTCGTTGCTATGTTGCAATTAGTCCTTTGGTCATTACTATAAGAATACTTCCACGCTACATACCCAATGTTGATCAGCGTGGTTATGGCTGCGCCATTTGCGCCGAGGTTTTGAACAGACATGTTTGGTTTGAACTATAGATACTGTCAGTAATTGTATGCGGTCTCAGAGACTCTCGTGCTTACCATCAAATCAAGTCGAGACTCGAATGTCTCCTCCCCTCCCATGAACTCAATGAGGGTTTTCACGTCATGGGGAATCACAAAGGAGTATTCTGCAAGCCCAAAAGTCAGCTCTAGTAAATACCAAGAGATTATTACCTCACCCCACGGAATCGCCTCATACGTATAATCCTGCCATTCACACCCATAGCACACCAACGGATCATACCCACTATCATTAAACGACCCATTCGAGAAGCGTGGCGCCATAAACCCTGTGAAATCCAAACTCCTCACATCCGGATTCCAAATATTCTGCCACCCAGCCGATCGATTAAGATACTTTTCCTGGTCACCGGGCATTTCCCCAGCAGCAACCTGGCTGACTGCAAAATCATTCAAACTATATTCAACTGTGCGCGAGATACACCGCGTGTTCCTGTCCTGCGATACATACCCCAATTCCTTCCAGTCATCCAAAGCACCACGGCCTTCTTTTGTGCTTGCTGTCATATCTGTTGGGTCGAAGGTGTTGTAGGGTGTGACTTCTGCGTCCTTTTTCATGGCCGCATAACCTTCGGTCCAGTTGATTGCGCCTCGCATGCCTTTGACGTATGCATCGGCTAGCACGTTGTCTGCGTCGGAACCTCCTTGGACAAGTCCGTTCCAGTTTCCGGAGCGGCCGTCTGGAAGGAATCCTGCGTGTCTGTGGTTTGGAACGCTTAGTCTAAGTCTTTTTGACTAAAGGTCTGTTGTTACTTACTTCCAAATATCAATCAATCCTCGAATCATGGACTCGTAGTATTCCGGCTGGAAGATGTGATAGAAGCTGACTGTGCAGCGGAAAATGTCCCCTGTGGAAGTGGTTAGTAAATTATACGGTGGGGATACCATAATAAATGCACTCACACATTGTATAGAAGTCGTCCCAATAAGGCTCTTCAGAGTCCCACAGGGGATTCTCTCCAGTTCGGTCCGATGGCATCAGATGGATAAAATACAACGAGCTGTACAGCAGCCTAACATGGGTCATATTGGCAGAGTCATCGAGCGGAACCTGGATCTTGTTGAAAACATCTGTGTTCCATTCCTTGACCGCAGAAGCAACTGTGTCATTCAATTTCCATGATGGGATCTCTTTTTGGATGTAGGAACGGGCACGGTCGATGGAGATAGATGAGATACCAACCCGCGAGGTAATATGCGAAGCAGATCCATCTTTCCAGCTGAGTAGCAAACCAATGCGGTTGTTCATTGGTCCAGACGTTACTTTTTTGGATGTGTTTTTGAATGTTGGTTCGCTTATTCCGCCGTTGGCCAGATTCTGGTATCGGGGCATGGGATCAGTGTTTACGCCAGAAAATGTCTGCGACTTGTCTGGAGGAGTAGAGAATTCCCCATAGAAGTAGACAGTAAATGGAGCTCCTGCTGTCTTGTTAGATGTCGTTTTTGTGAACTTGGTTTTAGGGATTACCATTGTTCCATCCTCCAGCATACGTTCCATACCCACTATATGCTTTGCCATTGGCTTCAATCTGGATCTCGCCTCCTGCGAAAATTTGGCCGTTTGCATCGCCAGGAGAGCCAGGTAGATACTAGTCGGACTGTTAGTTCTAAGTTTTTCTGATAGGACAATTCAGGTATCGTACATGAGATACATCAATCAACACATGCTTCTCGCCCTCCGGGAACGAGTACTCCATGATGCCAGCATGCCGAGATGCAGAAAGCTCCACAGTGATTCCATTCTGCAAATTTGTCTTGTAGTAGCCAACCTTCGCAGTATCGCTGCCTACCTAAAACTAAAGTCAGCTTCTTCATCCCACGACGCATCTCAATAGGCCCAACACAAAGTCACATACCCTCGGCTGGCTATACGTCAAATTATCAAGCACATTGACCGGCGTATCAACAGAAGTCAAAGGCATCTGTGAGATCAACCCATACTTAGGCGACCCGCCAGTACCACTCTCATGCATCATACTAATACCAGTAACATTCCCATCGGGCGTCCAACCACCATTAAGAACAGCAGTACTCCAGTTCGCGGCAGTAGAATCAATACCGACTTTAGCCACGCCAAACGGCAGCGCACCACCCACGAAGATATCACCGCCGCCAAATCCTGTGCCTGGCCCCGGGCCTTCGGAGCCCATTAGGGCGTTCACATACTGGGAGAGGTCTGTTTGGGTGGCTGTTGTGGGGTTGGGATGTAGAAGTAGGAGTCCTGCGATACCGGTGGACGAGAGCATAAACCGGAGGTGCATTTTACGTTTGTAAAGAGAGGCCAGGGGTTAGGGTCTATTTTCCTGTCTGGGTTTTGGTGGGTGGAAAGGGGAAGCTATACCTTGCGTGCTTTTATACATTCCAGCGCGAGAGTGAAGATCTGCGGTGTAACCCTGGCATTCGAGGTCTGGGGGAATTGGTTTCGATTGAGCGGATTCCTAATGAAAAATTCATAGTCAATTGTATACCCCGCATCTATGTACTAGTACTGTGAGCAGCGGTGACAAGCATCTGTGCCCGGGGTCGATGCGTGCGATGACATAGTTGATCGGCAAGAGTATGGGGGAATGTTACATTGGACGGTATATCGGGGTAGTCTAGAGCTTGTTCGGGGACTGAAGACCCGAGAGTCGTGTTGCCATATAAACAAGTGGAAGCTTAGATGGCGATCCATGCGAAGAGCAGCCTATGTCGGGTTTAGGCTAAATCCCCCCTGCATTGTTGTTGGCTGTACAATTGAAGGAACAAAGATGCCATTAAAGAACACATTTCTAAAGTCCGTGAGCATGATTGTAAGAGAAAATAATATCCAAAAATCCCTGTACTCCGGACCCATGATATCATCAAAAACAGCAGACAACACTGTGCATCCAGACGAGTGGTGAAAATCAAGAACGACAACAATGCATATCATCTTCAGTCATTACCGACCCGTGATATAATCCCGGTTCTCGATTGTCACGCTCTTGGTCATGTGGTTGACCTTATAAACACCAACAAGTCGGGCAGCAAGTTCGAACTAAAAGCATGTCAGTCTAGTACATTTTAGTGCAGAGAGGGCGCACCTACCATGTTGTTTCGCAATGAAATGACAATGAATTGTGCGTTCTTTGTCCGCTCCTTGATGTAAGAGGCGACGATAGAAACCTAGAAGGCAGTCAGCATATAGTTTGAGGACAACCCATAGGAAGTAACTCACGTTTCGGAAGTCCAGGGCGGCATCAATCTCGTCCATGACATAGAGCGGAGTAGGTTTGTAGTGGTGCAGAGCGAAGACCAGCGCCAAACTGGACAGAGTCTTTTCTCCACCAGACAAATTCCCAATGTTCTTCCAGCTCTTCTTGGGAGGCATGACTGAGAACAGAATGCCTTCCGAGAAGGGATCCAATGAGTCCACCAGCTCCAACTCGGCGTTACCACCCATGGTGATCATTTGGTACATTTCCTTGAGGCGCAAAGAAATAATACCGAATCCTTCCATGAATCCATTCAGGCGGGAAGATCGAAGTCCGTCCAAGCGAGCCTTCGCACCATCGCGGGATGCCAGTGCGGTGTTCAGATCCGCTGAACGCGATTCGTGCTCAGCAGCACGGCGACGGTATTCTTCGATTACTGACAAATCGACAGATGCGTTCTGGACCTTCTCCTCCAGAGCAGCAATGATGGCCTTCAGTGACTCCTTGTTCATGGATTCGAGTTCATCCTTGGTGTACATCTGGAGCTCTGTAGGCTCCTGCTCTTCACCAATGTCGCTGATGTTTTGGACAGTCAGCTTTGAAAGCTTCTCTTCCCAGTAGCGACTGCGCTTCTGGTTCTCAGCCAAAGCCTTCTGGTTCTCGTCCAGCTTGTTGCGCATCTCAATCTCGGTGGCTCGTGTCTCATTAAGCTCAGCGACCTTTGTGTCGAGTTCCTCTTTCATGGTCTGAAGCTCGCCCTTCTTGGTTTCCAATGCCTAAGAATGGTCAGCTGCAAATCCAGTACCTTCCCGAATGTGTAAAAGCCTACCTCCTGAGCCTCCTCGGCCTTCTGTCTCCACTCGGAAGCATCGTTGTCTTTGTTGGAGACATCTTCTTCCAGCTTTTCCAGGTCTTCGGCGATTTGTCCAATCTCCTTCTCCGAGTCGTCGCGTGACTTCGAGTGCTTCTTGATAAGCTTTTCGTTCTTGGATTGTTGCACCTCGGCATTAGATATCTCTTCAGCGAGCAAGCCGATTTGCTCCTTGAGGCCATCGACCTTGGCCTTTTGGCCACGAAGACGAACACCACCAACCTCCATGATTTTGCTCTGAAGAGTGGAAATCTCCTCCTCGATACCACTCTTCTCGTCGTTGAGCTTCTCGATCTCCTTCTCGGTCTTGGCGATCTGTTTCTCGAGGGCAGCGACTTGGCCTTCATCAGAGTCGGATGGCTGGTGCTGTGCGCCAAGTTCCTTCACGCGTCGCTGAGCATCAACGAGACTACGCTTGGTACTCTCGATCTCGATCATGATCTTTTGGATCTTGGTCTCAACGCGCGGGATTTCCTCCAGTCTTTCCCGCATCTGAGCTTCAACGTTTCGCTGCTTCTCTTGAAAGGCCTGGAACTTCCTTTCGAGATCTTCGAGATCTGTCTCCAGACGAGACATTTGATCCTTTGTGACATCTGCGACCTGTTTCGACGACATACCACCCCGGGCAACGCGGGTTCCACCACCACTCATTGTTCCTGACACATCGATCAACTGTCCGTCAAGCGTCACCACTCGCCACCGGCGAGCACCGTAGGCGATACGGTTGGCTTGCTCCAAGTCCTTAGCAACCAGGGTGTTTTGCATCACACTGTAGAAAGCAGGTGCAAACATTTCATCCTTGGGCTTGACGAGATCAAAGAGACGGGGAACACTTTCGGGAGTGTAGATGGTGGACATATCACGGCGGGGGAGACGGTCAAGAAGAATGAAGTTTGCTCGACCGAGGTTGTTTTTTCGCAGGTAGTCGATACACTGTTGGCCGACTTCGACAGTTTCCACCACCATGTTGTTGAGAGCAGGACAAGCGGTAGAGATTGCGATATCGTACTTCTCGTCAATAGTACCCAGGTTACCAAGTCTGCCATGGAATCCATCAATACGACCGGACTCTTTCAGTCGCATCAAGCCAGTCAAGACACTTCCACTGTTCTGGGTACTTGCCAGGCTGGCGCGGGCATCTTCGGCCTTTTGACGGGCACTTGAGACATGTGAGCGAACCTCGGGTTCACGGCCCGCGTATTTCTGAAGATCATGCTTGAACTTTTCGACTTCATACTCCAAGGTCTCTTTCTGGGCCTGTCGCTCTTCGAGGTCGTTTTGTTTGGATTGCAGACTTTCCTCGATCGTAACAATCTTGGCCTGTGCCTCCTCGAGAAGGACAGTACCAGCGTTACTACGCTCGCGTAAGATATCAAGTTCACTTTGGGCGACTGCAACTGCGGATTGCTTTTGGTTGATCTTCTCGTTCCACGGCTCGAGAGACTTCTGCTTGGCAGCAATCTGATCGGAGAGGCCCTGGGTCTTGCCTTTGAGACCCTCGCGAATGGTGTTCAGTTCCTTCTCTTCCGTCAACATTTCCTTCTCAAACTGAGTTGTTTCGGCAGTCTTCTTCTCGATGTCGTCGGTGAACTTCTCGACCAGACTCTGGCATTCTGAAGCAGCGAGTCGGCTGGTGTGCATCGCCTTTTCCAGCTTCTTCTGCTTGCCAAGTAAGAACTTCTTCTTCTCTTCGAACTTGACTGACTCCTTGTCGTATTTGGCCATCTCCTTGAGCAAGGCTTGAGTCTCTTTCTCCATAGATTCGTACTGGCGAACACCCTTCTTGTAGGCCTTTTCGATCTCTTTGATGCCGGATTCATTTCCCTCATGCTTCTCGAGTTCCATGTTCAGCAACTCCTGCATCTGGAGGATGGCTTCTTCCGTAACACGGACATTGTCAGCGCACTCATCAATGTAGATCTGGTAAAGAGCGGATTGCTTCTGAGCCAATTCATTCTCCTCGCGAATGTAAGCCAGAGCCTTGTCTTTCTTATCCACCAAGGCGGTCTTCTCCTTCTCCACATGCTGCACACGGTTGTTCTTCTCCACGCAGACATCGTTCAAGGTTTCGAGCTCGGTCGCAGCTTCGTCGATGGGCGTCTTATACTTCGAGGTTCCGATAATGTCCTCTAAGTATTCCAACAAACCTTCGTCGTGTTCATTGGCGGCTTTTGGTTTCATCTGAGCAATGGACTCGACCTCACCCTGCAGAATCAAGAAACGCTTGTGGTCGAGGTCGATTCCACGATCGCGAAGGAAGGCGCCAACAGTTGCAAAGTTGGTCTCCTTCTTGTTCATGTAGTATTTGCTGGTGTTGTTCTTGAACGCGCGTCGAGAAACGATCAGTTGGGAATCTGGGACTACTTCAGATCCACCTTCGGGCAAATCGAGGACTTGTGCGAAATGGACCTCGACCTCGCAATAGGCGAGGTCTGGATACTGAGCAGAGTTGTGAATCAGAGCGGAGATTTTGCCCTGTCGCATCTTGCTGGCACGGAAACCAAACACAAAGAGTAGCGAGTCAATAACGTTAGATTTTCCTGAGCCATTGGGTCCGACGACGGACGAGAAGGAGGCGTGGAACGGTCCGACAATTTGCTTGCCCGCGTAACTCTTGAAGTTTGTCAGAATAAGATTTTCAATGATCATTCGGGGCTTGGGTGCCGCAGATTCCTCAGGGGCCGTAGGAATTTGCGTCCTTGACTTCGCCACGATATCCATAGGCTTCTCCAAGACTGTCGAGTTCGGGTTGATGATGGAAATCTGAGACTTGGGTTCTTCCGATTCTTTCGAGGGCGATTGGTTCACGGCGGATTCGGTGATGTCGGACAGAGGCGGCACACTTGCGCGTGCTCGCGCCTGGGGCTCTGGCGATTTGGATGGCTCTGGAGTAGGGAGTGAGCCCTTGGCCGGCTTGGGTGTGATTGAGCCGCGACTCTTGCGGGGATGAGCCATACTTTTTCTTTTCAACGCCGCATTTCTAGATGGGGATTCAGGATCGGCTTCAATTGACGCGATACTAACGCCCTCATCGTTCTCATCGTTTTCATCGTTTTCATCATTCGTTTCGTCCTCTTCGGTGTCCATTGCGTGCGACGCATCGGAATCATCCGTTATCGCTTCTTGGATTTTGCTGGCAGGGCGTGCGGTGGAAGGTGTCTTCGGTTCTAAGGTCATCCGACTCTTGGAGGTTCTCTTTGCCCTCTTGGGGACGGGGGTGTAATCCTCCTCCTCCTCCTCAGCTTCTTCGTCGTCATGCGTATCGGGTGTGGGTGTCACATTTCCGGGGTCTTCGGATTCAGAGGTATCTTCGACAACATAGCTCCGACGGGGAGCAGACCGGCGCGATGACCTGCCCTTAGCGACTGCAGCCATGATGGATTAAGGTGATTGCATGGAGGGGACGGAGTGTTTCGTCCGACGAAAGTGGGTTGTTTACCTTGCGCCCAAAGAGGAATGGCGGCCGTCGTTCTGCCACAACAAGCCCTTCACCGCCATATCCCGCCGTAAGTTACCGTACGGTAATTACGTCTCCGCGGAGCTTCCAACTTGAACTTGCGACACTCGCAACTCTCTTCTCTCTGCATCACCATGGCGCCCTGGGAGAACTTTGACTATGTGTTCTCGTTCAACAAGAAATACACTTATGAGCCTAAGGTCGTTGAACAGATCCTTGCCAATCGGCGTGCCTTCGAGAACCAGCTCTTCGCCGACCGACTGCTAAGACTGCTCGGTATCCAGGGAGGTATGATTCGAAGCTTCAGCTGGAAGATTTAGGCTAATGATTTGCTCCCTTCTAGTGACCAAGGTCTACCCGCCCAAGAGCAATACAGATCTTCGAGAACTTTTCAATCACATTGTTTCCTCGGAACTGGATATCGAACACAAACAATCTCTAGTGTACTATGTCCTCAAAGACTGTCGCGCTGCTCCAGAAGCTTCGATTCAGTTTGCGCAACGATGCCACCTACCGGAGAAATACCGTCTCTTCATCGAGGGCCTTTGGCACCTTGATCGACTAGATTTCCGGGTGAGCTTGCATGGGTCTTCAAAGCCATTACCTCCCGGCAATTACTGACTGTATTAGCGAGCACTTGAGTACCTCACCGAACCATCGCTCATTCCTACCTTCCCGGATGAAATCCTCTACGCCCTGACTCTCACCAAGCTTCCCCGGCACGACGACAGCCTCGCAATCGCATACTACCTCACTGTGGCTCCTCCTCTCGCAAGCGAAAAGGTTCGCAAAGCTTTCTTCGAAACTCTGAGTCGATCCAACGTCACCGAGGCGTTTTACTTCACACGCAAGTACGATGACGCTCACCGTCAGAGCTTCTTTGAGCAGTTGGTGGAGTTTGTTCACAAGGCCAGCCCCGGCCAGACCAGAAGCCGGCGCGCAATGGAACTCGTCGGACTGCCACTGGATGAGGATGAGGAAGTGTGGTTCGAATCAGTATTGCTACATGGCAATGCCAGCACACTCCCTGGGGCCAAGGATACCGTCATGATGCGGCGTCTTGCAACCGGACGAGTTTCCGATGTCTCCCCCGAGCTTGAATCCTTGAGTGGCAAGAAAGTGGATGGTTTGAACTGGGATAACCTTCGAGGGAGTATAAGGCACATGTAGATGATATACCCAACCAGTGCAGCATCACTGGGATGAATGCTTGTTTAGAATTGAATAGCAAAAGGAGTTTACGGTTTTGACAAATGATGTTCCCAATTGTAATTGATAATGTCGAGGCGTTAGTGTAAAGTGGATTCCTGGTATATATTCGGCACCCACCAGTTTCTCACAGCACTTGTACTCATTAGCATTTGCAAGAAGCCCACAAATTACCAGAAAGACAAATCAGAAGTGATTGAATTAAATCTGACTCTCGGATCAGTTGAAATGCGTAAAAATTACCAGCAGGACATACTTCCTCCAGCCCTGCGCGGTGACATAGCGATAAGATACCGGATGTCGTGAAAAGTCCCAAACCATGCCGTTTTCCACTCCTAACGCGCTACCGCAACCTATTCTATTCATCCTTTATCCTCATTCCTCTCTTCCTTTCTTATTCATCGCAAGCACCTTCATTTGCATCTTCTTACGTGACACTACCGTGTTCTCTCGTCTCCTGCTTCTGCCTTTCGCCCCCAAGGGAGCTAACCCGCCAATCGAGACCGAAGATGACCGTCTGCACGTTTTTCCAGCAGGGGCGCTGCAGGTTTGGGGGTATGTAACATCTAAGCCAAGTCAAAATTGAGTCGCTAACATTACGATTTTAGATAAGTGCAAATTCGAGCACCCTGGCCGAAGCACAGCTGGTTCTTCCGGGAATAGATTCGGAGCTCTCTCTGGGTTTGGTGAGTATATCTCGCGTTAATATGCCAGCCATTTCACCCCAAACTATGCAGGCAATGCATGCCTACAGTTTAAGACTATCCGTTTGCTCCTTGCTCGTCTTATCTCTTTCCTTCTATTGCTCTCTGCCCATTGTACTTGTATCAATACCAATGTCCAGACAAGGCCCTGTTCACTTAGCCTTTCGCCGCGTCGATACATTACCGTTTGGCCCTGATTTGAAGCCAAAGCCATTGTCTAACCGAGCATCTACGACAGGTGGAACATCTGCGCCAAGCCAATCCCAAAACAAGAAATATGCAGACGAGTAAGCCAACCTCTTAGCAATATTCGATGGGACTTGGAACTAACTTGAATACAGCTTCGGCGTCAGCGCAAGTGATATCAAACTTGACCTGACCGCGGGAAAGAACCGTCCACTCTGGATCCTTTCCTCCTATTCACCACAGCAGAATGTTCCACGTCAGCTGTTCGGTGGTCCTGGGCGTGAGCAGAGTCCGGAAGAATTGCGTGTGCGCCATTATGAATTGGCAGCTGCGGGTAGCATTGACCAGGCGGTCCAAGAATCCCAGGCCCTCTGGCAAGAGTCTATCAAACAGATGGAAGTCGTCTTGGGTGATCTTAATGGCGCCGTGAAGTTCATTATTGATGGAAAGAACGAGCATCCTAACAGGCTCGATATCGTTGAAGGCAAGACAGGACCCGATGCTACCCAAGCGCCTGGAACCCTCGGTGGTGCTCCTTCGGGATTCGGACAACCATCAGCTTTGGGCCAGGCATCTGGTTTCGGTCAACCTTCAACCCCCGGCCAGTCTTCAGGTTTCGGGCAGCCCTCAACTCTGGGCCAGTCCTCTGGCTTCGGCCGACCGTCGACTCTGGGGCAATCCGCTGGCTTCGGCCAACCCTCGACTCTAGGTCAAACGTCTGGTTTCGGACAGCCCTCAACTCTAGGTCAGTCATCTGGCTTTGGGCAACCTTCAACTCTGGGTCAATCGTCTGGCTTCGGACAGACCTCGAGTTTAGGCCAGTCATCCGGGTTTGGACAGCCATCCAACATAAGTGGCTCTGGCTTCGGGCAGCCGTCGACCCTGGGAGGACAATCCGGGTTTGGCAAACCAGGCTTCGGACAGCCCGCAGCTCCGGCAGCAAACCCTTTCGGCGCTCCAGCTTCCTCATCCTCACCCTTTAGCCAGATCTCCAACAATCAACCCGCCTCTGGGGGCTTCGGACAGCCTGCTCCTACGAATGCTCCCTCGCCATTTACACAGACAGCTTCACAGCAACCTGCAGCTCCTGCCTTCTCTCCTGCCTCCGGTGGATTCGGGCAGCCACAACCGACGTCTGGATTCCCACCACAACCCTCCGCACTCAATCCATTTGGGACCTCCTCCCAACCAGCAGCCAACCCATTCGGCCAGCCCGCCGCACCACAAGGCGTCCCAGTGCAGCATGTTGACGCTGGCCCTCGAGCGTTTCTCAAACTTGATGACCCGAACCAACTCAACCCACTCCCAGAACTACAGGGCGAAACAAGGCACGACCCATCATCTAAACGTCTGACTATGTGGAAGGGCCGTCCAGTGAAGTATGTCAATGACCACCCTTGTTATTTGCACCCGCAAGACAACACGACGTTGGTCCGAGTCAATTTCCCCAGTGGGCCGCCCGATCCAGCAAGTCTGCGCGACTCTCAAGGCAAGCCAGAGGAATACACCCCAGAGGTTGCCGAGGCATATGAATTCTACCTCAACAACGGGTACTTCAAGGATGGCATTCCATCCGTTCCCCCTAAGAGAGAGTGGATCAGCTTCGATTTTTGATATCAACATTGCGATTTGTGACTTATGAAATACGACTTGCATTTTCTGATTCTTTTCTTTTTTGGTTAACTTGTGCACGGAGCGTTTCATTTGGCATAACAAAGGACGACATGTCTAGTATGCGCAAACATGGAGAACGGCGTTTGGGAGGTGGGCTTTTTCTAACTTAGTTTAAGCAACTGACGTCTACGAATACACTACGGGTTCCAGACTACAAAACTGGAAGATTGTTTTTTCAAGATGTTCCATTTTTTATTTTTGGTATATTAGGTCAAACGGGATCACCCATAGAACAGATAAGTCCTGCAGGCTCGCATCGGGTCCAACGTAGCGCATTCACGCTCCAAATTCACCAGTGCATGATCCCTCCCTAACGCAAGCCCAGGGCTAGATCATTTAAGCGGCAATGGTAACCTCAACCTCAACACCGGCCTCGATGTTGATGATGATCTGCTTGACGGTCTCAGTGGGGGCGAGGAGGCTGTAAAGATTGAATGTTAGTGACTGTATCTTCGTGCATAAGATCTGTCTCTTAGACAGCCGGGTAAAAACTCACTCAATCAGACGCTTGTGGATGCGCATCTCGTACTTGTCCCAGGTCTTGGAACCCTCACCGTTGGGGGTCTTGCGGGTGGAGATCTGGAGGGTCTTGGTAGGGAGACGGACGGGGCCCTTGACCTGGAGGGACTTGGAGCGGGCACGGTCGATGAGCTCCTGGCAGACCTTCTCGAGGGAGGCAACCTTGCGGGAGGTCAGGGTGATACGGATCTTGTGGACCTTCTGTATAGCAGGCGAGAGACGCAATTAGTGATTGATCAAGGTTTGTGAGGCCCATTCACACTCTGCGCACAACGACGACAGCGTGCAATTGGACCATAGGGTCGGCGACAACGTACAGGGCCCTCGCCGAAATCCTTCTCGGGCTTCTGGAAAGACATCTTGAATGATTGGTGCTGGGTTGGGTTAGCGCGTGAAGTCGACAGGTTCAAGGAAGAGATCACATACAATTTAAAAAGGCGAATGCCGTCAAGACCTGAACTACTAGGCTCGGTAAGGTGATGATGGCTGGCAGAAACAGTGTGGAGCGAGAATTCGATACCGAAAAGTTCAGTGCGAAAGTCTTGGCGCTTCGGCTATCGCACGCTAAGCCGCTTTTGGTGCCATTGACCTTATCGATGACTCAGGGCTGAGTCATTGTTCTTTTGGGACAACTCCCAAGTTTGAGGCATTCGAGATATAATCATGAGCTAACGATTGTTTGCGTGTTCTTGTTTTTGCTTGTTGTTGTTTTCTCCTTTGTCCCCCTTAGCTACCCTCAGTCAACCAAGCACAGCTTGCCCCAATGGCTGAGCTTCCCCCGCTGGCTCCAGTGCCCTCCCCCGCAGTGCGGAGGACAATCCCATCGAATGATTGGGACGCTTGCCTAGATGCATGGATGACCTTGTTGGGCATCCGTCTAAATATCTCCGATAAGCAGTTCAGAGACGTGGCCGCTCAAGATGCATCCGCGCCCGCATTCCTGGGATCTTACTATCAGTACGCCGCAGCGGGGGACTCTAGTTTAAAGAGTGGACCTAAAGCTCGACAGCTTCGGAAGCTTTGCTTTTTAGCAACAAGGCGGTACCTGCTTGGTCTATCAAACCCACCAGATGGACTACTGGACTGGAGACTCCTCGGTGACCTATGCTGCTGCTACCCTTCCAGCACGGTTCTCAAAACGTCATTATCAAATGCCTGGGATCTACACCATGACAAGATCACCTCCAGCATTGAGAAGGCAAAGGCCATCATCATCAAGAACCTCTCTTCAGCAAACTCGTTCTCCAATCCTGAAGTCATCTCAGACATCCGCCGCTTAACTATCCTTGCCTCCGTGCTTCCAGCTTCAGGCCAGGTGCTTATGGCGGGTTCTGACTTCCTGGATACGGTATCAGAAGCTTACCAATCCAAAAGTGCTAGAGAAGAGTTCCGGAAGATTCTGGTTGCGAATATCTTCGTTGGATTGATCTCTTTGTTGAAGGAACAATCTGCCAACATGTCATTGTTATTGGATCAGTTGTTCGGTCTCAAAGCCGCTGCCCGAGTGGGAACGCCGAAGATGAAAAAAGAGGCGACACTGCTATCAGACCTTGTATGCAGCTCGGACTTGCTTCTTCGGCTAGAGAAGTATCTTACCAATCACCCCCAGAAACGGGGAGAGGATCTTCTCTCCAGCTTGCGCGCCTACCAAGTGGAATCCAAATCGCTCCACCATCGGTATCAAAGACGGAAGAAGCTGGACAAAGGCAAAGATGTATCTTCAGGGGTCCTCATCCCAGAGGAGCTTCACGCACACAAGATGTCCCTTGTCACCCAAGTACAAGACCTTTTCCCCGATCTTGGCTCGGCATTCGTTGTACGGCTATTAGATTTCTACAACGACAACCCTGAAACAATCGTCGCACACCTCCTCGACGACTCACTCCCTCTAGAGCTCCAGTCTCTAGATCGATCGGAGCAACTAGCCCCGACAGCAGAACCACACCATAGCCATCTCTCACCACAACCAACGCCACCCGCCCTGCACTCACCCCAACCGGAATCCTTCCCAATCCGAAAGAACGTCTTCGACAATGACGTCGATATCGCCGAATTGAGCCGCTCAGACGAAGCAGCAGGCAAAGGCAAACTACACTTCGGCCGCATCGACGCAGACCAAACGGCCGACACAGTCCTAGCAGATCGAAGCCACCACGCCGCAAACAAAGCAGCGATCCTCTCCGCACTAGCAACATTTGACTCAGACGACGATGAACGCGACGACACCTACGACGCAGCCGATGTAGGCGGCACCGTGGATGGCGTGACGACCGGTACAGACGCCGAAGCCGACGCAGCTGTACAAACCCGCCGCGCAGCAGATCTCGACATGACCCTCTTCCGAACATACAAGTCCAACCCCGGCCTGTTTGCCCGAGATTCGACCACCCGCCGCTCGCAGCCGCGTGCGTCGCTGAAACGGGAAACCGAAATGACGGACGAGGCTATTGAAGGATGGGCTGTTATGCTCACGCGTGATCCTAGACGGCTTGCCAAACTCGAGGACCGGCTGGCTATGGACGCTAGCGGGTCTGGTGGTGGCGGTGCTTTGAACCAGCCCGAGTTGCGTTCTACGTCTTATCGGAGGCCGCAGCCTCGTGAGGATGGCGAGGACGGCTCTGATGAGGGTGAGTCTTCTGGTCAGGCTGGTTTGCGTGGTCGAGGTGGTGGTGGAAGAGGTGGAAGGGGACGTGTAGGTCGTGGACGTGGTGGGCGTGGTGGTGGGTCTGCTCCGACTGGGGGTCAGGCTCAGCCGGATTCTGCTGCGTCGCGGCAAAGAAAAGAGGCTAATAAGGGGAGTCGGGCGAATCATAATCGTCGACAACAGCATGCGAAGAAGATGGCGCGTGGGGGTGGAATGCCTGGCTAAGAACAGGCATTGATATAGTCCATGTGGATGTAACCGATTGATGTGAGCCTCGACTATGTTCACCATGATGGACGACTATGCTTGTAATCTAAACATGAAAAATATTACAAAAGCAGCTACAAAGCAATGGAACGTAAAACACGTAAAACATTCGTTCATCATTAATATACCAGAACACATACAGATCGACAATGTATTTACACAGGAACCTCGTTCGCATGACCCGCAAGGAACAATACTTCATTCATCAGTGAATCAATGATGATGATCCGAGAAGACACCAGTTTCGGAAATCGATTTGCGGCACTCCTCCATAAGGCGGACCTGCTTTGCGACATCACCGAGACGGCTGATAACCTCTTTATTTCCATCGTAGAATGTGAAAATCGCATATGGGATACCAGTATCTCGGCAGAATTCCAGGACGTTCTTCTGGGCACGACGCAAGTTGTGGCGCGGCATGCGTGGGTACAGATGGTGGATGGCCTGGAACTGCAGACCACCATGGAAGAAATCGAGCCATGTTGGGCAGTCGACGTCCATAGTGGTGCGAAGCATCTTCTGCGGGAAGGACTCGCCGACTCCTAGGTCGGCGGTTGACATGGCGAAGTGGGATAATGTGATTTGAACATGCAGCGGGGAGGGAACGATGTTCGAGATGAGAAGGAAGGTAAGGCGGCTGCTGGTATCGGGAAGTGTCTTGTACAGAATTCCATAGCCATACCAGGTCCAGAAGAAGACCTGTCCAACAAGCTCGAAGTAGAAATGCCACCAGGCGGGACCCTTCCGAGGAGCCTGGCGCTTCAGCAGATACTCCCAGCTCAGGGCAGTGAGATTGAAACGCGCGAGCGACATGATAGGGTAGTAAAGGTAGTTCTGGAACTTGAGGAGGAATTGAGCTGGGACGTCAAAGGTCATGACTCGGTCATAGTATGTGCTCCGAAGGCTGGTAAGGAACCGATGCGAGATGGCAAAGAACGGGATATGCTCAATATCGGGGTCGTGTTCAGGCTCGTTGGTCACGATATGATGCACGTTGTGGCTTCGTTTCCACCACCCGAGACTTAGGCCACCGATGTAATCCGCGATGATCATTCCAATAACACTGTCCACATGGAAATTGTGCGTAATTCCCATGTGGCCAGCATCATGGGCAGTAAAAACAAGCTGGTGCCAGACGCAGCCTAGGAAGAATGCCGAGGCCGCCCACCATTCCATGCGCAGAAACACGTATGATAAGCCTGCGAACAGACTGTATCGACAACATTCAATGAAGTACGCAGAGTAGTTGCAGTTGTAAAGACCCTCGGCCTTCATCCGCTCGTTCAGCTCACGGTATTTGCGCTTAATCTCCTCCTGGCTCGCGGTGTCCAACGAAGGATATTTGGCAGTGTCGAAGACAATCTCCTCTCTGGTTCTTGCATCCAAAAATTTTGGCTGGGGCGGTCCGTTCTGGGTCGAAGAAACGGTGTCGGTGGTTGTGGTCGACTCCCTCTGACGGGCCGAGGCTTTCGAGTCGACCGCATCGAAAATTGGCGAGGGGGAAAAGATCCATCGTGACTAGATCCATAGGAGCTCTCTTGGCTTGTTGAATCCTCCTCCGTCGAGCATGATTCCTCTGTGTAGGGACGGTACTTGCCGCCCTGTATTGGGGGTAGAAAGTTGATCCATATCCCTTCAATTCGACCGATCTGATACGAGGGCATGCGGTTGCGGGCTTCTTGGGAATGTAGCCTATGTGAGAGAAGCTCAGGTTAGATATGTCTTAGTCTGTGATCCATCCAGGGACGTACGCGTTGATCTCATCTGTCGCATCCCTGCCCACCATGTGTTTGATGGACTTGTCTCCTCCGGGATGGAACTTGATCCAGGCATCTACCTTCAAAACACGGCCCTCGAAGATAATGACATGTTTTCCCTCTGCAATGAGGCCTTCAATATAACGGCGAGTCAAGACAGTGTCCTTCCGGGACGGCTGGGGTTTCTCCATGGTGTGACGCGGCAACGGTGTGGATGTTCAAGGTCGACAACAGTGACGAATTCACAAAGACATTGTTCAGATCCAAACAGTAAAATGAGTGACAAGGTTCAAAGCCCAAAGAGCAGGGAGCAGCGAAGGGAGATATTAATAGGAAACAAGGCAGAAACATAGCGGAGGAGCGCAGCGGGGACCGATCGGCGGTCAACCCGTGCTTGTCACTTCTTCATTACTGGACCTTCATACTCCGTCCTCATATGGCATGATGGTGAGCAATCCTTTTGGCGTCTCTTGATATTGCATTAACTCTGATAGGATACACTCGCGACACTCATCCAAACATGGCTCCAATGGGACCAGGTCCGTATATCCGTGTTCCGGTGGCCTGATGTGACTGACTCGGATATAGGATCCTACAACCCGCGCGGAAATAGAGCAGCTACGTGACTCTAATGCCGTTGAAGAGCTGGAAAAGCGCTTGCGAAACCGTGCGTGTCATCCTATGTACATTCGAGGTTATAGTGCACGTCTGATCCTAGTATAGGCATCGAATTTGGCACAGCAGGTCTACGAGGCCGCATGGCAGCAGGGTTCTCTTGCATGAACTCTTTGATAGTCATACAAGCCTCGCAAGGCCTAGCCAAGTTTATCCGTGATCAGCGTTCTGATATCGCCTCGCATGGTGTAGTCATTGGCCACGATGCACGTCACAACTCTAAGAAGTTTGCCGCACTCGCCGCCAATGCTTTCATCGCGCAGAAGATTCCTGTATTTCTCTTTGATCAGGAAGCACCAACGCCGCTGGTACCGTTCGGTGTGAACCATTTTCATGCTGCTGCGGGTATCATGGTGACGGCGAGCCACGTAGGTTAACCAGGACACCCACTATATATACGTACTGACTCGAGCGCTTTTTAAAGAACCCAGCTCAAGACAACGGTAAGCAACTCACACCTATACAGCAAACCATATGCTAATCTCTCTATAGGTTACAAAGTGTAAGGAGGATACCGTTATCATTGTCACACAGCAGCTAATAGGCTGTGCTTCATAGGTACTCGAGCAACGGTGCGCAGATCAATCGACCCGAAGATGGGGAAATCGCGCAGTCAATCAAAGAAAATCTTGAACCCTGGCCAACAGCATGGGAGCCATTGCAGCCCGGCGAATACTTGCGCTCGGATTCCTACCAGCAACTGCTTCCCCACTACATGGATCGGGTTGGGAAGTTCATGGTGCGTTCTTGAACATCTATGCGGGTGACAACTCTGACGATGTCTTAGAAATCCACAGTAGCAAACTGGGAACCCCCAAAGCCATTTGTCTACACTCCTCTTCACGGAGTGGGAGGTCTGGTGCTTCCGGAGTTGTGCCACTCACTTGGAATCGACAACCACGCGTCTGTTGAAGCCCAAGAGAAGCCAGATCCAGACTTCCCCACTGTGAAGTTCCCCAACCCCGAGGAGAGTGGTGCCTTGGACCTTTCTATCGAGACTGCTGATAAACAGGGAAAGACTTTGATTATTGCGAACGATCCGGATGCGGACCGCTTTGCCGTAGCGGAGAAAGTAGAGTGAGTTCTTCTTCCTGCAGCCGTTGATTACCTATCGCTAATGTCTAATACAGTGACAAATGGCAATTATTGACCGGAAACCACGTCGGTGTTCTATTAGCATCTCATATCCTGGATTCCTATGATGCCGACAAAGATTGGTCTCACATCTCTGTCTTGACCACAACGGTCTCGAGCGGCATGCTTGCCAAGATGGCAGCTGCAAAGGGTATCCACTTCAAAGAAACCCTTACAGGTTTCAAGTGGATGGCCAATGTTGCCCGGGATCTTGAGAAAGAAGGGAAGACAGTTTCGTTTGCATACGAGGAAGCATTGGGGTACATGTTCCCATCCGTGTGCTATGACAAGGATGGAATTACAGCAGCCACAGTATTCCTTGCCGCAGAGGCGAAATGGAGATCACAGGGATTGACTGTGTATGCCAAGCTTCAAAATCTATTTGCGGAATTTGGCCACCATGAGACGTTGAACAACTATTTCCGATCTCCTGACCCAGAGCTCACATCGACATTATTCCAAGGAATCAGAGGGAGCTCTTGTCTTGCAGACATGAAGTTTGGCCATTTCAAGGTTTTGCGGTGGAGGGATCTGACGGAGGGCTATGACTCTAGCACTCCCGATAACAAGCCAGACTTGCCTGACGACCCAACCAGCCAGATGCTGACTCTGTGGCTCGAGGGCGGTGTTCGCTTCACATTCCGAGGATCGGGTACAGAGCCGAAGGTTAAATGTAAGTTTCCCTGGCTTTATTCGAAGAGCTCGTCCGCTAATATCGTTATCTAAAATAGTCTACATTGAAAGTTGTGGGGATTCTCGCGAAGATGCGGTCAAGGCAGTCTGCGATACTTTCCTTACTATTCGGGAGGAATGGGTTGAGCGTTTCACTCCTTCGATGTCATACAGCAAACAGCTTCCCACATCATCGGGTCATATCCTCACTGTGGAGTGAGAGGCGATAGGGACATGGAAGATGTGAAGAGCGAGAATATGTTCTGAAATGTCCAGTATTGAAATAACCACCTTGTTTGACTATCAAATCCCAATTTCAAGTTTCATATGTCTTCTACGATGGAGAGTTCGAAGTGCTAGAGCAAACATGATCAATGATACTGCAAGATGCAAGGCATTCAATGCCTGTGAAACACACCGCCCAAGATGCAGCCCGAAAGGTTATACGAGAGTGGAAAGGGAACCGATATATTGAGCGTTTTCGCTGGAAAGTAGTCTATGCTATTGAGAAAAAAATACTTTCCCGTGATTAGTACATCAATATAAGCGATGTTATTGATTCGATATATGTTGTGAGTTGTTAGTAGATGGCGAATACCCCGTTCAATCCCCTTCACCTAGCGCTCGACCTGGTTTTGATCGGTCCCGCGCCTCTCGTATGCAGAATCCAATTTGTTGCATCTAACGGTGCCTACGCGTCCCATAAGTGTCTCGTAAATCGTAAAACAGATGCCTCTGATTGTGCCGTCCTCCATAACTACACAGCCGTGGTACTGCGCCACGTTCAGGTGCGGCTCCCCTTCAAAATCTCGCAGGTCTTCACTTTTTCAATCCACGTCTCCTTAATAAGGGTTGGGTACCTGTGAGTGTAGGGTGATAGGCTTGGCTTCTTCAGAAACCATCTCGACCAGTGCGGTCCTGGATCATCAGCTTTGGTAAAGGAGTCCTGGAATTTGGGAAGACAGGGATTCTATTGGCACCATACAGATCGCTGGTCTGGACGTCCTGGGGCTTGTTTCAGATGTATCGAACGGATGCGTACGAGGACCACAAGAAGAAGCGGGTGTCCGCCAAGTTGCAATCAAAAGTGCTGCATGCAAGGCTTGTTTGTCTCAGGTCAGCCAATGCTTGTGCGAGGGAAATGAAGCATCAAGGTCATGAGGGACGTACATTCTGGGAGCCCGACTCCGATAGATTTGACATGAGGATATATGAATCAGTCTTGAGCTGGAATGTTCTCAGCCTCATGAAGTCCAAATGTGCCATAAATGTGTGCGCCAGGCCCAAGCTGGGCAGCATGTTTGTCCTTCACAATATAGAGATTCGGTGCATCAACAAAGTGATCGCTCTTGTCCCCGTCATACGCATCACATCCACCAAACTATACCTTACTTGAGTAGCGAGGACGATGGTTCCTTTCAACACCAACAGCGTGAAGCCGCAAGGACCAGAGACACTGTCCACACGTTTGACTGTCCTCGCCACGGTCGAGGAGCCGTTCGAGGGTAGGAACTCGTTTGATGCTTTTAAAATAATTCTCGCACGAGAACTTCTATCACTCACTAAGACCAATCTTTAGAAACGACACGAAACCAAAAGCTCCAGCTTGTACTCGACATCACGATAGCTGCCCCCATCATCGGCATGAACATCCATGTATCCATGCACGGTCTCGACCTCAACTATCGAAAACGAGCGAAGACGAAGGCTATGACTCCTATACATCCCAAACAAAAGTCCACAATAAATGTGCCCTCCATCCCCCCAAGATAGAACGCTATGACCAAAAATACTCAAGTGACACGCCCAAATACACACACCATCACGCTACCCCACTAGTCTCAGGTGCTTGTGCTCGTACTACAGTGCACACATCGCATACAAATGGAGGTCGGAGTAATATTAAGTGTGTCAGGTTCAGCGACGAAGAGATTTCCAGAACCATCAGCTCGCTTTACTCCACGCATGGATCTCAATCTTCTGCAGATCACTTGTGTTATACATCTCAGCAGTACGCCCGGCCACATCCAGCAAAAGACTCAAGTGAACCAAGACCTTGTTCCAGGACGGTGTGGGGTCCTCCACCACCCGAGACATATTCAAGAAAATACGAGAGGGGCTTCGGATCGGGACATTAAGTCTTGCATTTGAGATGGAATTACGTTTTGTCAACAGGCTGCAGCCTCCACTCATTTTTGTGTACCGTTTTCCTTCCTTGATACTCCGAGATAACTTCAGTGCCAGTTATTAAGAGAATTCCGCCCTCGCTAGAGATTGATAAACAAGTCATATTGTAATACACTAAATCGAGACGCTATTTCCCCCGATTAAAGCAGAAATGCAGGCGAAGGCTCTACCGCCAAGTTGCACTTGCAGTAGCCGTGGTGCCTGAGCAGCCAGTTGGTACAGTATAGCTCCGGTTAGGGTCACTTTCCCAGACAATGCTGCCGTCCGACTCCTTCTTGATGAACTTGTATTCAAAAGTGGTACCGACGGGGAGGGAAATAGTGGTAGTCCACAATGGGTTAGATGATGTATACGAGCTTGCAGAAAGAGCGATCGCAGACGAGGTAGACCAAGAGCCCAGTTGGCTAATTGAACCGACGACATAGACATCCTCGCCATATGTAGTAGTGACCAGCTCATTGAAGGTTACTGCGACAGATGTAGCAGCAGTGCATGTTGTCGAGGAAGCAGTGGTGCTCGTCTTGGTAGCAGAAGTTGTTATAGTCGAACTAATAGAACTAGTGCTTGAAGTTGATCCAGACCCGGATCCTGAAATGGCAATGTCGGCACAGTGGAGATACACCTGAGCGGTCTGGAACGAGTTCCACCTGAAGCGAAGCAGAGTGTGATCCGAGCTGTAGTCTGGGATCTTGATTTTCTTCGTGACTGTATAGCCGCCGGCAATAGTCGTCTTGCAGGAGTTCAAAGCAGCGCCATCCACGCCCTGGCAGCCGCGGTTGGAGTCGGCGTTGAATGCATTGCAAGTAAACCAATCATTGCGGTAACATGCCTGATCAGAGGTACAGTCAGGATTATAGCCACAGCTCTGTCCATCAACATCGGTACATTTCAGTTCACCATCCAGGAAGCAATCCTCGGCGGCTTGTTTCTCCTCCGTCGTTGGGAGATATCCTGGGGTCAGAAACAAGTCGACTAAAGTTTGATTCTGGCAGACGCCGTAGGTAAACATGCCACCGTGATCTCCATTGTTATCAACACACCATTGCACTTCAACGATATCGTTTGCAGTATACGTGGCAACCACGGAGTTGCCCCAATAATCGCCGGGTTGGTTGTAGTCCACGCTAACCCGGGCATTGTATCCACATGGTCCGCTGCGGCCAACCTGTGCTGCTTCCACATCAGGCCACGCAGTGACGGGTTCAAGAATAGAGCATTCAGGGCAGGTGTCAATGCCAGCCTGACGATGTTAAGTTAGCACTCTAATGTCATAAACTTGTCCTCCAGGACCATACCTCAAATCCCAGGCGTGTACGACTTGAAGGGATGGTCAAGTATCCGTGAGCATTGACCGATGTTAGCAAACCTGTCAATGCCAGAACACTTGTGGTCTTCATATTGTCGAGATGCGCTTTTTCGAAGGGGATTCAGAGACTGGTTGTGACATGCTCAACGCGACTATACCGTCCCCTTTTATATTGATTTTGATATGGACCTCTATGTACTGTATGCTCGGTTAAGAATGCATTCCATAGACGAACAAGCCTAACAGCCATTAACATCATGGTCCTAGACCCAAACCCCATTGTGGAAAAGACCGCCGGGCTGAAAATCTCGGCATATCTTGGCACTTCTGCTCGTGTCTATATATTTCATGCTGAATTCCAGTGATATTGTGCCAAACCCGATAATTATCCGCTCACAATCAGCCATGTGGACAAGACTAAGGAGAATCAGTGTTAGGTCTACGCCAGTTTCTTGAATGATCAGTGACTCGATAAGCCGATGAATCTCCGCTTCCCCGCATATGCTAGTTTAGCGAGGCCCCGTGAAGAATCAGAGAATGGGAGAGTCCTCCAGTTGGTTGGTTGAGCGACGCTAGAGTAGGAACCGAGATGAAAGGCGTAAGATCCTTGTCCAGGCGGCGCGGAGTGTTAATGTATCATGGAAATTCGGCAGGGTAGGGCGACGACGGCGTTCGGAATTCCCGCCTACCCAGGCTTCCGGGGTGCATGAGGACACAAATCCTCCGAGTGATTTTGGAATAATTGTCTGACTGAAATATATGTATCTTAGGCAGACAGAAAAATTGGGTGCGAAAGGTGTTATTGCTGTCGATTTATAAAATTCAAAGTCATGCGTGCAAGAATTGGATGTGAACATTAGACAAGAACACCCTTGGCATATATTGTGTCCTCGAAATGCATAATTAACGCATGTACCGTGATGCATAAACCTATTCTACTTTTGCATTCCCAACGTTCTGCTTATCTTGGGCAGTGGAGTTTCATACATGTATAGACATCTAGTCAAAGCACTGCGAGTGAACATCACCACTTTAATTTTACTAAGAGAAAACAAGTAAAACCACACCAGCTAAAGAAAAAAGTATATGAAGTACAAGGCATAAACCCATATACTCCCTTCTAGGTGCGTGGATCTCGTGAGGCAGTTCAGATACTCTCTGCGTGTGGCACTGTGTACACATTTGTACCCCACATTACACATGCGTTGCTAAGCCTCTCTAACTTATGTTTCAGAGTTAAAAAAGTTAAAAAGAACATTGAGATATTATCCCACTTTAGATGGCTTATCAAGGAAGAAGACCGTTATTCAACGTCGCAATATACCGCCAAAATATCTTGACATCACCTCGCCTTCGTCGGCTGCAACATGCTGACGATGGAAGGCTTTGTTTTGTCTTTGTAAGAGCGTCGCCACCACCGCAGCTCATTCGGTATCTTGACCAGCTCGTCTATAGGAGAGGAACTGGTACGAACAGGGTGAAGACGGGTTTGATAGCCGGTTTCCCACGGACCTCACGAAAGGCCACCAATATCGGAACTCAACCCAGCCCCGGTGTGCTTCTGCAAGAAACCATTGGTGCTTCGAATAGTAATGTATTATACACACAACTTTGTTTTGTGTGTGTACGACGACTCGAATATGATGACTCCGCAATTCAACAAACCCTTCTGACGTGTAACAGGCAGTCCTGGGCGAAGATGCCATGACAACCTCAGTAAGTCTGCAGTAGACAATCATATGGGATTAGAATCTCCACTAGCCTAAAAAAGACGTCACTGGGCAAGTTGTTCACAGGTCGAATGAATGGAGGTTGTCATTATAATTCCGCTTTCCGGGGTATCGAGCGGGCCGGCCCGGGGAGTTTCTATCCACTCCGGTGATGTCACTTGGACTTGAAACGTGCTCGGGGGTTCTAACCAGGCACGCATGTGTTTACCTAGAGTATATTTTTGTGTGACACGACAAAACAAAAGCAAGCATAAGGTGCACAGCTTACGATACAGGCGAGGAACCAAAAAGCCAGACAGGCGGAAGGGGAAGTGTGGCTCGAAAAAGAAACGACTGAAAGGCGCGAGAGGTAGAACGTCCGAGTCAGATCCGATACTTCGTTATAGTGCTGGTGGCGGTAGCATATTGCGCTGCCTACGGTACGCAAGGATAAACCAGGGGCCTCGCGTGCAATGACAAAACATGCGGCACCCGCGTCCTCGATGCCTTCGGCCGCAAAGAATCATTGCTACGCCGCTCTTTGCCTCAGATGTCGTACCACATGCAATACCACCACTATAAATCTGGCGAGCGGCTCGGCCATATTGAAGACTCCTCGTAGCCACGCACACGGCCGATCCACCGCGCTCATCTCCAGTATTAATCGAAGAACCCGTCCCCAAGAAATACCTGCATTTGAAAAAGCATCTTGTTCTCATCCACCCCAACACTAGCCCAGACGCCGTGACATACACTCTGCATTATTTTGAGGACGGCGCTACATAGGGCTGATATCATTATTGGATGCGATGGCATCAAGTCCCGGGTCCGACGCGAACTAGGCTTAGTTGACTCGCCCAATTATTCCGGTCGGGTCATCTACCGTGGCTTCGTCAAGTACAAGGATTCGCCCGAGGATACTGTGAATCTAATTTTCTGTGTCTGCCTATCGGCAACCCGGCTACTCAGACTGGTCGTGTCGGTGTGATTTGGTTTATGTCTGAGTTCCCTCCGTTCCTGGGATTCTGAAAACGGGATGTCCAGGACGGAAATTGGGACTCTCCCTCATCGGGGTATATTCATAACATGTTCATTTACTGACATTTGCTGGTAGGGTGTCTGCATGGCGATTGAATCTGGCATTGCACTGGCCATTATTCCTGCGCACTGGAAAGGGGCTGACCTACCGGTTGCATCCCAAATCTATTAGGATCTACGTAAGCCCGCCACTGATTGGGTTACGAAGACCAGCTTTGAAGCTGGTAGACTTGCAAGCTCAGACGAACTAGATCACTTGAATCACTTGAGCGACAAGTTCAACCCGGAGGTCCTGATGGAATGTATGAAGTGGATCATGGAGTACAACGTTCTCGATGACCTGAAAGTCAAGGGTGCACATTACGTGGAATCCCGTGGGTCTCGCATTTAACAAAACCTGACCATCGGTGGCGCAGATATTCAACATATATGTCTGGCCTAAGCTGGGAGGATGGGCTGCATCTCTATCTACGAATGAACTTGCGAATATGTGCCGTCGACCGATATGTATGATTGAGCCTTGAGCCGTGGTTTTGTTTGCTTTTAGTTTGTCTTCAAAATTCGTGCATTAATGGTAGAAGCTCTATGGTATAGTTATTCAAGCAATATTACTGGCACACTTAATACGTTTTATTGTTCCTTCGCTGATATATCTCATATTGCATGAACCCAGCTGTACATTTCAGCTAAACGAGCCAAGTGGGGATAACAGTTTTAGTAGATAAGGTATTTAAATTACTGTAAAAATGAGAGTGACTATCACTGTTGGGTGGGATAGGCCTTTTCATCGCAGTTACGGTGTCCGTCCTTGGCACTGTTCTGTCGGGGCCCGCGGACTCCATGGGATGACCAACCATTCCCCGCTTTCTAGATCGATTCCAGACAATTGACACTTTGCTTCATAATACGAGTGTGTAAGTATTAATAATTCTATACGAAGCTTGCTAATCAGCCTTTGGATCAATTTCTGTGGTAAAGTCGAGAATATGACCATCCAGGCAAAATATTCACCGTGGGTTGCCTATTTCGGCTATGGCCGACCCTGTTTCTCCACCTCAGTATATTTCTATCGATTACTATAAAACCTGCTGAGCCCTCTTCCAATATTTTGATTTCTTTTGTAAGCACATCTTTGTTCTGACACCTTGCTTAGAGTCACTCATATTTCCTTTCTGTCCATTTGCTCACTCTTTATCTTTTCTTTTCTTTTACGAAGTACTCGGTCCGTTAGGTCCGGTGTTGCTCGCCCACCTCGAAACCATATCCATTGTGCAACCCGAAGGTCAATTTGCCAACATGCGCCTAGCAATTGCAGGATCGGGTGACTTGGCCTGTTATCTCGTCGAAGAGTTCACCGCAAAGGGCCACGATGTGGTAGTGTTATCTCGCAGCCTGAAGCCTCGGTTCAATGGTCTGCCAAAGGTGACGCAAGTGGTAATTGACTATTCGGTTGAATCAATTGTCAATGCGATCTCGGACTGCGAAGCCATGATCTCCACGATCCTCGACTATTCAGAGGGGTTTGTACATGTACACCTTGCCCTAATCGAGGCGTGCAAGCAGAGCCGCCTCTGCAAACGATTTATTCCCTCCGAGTTTGGTGGCAACCTTGAAACACACCCTGAGCAGCCCGAGTTTTACTTCCGCACACGCGAGCCTGTGCGGAAGATGCTTCGTGAGCAGACCGAGTTGGAATGGACTTTGGTTTCCGTGGGCTGGTTAGTCGATTACGTCGTCCCGGCAAAGAATCGGTATCTCAAGGACATTGGACCTGCGTTCCCGATTGACGTCGCCAATCAAACAATGGTCATACCTGGTACTGGAAGAGAGCCGGTCAATATCACATGTGCCCGGGATGTAGCAAGGAGTCTTCTCGCTTTGTTGGAAAGCGCGAAGTGGGACAAATACACCTACATCACGGGAGAGAAGACATGCTGGGAGGACGTTAGCCGCACTTTCACCAAGAAGTATCCTGCTCTTTCTATATCCTATAAAGATGTAGCGAAAATAGAGCAGGAGGCAATGACGGAAGGAGATGACGCTATCTTCGCTGAATACCAACTCTTTTCTGTCACGGGAGCAGCTTGCTTCGATGATGCCACGGTCCGGGACCAGAGAGAGAGGTTTTTCCAAGGGATTCACTTCCGCAAAGTCCACGATCTCCTTGAAGCCGTTGATAAGGACAATCAGGTTATAGTTTAATTGTTTTCTAGAGGCAGCATAGCTAGAGTTCAATATAAGGCTTCTTTCCTAATTCATCATCTGAACTAAAGCCGCTGGCTAACTCAATACAGCTGCTAAGGCCTCCTCGTGCTCCCCGCAATTGATGAGTATTAACATTCCATGGGTGAAGTGCCAATATGCAAGTCGTTTTCAAATACCAGAGGCCCCCACTAGTCGAACTGGTGAACTGTCATGATTTGGATCTTAGCTAACTGAAAAAAAGTGGAAGATACCATAGGGCTGTCACGCATAGATTTTACACATAGAATAATCGCCGAGATGATGGGCTTTTAGAAACCCGGATTTTTCTCAAGACTCGGCTTTAGCTGTTCCAGCGGAATCTCCTGGGTTAATAACGATAGGATGCTGGTTGCAAGAAACTATGTTGTTGAGGTACGGCGATTAGGAGAAGAATGAAAGTATCGAACCCATCTTGAAGGATTATGGTTGATCTCCTGGTGGTAGGCATCTCCAAGTCCAAAATGCTAGTTATATCTGCCGTGTGACCGTTTGAAGATAATCAACAATGGCTAAAATAAGCTCAGCGGGGAGATCCAATAGACATCCCAATACCGTCCCTTTTGCAGACCAAGGACTCTGGAGATAAAACAGTGTCTACAACTATTGTATTGCACAAACGAAGGCTGGAAAAAAAGATGATCGATTTTCACCTTGTTAGACCTTCTAACCTTTCGAGTACCCAGGGATCCAAACAAATACCACGAACCCCAAAGAAGACTAGCTTATCATTACAGCGAAGGTCACAAATGTGTAGGCAGGCACTGACAGTGTCCCTCAGTGAAGTATTTGGACTCTGCATTGTTCATGCATTATTTTATTTTTAGTTTTGCTTTCAATTTTGTGCTCCCATTTGCCCATCTTCCAGCTGTAAAATTAAAGCAGATATGTTCATTGGCGCATTTCTACATAGTCTTCTAGTAATTTTAAGAGGCTCTGTATGCAGTTGGTGACTACGGGACTCAACAAGGCCTTGATTATTGTCTCTTATTTCTAACCTGGGCGACATCTTGAAAGTCCCCGACCTTCGAGCCAATGACATGATATTTCAATTTATTAGGAACTGCATTGGCGATACAAAACAATGACGAACCAGTTTCGAAAATGAGATATCCGGTGTTGTTCCACTACACCCTAGGACAACTTTGATTTGACAAAGGCTATGGCCTGCGATCCGTACTCGGCTCCATAGCCCTGGTGGGTTGCGGCGTTACTGCCGTTGCAGCAGTACGGATCGGCAGCATCACAGTACGACTTGATCTTACTAGCCGACGGGCATGAGAAGCCAGCGGGACGTGCGTCGAACTAAATTTAACCATCAGCCCCAGTTTTTAAGAATGTGGAGGTATGGGGCAAAAGACTTACACCTCCTGCAGCGCATGTTCCAACATCGTATGATAAGCCAGCCTTGAACAGCGGGTCGCCCATAAAGATTGCTGCCTTGATCATGTTCACAGCGGAAGACGACAACGGGATGGCAGTGTTCGTGTAACCTTGGTTAGGGACACCGCCGCCGCACAAAGCCGCGTCCATGATTTCACCACCCTGTAGCAGAAATCAAGCCATGTCAGAAGATTTCAATTGCGGGTTGAATGACAATTCTCGTCACTCACCTGGGAGTATCCAACTAGAACGAGCTTTGTCTGGGGACACTGTGAGTTGTACGCATTCACAGCCGAGGCGACAGCTTTAATTCCTTGAGCAACTGAGCTGGAATAGCTCACCCCTCCGCAGGAGGATTGTCCACCACATGCAGGGTAGCTGATTGCCTCGGAGGTGGAGCCTGAATAGGCACTCAGAATACCATTGACAACTGTGATAGATGAACCGTAGCCAGGAGAAACACTGGTCTCGCGAGCACCGAAGACATGAACGCCAGGGCAGCTACGCTTCTCAAGGTCGACTTCGAGTGGAACAGCGAGGCTGCTGCTGAGAAGGAGGGAGAGTGCGACAAGATTGAAAAACATTTTTGTGATACGAAAGTCAAACAATGCAATGTGTTATCGTGATGATGGCTCTGCGGTAAATTGAATGTTCAAAAGAACTCAGAGGATCTTTTAAAGAAGCGTCTGGTCCAGGAAATAAACGCCGTTCCTTGTTTCCGCACGGTGCTATAATCAGGGTAAGTAGCGTCTTCCCCTGGTCCGAAGACAGAGTCTTGCCTAAGATCCAAAAGGGTTTGAAGTTTCAATCGAGTGTACAGGACCATGTGTCAAGTTTAGCCGGGAAGTTATAGCAACACCAAAATTAGCCTGAAACCATTGACGTTTCGGCGCAGGCCGGCAAGAATGTCTTAGCATAGATGGTCGGTCTGCTTCAGGCTATTGTACTCCTTAATGCGACACGTACCTAGACTTGATCCCGGAGCTCCCCCGCATTATTCAGAGTAATTAATTCGCAGATCCTCCCGAATGGGGAGTCGAAGACTTCTGGGTCCGGCTGATCTGGTGGAAAGGATGATTCTCTGGTATGGGGTCAAACTAATTATTATCTTGCCCTGGATGTAGGTATCGAGATAGAAGCAAGAGTCTTTGCGGGGATCAGTATAATGCCGACCGAAACGAGTAATATCAGAATTAAGACGCAACAACGTTACAGCAGAGGACACATTCGCAAATCTGCTTAGAATGTTGTGTGATAAACAAATGCCCGGCCCTTGCGTGTGATGTGTTGGGAAATGAGAATAAGGAATTCTAAGTCCCAAGATGATCGAATGGAGCGCGGACCTACGTCTATGGCCTTCAAGGTTTCTAGGTCACATTTTGTCTATCTAAGAAAGTAAACAAGCTTTCGAAACAGAGTTACGTTGCATACGACCCACGTTCATTCATTTTTTTGTTGTTGAGGGAAATGAAGCAGGAGAAGAAGAATCATGGTACCTCAGTGAAACAGGCAGCTTCTTAGCTAGTTGCCCTTTGCCTAGCGCTAATAACGGAGTCATAGGCGATAAGACACGCATCACAACAGAAAGAGCATATATCTCCTCCTCCCAAACTCTGAAGAGACCTGAGGCCCGTAGCAACAGACTAGTATCGTGTCTGAACTTAAAAGTGGACATTTGCCTAAATGCATGTACAGCTCTGTCGGTGCTTCTACTATATGCGTTACTCTCTAGGTGGGGATGGTTTCGGTTTGGAACAGGGATGATTCCAAGTGATAATCCCTCAGCGAATTATTAAGTAGAGTTTGGTTTCGCTTAACGGAACTAATATCATGCAGGGCTATAAACTCCACCAAGCTACCAAAGTGAGTATGAAGGGTTCCCCGCGTCGGCGCATTGACAGGGGTTACAGGGGTGTCAGTCGAGTCGCTAAGCACATGGTCTCTTTTCATGTGGTGAAACAAGTTAAAACAAGGTACCCGTACACGCCAAGCCTCGGATACCACTGTTATTAATACGACGGAGGATAGAGTCATATTTGCCTCGAAGCCACTTAGTTTTGAGGCGCCAAGCAAAATCTAGGCTAATACCGATGCTTCCTTTGGAGTAATGAAGTTAGGAAATATCCATGATGTACGAATGACAGCGCTTGGTGCCAAGATACCAGGGTCCGGGATAAATCAGCACTTTCTACGCTAGAAAGGCCAGCAAGTAAATGCTTCGCCCGTCCGCAATTCATGGCTTGTTTTAGAAACAGCGAGTTCCTTGGCTTTATTATAAGAGATATCGGATCTTTCCTTCTGGTTATTCACTGCTCTTTCCAACCTTGAATATCCTTCTTCTATTTTCCTCTATTTCAAAAAATCGGAAGAAACCGAAAATAACTATTTTACAAGATGGTTCATCTCAAGGCCATTGCCGTGGGTATCATTTTAGCGGGTCATGCATCTGCTGGAGCTATTGGGACCCGCCAAGCCTCTGTTAGTATCAATGACAAGTTCAAGGCCCATGGGAAGAAATACTTGGGCAACATTGGTGACCAAGGAACCTTGACCAAAAATGACAAGAACCCAGCCATCATCAAGGCGGACTTTGGTCAATTGACTCCTGAAAATAGCATGAAGTGGGATGCTACTGAGCGTAAGTGAGCTATTCGCGAAACTGAAACATTGAAAGCTCATTTAAAATTCAGCTTCTCAGGGACAGTTCTCATTCACAGGGGCGGACTATTTGGTATTCAAACCCCATTCTTCACATCTGGTGCTTTTGGTTTAGATTCTCACACACTTCAGGTTGACTTTGCCTCGTCAAATGACAAATTGATCCGAGGTCACACTCTTGGTAAGTTTCTCAAACTTCCATTAAATTCTCGAGAAGAGGAACTGACCGTCTCTCTTCAAGTGTGGCACTCCCAACTGCCTACTTGGGTCTCTTCGATCACTGACAAAACCACTCTGATCGACGTGATGAAGAACCACATCACAACTCTGATGACTCGGTACCAGGGCAAAATTTACGCTTGGGTAAGTTGTCAAATTATAACCCAACAGATACATGAATTTTCATGCTGCTAACCAACATCAGGATGTTCTCAATGAAATTTTCAACGAGGATGGTACCTTGCGACAAAGTGTTTTCTACAACGTCATTGGCGAGGACTACGTGCGGATCGCTTTCGAGACGGCTCGCGCTGCAGACCCAAGTGCCAAACTGTATATCAATGATTACAAGTGAGCGCCTGGGCACCCCTTAGGGTCTTGATAACAAGAAGCGCTGACTACGACTAGTCTCGACACTGCCTCATATGCCAAAACGACCGGCATGGCGAGCCATGTCAAGGCTTGGATAGCTGCCGGCATCCCGATCGATGGAATTGGTAGGTGCATTGCCACTTTGGCGTATCTTACATGCTTGCTGACTTTACCCGAAGGATCTCAAACTCATTTGAGTGCTGGTGGTGGTGCTGCAGTCTCTGGATAAGTACACCTTGATTTTGTGCAGAGCGGAGCTCTGGCTTACAACCCTAAACAGCTCTCGATGTGCTGGCCAGTGCTGGAACTGATGAGGTCGCTATCACTGAGCTTGACATTGGTGGCGCCAGTTCTACCGATTATGTTAATGTAAGTTCTGCTAAATATTGATTAGAGATGTGCTAATTAAACTTTCCTGCAGGCTGTCACTGCCTGTCTAAATCAACCAAAGTGTGTCGGGGTCACAGTTTGGGGTGTTGCAGATCCCGTAAATGACCCTTGGAGCTACATTTCAAATAAATACATACTGACTCTCATTTGCTTTAGGATTCTTGGCGTGCCGAATCTACTCCTCTGCTCTTTGATAGCAACTACAACCCAAAAGATGCATATAACGCCATTGCAGCTGCGCTCTAGATGGAAAATCCCAAATTTGCCATGACCTAAAAACACATTTTCTATATCATCTATATCACGCCACAAAGAAAAGAATGGTCGGATAAAAGGTGACGAGTTGATAGATGGCATTTAGCTAGTGGAGTGATCAAGATTATACAAACGCGATTTTAAGTGCGTATGCATTGGACAGTCACACGAAAGCTTCGAAGCAAGTGTACCGTTTCAGTTATTGTTTTTGCCCATTTTCTAGTGCCTCGGGTTGTAGTTCTTTAGAAATGGTATTTTATAAAGGTGGGGGTGCGAAAAGACTTGTGGCCTATGGCTGTATCTTGTCCCTTTCAAAACGATCGTGGCCTTCGTCAAGTATTGCTTACCGTCTTATAATGTTAGTGGCTTTAATTGGGCCATTCAGCCTCATGGTCTGCATGATTGAGATTCAATGATCTCTTTAAGAAGTACGGCTATCAAACTACCGGCTGGAAGTGGTTTTTGGAGAAGAACAAGGTCTTGCTTTGAGGATTTGGGGGGGAATTTCTAATTATTGAGACATAACTGAGCAACTATAAGACCCGGGATTGCAGTTGTACCAGCAAGACACAAGAAAAGATCACTAGCAGCAGGGGCGCCACCAGTATAGTCCGAACTCATGTTGATATCTGAAGTAGAATATGAGCCCATGTGGGCGCTGATAGGAGGGAGGGAGAGCGGGATCAATTCTGAGCTCATAGAATGTAGCTAGCAAGATTGTACTGGCCAAAGCGATCACTGAAATTCTTCCATAGAAACGTCCTTTGATGTGACTCAAGATACAGGCGAGAGGCTGATAGCCTCAGCCATAACGAAATCAAGCATTTACATGGCTTCATCATAGATCTCCGCTTGATAAGTGTTAATGGTGAACTCCGCCTACTCACTGTTCTGGTTGGTCCGTAAGAACGTAAACTTATAGCTGTCTGTTGTCACCCCGTACACGGTAGCATATCGGCACGGTTCGCTTGCCTTCCGTTCCTGATGAACCGTAGCTTTTAGAGATTAACTATTCTGCAAGCGAGTGGCCCCTGTAAGCGAGTGGCCCAGTTGGAACACCTGATATACGAAGTACATTCAAGAGCTTATATATATAAGATTTGTTTCAGATCCACTAAAGTTGGAGATTTGATTGATCGTTGGGCACGACGCTTTTGTCTTCTTCCTGTGGAATTCGGACAGAAATCAATCCAACATCATCGAGCGCCTCTCCACTCCACATAATTGGAACACGGCCCAAATTCTTATCTCCCTCACGTTCTGCATATTCAGCGATCTCATGGCCCCCTCTCGACGCACCAACCACTAGCATTCGAGTATCCAGATAATCAAAGGCTGGTAGCGCCCTCCACCCTTGCATGCGGATCGCTTCAGTGACCACCAGAATTATGATCACAACAGTAATGCTTGCACTTGCAATGATATAATCCCGTGATCCAACACGGAGAGCTTCGACGTATACCACAGTCGGCGCGGAAATTGTAAATCCGCTCACCTGCAACTGCGCAGATGCATAGGCAACAAGCATGTCGTCGATATAAGATACTATCGCATTTTCGACGCCTTTTAAAACAATCTGTGAATATGTCATCGTTCTATTTGTGGTCGCGTTGTTTGTAATAGAGGTCCGATAGTCGCTGATGCTAGCGTTAAAGGCATCACCAACAGTCGAGCGGTAGAAACTGGTCTGGTCATTGGAAATGAGCTCCAATTGACGCATTAACACGTGCGTCATATTGCCGTTAGGGTCAATGTTGGAGACTTTTCCAGATTCGGAAAGCGAAATCTTGTAGATAGTGATGTTGCGGTTGCTCACGTCGACAGAGACATTAAAGCGGGTTGGGGTAAAGCTCACAGCGCACTGGACTTGATCAAGATGTTCATAGGCCTCACCCGCTGCTATAGCCATATATCGGGTTGGAGTTGCCCATGTGATAGGTTGAGCCGCCACGCCAATCGCGACAATTGCGCTGGTGCCATAGCCTATGTAGGTGGAATACTCGCGGCTGGTACTATCTGGAAGATATCCCACGACGGGATAGAAATTGTCGGCGCTCTGCGATTTTAGGGCAAAATCTGAGCTACTGTTGTGGATGCAGGAGACAGAGGATGCGAGAGCCACCTCACTATACGTATAGTTGACTGCGTGAGGGATATTGAGAACAGACTGATCATTGAGACCGGCGCTTGCACCTGCTCCATATGACCGGCCATGATAGTTGTAGCGTGTATTGTCGAGCTTATTGTGGTTGCGAATGCTGCCATCAACCGTTGAGGCTGAGTTGGCTGACGCAAGAAGAGATCCTAGGAGGCCCATGCCAACCGAGTAGGTGAAGTATCCTTTAGTGTTCCGAACAGACGGGCCAGATGAGTCGATTTGGCTAGGGTATTCCTTGATAAGTGTAATGTTGGACCAGTCAGGAATTTGAATTGTGGTATTCTGGGTGTTCAAGGTGTTCACTGGGGTGAGAGCACCAGCCCATATGGCAGAGAAAGCGGTATGTAGATTGCTGAGGAAGAGAGTGACGACGATCGTCCAGATCGGATGGCTCCAGTTTACTGTCGGAGTCGAAAGCGCCGACCAGAATCCAAGTTTGTTTAGTGATACTGGGGCTTTTGTGAAGGAAATTCGGGTTGCCAGATTAATCAGGCGACAGAGTGCAAAGACCTCGATAGCTGCCAGGGCAGCAGAGATGACTTGAACCGCTGTTTGAACAGAGGAGCGCCATTTGTTGACTATGTTATAAAGATTCCCCGGCAAGATCCAGCTATCGACATCGCCGTATAGAAGCAGGATACTGAGTGTCAAAGGCATCAGAAGCAAGATAAGTTGGAGACTGAATAAAAGGCGCTCGCCACAGCATCTTTGTTTGCTTTGCTCCGGGGTATTATCCTCGTCCGCTGTTTTTGCTCGGACGAAAGAATGCTGGTTATCGACGAGCATGGTTGAGAAGCAGGAATCTGGGGAGTTGAGATGCTAGAACGAAACAAAATGTTATGCAGATCGGCTGGAGCACACTTAGTCTGTATATATTTAGCCCCTAAATGAGCCATGTACTGTCAATGACCAAGCCTTTCTTACAAACAATGCCGCTTGCGTATTGACTACTACTACCCCATCCTGTGACATATAAATAGGTTGGGATCATAATGTATAGTCTACAGTAGATCTACCAATTAGGAGGGTTCAAAAAGGAGCCCTATTATCGGGCGACACACCTACCAACAATGGAACCACCGCTAATAATATAAAGAGCAAATATCGCTTCTTGTGTTAAATTGTGAGGTGTGTAAGCGCCGCGCTTTCTGCATTGCAGCCCGCCTGCATGTGCCAAGGGATCTGTTGTTTCAGGTGGCACCAGGCATCCAATAATATTGAGTTTTGCCTCATGGGGTCTGCTTAAGCGCCCAGCAGGGTGCGCTAGTCAATGCATACCAGATGCCAGAGTCTCCAGGCATGAATATCTTATTGCCAAAAAAAAACCCAACCCCATGATCTACACGCGACCGATATTTCCAATGATATATCGATATTTATGTTGAAGTCATCAACTAACAGACGCTCCGAAAACTGTTTCCGAATCTGAGTTGTTAGATACACATAGACCAGGTATCAAACCTAACACCAAGCAATTCGTCCAAGAACGAACCCCTCATGGGATGATTGGCAGAAAGATCTCGAAACGTTTCCAGTGGAACCATTTATCCCTGCTTCTTTGATGATTTCAGAGATTCCAGAGCTCGTGTTGCTGGACCAATGGGCCAAGCAAGATCGTTTGTGGGATCATCGTGCACTTTACCAGCCGTAACTAGGTCCACAATTGCGACCGCGACATAGCCGCCAATGGCAGTGAAGATATGCCACCTGTTTCTCGTAATTAGCGATACGGGGCTATCGCATATATAACCAAATGTTGAAGAACATACCAGCCGTGGAGCTCAGTGAAGAATGCCAGGGGCAGCCCAACTAAGTGCCGAGTTTCGGTCAATATCCCACAGGCCCAATCGTCAATTAGCCACACAATATAACCAAAAGCGAAAGAAGCTAGAGTTGTCAGTGATTCTATAATCTTCTCATCTAGGCGGACGGGATGTCTTAGGAGGCGGAACATACAAGAACCAAAGAATGCGATGTTGCGGATCTTTTTCCTGATCAAAAGATCTGGCACTTGTTGAGCGATAATTTTCAAACTTTCGGTCGCGATCAGGTATACTGCGATCCCGAAACTCACAGCGTGAAGGATGAATTCGTCCATGACGATATGGATCACCATCACCAAAGTGAAAAGGGTAAGAAGGATAAGTCCGACTATCCTAGTCCGTTGTGGACTAGCATTGAAACTAAGAATTCGATACAGAAGAGGTGTGGTGAGAAGGTGCATCGACAGTTCATCCGCTTGAGTCGTAGAGTTAGAGGGTGCTATTGATGAATGAAGATGACGGGAATCGGGAACACCAACACATCTGTGTGTGATATTTGAGAGTCATATGATAGCCTCCTGAGCAGACGCCAACTCCAATCAATCCATAGTATGAGATTGATCGAAGGCCACCAGACTGCTGCTTTTGAGCGAGCTTTCTGAGGCCGTAGATACCGTAAATTACTAGACGAAATTGTTAATTAAGCTTGGCATGTTTGAACTTAGTGTACTCACTAAACACGAAGCTACTGAATGTGTTTATAAACTCCGCGACGAATCGTGTCACTACATAATCCTTTTAGGCAAATCAGTGGACCTTTCTAGAAGGGTGACGTGTGACAGGGATGTACCTCTTCGCAGAAACTAGAATGAGTTAGTATTGCAGGACTTGACGGAGGAACCTAACATACTTCAGGTAAGAGGTTTGGGTTCCCCAAAAGGGAGCAACCACGTAGCGATCCATCGTGTAAGAAGTAGAGAGTGTCAACCTGGGACTCTCCAAAGCCAGAAACCGGGTTGCCGGTGACGGTCGGCAAAAAAGCGGTAAACAATGGCTGGATAAGCCTTGCCGGATGTTCCCGCGTTTAGCCCCTAAACACCTCGGGGACAAAGCCTTCGTATCTTTTTTCCCAACTCGAGTGGTCAAATATTATCGCTGGTGGAGGGGAAATTATTTTGGTCCTTGTTGAGGATCGAATTTTCGAATAACTAATGGCGGTATTTAAGGGCCAGTCTCATCGCGTCTATATTCTTATATGCTGCACGAATTCAAAAAGGACGCAGCTAGACTGAATTCATGCATGCTGCTTCTGAGCGAATGAAAACCGCACATGGCCACTACGGCAGAACAACGAATTGAATCCGCCATTTTTACATCCTTTCACGCTTACATAGTTAACCCACCAGTTTTAAATAACTACAACCTAAGCCACTCGAAAATGGTCAAAAAAGAGGTGAAAAAAGAGAGGTCGAAATAGAGCGAAAATATGCATAAAATGGTATACTTTTCGGTACAGACCACTAATGTACCTACATGGTGTGGTTGTCAAATGTCCCTTGGCCTCCAACTAGCTCAACCTCCAAACTAAGAGCCCCTCGTTTCGATGCCTTTCCCTTTAGATGGCACACCAGACGCATAAATATCTGCGACTATACCCTATGGTACGGGGATCAGTCCATCTCAAAGGCCATCAATCTGATAATCGTGGAGGCAAAGAAGGGCTTTTCTGAGACAAAAATAGCCCAATGCCTAGGCGATATGGGTATTTTTCTCGAATTTATACCTTTCTAACTGTCTAATCTCTAAAAGCTATCGTTCATCAGGAACGGAAGGCAAGCCGACCGTGCCGAAGTGCTACCGTGTACGGGGGTGGTAACAGACAGTTACAAGTTTACGTTCCTACGCATCAACCAGAATAGTGAATAGGTGGAGTTCACAATTAACACCAAGGGGAGACTTATGACGGAGTTGTGTCAACGCCCGCCTTTATCATGTGTGAGGCAATTAGCCTCTCGCCATGTACATCCCGAATCGCATCGAAGGGTGTCTCAATGGAGGAATTCCAGTGATCGCTTTCGCCACCACAACCTTGCTGACGTGCCAGAAAGGGAACCGTACCGGCGAGCCCTGGAAAAACCCAAGCTCACGTGGCTAGCATGGAGTGGTATCTTACCTATTTTGTATTATAGTTTCCAAGCTTGCTTCTCTCCCTCGTGCCCTTCCGGAGAAAGTTACGGCTGAATTACTTGTAGGTCATTAGCGAGGATTAGTCTCGTATGCTTAACTAGAATACTTACTTAGGGGGTAATTACAGCAATTTGAGCCCCATAGGAGCTATGAACATCAGCCCTGGCTCTCCACACCAGGATCTAGATCATCCGGCCTTACTCCATTTACAAGGTTTATTCTCATCCCAGGGCTCCGCCCATGACAGCCGCTCAAGTTGTCGTGATATTATGCACCTAGAATAATCATTTTTAATAATCCTTTCTGTGTAGGATGCGGCTAGGAATGACATAGAACTTCCACCGGAGGGCGATACAGAGAGACCATTCTATTTTTCAACAATATCTTGCTAGGAGACTTAGATAGATATTTGACTGGCACTCAAGGTCTTGCTACTCTGGATACTAGGGGTTGTTCGAGCATTTAAGATGTTTGAACCTTCTTTCTATGAAATGCAACTTGGTCATGTAATTTATAATTTTAGCTTCATTTTCACTCATACATCGGTCAGTGAGACTGTCCATCCTAGTGGGCCATGTCTTGGGTCGTACCAGCTATTGAAATAAAACTGTAACCAAGCGATGCCAGAAGTTACGGCCCGTTGCCTAAATTACATACAAGAGTGAGAGCACAAAGCTTTGCACGGCAAAACCGAATGGGCTTGCGGTCTGGATAACACCTGAAGCACCTTTAACGGCTTCTTCAAATGCGGTCGGCGTACTCATATCAGGAACAAGTACCGTTGATACGCGACCGGCATAATCAGAGTGAAGACTCTTCACTGTCTTTGAATCTGCTTCTGACCGCACGGTACATCGGACATTGTAGCCGTGGGCAAGAAGTGCATTTATGACATGGGACACTAGCTATCCAGATGCAACTGTTACTAGCACTGGATCCCGCGTTACGGTGGACTAGGGCTTGAGGGCCATAGTGAAAATTGTCGGTTCGACGGATGGGGCTTGGTAATGCAACATACAAGTAATGGAAGTCAAAACTGTATGAGATTCAGTAAGCTTAGTGATACTAAAGTGTTGTCGGTCCCTCCCTTCCTCCCTCCCTCCTTCCTCCTGCTTTCCCTCGTATTTATGCTGGCTGTGAAGTTCATGAAGCGGGGTAAATTGACAAGGATGATCCTGGATGGTATAGCTAAATAAGCCATATTGATGGCCTCTCATATAGCCGACAAAAACGTCAAATGTTAAATAGATAGAAAGATGAACCTTCGAAATTGCTGTGCAGCATTTCACTTAGACATGAGTGAGGTTATTTATGCATAAAGATTTGGCAATGACCACTCTGGTCTAGATGCGCCTCTTCGTACTCGGCTTTAGATCTTGGTTGACTTTCTAAAAATTCACAGAAAAAAGATTGATTAATGTGCGAGGGGGCCCGAGGAAGTTGAAGTTGAGTTTGAAGAGTTCAGGATGTATAGGAGTTGTAAGAGCCACGTCGCTTGATGTTGAATTTGATGAACATGTTTTCCGATATAGCAGAAGTAGGTCACTTACCAATGGTTCTTACCATCTGGTAACACTAATGAGATGTTAGGATAAATTATGTTTACCCAATATGGAGGTATGTTGGGCTTGGCATTCGATTCTCGTATCCTAAGCCACACATGAGGTCACCACCCTAAATGTGCCGTGCTCACTCATCTAATTATTACAAACATGTAACGTTTCTGCTGTAGTAAGTCTCCGGCACGGGCAAATTACAATTACAGTCCCTGATCTGTCTCGGATATTCAAATTGAATTCCTCCGAAGGCATGTCATTAAGTTACCGACCGTTTATTACCTATGTACCGAATTTGGAAGTATGATCATGTCCGCTATTCCCGACTGGTTCACTTGGAGGGAGAATCATGGCCCTCCAGGAGTCATGAGTCATGGCTTTTCTGGCTACTCTCAATGGATGTTGATGGCTGATGGTGCATGGTACAAAGAGTGCTCGACATAAAAGCCGTCGAGAGACCATCATTTTCACATTCTCAACAACTATACTTTACAGTCACCATTCCAACTTCAAGAATCCAAATATGTCTAAGCTCGTCGTCGTCATTGGCGCAACCGGTTCCCAGGGAGGTGCAGTTGTCAGCGCCCTTCTGCAAGACCCCATCTTCAAAATTCGCGGCTTGACCCGCAATACAAACAGTAAGGGTGCTCAAGCCCTCGCTGCTCAAGGAGTTGAGGTTGTTGCAGCGGATTTGAACGACGAGAAGAGTCTGATCGAAGCTTTCAGGGGTGCGCACGCCATTTACGCCATAACAGACTTCTTCGAACCATTTGTAAAGGAAGGTCCCGAAAAAGCCATCGAGATCGAATACCAGCAAGGCCTCAACCTGGCTCGTGCTGCTTCAAAAACATCCACTTTGGAGCACTACATCTGGAGCACCCTTCCCGATGCCATGGCGCTGTCGAAAGGCCAAGTTGCCGTGCCTCATTTTGCCGCTAAAGCTCGGGTTGATGCATTCATCAAGGCGGACAAATCACTGCTCAGCAAGACGGTCTTCCTTTGGATCACTTTCTATGCGAGCAATCTGTTCTATCCAATGTTCACCCCAATTGATGCTGTGAGTGCTAAACTGGATCTTTTATCTCTCGCCACATCACTGACAATTTATCCTTAAAGAAACCTGCGGGAAGGTACATCATTATGCTTCCTGTCGCACCAACAACTCAAGTCGCATCTCTTGGTCCTTTGTCAAACGTCGGCCTTGCCGTCCGTACTGTCCTCACGAACCCCTTTGCAATTCATAATGCAGACCCTCTGAGCTCAACTCCGGCCAGATACCTTCTTTTGACTACCGGATTTTACGATTTCAGGGATTATTATAATGTTTGGGCAAAGGCTGCCAATGGCAAAACAGCAAGTGGTACCACAAACCTTGATGTTGAGGTTCTTGAGATATCGATGGACGCCTACGACACGCTTTGGCCTCTCTGGGGCAAGGAGATGGGTCTTATGCTGAAGTTCTGGGAGCTTGTGGGACCTGAGAAGAGCTGGTCCACGGTTCATGGTGATGATGTGATGGTGAGACTGCAGGATCTATTGAAGGAAACTGGGCCAGCCATGGTTGGTACTGAGGAGGCCTTTGGTGAGCTGGATTGGAGCTCTGTCTGAAACACATGCTTGTGATTACCGAGATATTTTGGTACTTCCCGTTGTTTTGACCTTTTTTTGGATGTTTAGCAAGCCAGTTAATAAATTTGTGAACCACTTTTTTACACGCACACTACAAACTTCATATGCTTCCTGGCCTTAGAGAATTGATAAATGGAGGGCAGGAATAGAGATTTTGCACCCTCGATCATCAATCGCGCTGCATGTCTATCCACAGAGCATGTCCGCCTACATTATAAGCCGCCCCGAGCCAACCAAACGATCTTATGAAGTTTTTTATCTGATTCTAATCTTGGATGCTATTCCGTGCCGAAAGCCTCCTCGTCTGTTCCGTATACCAAGTTTGCTGTGGGCTGCCACGCGCAACTATTCCTGCGATGGAAGCACACCAAAGTAAGATTGCACTGGTATTTTGCTTTCCGCTAGAGTCTTAACTGCTTTCGATTGTATCCCGAACGACCATGAGTCGTTTATCTATGTGGGCTATAGATCGGGGAATAGAAAAGTGACGTAGGTGCTATACATCAAGGCTGCTTGGCGGCATGTGTAGTATAGTTGCAGACCATAACGTTAGAACATATCGTCGACTTGAGACGCAAGATCGTTGAGAATCAGACTTGGAGAGTCATTCTCGGTTGGCAGAGAGAGAAGCCGGTATTAAACTAACTTATATTACGGTTCTCGCCGGTCTTATCAATAGTTATTGACTTGCAGCAGCCATCGAAAAGTGCTTGTATTGTTCGTGATAGCCCACCCAGATTGACGAATACTTCAACCAAATGGGGTTGAATGCCTAAAAGGAGTAGGTTATTAAAGCCAGCATCTCCCAGTGTTTGGTTTGATGCTGTGTCAGATACCTGGGATATCGAAATACATGGTTGGCATGTGTATGACGGTCCACTTGGGTCAAGCAGGGGGTACACAGAATTTCGCGACGGTGTTGAGAAACACGGGCTTCTATTATCTAAATAGGCCCTTGCTTATCGGTAGAGTGGGCGATGATGTACTAGATACGTGCTAGCGATCTTTTCTGAACGGACGGCTTCGCCGAGCACTAGGCGAAACAAAAGCTATAGAGGGTTTTAGGCTGTACACTATAGTCATCGCTAACCCCTATCAGGAGGATGGTTGCGATTATAGATCACTCGAGCGTTTAATGCCTTGCAGTGTATCGTTCTAGTGGAGAAATATCCAAAACTCCGCCATTTTAATCTATCACGCTTTTTAGTGACACAATCTGATATCATCTCATTGCTCTGTGCACTATCAGAATCTATTCGCTCTCTCAAGCTGAGCATGCTGAAGTTCCTTGATAATGGTGGAGATGGGCATGGTCTGCTTAAGGAGATACGAACAATGATCCACGCGAAGAAACTGTGGGCGGATAGAGATGCGCACTCGCGACCGGCTGCTTCAATTGATTTACAGCTGCAGCATCGGCCACTTGGTCGTGCAGTGTGGCTTGAAAAGGAAGTGCAGGAGTTTATCTATAAAGAGGGTCAGAATCCATTCTCCGAGCGAACCCCGCTAGACATTTCATAAGGGATTAGAATCTAAAGGGATGCATTTGAGCCTAATTTTGAACGACCTAGTGCCGCTAGGGAGGTTTGGTAAAGATGAGGATTCCAATGAAGAATTGAAGTATGATAACGGGCTCCGTCGCAATGTTGAAGCTCTTTACATACAAGTAATCTATACAAGCTGAGCGCATACAATTTCCAAGCTGATTTGGGTACCGAGGTGATCGAGATCTTGCTGAAGATATCGGCGTTGCTTCCTGAGCCCCAGTACAGTAAGTTAATTTTAATAGAGAGCACTGCATGTACTAGCAGACGTATTTGTCGGGCAACCTCGTGGGCGGAAGTACTGCGCCTGGTTTCCCATTATGTTATGTTCGTGGAGTAGAAGTCAAATCTCTAAAGACCTTTCCTTTTTTTTTTTCCTGCTAGGCTGGAAAGCGGCACACGGTTAGATGGAAGTGAAATTTGTAGAATCTTTTTCCAGTATTTTCTTTTGCAGTATCTAACCTTGGGCGTAGAATCACGAAAAATATCAGCCCTATCGATACTAGCTGCTCACTATATATATATATGCTGTCCTGACAGACACCTGAGCATTATTCGATTCAAGTATAGTTGGAATCCAATACACGTGCGGTTTCTAATGAAATTAGCATATATTAAAAAGATAGTCCAAGAAACAGAGGTGACGTTGTCAACGTTGGAATGATTCAGGAACTACTTTGGAACTAATGGAAAAGTTGGTAAATCTACCCAATGCTGTCTACAAACCACAAGTTCTTCTCATGTGGTGTAGGGGTTTAGCATCGCTCGTTTTCAAATAGTCTGACTATTGATCCGTGCAGACCGGGGTTCGAATCCCCGCATGAGAGCTTCTTTTTTCCTTTTCTTTTTTATTTTTCCTATCACCGAATGTTACTCTTTCTCCATTGCTTGCAGATACATTTTTTTGTTTTCTACTGTGAAGCGATGCTAGGCGTCAAAGCGCTTTTTCCTCGGCTTGGTATGTTACTAGTTTACTCTTATTGTATTGTGCTTGATAGAACCGTATTCTGAAATTTATCCCATCAAACCGTCTCATGTGGTGTAGGGGTTTAGCATCGCTCGTTTTCAAATGGTCTTGACCATTGATCCGTGCAGACCGGGGTTCGAATCCCCGCATGAGAGCATTTCTTTTCTTCTTTTTTTTTTTGGCTTTTTGGCAATTTTTCTACCTTAGATAATATTACCTTTACTGCATCACCTGCAGAGGTTTCTTTCTTATTTTTTTAACCCCTTTTTTTGACCATGACATCAAGTCGCGTCCAACTTTCTTCGTAGGTAGAGTCTGTATTTGCTCCGATCTACTCCGATCTACTCGCTGTTTATAGTCTCTTATCTGCTCAGACCATCCAATCAAATCGTCTCATATGGTGTAGGGGTTTAGCATCGCTCGTTTTCAAATAGTATCTACTATTGATCCGTGCAGACCGGGGTTCGAATCCCCGTATGAGAGCATCTCTTTTTGTTCTTTTTGCTTATTGCTTCAAGTATGTATCTATCTACATGTATATAATTTTTGCCTACTATAGCTGATAATCCTATACCTCTATACAAGATTGGAAATCACACTTAGGTTCCTCGATATTTTGCAGTGCATAGTTTTTAGTAGATCGCCCAATTCGTCTTAGCGTTAGTGTATATACGGGGAGCCATACGAACCTGTAATGCAAATATGAACAGTGGGCCAGTGGATCTATAATGGCAAACTCTGCTCCATTTTTCATCCAAGATCCGATATGGTGTAGTGGCTAACATCGTCGTCTCTCACACGACAGCCGGGGGTTCGATTCCCCCTATCGGAGTTTCCTTTTGCTTTTCTTTTTGTCCCCAGAGTAGGGGATCGCATATCGGATGCATGTGCAGATATAGGTGGATAGAGCCTTTTTTTTTTTTTTTGTGAAAGAGACAAGACCAGGTCATGTCGAGCAGAAACTGAGAGACTGGCCTGGAAACGGTTGATGTTCATGCCCTAGAAAGTTATAGTCAAGATGTAATGTACAAAGACCAGGAAGGACACTTGCTACTCCGGTAGATACTGGAAGTTACAGATTATAACAGCATTCGATTACTTTCAAGAACACAGAGGAAATTGATTACATGAAATGCTACATGTAGTTTGCTAGCTGGGCTAGTCTAAATCAAAAAAAGTAGTACATGGTAGGGTAGAGGATATCGGGGTCAAGGCAGGTCAGGTCTAGAAGTGGATGGGCTTGGAGTAGGTGGCCATGGCAGCCTCCTTGAAGGCCTCGGAGAGGGTAGGGTGAGCGTGACATGTGCGGGCAATGTCCTCGCTGGAGGCACCGTACTCAATGGCAAGGGTAGCCTCAGCGATCATCTCACCGGCACCGGGTCCGATGATGTGGACACCGAGAATGCGGTCGGTCTCGGCATCGGCGATGAACTTGACAACACCCTCAGTGTCGAGGTTGGTCTTGGCACGGGAGTTGGCGCTGAAGGGGAAGGTACCGACGCTGTACTTGACACCGGAAGCCTTGATCTCGGCCTCGTTCTGGCCGACCCAGGCGACCTCGGGGTGGGTGTACATAACGCTGGGGATGGCAGCGTAGTTGACGTGGCCGTAGCCCTTCTTGATGTACTCAACGGCAGCGACAGCCTCCTCCTCGGCCTTGTGGGCGAGCATGGGGCCGAAGGTGCAGTCACCGACGACACGGACGTGAGGGACCTTGGTGCGGTACTCCTGATCAATGACGAGACGGCCACGGTCATCCTTCTCAATGCCGACGTTCTCGAGGTTCAGGCCCTCGGTGTAGGGGCGGCGACCAATGGCGACAAGGACAACATCAGCGTCAAGGGTCTCCTCCTTGCCACCCTTGGCGGACTCAACCTGCAGGGAGACGGTAGCACCGCTGTCATCACCCTTGGTGACCTTAGTGCCGGTCTTGAACTTGATGCCCTGCTTGCCAAGGATCTTCTGGGCCTGCTTGGCAATCTCGGCATCCATACCGGGACCACCGATCTGGCCAAGGAACTCGACAACGGTGACCTCAGCACCGAGACGGGACCAAACGGAAGCCTATTATAAGAAAGAAAAGTCAATCCGTGCTCAAATTGGAGCAAATACCGCGGTGAGAACGTACCATCTCGAGACCGATAATACCGCCACCAATGACGACCATCTTCTTGGGGACCTCAGTGAGGGCGAGAGCACCAGTGCTGGAGACGATGCGCTTCTCATCGATGTTGAGGCCGGGGAAGGGAGTGGACTCGGAGCCGGTGGCAATGAGGATGTTCTTGCCGCGGAGGGTCTGCTCACCACCGTCGTTGAGGGCGACCTTGATAGTGTTGGCATCAACGAAAGAACCAGCGCCCTTGATGTAGTCGACACCGTTCTTCTTCAGGAGGAACTCAACACCCTTGGTCAGGCCGTTCACGGACTCGTCCTTGGCCTTCAACATCTGGGTGAGGTTGAGCTTGACATCGCCGACGTCAATACCGCGCTTTTTCGTGTCGTGGAGAATCTGGTGGTAGAGGTGGGAGTTGTTGAGCAGGGACTTGGAGGGAATACAGCCGACGTTCAAGCAGGTACCGCCGAGTTTTCCGCGCTTCTCGATACAAGCAGTCTGCCAGGGTGTTCAGTTAGTAAGTAGATCGCGATGATTGGATCGAGCCAATCGAGAGCCAACAAGCTCAGGGGCATTGTTTTGCGCACCTTCAGACCCTCTTGACCGGCCTTGATAGCAGCGACGTAGCCAGCGACACCACCGCCGATGATGACGAGGTCGTGATCACCTATTACCCGGCAACCCGGAAATCAGCAATCGCATCCGGGAAGCGCAGGGGATCTCTCCGAGGACGCCATGATAGCAGCCCAAGCAATAACTCACCTGCCTCAGATGCATAACCGCGCTTTGAGCCACGGACCAGGAGCATGGGGGTGGAAATGAAAGTCGAAGGAACAGCCTTCGGGCCGGCGTTGCGGAGGGCAGCCCGCGGCGAAGCCCGGGGGAGGACGGCGCGGAACATGACGAAAGAGAAATAAACGGACGTGACGAGCTACACAGACAATTAATCCTCCAGACCAACGAATTGGAGGTGTTGAGATGCGTGGGAGGGTGATTCTAGGTACGGGAAAGAAAGGACTGAGCTTTGCGGTATTTTGAGGTTTCGCCGTACTCTCTTATGTAAGCCGGTCGGGTTGACTCGGTTGGCTTTACCGGCATGACGCTGCAGTCCTTTTGGTTGGAGTACTTACTTGAAGGGATGATCGATAATCTGTGAAGTGATTCCAGAAGAGCTAGCTATAGAGCAGAGTTATATTTGTCGTGGGATCCCACAAGCCCTATACCCCGTCAACGCCAAAAGCGGCGGGAACCCAACAGTTCTTTCCCGCGCCTAATGTATTCCGGGGCAAACCCAGGAAGATTTATATGACTTAGTTCCTCTATTATTATGAATGGCATTCTCCACAGCCTTCTACCCCAGTCTACTCCGCGGGGATCCTTCAATTCTTCTCGGTCCGCTTACAAGCGGGACTACCGTTTGGTGGCAAACACCACTTCGGCAGGGTGACTTGTCACGATAAATTCCCTCAATTACCTAGGACTATATATGGTTCCTTCTAGATGTCGTGCACAGACGTATTAGAACGAAAGTTACGTGGTGAAGACTCAGGGATATATCCCGGCAAGTAGAGTGAGTATATGTCTACAGTAGGCCTGGACAAGAAAGCCCCTGAAACCTCAGGCTTGCACCTGTTCAAATGTACTTAGAATGTTAGTGTTGGCCATGACCAAAACAAAAGCTTTGTAGGTAACTGTATGCAATAATAGGTGATGTGATGTTGCAGAATCTATACAATAGCCAGGTTCTGACGTGGTTGGGGAAAAAGTCTTGGCCCCCAATGGCAGGGATCAACCCATCGGAGGGGAAGTCGCCGATATGCGCTATATCTACGTCTTGCTGCAAGCTTCAGTGTCTCTCACAACGTTAATGAGAATCACAAGGACGGACAATAAGATGACTACACACCCTCAGCTTCGAAGAAATCGTCAACATGTCGAGCTCTGTTAGTAGAAAGTCCAAGTTGGGGTGAAGAATGATCTCACGGAAAAACGGCAATTCCATTATGGAAGCTTCACTGTGAAGCAGCATGTGTGCTAGCCATACAGCAAATAAGTATACCAGAAAGGTACCAGCCAGATGTATCCTTTAGACCCGAGACCCGATATTGTCCATCTAGCCCTGGTCACGAGACAGCTTCTCTTCCTCCTTCCGATTTCTCTTCCGTCGGCACTTAATCCCATAATGCGCAGTGAGCCACAAGCAAGGAGAAACAGCAATGGAAACAAGGGCCAGAGTGGTATACGCCCAACCATTCCCCATCGCAGAAACCATAGGGCTAACCGCAGCCGAAGCTGCTGCACCGAGCTCACAGCGGAAAAGATTGTTGGCCGCAGTTGCAGTTGCAGATTTTCCAGGCCACAGATCAACCATCAGTGCATTCAACACTTGGTTCGTTCCGATGAGTGCCCATCCTGCAATGAAAAGGAGAATGACGGGGGCTGCCAGGTTGACCTTGTGACCCAACATCCAGCCGTATGCGAGCATTGCCAGGTTACTAATGTAGTACAGCGGCAGTGCAACTTCCAACCTTGCTCTTTCAATGTTGAAGTTGCTGATATCTGTGCGAACATTCTTCACAATGGGAAGACCTGCTTTCTTTGCGTGTCGTCGGTAGTTCCAGTCGACTATCTTTCCAGTTGTAAGTGCTGACACGACACCTCCTCCGCCGATGGGGAGATACATCAGTGCAGCTTGGATGTCGTTGAAATGGTAGATCCTGTGGAAGGAGGTTGAAGCTCCAGTCATGACGGCGTAGAATCCGGCGAACAATAGCCCTGTTGTGATTAGGATCACCGACGTTTCGATATCCAAGACGACCTTCATAGTCGGAATGGGAGACGGGAATCGAAGAGAGTAGTTCTTCCGCACCTCGGCTTCCTTGAGTGGGTCAAGTGTGAGTCCCTTCTCCTTGCGTTTGCGATGCCGAATCACATCCAAGATAGAGTTGTTCAACGCAGGCGGTGGGATGGAGCCATCGCCAACGACCTTCCGGCAGGTCTCAGGTAGAAAGAGACCAAGTATGAGGAAAAAGACTCCACCGAAGATGAGGAGGAACCAGAAGATCCAATGCCAGTTTGTGTACTGACTGAGCAGACCACCGATGATTGGTGATAGCGATGGTCCCAGCATACTTCCAATTGAAGCAAAGGCGATGTATGAGCCGCGCTCAGAGGATGTGATCATGTCTCCCACCAAACCGTTTGCCATCGCGACAGTTCCACTGCTGCCAGCACTCTGCAGGCACCGAAGAACAAGAAGAGCGGCATAGCTATTCTGGAGAGCTAGACCAAGGTTGGCAGCGAGATAGACAGTGAAGCAGATGATGTAGGCAGGACGACGGCCAGCAGTATCAGAAAAACCGGCGATGAACATGGGTGCCACACCCTGCATAATCTTCAGAAGAAAAGATCAGCCATTTCATCTCAAAGACAGTCTCCATCCCACCTACCAGGTATGTAGTAACCGTCAAGTTAACTTGGGATGTGGAGATGTGTAACGCATGCGCGATAGTGGTCAGTGCGGGCAGGTAGATACTCGACGACAAGGGCGAGAAAAAGCTGGCCAAAGAGCCCATGGCCACAATAGATCGCTTCTGGCCCACAGTGAACTGCGAGTAGGCTTCGAGGTGTGCATTTGGCTGGCTGGCAGCTTCCTGCTTGCCGCCAAAATTCTCGTCGGCAATGCTTCCTGGCATGTTTGCTTTCTCGATGTTGAGTCAGCGACAGGTCGGGGATTTACAGACCATGTGGAATGATCCTGGAAATGCGCGAGGCCTGAAATAGCCCGATCAATGCCTCGGGGATTCCGGGACAGGGATTGATTAGGGTTGGATGAGCGCATCGCATCCCGGTACCGGCATCGGCCTGATTAGGCAATCTCTTGAGCCTCATCTTTCTGCTTTGGCTGTCTGGCCTGGACGTTGCCTATGAAAACCCAGTCTTCGGTAAGTACAAAGAAAATCTTGCAAGATGTTGCAATGTCTCTGTTAGTTGTCAGACGTACTCGGACAGATGTTTTGGTTTGAAAACAAGGCAAATGATGCACCTCGCTGGAGATATCGAATACTGTGTTCAAAAAGTGGCGAGACAAGCCATAGACATAACGTGGAACGAACCAGTCGGCTAAACTCCGATCTGCAGGAACAAAGGAACAGAAATCCATCTCACAATCTTTTTGTGACTTTAAAAGCAATCATTTCATGGATAGAGTCTGATATTGGGGAACATTTTGTAGGTCTTTTTCTATTCTGGTGTTATTTTTCTCGTAGGTTGCGATTTGAAAAGGGACCTTTCAAAGAATTTGGGGGCTGGAAAGTCGGATTTCGTGAACATTTAGTCGTGAAAAAAAAGGCAAATCGTGAACGTTTTGGCCTCGAAAATGTTTAGATTTTGAACTTTTTGGGGGTTAAGAATTTTTTTTTCTCGTAAGTCTTTTGTGATCAGAATGATATTCCAGAGGTTACTCTTATATCGGTATGGGTTCTTAAGGACTTTTTATACTGAAATCAGGATTTTGTGCACATTTTGCCGTGAATCAAGGGTGTTTATCCTAATAAGACGGTGTTTACTAGGGGATTTTCAACGTTATGTCGTTTATCTTCAACGTCATATCGCTTTTCTCTCGACGTGCGAAGAAAAAACAATGTATCTTATCGTCCTCTCTATTGTTTAGAACAACATTTCGCGGGGTTTGAAAAAAGGTCTGATGTCACCAAACCTAGGTCCGGGGAATTTCCCCACCCCCACGAGACCCGTTTAGCCTAACCGGCCTAGGGAGGTCAAACCACCACGGGGTCACTTGAACGCCGAAATCCCCGCAGCAAGTCCTCCCCGGTGGAACCGAGTTGCCAATACAACCCGGGGCTGCCATTGGGCTTAAGCCACTTTCAGCCAAAATGGGCCGCCATCGTATCATTTCGGATTGCCGATTCTAGTGCAAACCGGGGAAATGCCTCGATACTTGACCCCGCCGAGACACATTTCCCAGCCTGAGCGCGGCCTACTCGCCGTAATCCCCGGTTATTCGGGTGGGGAATCTACCAGCGCACCACAATTTGACTGTCTCCCGCCGGGATGTAACCACATCGGAACGGTCGCTCCTTACTTTCCTGGGGTTCCTGTGGGCCGATCCCCGTGGGAAAGTTACGGTACGTTCTGGCTCGGACTCGCGCCGACTCTGCCATCGGATTTAAATACATGCGGGTCGCCATGAGGTCGATTTGGGATTTCCATTTTTCCTCGTGCTGCTCGGTTATACATCACGAGTCTGAGCCTTTATATATATTTCCTTTTGCTACAGACTGCGAAAGACTGTGTTCTTTTCTTGCCTACTATTAACCGTCCTCTGTGATGCGCCAAGCCTACTGAAATTATTGAATCACTCTGGGACTATATACAATATGAGTGACAAAATCCCTTCGTGGAATGTTGTCCACAAGCTAGAGAAGCGCCAGCTTCTCGTCGGCATCAACTGTGTCGCTGCGCTATCCATTCTATTCTTCGGATATGATCAGGGTATGATGTCCGGCGTGAACAATGCCAAAGACTACATCGACTTGATGGGCTTCGGTTATACCGAAGTGGTGGATGGTGAGGTGACACCAGTGGTCACGAATTCCTTGCTACAGGGTGGAATCGTGTCGGTATACTATCTCGGAACTCTTGTCGGTGCCTTATTTGGTGGTTGGATCGGTGACCGGATGGGTCGAATCAAGTCGATTGCTGTGGGAGCCGCTTGGGCTATTTTCGGTGCGGCTCTGCAATGCTCGGCTCAGAATCACGTTTGGATGATTTGCGGTAAGTTGTACAAGGCCTGATGGAGGATAACCGATGCTGACATCTGCAGCTCGTTTGATTAACGGAATCGGAACTGGTGTTCTGAATGCTATCGTCCCTGTTTGGGCTACCGAGACGGCTGAGCATACTTCGCGTGGTCAATTCATTGCTATTGAATTCACACTCAACATCTTCGGTGTTGTCTTGGCTTACTGGCTGGAGTTGTACGTTCTCCTCTTCCTGTCTTGAGCCTTTTCTGACATGCAACAGTGGCCTTTCTTTCATCGACAACGGAGAATCAGCATTCCGCTGGAGATTCCCCATCGCCTTCCAGATCGTCTTCCTGCTGGTCCTCTTTTCAGTTGTCTGGTTCTTCCCAGAGTCTCCTCGATGGCTCGTCAAGGTCGGTCGAGAGGACGAGGCTCGCTACATCCTGCAACGTCTGCGTGGATCTAGTGGAGAAGACCTCGTCCGCGCTGAGGCCGAGTTCCAGGATATCCTCAGCATCGCCGAGATGGAAAAGACTGTCGTTCACGGCAACTCGTATCTATCTATGTTCTTCGGCTACAAGTCCGGTGATCTTCACATCGGACGTCGCGTGCAGCTGGTCGTATGGTTGCAGATCATGCAGGAATGGGTTGGAATCGCCGGTGTGACCGTTTATGCCCCGACAATCTTCAGCATTGCTGGATTTGACTCGATGAAGAGTCAGTGGATCAGTGGATTGAACAATGTCTTCTACATGGTATGTCTTCACAACTGGGAGAAGATCGATCGGCACTAACGAGGGTGTGCAGTTTGCTACTCTGGTCTGCGTCTTTACCCTCGACCGCATCGGTCGCCGATGGACGTTGTATTGGGGATCGGTAGTCCAGGGAATCGCCATGTTCCTCGCGGGTGGATTTTCCCGACTGGCCATCGACGCTAAGGCAGCCGGTGAAATGGGCAAAGCATCCTCATATGGTGCAGCCGCGGCCTCGATGATCTTCATCTTCACGTCCACTTTCGGTGCTACGTGGTTGACCGTGCCATGGCTCTACCCCGCAGAAATCTTCCCTCTGGCTGTTCGCGCTCGAGGAAACGCCTTTGGTGTTGTGGGATGGAGTATTGGAAACGGATGGCTGGTATGTGAACACTTTAAGACTTGTATGTCTCTCAAAGGAAACAAACTAACATGGATTATTTTAGACTCTCCTGTGCCCCGTCATGTTCAGCGCTATCGGCGAAAAGACCCTCTACGTTTTCGCCGCCAGCAATGTCATCACTATTCCTATGGTATGGGCTCTCTACCCAGAAAGCAACCAACGCACACTCGAAGACATGGATCTTCTCTTCGCAGCGAAGACACCCTGGACTTGGGATGCAGAGGCTACCTTTGCGCGCCTCAAGGCTGAGAACCCGGGCATGGTCCAGGCGCTCAGTCGCAAGGGTAGTGTTGTGGACCCGGAGACTGGAAAGACTCTTTCTATTGGCGCTGCTGCTGCTACTGCGGCTGCCAAGATGGATGATAGTACCACTGCGGCTGAGCATGTAGATCGCGCTTGAGTTTTGGGTTTGTGGTTGGGAGATGGTGTGTATATTTTTTAGATAATGTAGTGAGCGTAAGAGAACTAATCAACGTGCATATACGTACGCGTCCGCAGAAAGAAGAGGCTTGTCTACATTGGAAGTATATTACCACGCGCGTTGCCTATTTGCCCATGATTTCCTTTTTAAGACAGGTGTGTCTTGGTCTTGAGGGTTCTAGAGCTTGACCTGCATGAATTCTACATGTTCTTTTTAGATGATTGCACGGCTCGTTCTTATACCCCCTCTTTAACCCTGACGCCCTACTGCGCGCCATAGCTTGCCAAGTGATTTACACCAACTGTACATGGCTTATTGGCGATTTAAAAAAATGAATGTCAGCGCTAAACCTCACGCTTTAATTGCATGTTCCTGCACACCCCCTGAATTTTCCCCTTGATGAATCATCGGTTTACCCGCCATTTAGAAGAATAACTCTCTCAGTTGCTATGTTACAGGTGTCTATTTAAACGACCTTTTCAAACAGAAACGGCTCCTAAGTTGACCAAGCCTCCGAGCTCGTGTTCCCTCAAAAACGATACAACATAGCCGCAACATAGTCAAGCAGTCAATCTTTGGCGACCACAAGCTGTTTACTGCCTTGCCCAGACCTATATTCTCTAGATTGTTTCAAGAATGCCGGAGAGAAATACGGGGATTGGTGACGGCAAAGAGGCCGCCTCTCGCAAGATCAGCAACGGGACTGAAGATCCCACCTGTCGCTCGACCGAGCTGACGTGTCATGACTACACAGTCGGATGGATCTGCGCGTTGCCAAAGGAGCAGACTGCAGCGACCGCTATGCTCGACCAAATCCATCCTGATATCCCTAAACCACCAAACGATCCTAATACATACACCCTAGGATGTATCGGCAGACACAATATCGTTATAACCTGTCTGCCGAAAGGGAAGATCGGCAACAATTCAGCTGCTACTTCCGCTACCCAGATGGCGCGCACTTTCCCATCTATCAAGGTTGGCCTGATGGTTGGCATTGGTGGCGGTATTCCACCTCGGGTTAGACTTGGCGACGTTGTGATCAGTGTACCTGTCGCTGAGTTTCCTGGCGTGGTCCAGTGGGATATGGGCAAGATGGAAGTGGACAGTTTCAAACGAATTGGTGCGCTGAATAATCCGCCAACCGCACTGCTTACGGCATTGACAAAACTTGAGACTAAGCATGAGATGCATGGATCTCGGATACGTCAATACCTTGATGATTTGGGAAGCAAATATCCAAGTTTGTTGTCAAAATACACCTGGTCCGATTCCCTTCAGGACCCTTTATCTACCCCAACTGTTTCTTATCTTGCTCGGAGCGGGTGGCAGGCCGTTCTTTTCTCGCTCTGGAGCCTGGTTCTGGCTTTATGCAGATACCTCTCCGGGAGTGGATCGCTTGCTGTAGATTCTAGAGCAGAACCAGCGGTACCTACTGTGGATCATGATGTGCACAATACTCGAAGAAGATCGGTGGACGTACGCGTGCATTATGGACTAATCGCAAGTGGGAATAAGGTCATCAAGAACGCCGTGGATCGTGACAGATTGAATGAAAGTCTTGGTGGGAATGTCTTATGTGTCGAAATGGAGGCGGCTGGCCTCATGAATAACTTCCCATGCATTGTCATCCGGGGAATATGTGATTATGCCGACGCACAGAAGAACAAGGATTGGCAGGAATATGCTGCGGCTATCGCTGCAGCGTGTGCGAAGGAGCTTCTCGAACATGTGCAGCCTAATGACGTGGACGGAGAGCGTCCACTGAAAGACATCCTAGGCGATGGTTAGTGATTACGGCGGCCAAATTATTTACAGGAATGTGCTAATACAATATCCAGTTAACGCAACCGTTCAGAGGACAGACGCCAATGTTAAAACAATCCGATCGAAGTTAGACAGAAAAGAAGAGCTTGAGATCCTTGATTGGCTTACTGAAATTGACTACGGCCCGCAACACAGCGACATTTTGAAAAGACGACAGCCTGGCACTGGCCAATGGTTCTTAGACTCCGTTGAATACCAGAATTGGCGAAGCTCAAACCAGCAGACGTTGTTCGGTCTTGGGATTCCCGGAGCGGGGAAAACAATCCTGGCCGCAATAGTCATTGACGACCTCACCACCAGGTTTGGACACGACTCGTCGATTGGCATTGCATATATATATCTCAACTTTCGCCAAAAACAGCAGCAAAGACGTGAAGATCTAGTATCAAGTCTAGTGAAGCAACTGAGCCAGGACTGGCCTTCCCTACCCGATAGCGTTGAAAATCTTTACGACAAACATACACGTAAGAAGACACGCCCATCATTTGACGAACTTTGCAAGGCTCTCTTGTCTGTGGCGGCTTTTTATTCGAAGACTTTCATTATTGTTGACGCGCTCGATGAATGCGAAGTATCTGATGGGTGTTTGTCCAGCCTCTTGTCAGAGATTTTCGCTCTACAGAGCAAAGCTGCAGTGAATATTCTTGCTACCTCGAGGCCCATCCCGGAGATTGAGGAAAGGTTTAATGGATGTACTCTACATCACATCTCTGCTTCGGAAGAGGATATACGAAGCTATCTCAATAATCATATGACTCGGATGCCAGAATTTGTTCTCGAGAGCCCAGAGTTGCAAGAGAGGGTCAAGGCTGGAATTATTGACGCTGTTGATGGAATGTGAGTAGGTCTGGTTTTCTTTAAGAAGTGCACTAACTTCCTCAAGGTTCTTGCTCGCACGGCTCCACCTAGATTCACTCATTGGAATGCAATCGCCAAAGGCTATCGAAATAGCGCTTAGGAAGCTTCCCAAAGGATCAAATGCGTATGACTATGCATATGATGAGGCCATGGAAAGAATAAAGGGACAAGCGCCCGCCTGTCAGAAGACAGCAGAGTGGACTCTAAAATGGATTACGTTTGCAAGGAGGCAGCTGAGCGTCCCAGAGCTGCAGCACGCCTTAGCAGTTGAAGTGGGTGAAACTGAATTCGATGCTTGCAACATTTCACGAAAAGCCTATATTCTATCCATCTGCGCTGGACTAGTTACGGTTGATGAAGAGAGCAATATCATCCGTCTAGTCCATTATACAACACAAGAATATTTTGAGCGGACACGGCACGACTTGTTTGAAAATGCAGAGGCCGATCTTACGAAAGTTTGCATCTCTTATCTCTCCTTCCGTTCATTTGACAGCGGGCCTTGTCAAACATGGGATGGCTTTTTGGAGCGATTGGAGCTGAACAAGTTCTACAAATATTGCGCAAAGTACTGGGGACATCATGCTCGCAAGGCTCCCAGTTTATGTCCAGAAGTTACAAACTTTCTCAACTGCGAGCCGAAGGTAGATGCATCAAGCCAGGTACTGCTAAATTACAGTTTTCCCAATGACACCTGCTTTCTTAAGAACACACGAATGACAGGGCTTCACCTAGCATCGTTTTTCGGAATAGGAGAGGCAATCAAGACAATGTCGCAACAAGGAGTCGAAATTAATGCAACAGACCAAGTAGATCGGACACCACTGTCATGGGCAGCCGAAAATGGCCACGAGCTAGTGGTTAAGCTGCTACTTGACAAGGATGCTCGTCTAGAGACAAAGGACGATATTTATGGTCGAACACCGCTGTTATTGGCTGCGGAAAATGGCCATGACCTAGTGGTTAATCTGCTACTCGAAAAGGGTGCTGATTTAGAGACAAAGGACGACAATGGTCAGACACCACTGTCATTGGCAGCCGAAAATGGTCATGACCTAGTGGTTAATCTGCTACTCGACAAGGGTGCTGATTTAGAGACAAAGGACGATGGTCAGACACCGCTGTCATTGGCAGCCGAAAATGGTCATGACCTAGTGGTTAATCTGCTACTCGACAAGGGTGCTGATTTAGAGACAAAGGACCATGGTCAGACACCGCTGTCATTGGCAGCCGAAAATGGTCATGACCTAGTGGTTAATCTGCTACTCGACAAGGGTGCTGATTTAGAGACAAAGGACGATATCTTTGGTCAAACTCCGCTATCACTAGCTGCCGGAAATGGTCATGACCTAGTGGTTAAGCTACTATTCGACAAAGGTGCTTGTCTAGCGACAAAGGATAACTACGGTCAGACACCGCTGTCATTGGCAGCCCAATATGGTCATGACCTAGTGGTTAATCTGCTACTCGACAAGGGCGCTGATCCGGAGACAAAGGACTAGTATGGCCGATCATCGTCATTAGCCAATGGTGAAGCTGTTGCTGAATAACGGCGCTGATCTGGATGATAAATCAACATAAAGTTCTGTCCGGGTCTGTTTGGGGCGAAAATATGCTGTCATCTCGCGTTGGAAAGTAATTATTCGCTGTAAATTATTGACGGCTCCCTTTTTGGGCGGAATGCCACGTTCAGGTTAGACCATTATGCAGGGATGAGCCATCAGTAATCATATTATACGACAGGATAACGCTACTTTGTTTGTTCATAGCGGTGGTATCGTGATTTTTCCATCTGTGAAGGTATTCACAACCCAGATAGTATCCCTTGGCGTTGGAGTTCAGTGAGAAATCAAGGAGCCACGGGTGGCCATACTTCTCCAGACGGATCGTACCCTTGATTTTAATTTTAATTTCTGTGGTTTACCTCGTGCCCAAAACGAACGAAGTGAGATGGACAGTTTACCTTCGTGTGCAGGGAGAAATCTTGTTGTTAATAATTCTTCATGAAACGAGGAATGAGTGAAGGAATTGGAATTACGACCGCCACGCGCGAACATGTGCTCCCACTGCCAAAATCTTCGCCGATCTCGTTGATCGGTCAAATCTGCGCCAAGGAATGCCCTTACCTCCTATCTTATAGTCGGCAGGCTCCCGGCGTCCTTCCTTTGTCCTAATGTTGTCCCTGTTATATCCAGCATATATGCCCTTGTGCGGCTAACTAATTCGCCTATTAAGTATGCATGTAAATTTCCCGCGACCCATTATCACAAGCAAGCATCCAAACTTCATATGATCACTCAGCTCTGCCTCTTTCGTTTTAGGGCCACAGTGTGCGAAGCGCGTGTCACCGGTTATGGGATACGTTATAAATGAAGCCATCGAAGATGGTTAGATGATTCACGTATATTTCCATACGAGTGCTCTGATTGGCCACTTCCAGCACACCCGCCAGTCGAAGTTTATAACACTTCGTGTTCCTCCCTTCTTCTTTCTCTTGCTGAATATTTATTTCTCAATAATTCTCAATAATCCAATAAATCCAAATATTTAGTGGCACATCCATCCGCGAGGTAAGTGTAAACCCAGACGCGTCCTACCGCGTCACATCATTCCCAGCTAATTACAAACACAGCCAACCTCCAACCGTAACCCAACAGGGACCCCAATACAAGTCCCTAAACAACAAGAGCTGAAACTCCAATAAAAGACATCCCATCAAGGAGCAGCAGACATGGCAGTTCCCCCAGTATCACAGACTGCCCACCTGTCATCACCCTCACCACCACCCTCAATATCGTCACCAGCCCAAAAAGAAATCAAAAAGAAAACCAAAGAAGAAACCAAATCCCCACCTCCCCCAGAAATAACCCCACAAACCAAAAAGTACCTGCACAGAATATCCCTCCACCCAACTCTAACCCCCTTCCGCCGCCGCGTCTACCGCACCCTCCTCTCAGTCCCACCAGGCCGCTGGACAACCTACTCAGCCATGGCAAAATACCTAGGATCCAGCGCGCGCGCAGTAGGCAATGCAATGCGGACTAACCCCTTTGCGCCGGAGGTTCCCTGTCATCGGGTCCTGGCTGCTGATGGGCGGTTGGGTGGGTATAAGGGGGAGTGGAAGGTTGATGGGCATAAGGCTTCTGGGTCGTTTTCTGAGGAGAAGATGGTTAGATTGAAAGAGGAGGGTGTTGATTTTGTGGATGGGAAGGTTGTTGGGGTTTGTTTTTGGAGTTTATTGATCTGGGGAAGTGATTTCGGGGTTACTGTTTGTACTGTGTTTTTGATTCTATTGTGGAGTATTGCGTTGGAGGATTTGAGGGTGTTTTTGAGGCTGGTATGTTGTTGGAATATACTACTTGGATCAATTTATGTTCAATGTTTGTACACGAAGCTTTCTGTTAGCAAATATACAGTAGTCCCTAGCTTTGAAAGGCTGAAATGAACACCGTCACAGAGTTTTGTCGGTTGTTTCATGGTGATGGGACTAAGGAGGTGACTAAGGATTGGAGGGACGATGCGCGATCCATTGGTGAGAATTGCGCTGCTTGGGATCGGTATGATGATTGCCGTGGACCGATCTAGGACGATGGGGCTGCTATTTAGGGACAGGGAGCAGACTGGGTTGTTAGTATTGCAATTCAGGTACATATATTGGCTGAAAAAGTCAATTCGGTGCATGGGAATTGGGTTGAGGGTTGTAGGGTGTGATGATCTACAGTGATGGCGTCGGCGTTTCAAAAGATGAGTGAAGACTTGAGTACTGGGGGAATGTTAAGGAGTAGTGCAGGGTTACGTCAAACACGAGAACTAACTTAACTTATGATCTGCATTTTCACTTTTCACCTTGTATTCTGACTTTCTTTGTTCTTGGTTATAGATCCTGCGAGACTTCAGGACCCAACCTAGCAGAAGCATGGTTTGATCGACAAAGACGTTACATTCGAGACTCGTTGTTTTCGAACCATAGCTGTAATGCAATCCTGCAACTAACCAGCTAGCGTGTGACCGATAGCATCTACTCCTGCAGGTACCTCAGCTAGGTAAACACTAAGTTAGTGAATCCTTGCAGATCAGAGCCCCGAAAAAGGGGACGGAAAAATTGAAATGGCGCGAAGGCAAAAAAGTGGCCCAATGAACAAATTGAGAAGGTGAAACGTAATCGCAGTGAAAATGCAGGAGAACATGGATAATAAATCATCATCGTTGTTATTCAGTCATAATGGAGCTCAATAAACCAATATCTCATCTAACCCTGTGCCCGTCTAAAAAATCAATAACCATAACGAAGGAGCCGACAGCTCACAGAAGCATCACATCAACACAAAAATAGAAAGGATAAAGTAGGAAAAGAAGGCGCACGTCTTCTATACAGGAACCCGATGCATGGCCGGAATGCGATACAGTATATCGATGAGTCAAACAAGAATAGAAACAAAGAAAACAGAGGCAAAGTCGTAAGATCGTAAAGCGGACAGACGCAAAGCACCACGGACGATCATGAGATATCCTTAGCAGCGCGCTTGCAGCCGCCCCGCTTGGGGACATGCATGTGGTGATACGAGCGGAGGTGCTCGACGAGATGATCCTGACGCGGGAAGCCATTGCTGCCCTTCCGCGAGCAGTGATCGACAGGGCAGTTACGGAACACGGGGTAGTGAACGCTCGACTGGTGGCGCTTCAAGTCCGCGAAGCGAGTGAAGGCCTTGCCGCAGTCGTCGCATCCGAATGGCTTGGCAGGTCTACAAAGAAAGAGAAATGTTAGCGCATTGGTCTCACTGTTGCTATGGACTATCACGACGAGGAAGGCTAGGCTTACTTGGAAGCAGGGGCCGGCGAGTCTGAACCGGATTCATACTCGTACCCGCTGACGCTGACGGGGTAGTTGGGCAGGGCGATGTCCTCGCCGGGGAAGTTGAAGCTGCTGCTTGCACAGCTGCTGGCGCAGCTTGATGCGCTCTGGGGCATGATTTGGCGCTCGAAGACGGGGAATTCGTGGGTGGTTGGGTAGTAGGGCGAGCTGGTGATGTTGTATACATCTGGAGCGGCGACCTCTTGGATTGGGAAGGGACTAATAGGGTCGAGATCGCAGAGGGGATCGTAGACGGGCTGTGCGCCGTAGAAAAAAAGTCCATGCCGCCCGGAGAGGAGGAGTAGGAGGAGTAAGAGTCTGGGTAGTAGGGGGACTGCATGTCGAGGGAGGAATCTGAGAGAGATCTGTGGTTCATATTGGAAGGAATTGGGATGCCAGCCTTTTAAAGAGAAGGGAAGATCAGCGATCTAGAATACGATGCAAGTTAAGCTTCGCCTACCATTATGAGACGCCGGTGGGAATCCTTGTGAGTTATGGAAATCTTAAAGTGGCTGTTGGGGGCGGAATATTGGTATAAATGTACAGGAAAATGTTTCTCAAAGAGTACCGTGCCCTTCCTTTTATGTTTCTACAGGTGCATGACCTAAATACCAGCCCTTTTAGCCCAAGACGCCAACACGGGACAAGTGTGTTCTTGGCCGCGTCTGTGAATGGCCGTGGGGATGACTTCTAGAAGACAACTCGAAGCAGAGTGGACGAGAGCACACAGCCTCCCCGCCCATTTCCTGCGGGAATTGCAGTCTAGCGGGAAGACATTCTACGGAGCTTCTAGCGGCCCCTTAAGCCGGTTTGTTTGGGCGATGATTGGGGGCCAAGAGGAGGACGTCTCAAGTCTCAGCCAATACAACCTCGCGATAACCTGTACAATCAGGGAAGCGGTCAGCCTGTGCAGACAGACCTGCATCTGCCCCCTCCTCCTCGACAGTGCGTGTTCTCATTCGCGGACGGACTTCTGTGTGTTTTCTAGCGTCTTTCTAGCGTCTCTCACGGTCTGACGGCATAGGGGTGCTTAGCCCCTACTGGCGTCATCAGACATTAGCAGCGTGTTTGCTGTTTCATGTTCCGCTAATGTGTTCGAGTCCAGGCAGAGTGATACGAGGGTGATTCGAGTTCGAGTCCAAGTCCCACAGGTGACATGTCCGAGTCGAGTTGATGCACTTGGGGTTCATGCTCATGCTCATGTTCTGTTCTGTTCGTGTTGACGTATCCAATTCGGGACTGTTGTGCCGAGTAGGGATCCACGCAGCCTTGCGAACTTGATCTCTCCAATCCGGGGTCGCAGATCGACGCCGATGATATAATGCGACCGCACAGCCCCTGGCTAATCCTCGTCTTCTGGAAAAGAAAATCCCGCACTTTTAGCGTCTTGGCTTGGTTACTAGGTACTTGTCTCTGGGGAAAGATGAAGCGATTCGTCACATGCACATGTAGCGACGGGGATGTTTCCGGGCAATGTGTACAGATAGATGTCTTCCGCCCGGACCCCTCGGTCCTTTTGTTCTACTGTTCTTAGTGGCTTCTATGCATGTCCTATTGTCTGATCACGGGATAGGCAAGGCAGACTGCATAACCGGCTTTGTTGGTGTACAATCTACTCTCTCGTATTACATATGCTCCTTGTAGGATACCCGAGGTCCATTCAAACAAGTGGAAACACATAAAAACTCCCTCGTTGAGGCCCATTCATTGCACTCATTGCCCGATCCCCCAAAACGAAAACAGTACTAGCAGAACATAAGAGTAACCCCGTGATATCCCTCAACCCGATCCGGCCCAGTCTAGTCGTAGCGTCGGGCGATGCAGTTCGGACAATCCAGGTCTCAACCGGGTGGGAAAGTCCCAGGGTTCATGTAAAAAAGAACACGTTATAACTCGTCCTCGAGGTATTTGTAGACGAACTTGAAATCAGCCTTGCGGCGATTCATCCTGTTCAGTGTGCGTAAGTGGTGAGTTCCTGTAGTTGACGCTGGGATGGTCGGAAGGCCGAAACTAACCATGTGCTCTCATAATCAAAGAACCGATAGGTGCCTTGCTCAAATTCCTCGGTGATGTTCTTGGGTTCCTCGTGACGCTGGAACCACGTTTGGTACTGTTTGTGGAAGCGCCAACTCTGATTCCGGAGTGCCTTGGCCGCAAGGTATTGCTGGTAGGTGCCTTGACGATAGTAGAAGAGGTAGAAAAGCGTGTCTGTGTCAATTCTGCCTGTATCGTACAGCCGGGGATCATCGAATATGGAGAGGGGTTCCTGTGGGTAGTATAGGGGGTGCTGTAGGGGTTCTGGGGCTTGTAATGGCGAGGCTTTTCAGCATCTCCTGCCTCCGGACATGTGGTCAATGATGCCGCCAGTAGGCGTTGCACCGATGGCGAGGGATTCGCCGTTGCACGCGCCTTGGTCACGTCAAATGATTGGACCAGATCTTGAAGACCTGGGGGCAGATGATATACCGATTCTTCGGTTTCTGTCCCTTCTGTTTCAGCTTTCCCATTCGTTGTTGCGGTCTTATCTGCGGGAGTGGGCGATGAAGCACTCGAGGCTGCTGCGCCGGCCGGCGTCTTGGATCGGATCCCACTGAGCTCTTCAGAAGCGGTGCTCGGTGTCATTATTGACTTGGCAACAGGCTGTGCTGGCGCCACAATGGGCGAAGCTGTGGAAGAGGGCTTGGAGATAGGCATTGCCACGGAAAGGGCTGGGCTAAGACCCGGTGGTGGGGGAAGAGGCAGGATGCCCACACCACTTTTATCGCTGGCAGCTGCTGCAGCCGCGGCGGAGGCATACTTGAGGGTCTCACCGGGGGGTCGGGTGGGGAGCGGAGCGGGCTTCATGCCCGGGGTGGCACTTGATGAAGCGGACGGGTGAAGAGTAGCAAGGACAGGCAAAGGGGACTTCATTTGCGTGGACGGTCGTCGCGGTGCTGGGGTCTCTGGCTTGGCTTTGGGTTTCGGCTCAGGTTCATCGTCCTGAATGGATTGAGCATCTTGTGATGACACGCGATCACCATCTCCACCCATGCCGAACTGTGCCTCAACATCCTCGATATTCAGATCGTCGTAGAGGGTCTCATCTTCACCAGAGTAATCGAGATTGCCTCCTTCTTCGACATAGTACTTGATGCTCTCCTTCAGATCTTGCACAGCCCCCACTTCAAGGTTGCCATTTTGTAACGAACGATTGAGGAACTCGAGCTTGTTCACATGCCACTTATGTCGTTCTGTAACGTGCGCAACATCGGCCATTCGGTCTGCCTTTTTCGTATCCTTCTTTCCCTTTTTCATTTGTGCGTGGAGGGTTTCTTCTTCGGCTTCCAGGGCTTCGATCTTGAGCTGGAGTTCATCGACCATTGATGAGAGGAATTCGGAACACTCGACTCTCTCTTTCTCCTTAGGGTCGAGTCGCGATGCTGCTGATAGACCTTCCTTCGAGTAGGCTTTCGTCTTCATCTCCTTTTCGACTGCCTTGAATTGTTCCATACACTGACAGGCGGTTAGCTAATTCGACCCAAGGAGGGTCTGCATTGAATGTGACACGACACTCACCACTTCAATAGCCTTTCGCTGCTCAATGAGCGGGGCTTTGTCCTTCACCTCATTGCCAGCTGCCCATGACTTGATCTGATCACGGAACCTTTGGAGCTTCTTGATCTCGCGCTTAAGGTTGTCTTCGAGCTTATCCCGTTGCGTGGGATTCGTGGCCTGGCGAATCTTCTCATAGATGCCCTCAAACGTCTGAATGCCTTCCGACACCTTTTTGAAGGTCTTGTCGATTTCCTGTTGCGTCTTACGTGACGCCATTACAGAATCGGTGGGATGCGGACTCCGTCCACAGGCGGGATTTCGATGCGGTTAAAGCGGACGGATGGGTTGTTTGCACTCCCCACGGTTGGGAGATTGCAATCGGAGTAATTGAGATTGGAAATGGGGTCAAAATCGCACTTGTAGACAATGAAGGGCTAACACTTGATCGCAGAATGCCTCTCCGCGCTGGGGTGGAAAGCTTCGTGGTTGCTGGATCGGGTAGGCGGTGAGGGGCGGAGGGAGAGGCGAGGGAGGAATGCCTCCAACACGTCAACTTCAGTTTGCATCTCTTGCATCTCCACTGTTTTGGGTCGCAAGTCATACGCTCTCAGTCTCCGCACCTTCCTAAAGGGCTACAGGGCTGTGTTATCACCTTATTTCCGGGTTTGTCCCCAGATCGCAAGCTATACACGTTCTGTTACTCCGTACTGACGTTGAATGTATTCCTAGTCCCTTTAACCTCTCTATCCTTCTTCCTCAAGATGAAAGGTTAGGACCATCCGGCTCGATACACAGAAACACGCTAATCCCGCCAGTCGTGATACAAAGAGTCAAATCGGCGTCCGTGAGCGTCGATTCAGAGTTGATCTCCTCTATTGGCAAGGGCCTGCTAGTATTTGCTGGTATTGGCCAAGAAGATACCGAGAAGGATGCAGAGAACCTGGTGAATAAGGTGTTAAAGGCCAAATTCTGGCCAGACGAAAATGGATCACAAGTATGGTAATCCTGGAACTATACATGACATGAGCGGCAAATTGACATTGTCGCAGTGGAAGAGGAATGTTCAAGACATTGAGGGAGAAGTACTATGTGGTATGTGGCTATATTCCCGGTGTATGGGAAGCTACTAACGCCTGGTTTAGTTTCGCAATTCACCCTCTATGCAAAGATGAAGAAAGGCAACAAGCCTGATTTTCACGATGCAGCCAAACCAGAAACAGCGCGGAGGGTCTATGATTACTTCTACGACAAGATGCGCGAATCCTACGTCCCAGACCGGGTAAAAAATGGTGTCTTCCAGGCCATGATGGAGGTCGAACTGAAGAACGACGGGCCGGTGGGTGTAGATTACCGCAGTGAAGATGCGGCGGTACATTTTGCCTTCCTGGCTCCTATCTTCGCCGCTATGGAATCCATACTGACAAGAATATCATGCAGGTCACCATCGAGATCAACACCAATCTCCCTAAGAAGGAACCTAAGGAACCGAAAGACAATAACAAGCCGGAAGAGGAGGAGATAAAGAAGACATTTGAGTTCCAACTGCCAGCTGAACTGCTGCAGTGAAAAAATAGACATAGAAGTGTATAATAACTGTAGTTGATACCCCAATGAAGACATACAAAGACATACAACATGACCGGAGAGGTGCAGCGGCCATGGAAGCTTCCTGAACCACAAAACCGCGCTGTCCCCCACAACGCGCCTCATATTTCTCCTCCGCCAACTCTCTTTTATCAACTCACTTTCCTCCATATTCTTCTCCACTTTTGCTTTATTCCTTTGACTCCACCGCCATGGCATCTCAGCGTACGTCTGCGGGGTCCACCGATCTACCCGGATGAGTTACAGTACTGACAAAGAGCTAGGCTCCCGTGTCTTCTTTGACATTCAAGTCGGCGACAACAAGCTTGGTCGGGTGACATTTGAGCTTGTAAGTTGCCCAGATTTCTCGTCTAGTTGAGCTTGCAGCTAACCTTGGCCGTCACACAGTTCAACGATGGTACGACATGATTTTCCCGCTCGACAATCCGAAAACTAACAATTAAACAGTCGTGCCCAAGACCGCGGACAACTTCCGAGCCCTGTGCACTGGCGAGAAGGGCATTGGTACCCAGGGCAAGGAATTGACCTACAAAGGCATGTCTCCGATACCCCGCCATTCAGCATTGGCGTCGACTAACCGCGCAACTCCGATACAGGCTCAATTTTCCACCGTGTGATCAAGCAGTTCATGATTCAGGGTGGTGACTTCACCGCGTTCAATGGCACCGGCGGCGAGTCGATCTACGGCGAAAAGTTCCCCGACGAGAACTTCGATCTCAAGCATGACCGTCCCTTCCTCCTCTCCATGGCCAACTCCGGCCCCGGCACCAACGGCAGTCAATTCTTCGTTACGACTGTCCCTACTCCCCACCTCGATGGCAAGCACGTCGTCTTCGGCGAGGTGATCAACGGCAAGAGCATCGTTCGCAACATCGAGAACATGAAGACTCAGTCCGACAAGCCCTTGACCGATGTGACTGTGGTGGACTGTGGTGAGCTCTCCGGAGAGGACTACGAGAATGCGACCAAGCGTGTCCAGGACGCCACAGGCGACCCATACGAGGACTTCACCGAGGACCACCAGGGCGAGGAGCTTACCGCCCCGCTCTGCTTCAAGATCGCTTCCGACCTCAAGGGATTCGGAAATACCGCATTCAAAAGTGGAGATCTTAACCTGGGTCTCGACAAATACCAGAAGGGTCTGCGCTACCTCAACGAATTCCCCGAGGCTGGTGAGAACGACCCCAAGGAGCTGAACGTGCAGATGAAGGCTTTACGATTCACCCTGCACTCCAACTCGTCCCTGCTCGCAAACAAGCTCAAGAAGTATAGTCAAGCTCAAAACTGGGCTTCTTATGCGCTCCAGGTCAGCGATGCTGCCCAAGTCAAGGATGCCGACAAGGCCAAGGCCTACTTCCGTCGTGCTGTTGCCTACGAGGGTCTGAAGGAAGAGGATTCCGCCCTTAAGGATCTTCTGGAGGCTGAGAAGCTGTCTCCTACTGATGCCGGTATCATTAACGAGATCGCCAAGGTCAAGAAGACCGTCAAGGACCGCGAGGCCAAGGATAAGGCTGCTGCCCAGAAATTCTTCTCTTAAGATTCTTGCTAGTGGTTCAGATTCTTTTCCTTTGTTCTATCATGATTCACGACGTGGTCTCCATGTGCCCCCAATGACCCCAGATGTATGACATAACATCCAATCCCTCGGCAATATACATTGATCTTTGGTTAGTTCTGACATACTATCCTGTATCATGTCCTGTACCATGACAGTTGTTTAGCTAGTTCGGTTTACATGCCAACAAAGACATATACATTGCCAAACTTCTAAATATGTAAAGTACGTTCTCCCAAGAAATATCATTGGGCTACTCATCGCCGGAATATCAAAGGGCTGGATGGATATCACGCCCCGTTTCCGCCAAAAACTTCTCATATCGCCCCTTACACTTTCGACGCCATGTCTTCCCCCAAATAATCATAGGAACGCCCATCAACACAGACAGGACAACTAGTATGCCAAAGCAGGTAAACGTCCATCCGTAATTAGTCGCGTCAATAAAGGGCTGCACGGAAAAAGAAATAGCGAAGTTAATCAACGAGGAGCAGATAGCCAATACTACGACGAGTTCACCAGAGATCTATAGAAACAGACCATTAGCAAGCCCACCTGAATAAGCCAAACAAAGCAAAGCCATAACTTACCCCATCGAAACATTCCATGGCATAAGTCGTCGCCAAACTCGTCACAGAAACCTGTTGAGCAATCAAGCAACACAACCCCACCGCAATGGCCATCCAATGCTCGCCATATGTAGCAGCCCACCCGTAAGTAAAGTATCCCACAGCACCGAAAATGAAGGGGAATATATAAGCCCACAGGCGCATCTCGGGCTCTTTATATCCCTTGTTTCGGCGTGCTAGAACTAGAACAATCCAATCAGAAAGGGAGCCGACGCCCATTCTGATTATTTCATTTGATTAGTAGGCTTCATAAATGTTGACATGATAACCTTGGAAGTGAAAGCTCACCCTAGGAAGTTTCCAACCAGAGCAGCAAGGAAAATCAACCCGGTCGACCCGGCACTCCAGCTATATGGTGCTTCGGTCATAATCTCGGAGATGGTATTGAAGGATACTATGCCTGCTGTGCATCCGAATGCAAATTGGATACCGGCGAGGACAATGTTAGGGAAGGCGAAAAGGTAGAATGGTCGCCGGAAATATTGTAGCCAGGTTGTTTTATCGTCTGGGAAATAGTGCACTAACGCGACTTTTTGCCAGTAGCTCCGAGTTGGGATCTGTTCATGGGAATCCTCACTTGTCGCTGTAGAGACAGGCGACTCCGATCTGGGGTGTTTGTCGGACTTATTCTGTTCTTCTTTAGGTGCGCCTGAGACAGATAGTCCGATATGTAAGGCGTTGTTGAATCGATATCGTGGAAACATGGTGTCATCGAATGTGAAGATGAATAGTAGAATCAAGACACCCTTTGATGGAACGTTAACTGACGCGTCTGTGTTCAAGAGTCATGGATTTCATACGCATGCAATCGCTACAATGGGCGAGCTCCATCGCCAACCAATCCCATCAGAGATATATCCTCCCAAGATCAAGCCGAGGATTGAACCGAGTTGTTGAAAGAAGATGTAAATTGACACCATCCGACCACGCTCGTGGGCGAAGAACATATCGAATATCTGGGAAAAGTGAGAATCCAAGTGAAGCATATAAGAACATGGGCACTCACAGTAAGTTGAATCAGCGCTTGGTACGCAGCAGTACCAACCCCCTGGATGGCAAGCATGATGTAGTATTGCGTAGTGCCCGTATAAAATCCACCCCAAACACTGCCACCAAGAAGGATAAGCAAACTCAAAATGTAAACAATCTTTCGACCGAACTTCATTGCCGAGGGGATCCAGACGATATTGAAGAATCCAAGAAGTAGATAATTCAAAGCTGAGCCGCCGTTCATGTTGTTTAGACTGACGCCTGTCTCGGATGATATCACTGTCCAGCTTGCTCCCCAGTTGTTTTCGCCGAATGAGAATACACAGGCGTAGAAGGAGATTAGGAATAGTGACCAGCACTTCTTGAGGCGTTTCCAGTTCTAAATTACATGATTAGGATGCTTTCTTCTCTTTGATTTGGTGTTGACATGGCCTGGATACATACTAGAGGATCTGCCAGCGAGTTTGAAGGCTGTGGAATTAGAAGGATGTCCTGTTGGCCGGCGTGAGCAGCATCTCGTAGATTATGAGATGCTGAGTGTTAGATGTTAGCATCACAGTCCTTCTCCATCTAGCAAGTGTGTATTGAGTGTATCGGTACTTACTATCAACCAAGTAGACTGTACCAGGGACATCTGTTTGTATATCATCCGATCGAGCCATATTTGCAAATCAGAATGTGGGTACCCGAAAGCAGTTGAGAAAAGCCTCCTTTATATACCCATTTTATACCACATTGCTACACGAGTTATCTGTTCCTTTACATCTATTATCACCGCGTGTCGGAACATACCGACCTTGTTTACCAGCCATTCACGCTCTGAGATACGCCACTTGGTGAGGGGAATAAATAATGGAAGCTCCAAGCGGTAGCACTGACAGTGATCACCGATACTGAGAAGAAACTCATTGGTGTGAAAATCTCCAACTGTGATAATAATGATAAGACCGAGGTCGAGTGAAAGATGTAGATGTAGCCGTGCGGAGAAGCTTACCCCGGGCTCAAGTGGTGGGAAGGTCCAGGCGACACGCTAAGGTGACAAGCATACGAGTCTAAGCTTGGCCGAAAGTTGCCATGTCGCTTCAAGTTTGTTGTCTATCATATGATTGATGGGCTTGGCCGCTTTCAATCTTCGCTCCCGTTGAAGTTCCCGACTCTCACACCCCTCTTCGACAGCAACGGCATTCTATCGCCTCACAATGGCACCTGAATTAAACAAAAGTTCGTCAATTCTGATCATCGGTGCTGGTACATGGGGATGCTCAACTGCCCTCCATCTGGCCCGTCGGGGATACACAAATGTCAAAGTACTGGACCCTCACCCGGTGCCGTCGCCCATTGCGGCGGGGAACGACATCAACAAGATCATGGAGCATAAGGAACTCAGATGTAATCATCCTTTCAAGCTGCATTCTCCAGATATATAAATTGTCTGACATTCCGCAGCCCCGAACCCCGATGCTCGAAGCATTGCATTTGCTATATGCACCAGAGCCGCATTGAATGGCTGGACAAACGACCCAGTCTTTCAACCCTATTTCCATGAAACTGGATTCATTGTTTCTGGGCATACACCTGCCCTCATAGAGCATATCAAAACCGACGAAGTCGACCAGTCCGAAGGCGACTGGGTGGCCCTGGAAACAGCCGAGGATTTCCGCCAAACCATGCCACCAGGTGTTCTGACCGGGGAATTCCCAGGCTGGAAAGGCTGGATAAGCCGATCCGGTGCAGGATGGATCCATGCTCGAAAGGCTATGGTATCTGCTTACAGCAAGGCGCAGAGTCTAGGTGTGAATTTTGTAACTGGCTCCCCGCATGGAAATGTTGAAAGCTTGATCTACAAAGATGGAGATGTGGTCGGAGCTCAAACGGCAGACGGGCAGGAACATCTTGCAGAGCATACCATCCTCGCAGCTGGTGCTGGCAGTGACCGGCTGCTAGATTTCAAAAAGCAGCTGCGTCCGACGGCTTGGACTTTGAGCCATATTCGAATGACGCCCGAGGAAGCGAAGAAATACCGGAACCTCCCTGTCCTGTTTAACATTGCAAAAGGGTTCTTCATGGAACCCGATGAAGAGAAACACGAGCTCAAGATCTGCGATGAGCATCCAGGATACTGCAACTTTGTGGCGGATCCCGATCATCAAGGTGAGAAGAGGAGCATACCATTTGCCAAGGAGCAGATTCCACTTGAAGCTGAAGCACGAGCTCGGGATTTCTTGCGTGATACTATGCCGCATCTTGCTGATCGGCCTTTTTCCTTTGCTCGTATCTGCTGGGATGCCGATACCGTCGATCGTGCTTTTTTAATTGACAGACACCCTGAGTACGCTTCGCTCGTGGTTGCTGTTGGTGGGTCTGGGAATGGTGCTATGCAGATGCCTACTATTGGTGGGTTTATTGCAGATGCATTGGAAGGGAAATTGCAAAAGGAATTGAAAGAAGTTGTCCGTTGGAGGCCAGAGATAGCTATTGATCGAGATTGGAAATCTACCCAGAACCGTTTTGGTGGACCTGACAAGTTGATGGATTTCCAAGATGTGAAGGCTGATGGGTGGACAGATATTGGAAGATGATGAAAGGTCAACTATAAAGAAATTACTTTCTGTGATTCGAATGACTTGTGATAAATGAACACTCTCCTGCTTAAGGGCCCCCATGATATTCTCTTATTGGCTCACAAAAGCGCAAGTTCCCATATCCTTCTTGACTACATCCGCCTCGGGCCGAATATCAAAGTCAAAGATATCCATCGGCACTGAAAGTGTAGTACAGGCATTAGGGATATCCACAATGCCAGCAATGTGTCCTTGCACAGGTGCACAGCTAAGTAGCAAATAGATCTGATAATCACTATATCCATAGCGCCGAAGATACTCAATCACCCGCAGACAAGTCTGTCTATAGGCGACAGTAGCATCCAAGAAGTGCTGCTTACCATTCTCATCGACTGAGAACCCTTCAAAGGTGAGATATCTTCCAGGACCAAACTGCGGCTCCACAGGCCCGGCATTGAAAATGGGTGACTTCATGTCCAGTTTCGCCATGCCGTTCTTGATGACTGAGAATTTCAAAGTGACGATACCGGCCATCTCGATGGCTCCACAGAATGAAATCTCGCCATCTCCTTGCGAGAAGTGCAGATCTCCGACGGAGAACTTGGCGCCTGGAACGTGGACGGGTAGGTATACCTTCGATCCACGGGACAGGTTCTTAATATCACAATTTCCGCCATGCTCGGGCCGGCCCTGCAGGAATCAGCATGCAGATTGACTATTAAGCCGAATGAATACTTACTGGGATAGTTCGAGCTCCCTCCTTGGCAATCTTGGCCTTGACGTCCTCCGAAGCACTTCCGCCATGGGCATTTGTGACCAGCGGCGGCTGGGCAACAATCCGATCAGCGATTGTGTTTGCGGCGATGAGCTCGCCTTCGCGACGGTTCCATTCCGCCAGAACCTCGGCCGAAGGAGCACATCCCATGATTCCAGGATGGATCAGTCCTGCAAATCGAACATGTGGAATGTGCCGAGATGAGCAGAAGATGCCTTCGAAGTCCCAGATTGCCTTTGCTCTAAGACAAATATTAGGACGGGTGTGTAGGACAGTATAAAGAAGAACTTACGCTTCTGGGTAAAGCTCATCCAGGAAACCTCCTCCATTCTGCTTGTGAAAAACACCCGTGAACCCCCAGGGCTGCTCTTCGAATGGCTGAACATCTTGAATCTCAACGAGTAAAACATCGCCGGGCTCGGCAGTCTCAATGTCGAATGGTCCCGATAGATAATGGATGTGAGTGAGGTCTACATTCTTGATGTCGTCGGCGGAGTCGTTGTTTCCGATTTGTCCTCCTGTCCAGTCGAGACATTCAATTTTGACAACTTCGTTGTTGGCAATCTTGCCGCAGGCAGGGACTATTAATTCGGAAGATCTGTGTTATTATATCTGTTAAATGCAGGGTGTTGTGGGGATGGTTTGCATACCGTCTGGGTGCCATCTGTTCTATCGGTCATTTAGCAAGCTTTCCTCTATTACGAGGGCACGAATTTAGGAGCTTACATGCAAACCGGGCTGCTCATTTGCAGGCTTGTTGAGATCGACTTTTAGAGCAGTACGGATTCCTTTGATACCCATGTTTGCAGGCGTTGAGATCCGGTAGTTATTTGGGGTGGTTATGAACTGACTACTTTAATCGTTTACTCCCAGTTTGAGGGGTTACAGTCAATTATATCAAGAATCCCCTCACGATAACACATTACCCCGCAGGTCGGATGTATATGCTACGAATAGTACCGAGTGGAATTCTTTGCTACTTGGGGCTTATCATCGCTTTATCTCGCATATCCCCGGAAACTGATAAGCCACTTCATACATATTTGGCCATGTGAATAGGCTCAAATGTGATGCATTTTTGTGACTTACAGGATGAAGTAATGCTTCACTCCTTCATATGCTCTGTCGCTCTGAAATACATGAGATCTATCAAACATTCTGATACCATGCTTAATTCTGGGATATACCCTCACTTCTGTACTCCGATGCCTTAAGAAAACTTCTTTGTAGGGACGTTGGTATCCTCACGTTGATCCATGTCTACATTCAACTTGTCAAGGTTGTCAAGAGACAAGCGCAGGAAATCATGCTTGTTCTTCCAGGTAACCTGACTCTCGGCGAAATCTTGACTTTCAGCAGGAGGTGGAGGCGGGTCTGTGATCTTGGTGACAAGGTACGCCGTGGAGGCTTCGGCAATGCCATACATCAGCACGCCGATGAATGGGGTTCGCAAGGCAACAGTGAAAGCGAAAGCGAAGCCGAACAAGACACCTTCTCGGTCCCGGAACCACCGACGTTTTTGCTCGGGGGTGAACTTGATGCGCCAGAAGTATGGTTCGAGCTAGATACCGTTAGAATAATCTCATGGTTTGCAGAACATGGCTGGACCTACAAGTTCTCGCATCAAACTTCGGGAAGCAAAGTAGGTGTGAAGGAACATGATGATGTACTGCTTGGGAAGAAGCAAGCCGGCAGCAAAGATCACGGCAGCGGGTTGAGTGCCGATATGGCTTCGCAAACTGTAGAAACTTGCCGCAGGCATAACGAAGCGACCGATGATGATGACCATGGATAGTAGGTAAAGCCCGAGTCCTATACCGATCTTCTTTGCATAGCGATTGAAGAATGCCATGAGGGCTTGAGGGATCGGCTGAGAAGCACTCGAACCTCCTTTGGCAGAGTACTGCACAAGATTGGGATAATACATAGCACGCAGTGTATTAGGATTTTCCGTTTTATGTTTTTGGATGTACGTGATGTCCACCCATTGAATGGATTGCATGAAGCTATTCAAAGAATTAGCCATCTAAATCAATGTAATTGCGGAGCAAAGAACCCACATCTCATCCAGTGTGGGGGTCACATATCGCATCAGGGTCATGAGCAAGAATGGCACCTGAAGAACAGACTTGTTCATGAAGTCCAAGCCATTGAGAAGCTTGTCATCCCATACCGCGCGCTCGAGGTTGACTACCCATGACAAAAGGTAGATCGAGAATTTGACACTTATGATCTTGAGATTAAGTTAGAAATCTGTCTTCTAGACATGAAGAAGTGGGAATATACCGGAATCTGAACGATCAATTGGATAACAATGCCAACGGCGATAGCAAGGGCTGCTTGGCGGAAATGCTCGTATTTAAAAAGCTCGGGGTTGCTCAGTGCACGAACAGCTAGAAGCTCTCGTTAGCAGATGCACAACTGTGGATCATTTCAGTGATCATTCCAAGCAAAGTGACGAGAGGTGGCTGGATAGGTCCATTACACGCTCCTTGTTGCAAGTCTTGGCAGAAACTGCGGAAGCTATACACAAATGACATGGAGCATAGCATGATCAAGGGTCAAACTCGAGGCTGGAAGAGACCTGAGCTGCAGAAAACACAGACGGGAAAACATACTTCCCACCACAGTTAGCTGGAAGCCGCGGATCACGGCATTAGGCTCGAAATTCGACATGGTTGTCTCTTGAGAGCCTTGAAGGTCCCCTCAAATTCCACTACGAAGAAGATGATCACCAAGCAAGGAGCATTCTTTAAGTGAAACAGAAAATAGCAGTGGAGGGCAAGTCGTCCATTGAAAGCTGCGTCATGGTCACCTGATCCACGCCTGAGGCCGCCGTGCATCTCTCCGCAGGCGCGACACAGCCTCAGATAAGCCCATCTGCATATACCCTGGCTCCTTTGTACAAATATGTCACTTTAGTATCTCCATATCTCCACTCCTTTCGATCGCATTCATGAACCATGCCTGAGTCCCCAGAGCCCTCAGGCCAGATAAACTCCCTTCGACGCTCCCTCACCCTTCCCACCAAGTTAAACCCTCACGCGCAACGACGCTCGAGCGTCCCGAACACCCCCGAAAATGTGATCTTCTATCATCCGTCTGCGAAAATCGTTCACTTTGCCCCCAGGGCGCTCGCCCCTATTCCCTCTAGCTCATCGCCATCGGACTTCGACTACCCTGTTGACACTATCGAAACACTCCCCTGGCGCTCCGCTACAGAGCGAACGGTCGCAACTGCGCCACTGAGACTAGAGAAAGTTCACGGCCTTACAGCGTTCCTCAAATGTGGAAATGTTGTTCATGCAATCCTGAAGAACTCCCAGTGCTGGTGTGTGGACGGCGTCTCGAAATTTGTTTTGCGCATTCGCCCTCTTACATATTATCGCATCGAAATACCATACGAAACCGAAGACGATCAGAGTTTGGTCGCGGACCTGAAAGTTGCGCTGCCAACAGTGCTTCGATATGAGGTTACCCCATGTCCTTTCAAACGCGCGTTCACTGTTGAGCTCCCCAATGATGCGATGGCACCTCGGCGCAAGAAGGCTTGGCGGCCAAAAGACCAGCCCAGAGACCGCAAAGAAGGTGTACCCACCATCTTAGAGTCCCCGCAAGAGACACCATCACCTTCCTCCCTCAGATCGGAATGGATTGACTCGACGAGCACTGGAGAAGACACCGATGGCAACTGCACAGATGACAGCGGATTCACCTCGCATAAGGCTAGTAGCACCATTCTGGAGACCATTCCCGATGATCGTGAACCGTCCCCTGTTGATACGCTGGACCCTCCCAGGTATCTTGGGCCTTCTAGGCGCTCGGTGACTGAAACAACGCAGACTTTCACCAGCCTGCTTGCAAAATTCGAGGCTACATCAGTTTCAGATGATGAAATTGACTCCGGGTCTGAGCGAAAGACCGAAGATGTGTCCAGTGTTGAGGTTACGCCGCAACCAGTTACCGAATCAAAATTATTCTCTGCCAACGTTGAACCTGAACCTCAAGTCGCGGGGAATTCTGAAGCCGAGCATGAATCAGCATCTGAACAAGAAGCGATATCTCCACTGGCAGTAGAAACAAAGGCTGAGGATTCGCATAAAGTTACGGAAGCCCCGCCTACAATTCATGACGAGCTTGAGCCTGAAATTGTGTCTCATGTTGAATCCACACACACAGTCCAGCCCGAAGCAGTGTTGGCAGTGAAGCCAACAGTGAGAGTCGAAATTCAATCCGCCCATGAAGACACCCAAGATGTTGATCATGATGTCTCTTTCGCGTCCAGTCCTGAGTCGTTTCATTCAGTTGAGCCCGGCTCGCCAGATTCAGTCTCCACTCGTCCTACGTCCGCGGGAGGTCATGACCTCCCAGAGCAAAGCTATATGTTTGATTGGCCAAATGCGAATGAAACAATCTCGCATATGGAAGCTGCGGATTTAAGTCCTTGCAACAAACCACAGTCCTCGGCCAGCAATAGCTTGCCAAGTGATGCACCGAAAGTCAACGCAGCATCTGCCCAGCATCCGCTCGACCACACAAACAAAGATACTTCAAAGCGCTCTACAGATGCATTCTCAGACACCAAGATATCAGACACCAAGACTCGCTCACGGCCTGCCAGTCGGCCTCCTGCTCCTAATACCGATTTCGACCACATGAGCTTCGAGTTCCGCCGACGCGCAAGGGCCACAAGAGAACGCGATGTCTCGCCTATGCCTCCCTCGTCGGCTCTATACCGACCGTCACAGGGCGACGATGCCACGTCGTTCCTCTCCAAGGCTCTCACTCTAGTTTTGGTTCCGCCGGTCCACCTTTTTATTATTCTCATTCACATTGCTGCGCGCATTGTCATCAACCCAAATATCAACACCAGCCCACGTGAACCCTTAACTAATACCCGGAAAACCGGCACCGAGTCACCTCCAGTGGATGATTTCAGTTTTCCGTTGGAGCCTCAAGTATCTTCGGAGTACGAGGATGCTGAGATCACCCGCAAACTGGACCCCTGGGACTTGGACTAGTCGGTTGGCTGGACCCCTTCTTTCTCCATCTCATTTCGGAGCACCATACCCCCTTCTTGCACCATTTCCCTTTATGCCCATTTTAATGCTTACCCTTTTGTATTCTTCCCTATCACACCGACACACTTGATTCTAATGCTCTCCTTATGAATATTTGATACTAACTCGGACGACTCATGGATGGACATAACGCATGGATTGTATTCTACCGAACCTTTTGTATTCTAGCGTTGCATGCACTGGAGGAATCACGGGATCATGTTACGAAGTTATTAATTGACACATTGTATAGTTTTTGAGAGCTTTTTCTATGGGATTGATCTACCAGACGAATCACCTTCAACTATCTCTAGCTATATTCTGTAGCTGTAGCTATTTCCCAGCCAGTTTCGTGTGGCTGAGTTGAGATATGAACGTCTAGCCCAATAAGTCATGATACCGAGGGCTATTCATTTCTCTGTCCCGTAAGACTCATACGAACAAAAACAGCGCTCGTGTAACACAAGTGCAGGGTAATATGTACACTTGAGAAGGAAGCTCGCATCAGAAGAAGAGTGCAGAACAAGAAAGGCCAGAGCCACCATATAACGCCAGCAAATGCATGAGAAAACGAAGCCATCAACACATCGTGTGCCAGGTCCGAACCGAGTACACAGACGACGTTATCCGAATAAAACGCAGACCGAACAGCGAATCTATGCCTTGGTAGCCTTGGCAGCACCGCCCTTAGTCTTCGCCTTCTTAGCTCTGCGATCCCGCTTCTTCAACCCGGTCATGCCTGCCTTGCAGACCTCCGCATACCGGGAGTAGAAAGCCTCCAGATCATCTGGGTTGACGACTGTGGAGAGCTTGATCTTTGTAGCCTTTGATGCACGCTTGGTAATCTTGCCGTCTTTACTCGTAGCCTTGGGGTTTGGCGCATTGGTATTGCCATCTGTGGCCCGGATGAGGATAGATGGTTGAGAGTTTGTGGTTGTTGCACCGGGGACATCGATCAGGGGTTTTTGAGTGAGGTATACGGAGCCGTGGGCCTGGGAGGAAGTTTTGGAGAGGAGATCGGCGAGAGATGAGAAGAACTAGCGGTGATCGATGTTAGTGATATATAGCTAGGGAGTTGGTGATGTTGATCGCATGTGCGGGAAGCGTAGCGGTTGAGAAGAACACGAGGAACAATAATTACCTCGTCGTGGGATGAATGCGGCGCCATATTGGGATATTGTTGTTCGATGCGCACGGGAATTGACCGATCTGAAAGCTGGAGCAGTTGATCGATATACAATTGACAGCTGGGAACAACCTCGCAGTGGGGGAGAAACTCCGCTGTGGGCGCCGGTTCTCCGCCTTGGTTTTGACGCGGCAGAAAAGTGAAAAAAGTTGTCGACCGCCTGGCTGTTCCTGATATTGGGGTCCACCATTTGCTCTCTTCTCTTGAGCAGACTATACATTGCAGTACGCCAAAATGCCGCGTGCTAGGCATAATACGACCTCCTTGCCCCGGCATCTACGATCTGAGCTGGGAATCCGCGATACCTACGGTGAAAAGAAGCGTCGACTTAACGGACCGGCCTCGCGCAAAGAACGTCGCCAAAATGAGCGGACGCAGAAGAAAGGACGACATGCAGCACCACAGAATAAGAAAAACTTCCAGCGATACGAACAGCCGGCTCGGGGTGAGGGTGATGAGGAAGAGGATCTCGACCTAGACTCGGACGACATGGATCTCGATGAAGGACGCAGTGCGCCACAGACGAAGCCGAAATCTAAGGAAGCAGCCCAGAAGCCCAAGTCGATTATGAAGAAGACGCAAGCACCACAGGAATCCGAGTCCGAATCCGAGTCTGAGCTGGAAATAGACCTAGATGAAGATGAGGACGAAGACGATGAAAGCGAAGACGCCTCCGAAGACGAGTCTGAAGAAGATGTGCCGTCTGCGGCCCATGTGCCTGCAGGCATCAAGTCCAAGCTCGCGCAAGATGATGCCGAAATCGCCGCATTGGAAAAGAAGCTTGGCCTCAAGAGGGGCAAGACTTCTAAGGCATTCGAGGAGGACGGGCTAGACGATCTGCTAGGTGACCTTGGCGGTGGCGGCGACGGTTCAGAGGACGAGAGTCGCAAGCGCAAACGGGAAGCCGACGACTGGTTGCAGAGCAAGAGACAAAAGGCTAAAGCTTTGCAAGCACAAGCCGAGACAAAGGATAGCGAAGAGGATAGCGAAGAGGACGTTGACCTTGACGAGGGGATCTTTGGGAGCGAGGACGACGAAGAGGCTGCTGATGGCAGTGATTTTGAGGGGTTCGATGACGAAGAGAAGAAAGAACCTAAGAAGAAAGAAAATCCCTATGTCGCCCCTGCCCCCAAACCTGAAGCGTCTGCCCAAAAATACATTCCTCCTTCATTACGAGCGCGCGCCAATCCAGAGAGTGAATCTCTTACTCGACTGAAGCGTCAGGCACAGGGACAGCTGAACAAGTTATCCGAGGCCAACATGATTTCGATTGTCTCCGAGTTCGAAAAGCTTTACCGAGACTACCCACGTCAGCACGTCACTTCTACCTTGATTGACTTACTCATGAGCCTGATCTGTGAAAGGGCTGCTCTATCGGATACTTTTCTCATTCTGCACGCCGGTTTCATTGCAGCATTATACAAGCTTTTGGGCATGGACTTCGGTGCAGAGATTATACAGAAGGTTGTCGAAACTCTTGATGCCAATGGCGATGAGCGAGGAACGTTCCAAGGAAAGGAGACTGCCAACCTGATGTCCCTTCTCTCGCAGCTCTACAACTTCCACGTCATTGGCTCCGCATTGATGTTCGATTATATCCGCATTTACCTACAGGAAATCACGGAAAACAACACCGAGCTCCTGCTCAAGGTTATCCGGAGTAAGTAACCTAGTACCCAATAAGTATACGCAACACTAACATGTTCCTAGATTCCGGCCCGCAGCTCCGACAGGACGACCCATCCGCACTCAAGGATATTGTGCTACTCATTCAGCCCGCAGTAGCAAAGGCTGGCGAGGCTAGCCTGTCCGTCCGAACAAAGTTCATGATCGACACTATCACAGACCTGAAGAATAACCGCGTCAAGTCTTCAGCCGCAGCTGGCGCGAGTATCACCACAGAGCACATTACGAAAATGCGCAAGATCCTGGGTTCCCTAAACAACTCCAGGGTGATCCGTGCATCTGAGCCCATCAACATTTCCCGCGATGACATCCACAACTCAGCGAAGAAAGGAAAGTGGTGGTTAGTCGGCGCAAGCTGGAAGGAAGACCCTCTCGTAACCGCCCAGCAAGAAATTGCCGGTCTACCAATGAATCACAGCCACGTCCAAGACGATGAAAGTGAAGGTGAACCCGACTACGGCAACCTCGCCAGAGCTCATCGCATGAACACCGACATTCGTCGATCAATCTTCGTCGCCATCATGTCCGCCACAGACTTCCAAGACGCACACGTCCGGTTAATGAAGCTCCGCCTGAAACGTGCTCAGGAATTCGAGATCCCTCGTGTTCTGCTGCACTGTGCCATGGAGGAACAGGCACACAACCCATACTACACCCTCATTGCCCGCCGTATCTGCGGCGACATGGGCCGACGCATCAAGATGTCCTTCATGTTCGCCCTCTGGAACATCTTCAAGCGAATGGGCGAGCGAGGCGATATGGACGAAGACGAAGACGATAGCTTCGATCCCGATGACGAGGAGAACGGAGTTCCCATGAAGGCTGTGGTCAACCTTGCTAAGATGTACAGCAGCTTGATTGCGGACGGCAGCTTGACGTTGGGCATCCTGAAGACCCTCAATTTTGCATATCTGCAGCCGAAGACTAAAACCTTTGTGGAGATCTTGATCATTAGTCTCATTCAGCAGTCCCAAAAGTCCAAGAAAAAGAAGAAGTCCAAGAGCTCCAAGGCGGATGACCCTCCCAAGGACGAACAAGCCTTGATGCAGATTTTCTTGCGTGTTAAGGAGACACCGCATATCGGCAAGGGCTTGATCTTCTTTGTTCGGAAGGTTGTTGCGAAGACTGATATTGTGTCTGATGAGGAGATGAAGCTGGTTCGGTGGGGCTGCGATGTGGCTGTTGATGCTCTCAAGGCTGTGTCGGACTGAAAATCGCATATATACTCTGTGTAATTGCATGTAGATAGAATATACCCATTTTTTATGCTTACTTCTTGGCGGTAATTTTAGTATAACTTACCGGGCTAATCTCCCGTTTGAACGCCTACGAATAGACTTGGTTCATAAGATGGTTGGTAGTCTGATATGCTAGTCAGGAAGATGTTCACTTTGACCGACGGATGTACAGTCAGTTGCTGATAATATAATGTGTTGGGCCAAACCCCCACTTACAGTTTTGACAATGTGGCAGCCCGCTCCCTCTAGGATTTGGGGGATGTTTTCCAATATCTGAGTCTGTAAATATTTAGCAAGAACCTTCAGCCACCCGATTATTAACTGATGGTGGGAGCCGCCACTGTTCCCTCTACAAGACTTCCAGTTGCGGGATCGACTGCTGTGACTCCAGAGAGATAGATCATACTGACAACCACAAGGGCTTGAAAGGACTGTGCTGTTGTTTCAGGTGGAGGACCCCAGTTGACAGACCACGGCCTTCTAACTCCATAGGCCTAGGTCCCGTGATGGGGATAAAATAGCCACAATTGTACATGTATTGAAGAACACAACCAAAGATGTCTTCTACATCGCTCTGAATCCCAATAGTGCATTCACTCGGAACCAGAACCCCAGGTAAGGGGTTTTCGAAGAATGCCAGTGTGGATAGCATATTCTTTCACCTCACTATCGGATGATTTAAAGACTCGCTGCCACGGGGAGTATAGAAAGAATGTAAAATCATCGAACAAAGTCCATCAACGTAAGGAGCTGCAGATTACAAAAGAACTGGCGAATTCTATTACTTCACTCCTTCTCCAATTCTTGCGGTCTCATGAAAGCCGAGAAGAACCTCTCCATATCTTCATAGTCATCAACCTTACCAACCCAGCTCACATACTGATCAGGACGCAAGATAACGCTCGCTCCCTGGATGGGATCAATTCCATAATTAGCATAAGCCTGGCCATGACCTTCGTGATAAGACTGATCATCCACAAAGACCTTCCAATAATCCCAGCCCGTAGTCTCGCTGTACGGATGGAAGGCCTCTGGGAGATCCAAGAGCTCGAGAGTCTCTCTCGGGCCGGCGTGAACGGTCAACACTTCAATCACGCTATCAATCTGTTGGTGGGCAGGAGTATAACGATGGATAAATGAGTCCGGCGACCCAAGTCTTGCGCCTAGCTTTTGCATTCGTTGCATGTTCGGGGCGAGGCCCAATTGTCCCGGGAATACCACGATTCGCCATCTCCCATTGCTTTTCAACAATTCTTGGAAGTGGTACGGGCGGGCGTCCGATTGATTCAGGACCCTGAAACTTGGCATACGCTTGCCGACGTCGATCTTAGTTGCCACTTGGGGCTTGCTGATCACGCAGGTGGTATTGTCCAGGCTTGAAACATCTGTACCGTCCCCTTGTTTCACCGAGTCGCCTTTTTTCGCAACGATGATACTGCTGCCGTAGTTGACCGCTGATTGAAATGTTAGTGTGAGTTGTTTCTCCTTGTTACATTTCTAATCATGGATTATTACTCGGTACTTACCAATGCCACTGGCAAATTCATTTCCCTTCTCAAAGGCCGCTTTAAACTCTTCCATGCTTACACCTTCCTCATCCATGATATCTTTCGCAGGACGACCCGAGAAGAGCCTGGAAAAACGGTGGTCGAAAGCAATCAAATCCTGGGCAATCTTTCTTCTCTCAGACTGGTATGTCTTGAGAATGGCTGGGTCGCTGTAGCCTTTCACGACATGCGCGAGCTTCCATCCCAGGTTGTATGCTGGAAACGAACAATTAGCGATTTATTCTCCACTCCGGGTTATTTTGAGGTGGCTGCTGCGTAACTTACTGTCTTGCATACTCACGTTCATGCCCTGCCCGGCCTTGGGCGAGTGAGTGTGGACTGCATCGCCCGCCAAAAAGACTCTCTCCTTCAGCGAGAACTGGTCACCCACGCGCTGGCCAATCTGGTAAGCCGTCCACCAGTCGCAATAGGAGTAGTCGAGCTTGTAAGGATGCAGAATTTGCTGGGCTGATTGGAGGATGATTCCCGGCGTGATCCAGGACCGATCTGCTTTGCCTCCTGCCTGTGCATGTTCCGTTGTTTGCAACTGGATGTAAAGTCTAACCAGCTTATTCTCACGTGGAATGACCATGACGCTGCCTGCATTTGCAGAATGGATCGCGCAGCGCTGTCGGATGTCTGGGAAATCGGTGATGGGGACAATATCGAGGACTCCCCAAATATAGTCCGTTGAGTCACCCTCCAGCTGGTAGCCCAGCTGGCGACGGACCCAGGAGTGTGCTCCGTCGCAGCCGACGAGGAACTTGGCTTTGATTGACTCGACTCGGTCGACTCGGGGATCGCTCTCTGCGGCCCGAATGAGGTCATCCGTGTCGTCAGCAGCCAGATTACTCCGAAAGAGTCCGTCACTGGCGGTGGTCTCCTTTCCATCACCGGACTTGTGATGTTGTTGCTGCTGCTGCGGTGTGGACTCCTCGTCCGAGAGGCTGCGCACGGTGACGTTGATCGGATAGTCGTTAAAGTCGTCTGCCTTGGTGGCATCGAATTCAAACGCAGTTGGCAGCACTCCGCGTTCTACAAGGATGTCACTGTGCTCCTTGATGGCGTCTAGGAAAAAGCGTTCAATGCGGCCCTGGTGCAGCACAACTTGCTGGAACCGACTGATGCCGGGAATGGTGTCAGGGATTCGGTTGGATCTTCGAATCCGGCCCTGGTCATCAGGATTCCAGAGACAAATCTCTATCATATGGTTTGATTCGCGCCATGCACGGTCTGCAAAATCGAATGAATCGAAGATTTCGAGAGTCCGACATTGAAGACCGTCTGCCTGGCCGCCGAAAATCTTCGCCAGATAAGTATAGATTTACAATATGACAAGATGAAGGATTTACCTTGGTTCCTCGCTTGTCCACAATGCGAGTCTTGACATCGCATCGGCTGAGCCAATTCGCCAGCATCAGACCCGCAGGGCCGGCCCCGACAATGAGGACGTCCACATGGTCTTCGGCTTGGGGTAGGGTGCTAGGCATGGTTATGGAATCAGATGTGGAAGCCGTGACGGAAAACTGAAACTAGAAGATACTCTTCATCCAACATGATGTATGTTACCATCGTACTGGATTCTTATATAGTTGGTGGTCTGCCCGTAACCGAAGTCGGACCGGGTATAATCCGACGTGATTGATTGTCGGAGATGTTGTGGGGGAATTTGATGCTCATTGCCAACCACAGCCAATACAACTGAACCTTACCCCAGATGCACCCCGCAGATGATGTGGAGGAGCAAATCACCGTCTATGCTGTACTGCAAGAGCTCATATACACTTCCGATACGGATGTGAGGCGATCCGAAGTTCACATCTTGAGGGCTGACCAGCCTGTCAGCCCGTTAGCCTTGACAACCAGTATTGTCCCTAATGCCCCCTCCTATATCATAAAATGTTTACTAGTCTTAATCGGACTAGACGTCTTGATAATTCGAATTACGGTAAACAAGCTTAAGCTATACGTTTTAGTAAGGGCTAGGACTAATTTACTATTCATGTTAAACAGGGTTTAATAACGCTAAAAAAGAGAATGAATCATTGCATTATACGGCTGAAAAAGGAAGGTCAACAGATTTATGCAATATCGGTCCGGGGGGGGGGGGGAGAAGACCGTATTGTCCGGCCCAGTTCCCAACTTTTAGGACCGAGATGGGACCGGGACCGGACCATTCCTAGGCCTACTGCTTTCCATGACAGGGAGGGTCTGAGAATCTGGGGTAAGGTGAAAGGTGCTATGTTGAATAGTCTGTTTGCAATTCACCATCGGGCCGGGGGTGACCCGACAAACCCGAGTCGGACTCGGTTTATAGAATACCGAATGCCTCTTGCGTGCACCCAAGCCTAGAAACCTAGGCTAACGAGTGGTAGGTGGTATGATATCGAGGTCTTTCTATAGAATAGATTAACCCTACTTTCCAAAACATTTAAATTGACGGAAGTTCCTCCAAGTGAACAGGACAGACCGAGTTACCTCTCCTTCACTGCCCGTACCAACCAAATCACTATTACTTCTCTGAAAGCAGTATGGCTATCGACACTTCCGGCAAGACGGCTGTCAACATTGCCTACATTAATGGCAATGTTTTGACTTCGAGCTCTGGACCGCCAGCCCAAGCTATTCTCATTCGCGATGGCCGTATTGCCGCTGTTGGGTCCAATGAAAAAGTCTTAACGGCTGGTGGACGCAACGTTGAGGTGCAAGACGTCAGCGGCGCGACGATTTCGCCGGGCTTAATTGACACCCATCCTCATCTCCTGCACTATGCCGCTGCAAGGGCTCCTCTTGTGAACATACTTGATGCCAAGAGCCACGACGACATTGTGAAGGCAATCAGCGAAAAGGCTTCCTCTGTACCTAAGGGTGCATGGATTGCGACAACTCCTATTGGTGACACCCAATACTTTGCCCGAAGATCTTACCGCGACTTAGAGGGCGGCATGCCAAACCGCTATGTCCTCGATAGAGCTAGTATCAATCACCCAATCATTATTCAGGCGTGGCCACCAACTTGCCCGAATATCACTGCTTTCAACTCATTGGCCCTTCAGCTCCTAGGGATTGACTCCTCAACAGCCGACCGCGCGAACGATGTTTGGATTGAGAAAGACAGCCAGGGTGAGCCTACTGGTATCTTGAAGGGTAGCGTCAATACGTACTACAATGAGGATCCGTTCTTTGCGGAACTGCGCGATACGAAGATGGCCCCGTACATTGTACCCAATCTAATCCCTCAGGCGGTTCTCAGTTCGCTTGCCGACTATCACAAGAGGGGAATTACATCAATCTTTGAGGCCCACGCAATGGAGTCGTCACATATCGAAGTGTATAAGCGACTCCATGATGAGGGAAAGTTGAACACTCGAGTCCTTGCATCTACAGAGCTTGAATCAAATGCGCTTCCCGGTTCCCAGCTCAAATCAATGAGCGAGATTGTATCCACCTTGGAGCAAGCGCTAGCTGCAAGGCAATCCGATAACGACTGGCTTCGCGTTGAGGGAATTACAACCTGCGTTTGGGGTATTCCAACGCATGACGGCTTGTGTTGGAAAGAAGGTTATCAGGCCACATTCGGCGGGTTGACGACCGGTAAACGTAACATCACAAAGGAAAAGCTGAGGGCTACCTTCGAGTTTTGCGCGAAGACCGGGTTGAGGCTCAATCTACTCTCCACGTCTCCTGATGAGCTCGATGAATATATTGAGACGGCGGAAGCAGTGATGAAGAAATACAACATCAAAAAGTCAGACTGGTTGATCGAGCATGCTATGATCATCCGTGAAGGCCAAGCCAAGAAGCTCAAGGAACTAGGCTTCAGTGTCACCATTAACATAGGCCACACCTATGGCTTAGGAGATGTACTGGATGAGCGTGTCGGTAAAAAGTCGTTGGAAGGTCTGAATGCAATTCGGGAGCTTTTGGACGCTGGCCTCATTGTTGGAGCCTGTTTAGATTGGGGCCCGATGGACCCATGGGAATGCATGCAGCTGTCTGTCACTCACCAGATGTTCCCAAGCGGCCGATTCAACGATGGACCTAGGCAGGTAATTAGCCGGGCAGAAGCGTTTGAATTGTTCACTACACATGGTGCTGCTGTCATGCAATGGGAAGGCATTGGTACTCTCATGCCTGGCTCTCATGCCGACCTGATTATTATTGACCGCAATCCGCTCACCTGCGACCTAGACTCGCTGTCTGATACTAAAGTCCTTCGTACAACGGTTGCTGGTCGCATTGTTTATGATAATGGAGAGATTGGGGCAAAGGTTTGAAATCCCACCATTGTTGTGCCGACACCTGCCACCTGGACATCTTTGGTGGCCTCTGCGTTCAACCGAGCAGTCCGAATGTGTGGGCAGTACCTGTATGTAGGGATCTTCTGAATCTATCGCTGTTATTCTCATTGTTATCAATATCTGTCGGTCGCGCAGTGCTGTCCGGACATAGTTCGAGTTACTCCAGGGTCGTAGTATTATTATGTTAGGGCTTTGTGGGGCGTGCTACAACTGTGGCTCTCGGGTTTGAAGTGGGAGTGGTTACTTGGGTTTAGCGATAATCCTTGATCAAGCTCTCAGTGTTCATACCATCAATACCGTTAGCATTATCGGTGGCATCTCGTTATGAGCCGCCAGTCCTTGTGGTCTGAGCTGATGATATGAACCATGTTGCCAAGCCTGACTGTAAATAAAATTCGCTGGCTGGACAGACGCTTTCTTCATGTAAGTCATTGTGCAAATTTTCATAGATGCGACGAGACACTCTAGCCTGTATTCAGCAGTTCCAAGGAGGGACCAAATTTATTGAGGCAACTTATCAGTAGTGACTAGAGTATCTGTTGCGATATGAGGCACATGCTGCTCGGGACCGAAGGTAATATCGGAAAATATTCATGCACTAACTAGTGCGCTATCTAACGTACCATTTATACGGAACCTAGTTGGTTCGAAAACAACTTGGACTTCATTTTGTATCTATTTTAAATTGTTGGGTATGGGGTCCAAACTTTGGACCCAATACCCGACTTGGAGAAGTCTAGATATCCGCACACCCGCGTTGTCTGGTGTCTGTACCATCCTCGAATGAGGAAACGAGAAGGATTCACACGTGGGGCTGTGTAACGTGGTATGAAGATCGCAGTGTTGAATGCTGATTATCAAGAGACCCGGGTGTGGTTAGTTGAGGCTATGTTTGAAGGTGGAGTTAGTGGAGCACGGGAGTAATTTTTAAAAACGACCACACAGTAGTAGAGGAGGGTCAGGGTGGAGGTGTCGGTACGGAGTAGCTTGGTATAGATTTGAAGGCGTGGAAAAGACGTACTTTCCAGGAAGACTTAGCGTCCTTGGCAGTGGGGAGAAACATGACCGGGGGCGGGCCACGGCGATCAGCCCCTAAAAGAAGGGGACGGGCTGGCGCCACCGGCGCAATACCAAGGGCGTCAAAATGAACGAAAAACCCGCTAGCCGGAGCTAGCCTGTCTAACGCCATCCAAAGGGACCGTGGGACGGAAGTCAACCTCCGCTGACGCAGCGGGATTATAACTAACTTAACTAAACTAGGTATGGCACGACTAACTGAAATGTCTTTCTCTATGGTGCGATAGTTCGAGATGCGTGAAGCTCCGCCTTCCGGGAGCCCAACACCCACAGGCCCTGCTACTCCAACAGATTTCCGCGTATATAAGCGCAACAGAACAACGACGATCCGGACGGACCAGGCAGCCTATAAGTGTGCGAGTGCACCAGATATAGACGTCGCTGGAAAGAATATTGAAGAACCTACTAGTGCTCATATTCTACACAACGACCACGACTCCCTCTCCGTTGAATACGATCACGGTTTCCAAAATGCCGACGGTTACCTCATTTCTTGTGTTGTTAGGCACTCTGGTGAGTATCCCATACAATTTTATCATTGCATGTTTGTCATAATTAAGAAATATTTCCTAGATATTTGGCTATGGTATCACATCGGCGTTCTATAATGTTTTCCTCCACCCTCTGCGAGGATTCCCCGGACCGAAGCTATGGGCTGTTTCGCCATTACCCGCAGCCCTCAATATCTTAAGAGGAATGCCACACAGGAGGATCCTGGAGCTGCACAATGAGTATGGAAGTGTAGTCCGCGTTGGGCCAAATGAGCTTGCCTTCGCACATGCAGACGCATGGAAGGATATCTGTGGCCATCTGAAGCGAGGACAAGCTGAGAATGGAAAGGATCCCAAGTACCTGAATGAGGAAACAGATAAGAGTCTCATATCTGCCTCGCGTGAGAGACATGGGCCCTTGCGCCGGACACTGGCACATGCATTCTCGGCACGAGCGATGGCCGAGCAGCAGCCACTGATTAACAGCTTTATCGACCTGTTTCTCCGGAGGCTGCGTGAGCACGGTGAAAATGGCATGAAGCCCATCAATATGACCCAATGGTATGAGTGGACGACCTTTGACATCATCGGGAATCTAGCGTTCGGCGAGTCGTTTGGGTGCCTCCAGAACTCTAAGTCACACCCCTGGGTGGACATCCTCTTTGCTTCCATGAAATTCATTCCCCTGATGCAGGTACTGCACGACTTGCCTTTCTTCAACGCCTTGAAGCCTATACTGTTGGCTCTTTTAATGCCCAGTGAGGTGGTGAAAAATCGACAAGCCACTATAAACTTCAGCCGAGAGGCTTTGAGAAAGCGGCTGAACCTTGGAATAACACGGCCAGACTTTGTGGATGCAATGCTTAAACCCGGAGCTGAACACGTACGTTCCCCGCACCTGACTCACCTTTATCCTTTTCCTCTGGTTAGGGCTCAAATATTGCGATATTTAGAAGATGTCCGAATTGGAGATGATTGATACGAGTGTTCTTCTGACCACTGCCGGCTCCGAGACAACCGCTACGACTCTTACTGCGACAACATACTTTCTCTGCACCAATCCCGATGTGTTGACCAAGCTGAATACAGAGGTCCGTTCAGCCTTCAAGTCTGAGGACGAGATTGATTTGCACAGCGTCCAGAACTTGACATACATGCTATCGGTCCTCAAGGAGTCAATGCGTGTATACCCTCCGGTGCCTATTGCTCTATCTCGTCGATCACCTCCAGGCGGCACACAAATCGCCGGCCAGTACGTAGCTGGAGGGGTATGTTATGGTTGGCGGACACCCTTGCTATGATCACAAGTCTAACTACCTGAGTATAGACCACGCTGGGTATCTGGCAATATGCCCTCTACCACAGCGCCTCAAATTTCGCCCAGCCAGATTCGTTTATACCAGACCGCTGGCTGGGCAACGTGTGCTTTGAGAGCGACCACAAAGATTTGCATCAGCCCTTTTCTTATGGACCGCGTAACTGTATCGGCATGAAGTACGTATGAACCATTATTAAGTTAATGCTCATCTATAACTTCAAATTTGTTTCTCTACTAACCTGTCTTTCGTTAGCCTGGCATATACGGAGATGCGGTTGATACTCGCTCGGATCGTCTGGAATTTTGACTTGGAGCTGGCACCAAACTCCATTGGTTGGGCAGACAACCAGAAAATATTCTTTTTCTGGAATAAGCCGCCGTTAAATGTTTTTATGAAGCCAAGAGGATGTTAAATGACACGATTTATGGAGAATATAACCGTGGTACTAAAACTGGAGTAATGGAACCTAAGTGGCTTTCAAACCAGAGAGAAGTGGTACACGACTGTTACCTTCAAATGGAGTGAACCTGTTCGATGGCTGTCCACTTATCTTGAGAGATTCACGAGCAACACCTCCAGTTGAGTTTTGATTTGGGCGCTTCCCCTTAGAGTACTTATCTTCCTTGGGAATTCGGTCACTCAATTGAATGGTAGAATCCGACATTTGTCATGGAACTAAGGCTTAAATAGTCGCATGGTATGGTCGAAGTCCCGTAGTGGCTGTAGGAACTTCTCTATTATATCCTAGGCAGGTGTAATCCGAAGTAAAGCTAAGAGGGCGCTAACATCGGTTCCGTTAGCTAGTCTATTATGCTACATGTTATCTTACAGTAGCCTTCGTGGTGAAATAATAGTGAGATTCCTTTTTGGCACGAAGACATCTTGATCGATTATATAAACTTATTGAGCTGTTGGTTTTAGAAGGAATTTTAGTAAATCGTCGTTTAGCTTAAGCAATTTTAGAGATCTTACGGAAGGATAATCGTAATAATAACTTAGTTCGAACAGTATAGAAAGTTAGTCTATTAATATAGCAAGGACTAAGGAACCTTTATAAGGAATCGGTCTTTCCCACCTCCTGTTGCCTACGTACCGCCAAATTTTATTCTGGAGGTTGACTATATGCTACTGGCATTTAGATGATTTGATTGGTCCATATGCGCTATATGTTTAGGTCTTCTAGTCCCTCGAGCGGAATCTAGTTTACAAAAAGTGCTATGAGGGTGTACTTTGGTAGCGAAGGGTTTATCCCCGCTTGCCTTCTCTTGGCCGTCCTGACTTCGATAGCAATCAGAGAACTGAGTGGTGGATCGTACAAGTTGAAATAACACTTCCATGCCGATGGCGTCTGCATTTATTATAGTGTTTTGACCAGCTTAAGTCCGAGCGTAATTCGGGGCGGGGCACACGCTGGCCGGCCGTACGACACCGTCAATACTATAGCAGGATCCAGAAATCTCGATTTGTCAATATACATAAGAAGGTTTACAAGCTGCCGACGGGCGAAAGTCAAAGCAGTTAAAGGAGGCGCCATTGCTGTGAATGCCACATTGTTTACACCTGAGACGCAGCGGGCAGATCGCCGTTATCGTAAACGACTAGTCCTCCAATAAGGGTACGAAGCACGCGCGTCGATGGCAGTGCATCCAGATCACAGGTAATCGGATTCCGGTCAAGAATCGCCAAATCCGCATGATTCCCTCGGCTGATACTACCAATATCATGCCAGCCAAGTACCTTTGCACCGTGCCGTGTCCACATCTCGTACGCTTCCGCTCGGTTCACAACCTGAGCAGGTCCTGCGTTGGATCGACCACTCGGATACATCCGGTGCGTAATCGCCAATTGCATTTGCTCAAAGGGATTCGTAGGTCCCCAGTCCATTGATGCAGCCACGCTAAGACCCGCATCAAGAAGTAGACGGAACGGGTTGACGTTTTCCAAGACACCCGAACCAATCCTCTTCTCATAGATTTCAGCCTCTCCGAAAGTGAACGCGGTGCTGACTGTCATGTCAAATCCTAGCTCAGCCAGTCGCTTGATCTGGTCCGGCCGGATGATCATGCCGTGCTGAAGAAGCCAACCCGTTTGCTTCAGGCCGTACTTTTCCATCACCTCAACGGCCATCGCGAAATGGTCGTCATGCTCATCCTCAGATACCGAGCATAGGTTGAGACGAAGACCGCGCTTAGCACAGAATTCAAAGGCAGCTCGTAGGTTATCCTCGCTAATGCCGCGCTTCCCAGTGGTCGTTTCGCCACTAGGTGAGAGGTATCCGTCCTTGACCAGCGCACAGCCAGTGTAGCAAGGGCCATAGGTGCAAGCAGTGATGCCTTCAATCCTCAGCCAGTCGTCTTGAAGTTCCCGTAAGCTCAGGGCTTTCTCCAACGTCGAGTTAATCTCAGCAATTGTCTTCTTCCCATCTGTCGGAAATGCTCCCGGCTGAAGCTCCGGACAAGTTTGCACTCGTACGCTCAGAAGATTCTGGGCTCTGAAGGCTTGATATGCTCCAATGTGGGGGAAGTCCATCGCGTGGCCTTCATAGATGGTTGTGATGCCAAGCGCATTGTAGTCCTTCATCGCTTGTGCCAAAGCCGCCGGGACAACGTCCTCCTGAATCAACGGAGGCATCTTGTTGAGAAGGCTCATAAAGAAAGGGTCATTGTTGTAGTAATTTGTGACGCTTCCCCGAAGGATTCCGGTTGGGTGGCCCTCGTCATCCTTTTCAATCCATACGTCGTTCACCCGGTCCGGTGTTGAGCGCCCTATTCCAAGGATTTTCAAAGCCGCCGTGTTGAATGCGCACACGTTGGGATCCTTGGGGGCCAGCGCATGAATCATGATCGGGTGATTCGCCGATGCAAGATCAAGGATGTGGCGATCCGGAAGATTTCCTTCTTCAAGGTCCCTATAGGAGCGACGATGGAACCAATGAAGCTCTCCCACAGGAGAGGTCATGATCCAGCTTCCGTGGGGTGTCTGCTCAGCCTTGCGTCGAATGGCCTCAATGATCTCCTCATGGTTTTTGGCGTCTGCAATATCGAGTAGACTTCCTTTGAAAGCTGCAAAGTGAAGCAAATGCGGGTGGGTATCGATGAGACCCGGGATGACGGTTGCTCCGTTCAGGCTAGAACACGATACACCTGATCCGGCAGCAGCGAGTACATCTTCATTCGAACCGACGGCAGCGATCCGGCCAGCTTTAATAAAGACTGCTTGAGCAGGTGGCCCGTTCGCATCGATAATGATTTCGCCGTCCGTGTAGACGACATCCACCGAATTTTTCCGATCTGCGTCCATTTCAGCGTAAAGTCAGGTCCAAATAAATAGATGAGATGAACTGCAACAAGTATTTTACAAGGTTCAAGAAGAATATCGAAAGAAAACAGCCAATGATCTATGAATTTTGCGTCTCTTTTATCCTTGCTGTGGGATGCCTCAGGCACCAACGCTCCCAGATATGTTATTAGTTATTATATTATCATCCATAGATCCAGATCGGCCAGCTACGCCGAGTCGGGAGTGCGTTCGCAACGAGGAGGCCGAGTCGGTACCGGTTTGGGCCGTACAGGCCGGGGCATACCGGGGTTCTGCCACACTTTCAGGTTGACCTTTTGACACTCGTCGATCGTGACTTCCGTTCTCCCATGGGGACTGTAAATAATGCAAATTCAGTTGATCTCATGACTAACATAATTTACGCAGTTTGTGAAGGAGCCTTTTTTTTTGGCGTATTCATACACATTGATAAATATTTTACAACTGCACAGAAAGCAGTGTCTCATTTTTCTATCATATGTAACATATAAACTATCCATGATACTTCTATTGAATATCCTATGTCACTGCTTACTCTAGCCCTGGTTCCTCGTTGCCATTCAACTGTTCGGTAATGTATCTATATATTCCAGTGGTTTCTATAAACAGAGAGAAGATGGGAGAGGGACAAAAAAGAAACTTGATTGCGTGTGAGATGACAAACTGCCGGCAGAGGCGAGCAATTGACTCCCGTGAGGCAGTTGCAGGAGGGAAGAACCACTCAGCCCCAATCAAACTACTTTACTTCCTCACTTCAACCAAGGTAAAGAGGTTGCGGGGATACGGGGGAGTGGGGCCAATGGGGATAGGATCCAAAGAGTCAGTGATTTTGCGAGTCCATTGGGATACGCCACCAGTTTGAACCCCGTTTTCCTTTTCCTCTGCCACTCGTCAGAATCCCACCTGGTGGGTACAGATAACCGATAGCTCCGCCTGGGAGTTTCTGCACTTCTGATGCTTTTTATCGCTCTAAGCGCTTCCTTTCCCCAAGATCAGTCTCTTCGAACCCCCTAGTTGGCCGAATTCAGTTGTCTATTCTATAGCGAGTTTCTTTTTAAGAGTCCGCATAGGGGCTACACACGGAGCGTGATGTCACCCATGCCGACAGCGGAACCGGATGCACACACTGCTGAAACCATCCGCAACACCCCCAGCCGTCGCAACCTGGAGAACAGCCACTTGGCGGATGGTCCGCAAACAAATTCAGCACCAAAACGGCGCCCTCGTGCATGTCAGGCGTGTCGGGATATGAAAATTCGCTGCATCCCATCCCATGGGCGGCAAGCCTGCAAAGCATGCGCCAAAGTCAGCCGGGTCTGTGTTGTGGCAGGGCCAGCTCGCTCAAATCAGCGGCGAGCACCAATAGTCGCTGAGCTTGAGAAGAAGATTGATGCTTTGACCGCGTCTCTGAAAGCACAAGTCCAGAAAGAACGAACGGCACCAGCAGGGCCACTTGTCGCCGGGCCAGTCAATGCTGGTATGGTGTACAACTCGCATGCCTCTGAGTCTGGCGCAGAACCTGACGCGGAACGGGCACGGGTGCTTACTTCTAGCGAAGTCGTGGACGAAGAATGTCATGACTTCCGAGACGGTGAAACGGACTCTGGCAATGACGTGATTGATCGTGGGCTATTGAGCCTAGAAGAGGCATCGCAAATATTCACTCGGTTCTTTTGCGAGATTAACCCATTGTGTCCGATGGTGGCTTTTTCGAACGACACGTGCCTACAAAATATGCGCCGGAGCAAGCCGATCCTGCTGCTTGCTATTATTGGCGTTTCAAGTGGGAGTATTCTTCCCCAACTGCAGCCGATTCTCGCTGTGGAGTTGGCACGTCAGGTTGCGGAACGGGTCATGTTTCGCACGGAGAAAAGCGTGGACCTTGTTCAGGCCATGCTAGTTAACGCAGTGTGGCATCTTAAACATCGTGAAACCAAAGATATCGGCTTCAATCAGTACATACATTCTGCTGCGGTTATGGCAATGGAACTTGGCCTCGGAAATCGGCCCAGTGCCAGTTCAGTAAAAACTAGGGAAGATGAGGCTGAGATGCGGCGAACTTGGCTCACCTGCTACTACACAACTCAAATGTAAGGTAAAGCTCTTTTTTTTCGAATCGGGATTGAACATGACTCACAGCTCACGCAGGGCTTCCACAATCCTCCGCAATCCCCCGTTAATTCGATTTTCGCCATACATTGATGAATGTCTTAAGTTCTTTGGCGACAGCCCCGCGGCTGTTCCGACAGACATTGCCCTCTGCACAATGGTACAATGGGCTCGAATCATGGAAGACGTTGCTCTGGTCTTTCACACAGATGAGCCCAGTCAACTCCTGGTCGAGCATGATCCCAGAACACAATATCATCTCCATTCTTTCAATAAGAGACTCGTCAAATGGAAAGAGAACGCCACTCGAAGCAGCAATCCAAGTGCGTACCCTGATCACTGTCAATTAAGTACCTCAGTATTTCTAATGACTGAAGCAGATATGCTCGACCATATGTTTGAGATTGGCCGTCTCTTCGTACATGAGATTGTTGCTGTTCGTTATAATGGCACTTCTGACCCAAATTCAACACCGCCTCCCGTCACCGCAACGCACATCGAAGCATTGACCACTTGCGTTGTCAGCATTGGTCGAGCATTGGAATCTTTCCTTCGATTGGACTTGCGAGTATACCGTGTGATTGATTGCCCATACATGACTTGGACTCTGTACGCCGCTATTGTAATGGTGCGGCTGTCAGAGCTACTTCATTCGCCACTGACCAGATGGGGGGATGTGTTTCTCCCCGACATGAAGACAAATTACTATCTCAGCGCAATAATCCGGAAGCTAACTGTTTTGTCTGAATCAGACGCCAATCCAACCGCACATGGCTTCTGTTGCGCATTTAAACGATTGCAGTCTTGGCATACTCAGAGAAGCAACAGTCATTCCATTCCAGATCTAATTAATGGGATCAAATCTAGCTTGGGAAAGAGCAGGTCAGCTAAGAAGCAAAATTCAGGGACGGAACACCATGCTCCTGACGGTACATTTAGTCATGGGCTAGAGTTGCAGACAGGAGAAGTTCTGGCAACGCCAGATACACCTGTCAATTCCGATTCCTTATTCCAAAATCATTCGCCATTCAATCTCGATAGCTGGAACATGGTGATGGAGGACTCGACTGGTTTCGAACCATTCCCCAATAATGTCGGGTTTTGGCTAGAGGCTTAGTTGATTCATACCAGCGTAACAATCCTTTTTGAATCATTTCAAAGATACTCTCGTAATGCTTATTGTTGGATAATGAATGAACGCAAGCATCGAATACCCGCCTAATACCGCGCTCTGTTCCGAATTATATGAAGCAGAACTTTTATTTTGTTAAGTATATCTTGCTAGGCTGCCAACCGGATACAATTTTACGAGCATTGACTGCTCCGTTATGCTGGGGAGCGATCGAGAATCACGGTGGGATCAACAGGAGCATCCTAGGATTGCCCGATTCGGCTAGCCGAGTGGGTCACCCCGGACACCCCGGACCGACTCGGTTTCATGTTCCACTCCGACTCGGGTCGAAACAAGCAATGGCCGTCCGATTTCCGTTAGTCCTCGTAGAGATAAGTACCTAAGCAAAATTATAATTCTTACAAAGAGTGCCTCTCATGTCTAGGTGAACCGCCCGAACCTGTCGTACCCCAAGCACAAAGTGACCATTTCAACCCCGAAACTATTAGTCCGCTTTAGACCAGAATAATTTCGTGGCTGCCGTGTGCCTCTTAGATTTTTAGATTTCCAAGTTGGGATTATTGTGACCATGATTTCGGAGATCACTCTGCTAGGTCAATTCAGAGGGAAGACTTCAGATGGCGTGACGCAGTTCCTCGGCGTCAAGTATGCCTCAATTCGAAACCGATTTGCCGACGCTGAGATGATCGGATATGGCGAAGGTGATGCTATCCTGGATGCAACTGAATATGGGTACGACGGTTCCATCTATTGGGCATTCCCTGACGTATACATTATGAAGCTAACTTCGAAGCCATCGTCAGACCAGTCGCTCCTTCTTTGCCTTTCGGGTGTGAGTTGGAGCATGCAGCGATACAGCATACGCTCCCGAACAAGGGATTTGCTGAGTCTGATCTGGATTGTCTCAATTTGAATATCACACTCCCTGCTGCGACAAGTCCTGCATCCAAGCTTCCTGTCTTTTTGTTTATTCACGGAGGTGGACTTGTTACCGGAGCGAGCTCCTTTCCCCAGTATGACATGGCAAGATTCGTCAAAATGTCTGTCCAGAAGGGGTTCCCAATCATAGCTGTTTCCATCAAGTATGCCCCATTCATTTTCTCCGACTCGATCTGCTTCCTCTAACTGCCCCTAGTTATCGATTAGGAATCTCTGGATTTCTTACCTCGTCCGAGCTGAGAGAGGCTGGATTTAAGCCTAATAATGGCCTTCGGGATCAACGAGTGGCAATTATGTGGATACAAAAGCATATCGGTACATTTGGAGGAGACGACCAGAATGTTACACTAGCAGGGATGAGCGCAGGCGCAGGTAAATACTCCTACGCTTGACAACTAAATTTAGCTGACCAAGCAATTACAGCTGCGGTAACACTCCATTTACAGTGCAGCAAGCAGCTCTTCACAAGAGCAATAGCAATGAGTGGCAGTTATCTTATGACACAGCCCTTACCCTATCATGCCCATGAAGAGAGCTATAAGCAGGCCATAGACGCATTAGGTTTGGCAAATGTGACGCCGGAAGAAAGAGTCACTGTACTAGTGAACTGTCCTACGCACGAATTGTATTCGAAAATTCTGCCGAGGGTGCCAGTGGGTTTCGCAGTTGATGGAGACTTGGTCCCTTCAGAAGTCGCATTCCCAAAAACACGCAGCGACATGGAAAACGGTCCACCCAGCAGGGGCAACAATTGCAAGGACATGATGATTGGTTGTGCTCAAATGGACGTAGGTGACGGCCCTCTTTACTTGGTACGATGCTTACTGACAGAGTTTAAGGCAAGCATATGCTCCTTGTTAACTCCTCACTGGAAAAAGGATGCGGCGCAAAATATGAATGCCGCGATGAGAGACGTTCTTAAAGCTCATCCAATTGAAGCACAGGAGATCTTTGAGAGATACGGCCTGGAAAAGACGATGTCAGATGAAGTAGCATTCCCCGCGGTGCTTAACTTCGTCAACGATGTGGTGGCGTTAGCACCTGTGGTTGCTTTCGCGAGGACCTGGCAAGGGAACCTCTATGCTTATTACTTCAACGAAAGGAACCCCTGGGAAGGCCCCTGGGAAGGCCAAGCGTCTCACATTCTTGATCTTGCATATCTTTTCCAAAATTATAGGGAGTACTTAACTGAAGAGCAGCAAGCAGTGGCTGAAGCTTTTGCGGAGGACTTTCTCAAATTTTGCCACGGGGTCAGCCCATGGCCTGTTGTTGATGAAACCGCCACAAAAGACACGTTTCCAGTGCGTGTGTTCGGTCCCAGTGATGAAGGACTCACTGCCAAAGTAGATGTACGTGCGTATGGTGGCGAAACTATGCGGAGAAGCACTGTCTTTGACTACGCGGACAAGATATCCTTGGACGAGATGTTGATGATTGTGAGGGAATTTGGTGTAAAAGCTTCTGAAACGCTCTTGGCGGCCTGAGGCCAGCCATCAATGTCATTCTTCGCGGACCTTGATAGATAATCATCTCAATTTTCTTTGAAGTTCCAAAACTATGATTCTTGACCCTTTCACTGCACTCATCAAACACTAGACAACTATGAAACCAGCCGCTATTGACGCTGTGTCCATATTCTGTTACATTATAGTAGGGCAGTAAGGAGTTTGCATTTTTGTATTGTCCAAGATGCGTCTTTATATCTACGTTTAACTTCGTCGCGGATCAGCCTTGTTCGCCGCTGATGCTCGCACTGAAACTCTGTCACGACAGGGTACATACCTTCCGATACGCATTTCGATGGCCGTTTCATGATCTTTTTTTATAATAGATACCTCGAATTTTCCAGTGGTGTTTTCCCCAACCTTCGCCATGCTGGGCCCCTGCCACTACTAGAAGGTTTAACGACAGTATCATATTTGAGTGATTGATATTTGAGTGACCCTGAAAAGCACTTTGTTGGTTGAAGAGACCGAATCGGATCTCACAGGGACGGAGAATACAAGTCCCAGAGTCAATGGTGCACCGACTCGGAGTTCGATGTCGACTCGGTCTCCGGATCGGTCCGATGCCAACTCGTTTCTTGGACTGGCACTGGATATCGGGGTTGAGAGTGTCCCTTGCCACGATAACGGGTAGATCTAAATAAATAGTCAGTGAGCCTCTTCGTGTTAGTTAAAGCTAGTCTCACGCCCGTTTTTATCAAATACACGCGGGCAACTCAGTATTTGATCCTAGAAGTCCAGCTTTTTTCTGACCTAAGACGGAAACCGCAGATATGAAAGACCCTATCATCTCTGAGCGTGCGATAGATGAGCCAAGGCCTTTAAAGGTGATCTACGTTGGAGCAGGTGTTTCCGGAATACTGGCAGCGATCCAATTTCCGAAGCATGTACCAGGGATTGAGCTCGCTATCTACGAAAAGAACCCAGACCTTGGGGGGACTTGGTTTGAAAACAGGTAAGAGGAACATCTTTTCCATGCAAATATCTCAATATACACTTTCTCACTGTTCTCCAGGTATCCCGGTTGTGCTTGTGGTATGTTTGTCGGTTTCGTGTCTACTCCTATCTTTGTTAGAAACCTAAACTAATACCAATTCTCAGATATCCCAGCACATTCATATCAGCTGAGTTTTGAATCCTCCGTGGACTGGACGTCTTTCTATGCGACAGCACCGGAGATCTTCCAGTATTGGCAGCGGGTTGCAGACAAATACAACGTTCGACGGTTTATGACGTTCCGACACCGTTGTATTGAAGCGCGTTGGAACGACGTGACTTCTCAGTGGCATGTGAAGTTTATCAATCTTGACACCGGGCTGATTATTGAAGACTCAGCGGACGTGCTTATGAGTGGTGTCGGTGCACTGAACCAATGGGAATGGCCGAGTATTAAGGGATTGCACGATTTCAAAGGTCCTTTGATGCATAGTGCTAACTGGGACGTGGCATTTCAACCGAAGGTAGGAAATTCTATGGCTGTCTTTCTATACCAATGTCTTCTGCTTTTCTAATCCTTTCTATCTTGCTTTTCCATCTATCTGATACTGTTGCTGACTTTAATATGAAGGATAAAAATGTGGCTGTGATTGGGGCAGGAAGCAGTGGCATACAAATCGTCCCAGCCCTGCTCCCGGAGGTCAAGTCTATGGACCACTACGTTCGCGGCCGCACCTGGATTGCCGCGTCGTTCGGAAGTCAATTTGTCAGAGAACGGAACAATGGGAATGACGGCAACTTCGACTACACTGAAGATGAGAAACGGGCGTGGAAGGAAGATCCAGCCTCGTACAAAATGTACCGAAAGACACTGGAAGCAGGAGTTCAAGGCGTCTACCCAGCGGTAATGAAGAACTCAGAATTGCAGGCAGCGATGAGGAGCCAATTTGACCAAGATATGCGAGAACGGCTCAAGGCGAAACCTGAGCTTGCTGAACGTATTGTTCCCGACTTTGCACCGTTCTGCAAGCGACTCACTCCCGGCCCTGGCTACCTTGAAGCTCTCGTTTCACCCAAGGTCAACGTGATCCACGATGGCATTGCATCAGTGGATGAGACAGGCATAATAACCGAAGATGGGCAGCACCGGCCAGTCGATGCCATTGTTTGTGCCACTGGCTTCCGCTCCTTCGGCGGAAGCTTTCCTCTCTATGGACGTGGCGGACTCAGTCTCACGGAATACAACAAGGACAGGCCGGAAACCTACCTGGCGGTCTGTATGGACCGCTTCCCGAACTATTTCCAGACACTGGGCCCCAACTCCGGGCTTGGAGCTGGTAATCTACTCATGGTCCTTGAATCCGTGACCCTATACGTTGCTCAAATTCTACGTAAGCTTGCCACCGGAAATGTGAAGACCATCGAGCCCAAGCGAAAGCAAGTGGAAAACTTCACCAGATTCTGCGAAGCATATCACAAACGGACAGTATTCACCGACAAATGTGCCAGTTGGTACAAATCAGGTACAACAGTTGAGGAGAGAACGTCTGGCATTGTCATTGGGGTGTGGCCCGGAAGTGGTGTCCACCTCATCAAGGCATACCAAGATGTGAGGTGGGAGGACTTTGAAATGCAGCCGTCTGATGGGAATGAGTTTGGCTGGTTTGGTAATGGCTGGAGTGTTGGAGACCTCAAGAAAGATACGGAGGCGCTGACCTGGTATCTGAATGACACCAGGTTTGTCCACGAAGATTTACCAGAAAGTAAGGAGGATTAGTCCTTGGAAGGGTGCTTCGAATACTTGTAAGGTTATTTGTAAAAGACTAGAGAGATATGGAGATTTACCCATTTTGATAAGCAAGAAAAAGTCTAACGCCTATCACATATAGACTAGGGTACATCAAAACACATTGCCTAAACACATACAAGAGCCTTTGGAGCCCTGGACATTGAGGCCGTAATGCCTATTAAATGAGCTTGTCGTCTGTTAAGACGCTTCTGGTGCAAATTCTGAGGCTTGGACAAGAGACTTAACATACTTTGGTCTATACGATTGATGATCAGAAGTTGCAAAGGATGTGAAAGTGCAGAAAGGCTTTTCACATGTGCTCAAGCTACTACTGCGGACTACCATAGTTGCAACTCGCCATATTAGCTCTTCTGATGAAGTGACCAAGAAAGATGTCCAAGAGACCCAGAAGATTTGGAATGGCCCCAGACATACAGACGGAACCCCAATCTGGTATGGCATGGCCGAAAGCGTCTCGCTTCAGGACCGGCTAATACCATCTGCCAGGGGGATGGATACGAAGGGGTTTCTTTCGGCATTGCCGCCGACTAAATGAGTCCTTTTGTCCATCAAAATACGACCTTGAAAATCACCAGTCTTCCCGAAAATGGGTTCGAGGCTGCATCTGACCTCTCCGTCAGCGCCGACAAATCACTCAGTAGCACCGACAATCCAGACCTGGAAGCCTTCCGAGAGACCGGTGGCAAGTTCCTGCCTTGGCACGGCCTGGTTGACTAGGAATTTTACGTTCAAGGCGCACAGAGCTACTATACCCGCGTTGAAGACAAAGGTGCAAACGTGCGAGATTTCTACCGGTTCTTTGAGGCTTCCGGAGTTGCTCACTGTGGAGGTGGCAATGGACTGATCCCAGAGGATCCTCTCTCAGTCTAGGTCGACTGGGTTGAACGAAGTATTGCTCCAGCTTATCTGCCATCTGCAACTGCAGATGGCAAGCAACGGCGAAATCTCTGTCCGTACACGCTTGTCCTCTCATATACTGGCGGTGATCATACGAAAGAGTCCTTCGAATGCGACACCTCTTACACTTGAAGGCACGCGGTCATTCACTTGGCAAAGATATGTTCCCCAGTTGAACACTGGGATCCGCTATCCGGTGGGAACAGAAGCTCCAAAACGGACCTCGGGAGCTCGGGTACATGTACACTTTTGCGTTAACTTAACTATCTTTCAAGGTTCTTACTTATTGGTACTATCGAGCGACTGGTTGGACCGTTAGATAGATGCAATAGGCCATATCCAAACTGTTCTGATGTGAGTGTTGCATTGCTAACGTAGGGTATCGTGGATCATGATGTGACATAAAAGAACACAATGGTATACAAAAATAGGAATATCAATCAAATTCTCATGTGTACCGGGGCAAGGAAGGATCACTCAGGTACCTGGATAAGATCCCATTCCATAGCAACAAGCCAGCGTTCCTTTTCATTATTACGGTCATCACTTCCATGTAGCTCGCCCTGCGAGGTAGGCAGATCGCCGTCTGGGAGATTTGCTTCTCCCAAGTGAGCCCTAAGCTCCAAATCCCAAGTTAGCCCGCTGTGGATACCAACAAGGTCCCCTGCTTGTAGATGAAGTGCTCTGAAAATGTCAGAATGAGGCGGTTTGGAGCGTGGATGTCCCATAATCATGATTTTAGTGGAGTCGTCCTGAACTTCTCCTTGCACAGAATGCCCACCAAGCACTGTCCCTTGCAGAAAAGCAAGTGGGCCACAGCTACTAAGTGTAGAATGCCTAGCATGATTGACGCGTACAGCAACGTGATACTTCTCCAACACCTCAAGGGCACGCGCTTCTGGAGTAGAGGGGACTTTAGCCATTTGAGGTTTCGGTAATGAATCACGTTTTGTGCCCATTTCTAAAATCCAGCCCCGTACTTCAGCAGCCATTCCACCAGGTGTATAATTCGATGCGCCGCCCCGCTGTCGACCACGACGACGTAGCGTGCGAGATGAGGGAGAAAATGGTGCAGGTATATCCTCCGCTTCTTGGTTTGGCGATGGTGAGCGAGGTAGAACGAAAGTTGGTTTCCGTCTTTCAGGCGGCGATATCTCTTGCGTGCCTGCTTGAAATCTTGGTGCAGATTGACTGGTAGGCGGCTTCACAGTTGACGAAAGCATAAACCGGGGACGACCACGAAATGGTGTCTGTGTGTTTGCCGGTGTTGATATGCCCGGTGCGACTAGGCGAGCACTTGGGGCTGGCGTTCTCTGCACATCATTCTCCCGCGCGGCGAAGTTCGGCTCAGTGCCATTGCTAATATTTTCAGTCGCCTGGTTATCTATTGTGGGTGGAGAAGAGAGTGGATCAAGTCCCGTCCGTGTCGTCGACGGTAGGGGCGTGGTCTTCTCTACACGGCGCCGTTTATTCTCTCGAGTCGTCGCGAAGAGCGCGTCAAACTCGGCATCGAGAACGCTTGGGGGTTCTGATCCCTCAGGCGCACTACTTTCAATTGCATCATCTGGGAACTCATTCCCGGTTGTGTCTCTAGCACCTTGGGTAGGTATAAGCTCCGCATCATCCGAGTCCTCAATCACGTCGCGCAGGTGACGCGAGCGCAAAGCGCTTTGGGACGCAGGTGGTTGGCGCGTGACACTCGGTGTAGATGAAGGTCCCTCATCATCATCTATCACGTCGATATCATCAATATTCTCTTGTGTTGTAGGCTGAGATAGTACGAATCGTGGTGTGGGGGCAAATTGGGGACCGGCATTGCGTCGCGTGGATGTGTTGCGGCGGGAGAGGCGGAATGGCGATGGAGTCTGGGGCTTAATAGATTAGCTTGGAGAATTCGTAAAGTGCAGTAGAGACATACTGCTTGAAAAGGCATTTATCTGCTCTTAGACACCGAGAAGAGTCGCATGACGCTGCAAGTCGGATTTGGAGTTCGCGGTGGAGTTGGAGTTTGGCGGGGGGTAGATCGGCCACCACGTACATTCAAACTATGAAAAAGCAACGATTTGCATAACAGAACAAGTTAGGGCACATTTAATATAAAAACACGATGTCAAATCAGTTCATCATGTGTGTAAAAAAGAACCATGTCTGCAAGTATGAATTTGGTAGATCTCCATGGAGCATGCCAAGATTCAATGGTCTACAATACTCAAAAGATATGCTCACACCACCCGAAAGCATTACTTCTCAATGCTATTCTTCGCAATAGAGGGGGTACTTTTAATTTTATCATCTGAAATTCTCTAGATAGCTGAATATTTACTGAGTCTCGTTATGGTCGTATAGCGTGCGCGTAAATCCACAACCTCTATGCAAGTTTAGCACGGCGAGGGGCACTGTCCCTGTTTAAAGAAAAAGACTTAGCACCATGATATTAATTGAAAATGCGTGAGAAAGGTCATGAGAGTTTCAATTCTCTTAGCCAACAGCCAAAAGGTCATAAATATACACGAAATTATACAACAAAATGCAATAGCAGAATGCACCGAATAAAACCAAAATCGAAGAAGTGACGCTTACATCTGCGAGAAGTATTCGTTGAAGTTATCAGCCGCAACCTTCGTGCAGTCGAAGCCGTAGATCTCACGCTGGACATCGGCATCGGCCCACTTATCCGGTACGGGACCCTTGCCAGCACGAAGAGCAGCGAACTGCTTATCACGCTCCTCCTTGGCGGCACCCTCACCCAAATGGAGGGCACGGCCAGAGGCGGTAGCCATCTCAACCAGAGCCTCGGCACGACTCTTGCGGACCTTCTCGTATACACGGAGAGCCTTGTTGATGGACTCCGGAGTGGTATCGGGGAGCTTGGAGAGAACAACACCGAGAACGGCACCATCTTCGATAGCTTGGGCAGCACCCTGTGCCAGATGAGGCAGGGTAGGGTGGCAAGCATCACCGACGAGAGCGACAGAGTCGTATACCCAAGTGGGGAGAGGGTCGTGAACGCGCAGCTTCCATTCACAGACCTCGCCCTCTGGAACATAGTTCAGCATGCGCTGGACCATAGGGCAGAAATCAGAGAAGACGTCCATCATGGCGGGCTTGGAGCCCTTGGTGGTGTAGGTGGCGTTAGTGGCGGCAGCGAAGTTGGTATCAGGCTGGGTGGTGGAGAGGTTATAAATGGTGTTGTTGGAGACGGCGTAGGCGATGATGTGACGCTTTGCGCCAATCCAGCGAGTGACGCGGTTGCTGTTGATCAGAGCCAACAGCTCTGGGTCATCCTTGATCTGGTCCTTGTGGATCATGATACGGTAGGCTGCTTGCTGGGTGTCCTTGACACCGACGTCGACGCCCAGTCGCTTCAGCATTTCAACGCGGGTTACACTCTTGATGCCATCAGCAGCAAGGAGTACATCGCATTCCACCTTGAAAGGGTCCGCACCCTCGGCGCGGGGTTTAGCTGTGAATGATGGGCGAGGGCCGAAGGAGTCCACGTTGTCTGCGTTGACTCCAAAGTGGAACTTGATTGAGGAGTGCTTCTTGCAGCCCTCGTACAAGCCATTGGCAAGTGATGCACGGTGGCCAACCATGTGCTTATATCCGTATGTCTTTTCAATATAGCGCAGATCGACATAGGCATGTTCCTTATCCGTTGCACCCTCTGGAAGCCTGCATTAGACCACTTGATACCGTTATATTGTCAGACTTTCAACATACCTCTGACTGATGTATCTTCAATATTCACTGCTTCAGCCTCAATACCCTTCCAGACACCAAGTCCGTCCAAAACGCGGGCCATGTTCGGCGCCAATTGAATACCAGCGCCGACAAAGCCGAGGTCGCTGGCATTCTCATAAATATCAATGTTCTTAAAACCCTGCTGGGCCAGTGCAAGAGCGGAAGTCAATCCGCCCATACCTGCACCCAGAATGACGATATGCAAATCTTGAGGTTCCTTCGTCATTGTATCGGAGGTGTGCGGAGAATATATGAGACGGGGTATAAGTATAAGCTCAGGCAAGAGAGAAGTTTAGAATATATCAAAGACAAAAGACCGAGACAGAGAAGGGCAATACAATAGATTTAAATGAATCTCTGCAATCCCCGGGCTATACTGCCGACCATGTTTCGCCTCGTGTCGGGCCTCCTCCCAGCGTAGGCGGAGTAAATCTTTGCCGCTTCTCCCACATTCTCCCCACACAGTGCGCCTGGAGAAGCCGCGCCGCTCAGGCTGATCCCGCCATGTCCTGGTTGGACTTTATCCGCTTGGAAATTCGGCCTCGGTGATAAGGAAGAAATTCTTAACGGCGATGTAGTGACGCATGTCCCTTATAGCCAATCAGCGCCGCGGGATTTAGATGCTCTGTCTTTTGCCCTAACATTTGCCGATATAACTGAGCACGAACTGAATGTGTTCATGTTCTAGTACCCATCTCCATCCTACATTACCAACTCCCCGCCCCCATTTCCCCCACACTTGCCAACTCCGGATTTGCCTCCTGGTCAAGCCGCGATTGAGCAAGCCTAGTTGCAAAGTCAACTGCCGCCAAGCGAACCTGAATTGCGGGGAGGATGACATAAGAATGTGCCCCTTCCAAGGTTTTTGGTCTGACAATTTAGGTAGTCAATCTTCACAGTTGAATTGGCCCAAAACACACACCGAAGAAACAAAATAGTCCGTCCGATAGGCTATAGCTGTAAATGTGTATCAGAGAAACCCCCAAGTTAGCAAGATGAGCAAGACACGTATACTAATAATCTCCAAGCGCCATGGTCACGTTCGCATCTAAACAGTCATGGCCCAGGCCGTACTTCTTCTAAAAAGAGAGGCTTTAGCGACAGAACTCTACCTGGATTGTGTCAATAACCTCCTAGTGATAATAGCACAAGTTGTTATTTGACCAGCTCGGGGCTCTACTACTATAAGTAGCTTATATGAGCCTTCTAACTGGGCAATAGGATGCTCTATCTTAATCTTGTTGTGGGATTATTTCGACCAGGTAGCCCGTGTATCTAAAGCAGTTTGACCACTGTCGTATGCCCCCTTCGCGTCGCCAGTGACTGCAGTGTCTGTTTGAACAATCGTTGGAATCTAGGTTAACGCTCTCCGTGGCAAGCAGCAGCGTAACCACAGCCTCACGCCCGTTATCTGCAGCGCGTGATGGGGGTACCTGTCCGTCAAATTCCCTATGGCCACAGTCGACACCTTCTGTGGCGAGCAGCAACTTGACTCCCGTTGCACGTACGTTCCCTGAAGCGTGTAGCAGAGGCGTCATTCTATTAGATTCCTTGGAGTTTGGATTGACACCTCCTGTGGCAGGTAGAAAGGATTCAATCAATGGTGGGTGAAATGAGGAACTGCTTTGCCCAAATGGTATAGGAGTTGCACAATGCGCTTAGGTAAAAGCGATATTTCGGAGTATATTCAGAATAGACTAGTGAAACTGTGCGAATTGGTTAAAGTTTACCAAGGATGCCAACGGAAATGTTAGGCTTTAAGACATAGCTAAATATTGTAAAGCCAGCCAAATCTGCGGGACTTTGCGGAGGCATTTAGAATGTTTCAGTACAGGCCATTGAGGCTATAAGTAGTTACACGGGATAGTTACAGAAATAAGAGGCTACATATCGCTTTACTATGAGGCACCCATGAAGGTGCACTGTTTGGCACTGACTTGTTGGGTCGAATTAGTGCCCATAGAGTGAGAGAATAGTGCATAGGAGCATAGAAATGAATCAACAGCAGTGGTTCGGGATTTTCAGACGAAAGGCTCAAAATTGGTCCCTTATGCCTAGCTTCTGTTCCTCGCCCAACCTTTCTGCGTTCAATGTTGTCCACCATGCGTGCGACGGGTCTTGGCTCTGGTTAGAATCTCCGGGGTTCTGCTGTCTGTCTGCCCATTCATCCCATGGTTTCGGACTGAGTATGTAATGTATGTTTTTAACATTCTCATCGCGCCATATGGTGTTGTGTACACCTTCCCACCGCAAGGTCTTGAGTGCGTTGTAGATATACGGGAGTGCAACCCAGCGACCGTAGAATAGATCACCGAGAAGGGACTGATCGGCGAAGTCATAATTTGATGTCGTAGCATTAGCAAGCTGTTCAGTAATTTTGTCGTAGATTGCCTTGGCTGGGTTCACCACTTGTAGGCCTCCATTGGGTATCCCCAAACCTGCAGTGGATGAAGCACCAGAAGTTTGCGCGATGTCGGGACTGTCATGCTGAGTAGTATAAGCACAATTGGCCGGAACCCTTTCAAAATTGACGAGTTAGCTACGCTATGACCCGCGATTGAGCTTTCTCCTAATGTTGAAAATAGATTGGTCTTACCAGTCTGTCGGATAGTGAGGTTTTTTGAGGGGATTGCAGACACAAGCGTGGCTAGCGGCAAACACTCGATTTCCGTCTCCAGCCATTTCTGGTGAATCCAATTCGAGTTCCATTAATTCATCCATATTTTGAAGGACCATCATGTCACTATCAAGTTGCACGACACGGTCATATTCAACGAGTGAGAACGGAGTGAGTTTGCTCCAACAATCGTAAAATCGCACATCGTTGGTGTAATCCTTAGGAACTGATGGAAGGAGATATGGTACATGGCGCTTCAGTATTTTTCGGGAATCAAGAGCTTCGTGGCCGTCGGCAGGGAACGAATCCGTGTAGAGAACGACAAGCGGATACTTTGAGCCCACTTTCTTGAGAGAGTAGTCAAGGGTCAAAAGTCCAGACAGGTATGCGGTATTTGTTATGAGCGTGGTCCAAACTGATGACTGTTATTATACTGAAGAAAGATACCGCGGAGTTCCTAATTGTACCTTTGGAGGCATCTCGTCTGGAGTTGTTGTCGTCCATGAATTTGACAGTCGCGTTAAGACTGTTTTGTTTTAGCTTTGACTATGACTGATTAATCCGAAGCAGGCGATCGAGATTAGCGGTCTCAGGCGCAGGAAGAGGTCAACACAGGCAGAGTAGAGTAACGCGAAGAGACGACGTTGGCCTATGAGCGAGGGGTTCTTTTTCCGCAGGGCTTGGCGCTCCGGTATCGGTTGTCCAATGAGGGGCAAGAGATTGTACAATAAAACCGCCATATTGCACCACCTTATAGTAAATTCCCCTTATGATGGAATCAATGTTCTATAACTTATCAAATGGCTTACTGAATACATGTATAATAAGCCTACATGAACATTGCTTCTGCTATTCTAGATGCTGCTTGTTGAAAACGGCTGAACGCCGCTTTCCTGGAAAGTACGGGACAAGCTGCTGGCACTATGGCCAGCACAATGAAAGACCCAGAGAGACCACGAATACCTCTCTAAATTAAAATTATTACTCACCGTACAGCTTGAGCTAGTCTCTACACCCTAAGTGGAGGCTTTTATCACTCACTTGATCTTTACCTTTTCTTCATTATAAAGCCCAACCCCTAGGACAATAAGTCCCACGGGAACTTGAGGTCTCTCAGACTTCCTCATCAATTACTCTCTCAAAGCTGAAAGTGAGCATTGCAGTCCGTGATCTCCTGGATCCAAAATCCCATCATCTTCACCAGAACAAATGATGTTTTTATCTCCTACGCCTCAAATAATCAAGAGGAAGCAAAGAAGCTCACGTCCTTCATACCACAAATTATTGCGCAGAGAATATCATTGACAGGAACGGTCATGGACAGCAGCTGTCCCTACCGACCGTCCTTGAGCGACAATAATCTAGGGATCCTGACGCAACTACGAACTCACACGATCATAAATCTTCTCTGGCTTGAGATCATGCAACATATCGACCATATATCGAGGACATTGAGCCAGATTGTCCTCTATACTAACAGCTTATACAGAGAATTTGGTAATTTCAATCGAATAGGAACTGCCACTTCTGTTGCTGGAGCTTGTGTATCTATTACTGCAAGAGATATCTGATAACGATATCTTCCAGCGAATCTTCGCTTCTCTGGGGGATGATGCGTAGACGATGAAAACAGTCTAATAGTGAACCAGTAGTCTTTGCAAAGCCAGTTGCCATTTAACTTTTGCTTTACATGGTTTATCTCTTTTTCCGCTTTTCTCTCTTCTTCCCCGTTCTCAAACCGCCATACACCGATGAGCTACGCGCATGTGCTCCGCAGCACAGAGAACCTTCAATAGACAAGAAAGTAGCTTCGGCCAATGACATTGAAGAAACAAATCCTCCCCACCACCCGGGCTATATAACCCGCCCCGATATTGCATTCACATTCAACTGTCTACCAGGCCATGAAGCCCAAGAGACCGCGGCCGAGCGTAGAAAAATGCAGGAAGTTGAGAATGCAGCACACAATACCAGGAACTTACAGGCACTAAACATAGCTTATCTCCTAGCGTCGGCGGAAAATACCAGATAACGCCTGGCGTGGAGTATAAAACGCGATGACGCGTCATCACCACGTTCCGAGCCCTAAGCCCATATGAACTTCGGTTTTTCCTCCGAAGATCTGATAAAAAAGCCCCAAAATTCTTGGGCTGTTCTGATAGAGCTTTATCATTCCAGGCTGATCGTGACCGTCGTTCCTCATCACCAGGGAGTGAACTCTCCAACCCAAAACCATGAGGTCCCCACTGTCACTCTTCCCGCTCTACAGCCTCCTAAGCCTATCAAGCGGGCTCACACCCAACGACAACAGTCCACCCCTCAAAAATGCAAACCATATTTTCAACGCAATTCAAGACTCAATGCGCCAGTGGGGTTCATCCCTCCACCACAACGGCGTGTCCTTTTTCCTGGCAACAGTGCCCGCTGGCACACAATTATACCACGGAACCTCCAAATCAAGCCCTGTAAACGGAACAGAGTGGCTAGCGTTTGAGCCGGAACATGCTATGGTCTTTGCTAGGCCAAGACGTGGACCTCCACCTGGTGGACCGCCCCCGGGCGACGATCAAGACGATCAGGAGAGACCCGAAGGCCGGCATGGAGAGCTGCGCAGACGGAAGCCTCGTGGGCCCGATGGGAGACATACGGATGCGTGGCCTGATAAGTTTGGCGAGGATGATGCTGGGTATCTGCATGCTTATGCTGCTGCTAAGGATTTGCGGCTTTTATATGTTGATGGCATGTCTGCTGCCAAGACTTCGAAGGGGACACTTGATTCTCAGGATATTTTGCTGTTCAATGGGTCGGTGGGTGACCGGCCTGATGGTGGCCCTCCTGGAGAAAATGAACGTGCTCGTTTGGCTTGTGAGATGGCTGAGAAGGAATGGGGTGCTCGTATTGATGGTCTGCTTCGTATGGAGGCTGGCTTTGAGATTATTCTTTGTGCCTTTGAGCGTGACCTTACTCCTTTGCGTATTACGCAGGTCAAACCTCAGGATAAGGATGAGTTTGGTCCCAAGGGTGGCCACGAACATGGCGGCATTGAGGGGCGCAAGCAGGATAATGATGGGAAACGACGTGGACCTGGTGGCCCTCCACGCGGTGGACCTGGCCACGGGCCTAACTCGTCACGATGGATGCGTGCTGTTACTGCGCGATACCATGGGATCGGTGGGAATAGGGTATCATTGAACTATGATCACTTCGTGACAGCATTCTCTTACGATGTTGACCTGTTCCAAGATGAGTCGGGTCTTCCTCGCCTGGGTCACCTCTCCCGTTCAGAACTGGAAGCTATCCGGAGGGATATCACGGCACTGATCATAACCCATGATGCAACCGAGAAGTCCGAGGACTGGCAGGTCATTGCCGATATGGTCGTTACTCGGTATAGCAAGGATCTATCGTATTTTGTATCCGGCAAGATCAACTCAATGGAGGCCCTGCAAGCTGAAATTGAACGGGTCATGTCTCCATACATTGACTACAGTGACCGGAACGAAGTTGTTGAAGCTCAACGATGTGCAACCCAATTCCTACCGCCTCATTCATTGGATTCGGAGCGTCTTGCAGCACACTCTGTGTATAGTGTTGCACACAGTATCTGTTCCAAGTTGCTGGAGGCTGGTAAGGAAACTGATTTTGGATCTGCTGTGCAGATTCTTCGTGATCTTGTAGATTACCTTGATTGGACGACTTGGAAAGAGTGTCGTGGATGTGCGCCGGATGAACTTTGTGTTGTTCCCATTTGGCCTATGGGTACAGTTAAGGATTATGAAAGTCCGAGCTGCAAGGACGCTTCAAATCCTTATGACCGAGATGGAGAGAGTTATTGGGGCGGAATGCGTCACTGAGTTGGATGTTGACCAGCTCATCGCATCCCAATGGGTTACCGCTTTTTTATGTTGTTATTTAATAGTACTGTTGCGCAAGACATTTTGTTTGGACATAGTTGGTAGAACTTAAGACATGTCAAACATTTATCCAGGGTATATAAAATATACAGTTGAGCGTAGTAATGCTCTGAAAGTGTATGTAAAAAGGAGACCCTTGCGTCCGTAATCGTTGCACGCGCTACTTCGAAGCAAACCCGGGTTCATGACGAAAAGTAAAAGGTGTATGATAGAATGTAATGACCAGCACCCATCAAGGGTAAATCATATACTAGGAGGTAAGCCCCTTAGACAGCGGGGACAACAGAGCCGACGACAGTGCCAAGGCCACCGAGGCCGAGGGTGGAGAGAAGGCCGTCGACAGCAGAGTCGACCTGGACAAGGAGGACGGAGGCAAAGTCCTCGGCATGGACGGCAATGAAGCTAGCGCCGGGGATCTGGGGGACCTGGTTCTTGAGATCGGAGAGGGAGGTGGCAGTAGCAACGACGTTGCCAACGGGACCACCCTGGAGAGAGGTGAGGTCAAGTCCGCCAAGGAGTCCAAGGACGGTAGGTTCAATCTGAACAAGGAGGTCCTTGCCTCCAACGAGACCGTTCAAGTCAGTGATGGAGAGAGCATCGGAGATGGGGTCGCGCTTGACGTAGCCAGTGACAGACTCGAGACCGCCAACAATGGAGCCGAGCAGGCTGCCGACCTGACCAAGACCAAGGCTGTCGAACAGGTCAACGACCTTCTGGGTGAGCTGGATGAGAGCGAAGTTTCCGTTCTCGAGGACGGCGGTGATCTGGCCGAGACCAGCGCCGTTGCCACCGTTCAGCTGTCCGACGCTCTCGGCAGTCTCAAGGATCTGGCCCACGGGCTGCTGGAGCACGCTGAGGGGAAGCTTGCCCAGGAGGCTCTTGAGCTCGTTCTCGGCCAGCATCTCGACCTGGGAGGTACCGGCCTGGTTGAGGACGCTCAAGATCTGACCGGCACCGGAGGAACCACTGGTCATGCCAGAGACGGCATTGCTGGGGGTCGGGGTAGCGGTGGGAGTAGCACCCGAGCAAGTGGGGATCAAGGACAAAATGGGAAGGGGGATGTCCGAGGGGATGATGCCGGAGGGCAGACAAGACGGAATGCCTGAGGGGAGAGCGGACAGGACTCTAGTCGGGAGAGCGACGGCAGTAGATGCCAGAAGGGCAGCTGAGAAGGCGAAAGACTTCATCTTGACGATTAAGGAGTGACTGAAGTTCAAAGACTTGGTAAGAAAGAGTGGACGGTAGAAACCGAGTGTAAGGAGTGACTTGTAAGGAATGACAAGAAAGAGAGTTCTTGGGGAGTTCCAATATTATGCGGGAGCAGTCCCATGTTATATACCAGGCCTGTTTTCAGGGGATCCGCATTGATCACGGCTCCATCCCGTCTCCATCGACACCGTGGGTAGACCAAACTCCTGAACTAGCAAACAAGACGACAGAGGGGCCTCCCGCGGTGTCAGGAATACTAGCGTTATGGAGAATGGTGGCGGAATAGCAACCTGTGGCATCAAAAGAGATATAAGCTTCACGCTGAGTGGTGGGTGAGTGCGCCGCCACAGGGGTTGGGTCCGGCGTGCAACTCGTAGCGCGGTCATAAGCTTCATGAGACGCTCGTCTTCATTAACCATCCTGCCGATCATTCCCTATACTCTTTAACAAAGCCGGGGAACGGTTCCCACAAGGATTCGACCAAGGCCGAAAAGACATGAACCACTTACTTGTAGATAATCCTTTGATCGGAGCTCGTTTTGAAGGAGATGTAGAAGGGTATGAAACATGGTGATGTATGTCCCACATGGTTCTAACACGCACACTTTCTGCATAGGGCACAGGGTCCTGAGCAAAAGTCCGAGAACGGGATGTTGACAGTGTCACAGGCAGCAAACAGAAGCCGAGATCGCCAGGCCTGACACAGACCTTGCTCTTTTGGTTGGCCAATAGTCATCAAACCCTGCATCAAAGGCTATACTGATCTGCAGTTTATCCGCCCGAAGAATGTTAGGAAGAACGTTAAGTCCACCGAACAGTAGCCGTTGATGCTGATTGCAATTTTACTCCTCCACCTTAGGCGGGTCTCGTCAAATAGCGTCGTGGGTGGGTCGTCAAGCCTTCTCTAACTTCCCTTCTTGGTCCAGTAAGTCCTTTGTCGGATTCAGCCTAATGCCGTTTTGTCGTAAAATAGAAGAGAACCGAGCGTTGATGATATCACGATTCTCGTTGTGTTCCATGCGCCGGCCGATAGAGCCTTCAGGGGTGATAAGGGGTACCGACATCTCGGGGCCGACCTCATTGTGTCTCGCAAACAACGCATTGATGCCAGAAAGGTGTTGGGTATTCGAGTAGTAACTGGGATTCAGTTTGATGCGAAGCCTGGGTCGTGAAGTCTGAAGTTGGACGTTGAGGAGTGCAGGTTTGGATTAGACTTTGGATGGGTCCGGGGAATATTCAGGGGTAATTTATATTTGTCCGCCACAACCCCAGTGGCATTTGTGGCGTTGCTTGTGATTTTGAATATGCTGCCCTTTTCTGCATGTCTGATTTTGTAGAGTAAAGAAGCTCACCGGTGAGTCGACCTGATTGTAATGGACTACAATAATAACGCAAATTTGTTCCTTTGGACCAGGGGAGCCCTGCCACAGCAATGCTGAAAAATGGAAGTGATTGACTTCAAGGTTGCATTCAGTGTGTATTGGTGCCAACCTAATTTCAAACCTTCGATGTTCACTATTTTTGAGGTTTATTACCAGATGACAATAACAAATCTGAAGCATGAATGCTGATCTGCACAGTACAGCACTCAGCCACCTGTGGCCGTGAGGAAGCAAAGATCCCGAGTTTGGGATGTTTCAATAGTCATCTTAATCTGAAATGCTGGAATTGGGAGCTTGAGACTTGGACTTGTCTTCTTTCGTTCTGCTTGGGGAATGTGGAAAGCCCAAATCTATATATTCCAACGAAGTAATATTCTTTGTACGATTCTGTACAGTTCTATCAGGATATACAGCGAACAGAGTAAGGGTATCTATGACACTCGCAACCTGGCGAATATTCATAATTTTGATAACCAACCAGTTCCGAGCTTCCAAATAGAGGTCGACGGACTAGAAGACTCGGTTATCGATGAGCGATGTTCTAACATGCCAGAATCTTGGCAGCGGCGGCTTCAGCAACAACCATAATAGTCGTCTGAATGTTACCAGTGGGAAGATCGGGGTGGATACTGCCATCAACGACGAACTAAAAGAACAAATTGGTTAGCAGGAATATTAATAAAAGAGAAGTGTTGCAGCACACATACAAGGTTATCAGTTCCGTACACCTTGGTGTTGGTATCCACGACCGAGGAACCCCCTTACGGCCATCATCATTACCCAGCTTGGCAGTGGTGGTGTAGTGGTTACCGGGGCTCTGGGCGTTGAGAATAGCAGAGACATTGGTGTTTGTGACAAGCTCGAACCCAGTGGAAGGGTCGGTGATTTCGCTGACCATCTTCGAGACAAAGCTCTGGGCAGCCTTGCGGTCAGAAGCGGTTTGGAGGTAGGGCGACTTCTCAATGACAGTGTTTCCGTTGGCATCGAGTCCCAGGACACCAGAGGAGGTGAGACCGTGAGTCAGATAGGAGGTGATGGTGACGATACCCTCATCAGTGGGGGCACATGAACCCTGGTAGTACTGGGTGTGGCCGTCGATCTCCTCGGAGGTGAAGAAGATCATGCGGTGCTTGCCCTGGGTCAAGACACCGCTGTGCTTGCGGTAGAGGGAGATGTCACGAGTATCAGAGCCGTTCAGAACACCATCGTAGTCGACCAGACCGAAAGAGCTGTTGGTGTCGAAGGAGATCTGGAAAATAGGGTGGTCCTTGAGGCCGACACCGACGGGAAGGTCGATCCACTGGTGCTTTGGGGGGACGGTGACGCCGTTGTTCTTTGCGGTCTCGATCTGAGCGGCGTGACCGATACCAGAGTTCCACAGCACACGGGGAGTAGACAGAGCGCCGGCGGCCAGCACCACGCGACCCTGAGGAGCAACGGAGATGATCTCGGTCTCGCCCGAGACAGTCTGAACTTCGACGCCGCTGACATGGCTGCCAGAGCGGACCAGGCGGATAACCTTGGTCTTGAGGGCGAGCTGGAACTTCTCGAGCTTCACAGCCTCGGGGAGATAAGTGCGGACAGGACCAGCACGCATCTGGTTCTGCACATTCCAGGCCGGGTAGCTGTAGACCTGGTGCTTCTCGTCTGGCTGAGCACTCATGTCTACGGACTTCCAGCCAAGGCCACCAAAGAACTTGGACAGGACGTGGTAGAGACCCTGATCGTAACGCTTGCCATCGGCGGAGGGGAGGAGGGTGCCGGGGTTGCGCTTGTAGAGACGCTCGGAAGCAGGCTCGACGTCGTTCCACTTCCAGCCCTTGGGCCATTTATCATCGAAATCGCGGGCAGGAGGGTGGACAAAGACCATGTAGTTAACGGTCACACCACCGCCGAGAACACAGGCAGCATTGCCACCGGTGTCGGTGCACATGTACTCATTCCAGACATCAAGCGAACCAATATCTGCCGAAAGTCCCGGCAGGTCAATGGGTGTCAACGAGTGGTTCCATGGGAGCGTCTCGTTGGCACCGGTAGCCACAGTTGGCCCGACACCACGCTCAAGGAGGAGGACCTTCTTGCCAGCCTGAGCAAACTTCTCAGCACTGATAATTCCGGCAGGGCCTCCACCAACGACGATGTAGTCATATGTATTATTCTGAAAGACGGAAGCGGAAGCGAGTCCGGAGAAAATGGAGAGCGCAGCGGCCAAAGGGCCTGTCTGGAAGATTCTCATAATGAAGTATAAAAAACGATCTCTGTGAAATGCCGAGATAGGAATCTGCAGGGGAAGGAGCCCTTTTAACAGTTTCACGGCCTCAATGCCGTCACGCACAGATCCAGGTCCAGTTCCAATCAATTGTCCCAGACTCCACGCGGGCTACTCATGGCTCGATAATGTAATTTCGTCTATAATCACTAATCGGGACTAGCGCGATCAGATAAGAATGTTAACTCGCCGCTGAGCCGCCCATTTCCCGTCTTCTCTCGGGACGACACTTCAGATCTCATAACGCTCCGAGTGATCATTTAGCCGGATTATAATTTGTAGAATCCTTCTATTTCATACCGAGGGCATTCAGCACTGCTCCGGAAGGCGAAACTATCAAATAGCCCCGTTTGACTCCACTTGGGCCAAGTGCGGAATCATTGCGCCACTGATGTTCCAAGCCCCTAAGGGTGTTTCAACCCTCACTTTATTTTATTTCCGGCAAAGCGTTTTTCCAATCACTTTTTGGCCTTGACGCAGGGATCATCTGTAGTTTAATATGTTTCAGATCTTCGATTCATATATTTCATGGATGCGGCGTCGAAAACTCGATCAAAGTATTTGGCTAGCCAAGCCACCGTCCCACCATGTCTCTAGGCGTGAAAACCTCGAAACTTTGAAACGGCCAAGAAGGATATCCGACCCTTACCAAGCATAGAATAAGCAGCCCGACGCCGGGCCCACATTAGGCAATCATTCATGATTGCCTCCCTCACGCGACACAAGCTAGAGTTTTTGGTAGCCATTATTCACTAAAATTGCACTCAGTCTATATCCACCCGACCGAAATAGTCGACTCTCCGTCGGATACATGTACCGGCAAAATTTCGGTATTTATCAGACATGATAAAGCACACAGTGGGGATGGGCGGATTTGAGCGGAGCTGTCAATTTCATTTTGGAATTTCCATCCGCAAATATCCTAGAACATTCAGTCTTCTAGTGTGGTCGTACGGGGCAGATATGTCTTGTTTCAGCAACGGCATGAGTCCCTAGAGCAGGCCGAACTAGGAAAGTCTTCCATCAGGCATCCAAAAGAGCAGGCCTTAACTTCAGACAGAGACATGATGCTAGTTGATTCGGAAGCCTGAAGAATAGCGGTTGAAGCTGACTGTAGCAATCGGGTTGATAGTTTCATTGGAAAGAATGCTACTCCATACCTCACCGACACGGGTAGTATTCCATAGTGACCGGATGAAGGTATGACGGGAATTGGATCTTGAGCAAGGTGGAATAATCAAGCCAGGGCTATCTGGCGAGTTCCAAAGCATTTAGAACCGAGTGTGTCTCGTCATAAACTATTGAATCGCGGGATCGGACAAAACAGTTGCGATGGGTAAGGCGCTCGCCGGCTACATTAACCTGCTTGACGTTCTGAAACATCGAGAGTGAGCCCATGAGAGATAGGGATGTCAGCTTATTATTTGTGGTAACTCCACCCAGGATGATGTAGTTTACTGAAAGACCTCAAATATCCTGTGGTCATCGATACAATAGGATGTGTTCTTGGCGTGTCCAAGATCTCTTGACTGGAGATCTGGGTATTCCATGCGATCCGCATCAGTGGTTCCGTTTCAAACACTGGCCAGTCTCCGTATTGCCACAGGGTATCTGTCCTTGATCCAGACTGCAGCGACGCAGGCTGATACACGAACGCCACCGATGGGCTGACAGCAAACCGTAATATGAGGCCGTGCCATATGAAATAGCAAGCTGTGTATGATCAACAGCCTGTATTTGTGCTCAAATGTGGTGGTCCTGCAATCACAATATCAATTGCAATGAAGTTAAGAATTGTGTACAGTGGGGGATCAATAGTGTTCCCGAGGCGGAGTGGCCGTTGCGATGACGAAACCCAAACAAAACCTCAATCTCCAACTCTAACCTCGCCATGAACCCAGCTCACCTACCTAGACACCCACGCACCCTTCTCTTAACGTTTGACGCCTTCGGTACTCTCTTCTACCCGCGCCTCCCCGTCCCTGATCAATACGCGGCGACCGCGCATGAATTCGGATTGTCCCGCACAGCCATAACCCCGGACCGTCTCAAGACCGCATTCAAGGATATCTTTAAAGCTCAGACGCGTCAATACCCGAATTATGGCCGTGCTGCTGTTCTCCGTGGTCAGTATAATGGGCCTCGACAATGGTGGGAGGAGGTGATTCGGGGAAGTTTCGCGCGTGCATTAGCTGAGAATAATGGAGAGGCACGATTGGCGCAAACAAGCCTCCAGATGGGCGGTACCAACGAGAATATTGATCTCCCCTCTGGCCTGGTTGATTCCTTACTGGATCGCTTCGCTGGATCACAGGGCTATGCGCTTTATGATGATGTGACACCTTTCTTCCGTCGCATGCGCGAACTGAAGACAAGTGGGAAGAGTCCATTTGAAAATATTATTGTTGGGGTTGTTTCAAACTCGGATGACCGCATTCCTGCTGTGTTAAAGTCATTAGGCGTGCGAGTAGGCGATATGCGCGCTGACCAAGACCGTTCCAGCATGGAACTTCCTGGGTTTGAGGAGCGCCAAGGCACGCAAACCACAACGGATGGGCAACATTCTCACGATGTTGACCTTGTGGTTACGAGCTACGAAGCAGGTGCAGAGAAGCCTCATCGACTAATTTTTGATGTGGCGAGGCGACAGGCTCAATTGCTTGCGAATCCGTCGATGAACAGCGAGACCAACATGCTCTGTGCACATGTGGGCGACGACTACGCGAAGGACTATTGTGCTGCTAGAGATGCAGGCTGGGAGAGCTACCTCCTTCCCCGAGACCCATCTCAGAAGAACCCCAATGCAGTAAAAACATTAGACTCTCTGACAGAGCTGGTCACCCAATTGGAAAGTCTGTCGTGAAACTCCTGCCAAGGTACGATATCTACAGTCAAGCGTGATTCATACAATATTCTCTCATTTGCGTCCTACGAGGCCATGGATTCCATCTTATAGACGATGCACCGCAGATTTGGCGGACCTAAATGGAATTGGGGATACCATGACTTATGAACTGCTTTCTAAATGGGTTTTTGTTCCTCTCGAGCACACTACAAGTATTGCTTTCTGTGTACAAATACAACAAGCTTGTTCATTTCTGTGTCTTTCAAAGGCCTACAGAGGCAAACATTTCTCATCGGGTAGCAAATTGGTCTTGTGATCTAAGTTGAGAGACAACCGCAGCCTCCATTTTCGTTACTGCCACAAGTTGCGTGGCCGTCACAGCAGTAGGTTTGACTGCATGGAGAGGGGCATTTTTGACAAGCTATGAGCATCCAGTAAGTCAGAAATTGAACACAATAGAGGATATCAAGCCCGACAATGACAGCCGCCAGGTTCAACCTTACTTTGATTGCCGAGATTCTCAAAAGGATGTGCGGAATTTAACCTCACGACATTAGGACTTGATATCATGTTCACTGTAAATAATTATGGCAATGTCAGCTGAGTCTATTGCCACGTTTGGGGTGAGCAAGATACCTCCTTTGGTGGCCTGCTCAAGACTTGAACCGGCGGCATAAGATCCTGTCATACAGAGGATCATGAGAAGCTTCACGACCGTGGGGGCCATGATTGAAATTGTATGAGAACAAGAGATAGTCTGTTCCAAGGGCGAGAGCTTGAAGAAAATGTTCGTGATAGTTGAAGGATGGCCTCGCTTGGTAGGAACGAGTAGCATATGGAAGAGTTTTGAAGACCGATACTATTCAACCAGCCTCTTGTATGGGCCGACAATGAGATGTGTGATCTACATTCCACATCCTGACTTCGCTCCATTTGAGGTTTAGCTTGTATGTCACTCAGCGCTTTGCAGGATAAGCATTGGCGCCTTGGGTTTGCTGCACAAAATACACCTTCGAAAAGAATGGGATATCAATGTTTAGGTATACGGGAAAATGCAGACCTTTAGTAAACGAATAGGTAGAAGTGGTAGTAGATCCGCAAGGGAAACCGACTAAATCGCCCATAAAGAGATGCAAAAGTGAGGAACCAAACTGGAAACAATGCACGGTGTGGAGTTGTTGCAGAGCGAATGAGGATTTCCCATTCCCGTTAAATTGAGCTTTCTTGTCAGAAAATGAAACCCCATTTGGTCTGCACTACAGCTCAATGGACCTCCATCCTCCCCAATACCCTTGCATTCTTGTTTTCATCCGGTTGTGGGAATGATCGACACCTTGCATGGGCCCTGTATCAATCAAGAATGCTTCAAGATATTCCATTGTCCAGTATGACCTCAACGCCAGAAAAGTTAACTCCATCCCATGATAGTAAGGAACTGAAATAATCGCAAAACCCATGTACAAGCAAGGCACCTCATTACACATTCCATGATAAAACCACTAATCCCACTGGCCTTTACCCAAAGCACCAAGCCCACCACCAGTATGCTTATTCAACAGCTTAGCAATATTGGACGCACCACTCCGCTGCTTAATGCGCAGCTCCTTCTCACGCTCACGCTCACGCGCAGCTGTGTATGAATTGACAGCGCCGCCCTTCTTCGGTCCTGAAGCCGCGGCCTTTGAAACGCGGTTGGAGGTGGTGCTTGAGTTGCTGGAAGATGAAGAGCCGGTTGTGACACGGCGCAAGAGCTGTGGAGGACGGAATCCAATCGGACCGTCACTATTGCCCGTTGAGAATGCCATCTTGCCGTTTCCAGATCCGGAGGAGTTTGTGGCGGAGTTGGATGATGCTTGTCGGAGGAGGGCGAGACGATCGACGACCACTCCGCGTGTTCGGCGTGGGTGGCTGGGTCTGGCGAAGGTGTTGTCGGATTGTTGGTCTTCCGAATGGCCTTCTTCGGCGCCGGATGCGTCTTCGCTTTCGTTCCAGTCCTCGGCCTCGTCGAGGGAAGCATCCTCGTGGAAGGAATCGTATTCGGGGGTCTCAGTGAGAAAGGACAGCGTCTCACGGATCTCAGCCAGGGTAGCTGGTTTCTTGGACATTGCGCTGGCAGGAGTGCGACGGAGATTAGGTGGGGGTCGGTTGGTGGAATCTTCAGCGGATGGTTCAAGAGGGCGCTTGCGCTTCTTGCCCTCATTTGATGCATGGTGTGACTGTTCCTCGGGTGTAGCATCTTGGGATGCTTCAGCCTGAGAGCCGCCCTCCTCTTCCTCGAGGAAGTCGATATTGAAATCATCATCGACTTCGCGATCCTCAACGGCCTTGAAGAATGCCGCTTTCTTGGGATTTTCGGCAATCTCGCCGATTTTCTCGTCTGCGAGAAGAGCACGACGCATCTTGGCGAATTCGCGTTGCTTTTCACGGCGTCGTGCCAAGTGCTCATCGTCTGAGTCGTCAAGATCAAAGTCATCATCAGCATTTTTGCGGCGGCGGAGGGCTCCAGTTGTGATGTCTCTCATGAGCTTGGCAACGTCTTTCTCGTCACGGTTGCGATCGTGGACACTGAGAGCTTGTTAGCATTGCAATAATTGAACAAGACATGAAGTAAACTTACGCATTGAGGGCGGCGAGTTGCTTCTCGTCAACCACCTCACCACTGTTGTCGTTGATCATCTGGCGATCAATGGCATTTTCTTCGCCATCACTGTCATCACTATGACCTCCGAGGCCTGCATATTCATCTTCGGATTCCTCGGCAGCCTCATCAACAATTTCTTTCGCCATACTGTTCTTCTTGTTGTATTCAGGGGCAGACTTCTTCTTCGTAACCTTGTCCTTCTTCATGACATTAAAGGCATTGGCATTGATCTCAAAGTCACCTTCATGTTCATCTTCCTCGACCTGAGAGAGTTCAGTGGCGCGGCCCCGCCGCAACATCTTGCGCTTTCGCTCCGCAATGGGTGACTGGCTTTGACCAACGAGAACTGTATCAATGGTCGAGACAGGAGGTGTGTCTCTCCATCTTTTCGCAGGATCAAATGGTGAGAAGACGAAGCCTTCATCTTGGGTTGGGTCCGGTAGTTGAGAATACTCTGAGAAATGGTGTGGAGCAGGCGACTCCGATACCCGAGTTACGTTCTGCGAGTAACCCTCCATGAAGTCTTTGTCATGTGGATGCTCCTGGCTGTCTCGGACAAGGATCTCGGATTCCTCCTTCCGAAGCTGGGGCACAGGTCGACCTGGGTCGGGCAAAGAGAAAGGGATGGTGGCGGACCCTGGTTGGCTATCTGCACCATTGCCATCTAATGTGGAGGCAAAGGCCTGAGTCAGACCGAGAGACATATCGCCAGGCGTTCCCAGACCAGGCAAATTGGGTCGTTCAGCCGAGTGGGGGACATGACTCGGCGCTCTCACAGGCGTCGATGGTGCCTGGGGGTGATCCTCTTCATCTTCGTCATCGCTGACCACTCGTGTTCGGCGCTTGCGTCTGGCGGAAGGCGCGAGTTCTTTTTCGGTGTCTGAAGGTAGACCTTCACTTTGTTCGTCAGCGGATTCGTCGTTTTCGTCTGCCTCCTGTTCGACAAGCCCGGCTTTGCCATTCACGCTACCGGTTTCCTCCTCTTCATCTTCATCTTCATCGTCACCCTCGCCATATGCCTCTTCGTCAGAGCCAGAAAGCTGATAGTCATCATCCTCATCCTCGTCATCCTCGTCATTCTGTCCTTCCTTCTTCTTAGCAGCCTTCTCAAGACGGGCAATCTCATCTGCCTCTTTGCGAGCCTTCTCAACAAGGTTCTCCATGTCATCTTCCATGGCTGCTCGCTCCTCGGCGGTTTCGATGACCACACCCTTAGCCCGGAGTTCTTCGATTCGTTCACGGCGCTCCTTGGCGGCTTGCTGTCGAGCTTTGTACAATAGGTTCGCAGAGAGTTCTGCGTTGTTCATTGAGGCCCGTTTGCGTGAGGGAGACGTCAAGTGTGCCAATGCCTTGAGCCTGGTCGTACCAGGGTCTTCTTGCATCTGGCGGGTAGGGAGATTTTCGAATGCTGCGATCCGACGACACTTGCCAGGTGAAGTAACCACCTCTAAGTCGCTGTCAGAATCGTCGTCACCATGGGTGTTCGCGGCAACTGCTTGTCGGGAAAGCAGCACGCGAATAGGCGGTTGAGTGAGAGGGCGAGAGATTCTCTTTTCTTTGGCGGCTTCGGGTACAGAGGGTGAAACCTGTTTGACTTCAGACTCTTGAGCTTGCCCCGTCTCAGCTTTTCCAGCTACCACTTCGTCGAAAATAGGCAGATCTTCCTGGTTCGTATCCATGCCGATATCAGTAGCTTGTGTTTGAGCCTCGGAACCAACAGCAGTCGGCTTGCTTTCATCGGCTACGCCAATCAGTGGAGAAGTATGTGGGGTGTCTTTGAGCTTGCGTAGTTCTCCATCAGACGAGTTTTGCGAGCCGGCAGTGGACGATGAGTTTACCGCAGGTTGTTCGGTGGCTGAAGGTTCAGGTTGCATAAAGTTAAATCGGGCGAAGAGACTCTCTTTGGTAATCTTCTTCTTGGTCTTTGCCTGGTGAGCCAATTGCATATTACGGCTCATTCGCTGTGTCTCCTGTCTCATCTCATCCAGAGCTTTCTTGCTCGCCTTGCGGGGTTGACGGGCCTTCTGAGAGAGCTTGTGAGCGGAGCCAGGGTCATCAGCACCGCTTTCCTCACCAGAAAGGACCTCAGAATTGAAGTGCTCCATCTGTGCTTTCCGAGCAGCAGCCTTCTTCTCGGCCAAGGCTTTCTCTCGCTCCTCGCGCTCCTTGCGTTTCTGGGCAACAAGGGAAAGGAATCGGGCGTTCCCTTTAGGCTTTTCTTCAGTGTCGTCATCATTGTCATTGCTGTTGGCGGGGTCGTCACGCGGCTCAGCAGGAGAAGACACGAATAGGGGAGATTCGGATCTTAGACGTGGGGGAGTTTGGCTGGGCTCTTTGTCGGACTCTGGTGATTTAGATCTGGGATTGTTCTTTCTCCTCGGACCAGCCGTAGGGATTTCGTCTTCACTGGATTCATCGTTGGTTGTGGGCTCTGCCTGCTGCGGCTTCTGGGCCTGTTCTCTTTTGGACCGGAGTGCCTTGGAGACACGGGCGAATGCGGAGTCTGCTTCATTTGAATTGGGTGATTTCGTGGTATTGCCCTGCATCCGGGCAGCCATTCGACCCTTGGGGCGGGCAATATCGTCTTCACTACTTGAATCTTCCGAGTCGTGTGCTTGACCGTCGTTGTGTTTTTGGGTGGTTGACGTGGAATCGCGCGCTAAAGTGGTTTTTGGTGCAGCAGATGTCGATTTAGCATTTTGTGTATCATCCTCCGAGTCACTGTCAAATTCAGCCAGCATGGCTTTAATCTTTTGGCCGGGTGTAATAATGTTCGGCGAACCGCCGGGGGACGCGGAACGCGTCGAGCGTGGTGTGGACGGTGAGGACATGTTGTCGTAAATGTTCTCGTACTTCAGGGTGATTATCGCGGGTATAATTTCATAATGGGGTCAGTTGGATAAGGGAAGTTGCAAACCAAGGTCCAAGTCAAGGTGCAGTGGAGGTTCAAGGGCGCATAGTACGGACGCGATGCGCGTGCCTCGCGTTGCTAGGCCCCACACGTGATTGCTATCTTATCGTAAATTTTCATTATGGACGAGACTACAGACTGATGTCGTTTTTTAAGGATAAAGTAAAGGTGGATGTTCCATTTGTGAAAGCTCCTATGGAAATAACCTCGTTCCCTCAACAGGTACCGGCGAATCCACGCTCTTACCAACCATAAAAAGGATGATTGTATTGCTCATGATGCGTTCCCAGAAGTCTCATAATACAAGAATGAATGCTATTTTCTGAAATGACGCCGTTAAATCATCCACCGACTCCTCAAATATTGCGAAAGAAAAGGTTAGGGGAAAAGCTAAAACAATAAAGTCACAATGCAGTCTTGGCCATGCGCCAATGACCACCAGTGGTCCCTCCAGGAGTGTACATCGGATTTAAAGGGAATCACGTAACCAGATAATCCGGAAAGCAAACCTCAGCAAGCCGGTTCAGGGCGTAAAAAGGAAGATGCAGAAAACAGTGGAATGTTAGGAGTGGCATAATCAGATCTCAATGTCGATGTCCATATCGAGGGCCGCGATGTTCTCATCATCGTTGTTGCGGTGACTGATCATGAAACCACTCTTGGACTTCTTGGGGGTGATTCCGGAAGGTGTACCAACTGCAGAACTGCCGTTGCTGGGCTTGAGAGTATCCTTGGGCCCATCGACAGGAGTAACATCGGTAATAGGAACAGGTTGGCTGGGTCCACTGACGTCGTGATGGGTCTTAGCCACTGTTCGCACACGCATGAACGGATCGGCGGCGGCTTCACCGCGAGCGACAGCTGCTGCGGACTTGCGAGCGGCCTTGCGCTCCTCAATCTGAGCACGACGCACGTTCTCATAGTTGAGCTTTTGGTTACGGATGTTGATCTGGTGGACACGCTCGGCTTCCATCGGCTTCTGGTCGATCTCTTTCTTGGTGAGAGTCGTTCCCCAGGAGAGGGTAGGGTTCAGGATCTGATCCAATTCCTTCTCCAGCCGCTCAGCATCTTCGATGTTTCCATTGGCTTTGGCGAACTTCAAGTCGCGTTCAATATCAGCACGCTTGAGGATGTTCCATTTCTGGTCGAATGCACCCTGGCGAAGCAGCTTCTGGTTCAACTCATCTTTAGTGAATTGGTGGTTGATCAGGCGGTTGATGTCAGTGACCTTAGAGGCCAGCTTTCCTTGCGTAGCCAACTTGATGTCCTCGGCAGCCAAAGTCTTGCGGTAACGGTTGTACTCGTTCTGGATCATTGTTAATGTGATTCAATGTTAAGGAGAAGTTTCACAAACCTCGGTGAAAGGAGAATCCGAGCAGGCAATGAAAGGGAATTCCTTTACAGCCTTGCCATGCGCCAGCTTGACATACTGATCTGTGACAAAAGGACGACCGTTGGATCCTTCAATAGCATAGGGTTTGCCCTGGGCAAAGCCTAGAAACGTTGTTAGTTTAGAGAATCAACAACATCCGAAATATCTTACCAGAGATAAGGCACATGCGATATTCGTTCTGGCCAGTCTCTGCGTTCGGGCCAATATTGACGCGGGCATAGCAGCCCTGCATGGCACTTTCAAATCCAGGGTAGAAGCAGACCTGAGCAAAGTTGCTGCGACCAACACGAGCACGTTGAATATCACGAAGCTCAGCAGGTGGGTCGTCCTTTGGCAGGGAGGGAGAACGACCAACACGATCGTCCAATTCAAGATCACTCTCAGCATCAGCATCTTCATCAGAGACTTCAGATCCCATGGAACGGGAACGACGGCGAGACTGGGTGGGATCACGGCGGCGGAGTTCATCCCGCTTGCCCTTCTGTTCACGCTGACGCTTGTAAGCCTCAATGGCTCCAGAAGTTTCTCCAACCTTGCGGCCACCAAGAGTGGTCTTCTGGCGAGAGCTCTTGCGCTGGGAGTCATCCAAACCGGCGGAACCAGCCTTTCGCTTGGCTTTCTTAGCAGCCCGGGCTTCCTCGCGGGATCGGGATGCTAGCAGGCGTCGGAGAGCAAGGTCCTGGTTGTGGCGATCAACTTGTTGGGCGCGCTCAGACAAGGTTTCCTCGCGCTGGATTTCGGGCATGGCCATGATGTCCTTCTTATCCTGTGCCGAGTAGTACAGCTTGTCGTACGGGAAAATGGGGCGATCCTCATCATCTTGGTCGGATTTCTCGGACTCCGAGTCTGACTCGGACATGGGGGCAGACTGGAGAGAGTGACGGGAGCCAGTTTCGGAACTGTACAGCAGATCCACGGATTAGTCACGGATATCATCAAGCAGACTGAGGGGGATATCTCACACTTCGCCTTCGGATTCATCCTTCACGGGCTTCCGAGCCCGGCGGGGAACCGGCTTAGCAGTTCCTTTGCGACCCATGGCTGCCGGTGAATGATCTCTGTCGGCATGTGAGGAAGCAGAGTGCGCCGGCGATTTGGATGGTGGTGAGGTTTCCTCCTCAGAGTCACCCGCCAAAGCGAGCAACTCAGCATCCAGATCGTCCGCCATTTTGAATAGCCTTCCAATAGACTAATCCCTTAAGATAATCGTTAACTCCAAAAAGTGCTACTCCCAAACAAGGATTCGCCTTATAGAACAATAGGTGTGTTTTCCTATTGATCTATCCCTCCTGAAGAGAGTCGACACCCAAGTGACGAAGTGGTAGTAGAACACCGTCCAAATGAGGCCCAAATGCTTCACACTGGACTTTCAACGATCCAAAGTCGGCAAACACACTATGCGCTAGATGAAGCGAACGTATTGCAGGGTATCTTGAAAGCGCATGAGTGTTCGTCGCAAGTTGGCATGAATTCATGACGTTCCGCGCCAATCTCGCTAGCGAAGGCGGTCAACGCGGCCTCGGAGCTTCGTCGCTCGAAATAGCCTCATAATTATCGTTCAACCCAATTTTTAATGGCATCCCTACCAATGATGCGCAATTGCGCCTTGAATTTGTGCCGCCAGCCCATGCGTGCACCATCACCAGTTTTCCTCGACTTCCTCGCTCCATCAACGGTCAAATACAGCCAATGTCGGCACGCCTCAACCACCGCCGGCACCGCCGGTGAGCCCAAGCCTCGCTACGTCCTCAGCAAGGAGCAACGCGAGTTTATGGACAGCGCTCTACGAGTCAATCAAGCCGGGGAGCTCGCCGCGACCCTGATTTACACAGCCCAGACGCCCCAGATCGTTCGTTCATACCCACACCTCCGGCCTTTGATGAAACACATGTACGACCAAGAAGCCGGGCATCTCAAAACGTTCAATGGGCTCGTTGCGAAGCACCAGGTCCGACCAACCGCTATGTATCCCGCGTGGGAGGTAGCAGCCACATTCCTGGGGTGGTCCACGGCGGCACTGGGTCGCGAAGCCGCGATGGCGTGCACCGAGGCCGTTGAGACGGAGATTGGGTCTCACTACAATGACCAAGTGAGGGAGATTCTGTCCTGGGAGGCGGATGCTGAGAGGCGGGGAGAGGAGCTTGATGAAGAGCTTAAGGATATGCTGGCCACATTCCGGAGGATTCGGGACGAGGAACTAGAACATCTCGACCATGCTGTTGCCAATGACTCCAAGGAAGCGAAGCCTTATGATCCCCTTGTGGACGTCATTCGCTTTGGCTGCAGGACCGCTATTAAGATCAGCGAGAAGATTTGATGTTCGATGATGGTGGGAATGTTTCCTTGGCTGGTCAATCCATCACCTAGCCATACATATATTTTGTTCGCGTTCAGCACTCAATGTACAATACCAAATATTTTTCTGAGGATGGAAACTATGCAATCATATCTTCTATTTTGATATTCACTATCTGCTTGATGTATCTATCAAAACTGCTCGCTCATGAAGTAGGGTATCAACAAAGTAGCGCCGTCTTCTCTATACATGTGCTTGGCCTGTGAAGCCTTGCTGGTTTGAGGAGACCCTTTACTCAGAGCTGAGAGGGTTCTGCTCCAGATAGTCAACGAAGTTCTGAGAGAATCGCACGACCTGCTGGTAAACCTCTTCGAAACCATTGGCACCACCATAGTAAGGGTCTTGGACGACCTCACCACCACCAACGCGGTCATTCAGCTTTCCAGCTTTACCGAAATCACCAAACATCCGCACCACCGCAACCTTCGCATCCTCCCCATATTCGCCAATCGCAGCGTCGACATGCGATCGTGTGCCTTTGGCCCCCGACTTGGAAGCAGATTTGCGCTGCAAAGCCGCAATGACCGACTCCCGCTCATGCAACAACTCGCGCAAGTTCGACTTGTCCATGGCAAGGAGGTAGTCGAAGGTGAGGAAGTCCTCCCGGGTCACTTTGCGGGCGGCATGGTCATAATCGGCGATCTTGTGGCGACGCAGAGTGGACATGGTACGGGGGTCGGGAGGCTCAAGGCTGTGGTATGCGGCAGTGCCGGCCGAGTCGATCTCTCCAATTAAGGCATGGGATGCGGCGAAGTTGCGGAAGACACCTTCTGCCATCGGAGAACGACCTATACTGGATTAGTATGTCGTCATCGCGGGGGGAAAAGCCAAGGGTGCACGTACAGATGTTGCCCAGGCAGACAAATAGGACATTTGCCGGGCGTCCGTTCGAGTTGCCAGTCATAATGTGGGGTAGGATGAATGTCCCGGGACCTTGCTTAGGGTTGTGTAGGCAGCAACTGAATAAATTACAGCTTGAAAATGAGTGTTTAAGTTGGGGACTTATCGATAGGCCCTAAGACCCCACCAGATGCAATACGTCGTTGCTACAGGGCAAGACACAGGTACAGGTACAGTATGATGTGCAGACCTTGGCATAAGCTAGTAAAATTGGCTATTCTAAGAACAGGCAGCTACTTTATACATCACACTGATAGTATAATTCTTTTCCTATATACCTTATCGATGCTAAAAAAAGAATAAGAATTTGCAGCGCCTCCCATGGAAGGGGAATGACTAAGCACAAGGTGTGGGTACAGCCACTGCCAAGACTGTGGCTCAGGCGCAGTTGGCCCAGTAACAAAACACGCACGACTGACGAGCGGAGAGTTGCCTCTTCCAACCGTGGCTCACATGTTTCAGGTGTCTCTGGTTTGATGAACTGCAGTCTTATTGGGGCTTTTGTTCCGAATCTCTTTTCGCTATTACAGTATTATCATCGTGTGAACAATACATCCACAGGGCAGTGCGGAGCCCAGCACAGACACTGATTCGTCCTATCTCCACCTTCATCTCTGGGATCGACTGGGGCGTCGTAAACACCAAACAGAGCGGACCTAGGTTTATTCCGCCTGCTTCTCACTTTTGCAACCAACCTATCCATCCTCATTTCTCCTAGTCAAATTTCGCTTGAAGCCCCTACCTGAAACAGCGCCGAGAGTCCGCGTCCGTCAAGTCGGACTAGTCAAATCTCCCGTTGACGCTCAAGATTCCACTTGGCGCTCCTGGCGCAATCTCCAAACCCCCTGCAACGAACGTCGGGGTAGCATAATTTCGCTGAACTCAATCCCGAGGCTCGCTATCCACCATGGCCTACAATCGCGTCGGAGAAGGTTAGTGCTTGTCTTACGGCCCTATTGGACCCTCTTTCTTCCCATATTGCTTGCGCATGCTTGTCCACCTGAAACCTGTCTCAAATCAGTGCTGGTCATTGATTAAATGGTTACTGTGGAAGTCGTGCAGTCAAGCTCTTGCGTTTTAACCTCCCGTTAAGCATCCACTGCCTCAGAACTGACAATGCCGCAACCAGATCCGTTTGGGGACGAACATCGCTCTCCCATGCTGAATCCTTCTCACGTCACTAGCTACACAAATCGCACTCCCTCGCCGGCCCGACCGCTGGATGGCTACCAGCTATCGGACAACCCATATGCTCCTCCTGCGCACCTGCCCATGCCATCTAGCGATCGCCTAGCTGAGCAACCGACTGTGAGTATTGCGCAACAATGATTGGTGTCTTGTGGCTGGAACTGACCATCGTTTTCTCCAACACAGTATTCAGTCGAGAACGTTTACAACTCCTATGGCCACCACGACGCCTATGATGCGCAACGTCCTTACCCCGGTCATGAGTACTCGGTGGATCCCGAAGCCCATCACGATGCTTACTACACTCAACCTTATGAGCCTACACACACCCATCATGACGATTATGACCTTGGCCAGTATCCAGAGGGAGGTCACACCCCATTCGATGATACACACGAGCCCATGCTTCACCCGAGCGACAATCCTTTCGGGCCGGACCCATACACCGATGAGTTCCACGACGAGATACAACCAACACCAAGTCCTCAACCTATCCGCCGCTGGAAGACAGTGAAGGAAGTCCAGCTGTTCAACGGCAACCTCGTCCTTGATTGCCCCATTGCCCCGAAACTGCTCAGTCAAGTTCCTCATGCAGAGCCCCCCGGCCGTGACGAGTTTACGCATATGCGATACTCGGCCGCAACTTGCGACCCTGCTGATTTCTTCGAGGAACGGTTCACTCTGCGCCAGAAACTCTTCGCAAAGCCTCGTCACACGGAGCTGTTTATTGTCGTGACCATGTATAATGAGGACGACTTCCTGTTTGCGCGAACCATGTCCGGTGTTTTCAAGAACATTGATCATATGTGCTCGCGCACAAGCAGCAAAACCTGGGGCAAGGACGCATGGAAGAAGATCGTGGTTTGTGTTATCAGTGACGGCCGTGCAAAGATCAACCCCCGCACGCGCGCCGTTCTAGCAGGTCTGGGTGTGTATCAGGATGGAATTGCTAAGCAGCAAGTCAACGGCAAGGACGTGACAGCCCACATCTACGAATACACAACCCAAGTCGGATTGGAAGTCAAGGGCACCCAGGTGCATCTCAAGCCTAGATCGGGACCTCCCGTGCAGATGATCTTCTGTCTGAAGGAAAAGAACCAGAAGAAGATCAACTCCCACAGATGGTTCTTCCAGGCCTTTGGTCGGGTCTTGGATCCCAACATTTGTGTCCTTCTCGATGCGGGTACCAAGCCTGGCAGAGACTCCATCTACCACCTGTGGAAGGCCTTTGATGTCGAGCCTATGTGCGGTGGTGCCTGTGGTGAGATTAAGGTCATGTTGTCCCACGGCAAGAAATTGCTGAACCCTCTGGTTGCCGGTCAAAACTTCGAGTACAAGCTGAGCAACATTCTGGATAAGCCGCTGGAGTCTTCTTTCGGGTTCATTACCGTGTTGCCCGGCGCGTTCTCTGCTTATCGGTTTGTCGCTTTGCAGAATGACAAGAACGGACAAGGTCCTCTGGAGCGGTATTTCTTGGGTGAGAAGATGCACGGTGCCAATGCCGGTATCTTCACAGCCAACATGTACTTGGCCGAGGATCGAATTCTTTGCTTCGAAATTGTCTCCAAGCGGAAATGCAGATGGCTCCTTCAGTACGTCAAGTCGTCAACCGGTGAGACTGACGTGCCTGACCGCATGGCCGAGTTCATCTTGCAACGTCGCCGTTGGCTCAACGGTAGTTTCTTCGCTGCTGTCTACGCTATTGCCCACTTCTATCAGATTTTCCGCAGTGACCACAGCTTCATGCGCAAGTTCATGCTGATGATTGAATTCATCTACCAAACGATTGCGATGATCTTTGCTTGGTTCGGTATTGGTAACTTCTTCTTGGTCTTCCACATCTTGACAACATACCTCGGATCAGATGATCTATTAGGTACCGCTGGTAAGGTTCTTGGTATCGTTTTCGAATGGCTCTACTTGGCAACCCTCGTTACGTGCTTCGTTTTGGCTCTTGGTAATCGACCTGGTGGGTCAAACAAGTTCTACATGACCATGGTCTATTTCTGGATCGTGATTATGATATATCTTGCATTTGCTGCCGTCTTCGTCACTGTGAAATCCATTCAGACAGAAGTTGCCTCGAACAGTTTCACTGTTTCCCAGCTATTCACGAACAAGACGTTTTTCTCCATTATCGTTTCACTTGGGTCGACCTATGTGATGTGGTTCATCGCGTCCTTTATCTTCCTGGACCCCTGGCACATGTTCACCAGTGTAAGTCTTCCAGTCAATTCCTTGTTAGCCATCTGTCACCTTGCTAATTTCCTTTTCAGTTCATTCAATACATCCTGCTTACCCCGACCTATATCAACGTCCTCAACATCTACGCATTCTGTAACACCCACGACATCACTTGGGGCACAAAGGGAGACGACAAAGCCGAGAAACTGCCCTCCGCCCACCTTAAGCCCGGCGGCAAGGTCGACGTCAACATCCCACAGGACGACGGCGACTTGAACGCACAGTATGAAGCGGAAATCGCCAAGTTCGCCATGAAACCACCCAAGGAGGTACAGGTCATCTCAGAGGAAGAGAAGCAGGCCGATTACTACAAGGGTTTCCGTAGTGCTGTCGTTCTCGCCTGGGTATTCTGCAACTTCGCCCTTGGCGCCGTTGTTCTGAGTGCCGCAGGCCTGGATACCTTCGATAAGTCGTCTAGCTCCAGTAACGGCCAAGATGCCACACAGAGCGAGCGCTCCATGATTTACATGGAAGTTGTTCTGTGGAGTGTTGCCGGACTGTCAATGTTCAAGTTCGTCGGTGCGATGTGGTATCTGGTTGTTCGGATGGTGAGTCCTTTCCCCTTCCCCTTCTCCTTCCTCTATCTCAAGCATACTAAATTTCCCTTCTCCAGTTCCGCGGTGTTTGATTTAGCGATCTCTCAACATAACTATTGTTCTTCTGCTCTTCCTTGCGCTTTACAGCAAATACCATGCTATGCAATGTTTTCATATATCCTCCGCGTTTGATTCACATTCATCAGAGTTGGAGAGTACGAATTTCAGAATCCATGACCACGGCGGGCCCGGTCTGGTTTGTAACGGGGTTCTGAAATGGATCTGAAAATGGAGATGGAAACGGGACAATGTAATATGTGTGATGACCTCCCCGCGATGTGCCTTTCTCGTTTTGATATGTGGAACGAGTGGAATGACATGATATGGCGATGTGTTTCTTTTATGTGTTTCTTTATTTCCTTTTTAGTTTTCATTTGGAGTGGGAATTCGTGTACTTTATTTGTAGATATGGGGATCTGGTTTATTATTTTGTGCCAATTTTAGTGTTGGTGATAGACAAATATGATATGTCCTATGAACTGCATGACTTGATCCGGATTATTGGAAGCAAAATAGTCTATCTGGGTAAAGTAAGGAATTATTTGAATCAGGAGGGTGGAACAAGCGCCGGTTGCGTTGGTGTGTATTCCTGTTTCTGAGATGTATGTAGAATGAGGTGATCATAGTGGACCAGAATATATTTCGACCGTCTACATGTATGTAGAACGCAACAATAGTCAGACAATTGTCAAATGACAATAATCCCAGGACGAAGTGTACAGGAATCAGGAAGCCTGGTTCTTTGAATGAACACACAATGCAATACCTCCCAGCACCAAGCCCATGCCCAACCATGTCTCCTTCGCAATCACCTTGCGCTCCACATACCACTCTCCAAGCACAGTAAATAGGAATGCACTCGAGTTTGCAAGAGGGACGGTGAGGGAAAGCTCTGTGACAAAATGAGAAAGATCATGAGCCCCATCCTCGGAGACAAAAGCGACAGCTTGCAAGGAGAGAAAGACATACCATGCTTCCCAACAAGAAGGAAGAACCAAATGCTCCCAGTCAGGTTGATGATCAACGGAATGGCGTAAGCTGGAGTGCGGAGGAGGTTGACAACAGTCCAGAAAATCGAGACAACCTTTGTACGCAGCCAAGACTGTTTCGGGCCAGACTCGCGTCTCCAAGCGGGTGTGGGTAGATCATCATGTCCCTCGTCTCTCAGCTCGGTATCGCGGCTTGAACCCTGTGCATCACCACCCTGCTGTCCTGCGACAGATCCCTTCGCCTTGCGGGACTGGTCGCTTCGACTCGTGCTGCGTCTCCGCACCCCATCGTCCTCCAACTCCCCTCGAGAAAGCAGCTCCTGCTCCTCACCCGCATCCGTGAAACCAGTCTGCGGCGATTCCTGTGTACGCGTCCTGCCGCGCTCCGTAGAGTTGGAGTTGTTGGCAAGCTTGTCCTGTCGTGCATTGAAGTCTGCCGCGGCGCGCCGGATAAAGGGGGTTGTGAAGCCCCATGCGACACCGACGAGGAGGAAGGACAGAACGTAGCTGAAAACGGAGGGGGCGGGTTCGGTCGGGATACTGGCGTCTGGATCCATGCTGTGATGTGTCTTAGGCAATTGAGTGTGGTTGTGTTGCACTGCAGTCAGTGCAGTGCCGTTGAGCTGTGGTCCGTGCGAGGTGAGATAAGGTTTCCCGATCTATGTGGCGGATCCGTGGATGCGGCGTTCTTTTGTTGACGTCCCTGCAATGTCAGCATACTCACCTGTTCAAGGGAAGGGGAACAGAAAAGGTGCAACATGCAAGGTAGACGGGGGTCACTCAGAACAGTGTTCGAACCCGAATCTTCGATCAAGCTTGGAGGATATCACGAAGACGTAGGCACCTTAGATGGAAGTACCACCTAAGACCGAATCATCACAGAAGAAAAAAAGAAAAGGGAAAAAAAGGAAAAACTCCGTCGTCCCGCATCTCCTTTCGAAACCCCGTCAATGAAGACGGGGGACCTCAGAACAGTGGTCGAACCCGATTCTTCGCTCAGGCTCACCAGGCAATCACGAAGGTGTCGGCGCGTTCGATGGATGCGAGAATCACCCGAGGAATCACCCAAGTGGATTATCCACGCATCATCTAAAACTGAATCATCACAGGAGAAAGGAGGGAAAAAAAGAACGAGCCCTCGCCCACAATCAGAGTGCCGGGTCCACGAGCCAGGGTCACTCAGTCCGATTGTATGTTGCTTAGCTCCAGGTAAGGTTTTAAAGAACTGGGCCCACTGTGTCCTTGCCAAGCAACCCTCGACTCGCTTCCTCCCCGACCTCCTCAAACGGTCGCCCGTGCAGGAGAACCTCTGATCCGACCACTGATTGTATCCCACGCCCACATATGGTGGTGTTGTGTGTTGATGTTGTGTGTTGATGTTGTGTGTTGATGTTGTGTGTTGATGTTGTGTGTTGATGTTGTGTGTTGATGTTGTGTGTTGATGTTGTGTGTTGATGTTGTGTGTTGATGATGTTGAAGATCATATCGAGTGGTCGTCCCCCTCCATCGTTCCAGGTGAGTCTGGTGTTGACTCCTCAAAAAAAAAGCAAAGAAGGTTCGCTCGAGGTGACTCTCGTGAGGGGAGAAACAAAGAGAAAGGGAAAATGGGGGAGAAGAATTGTTTTTATAGCAGAGGTCATTTCCTAATTGGGACGGCACGAATAGGATAGTGACGACCCCCCATTGGCTGATTGCTTGCTATTGTTCTTTAATAGAGCCATTGTTCTTCAATGCAGCCATTGCGACTCAACAGGGGACATCCTGCATTGTCTCACAATGTCCCTGAAGCTATTCTGCTTCCTATCGACCTGCTGAAGCTCACTCCCACCTTGGAGACTCCTACATGATCATGCACCCCGACGCCGACTGATTCTCTACTGTAGCTCCAATTCTACTCTAAACTTAACGTAGTACCGGTAGAAGATCCATATTAGTTGATGACGCCCTCGTGCTCTCTGCCTGGCCCCTCGGGGGCCTGGCACTGGAGAAAGAACGACTTGCTATTCTCACCCTCTCTTCTTTCTGACTTTTTGTCTCTATGGGTCTGTAGTGTTAGCTACACTGAATCTACAGTTGACCTGCGGCAGTCTTGCTCCTTGCAAGTATCGAGTCGTGACACAGCTCTACCCTGGACGATAGCTAGTCCCTGTGCGCTATGTAGACAACAAGGCGAACTCTCTCTCCCTCGATATCCCACCAGTACACTCCAAGCTCAAGTGTAGTCAAGCTTACCTCCGAGCTGAACAGGTTCTCTAACCTTCAGCTTGAATGATGCTATGCCCGCATCACAGCACATTTCATCCAGCGCCAGAAGGTCGCAATGTAGAGCATTATAACCGACATATCTCCTCGTGTTTATCCTTACATGAACTAGGAATAGATCAGTTCTGTAATATCAGTGCTTGTTTCTTATTGCTTCGGAGATAATAATCCCGCAAGTGAGGCTGAAATACACGTAAGTCAGCCCCAATCACCGATCATGGATCGCAATGAACCCTCTCTGTGTGTAGCTAATGCGGAATAAAAGCCCGACAAAAGATCCTCATCGAGCTTCGTGCATTTACAGAAGGAGCCGCGTTGGTTGGCCGAACATCTCATATACCTGAATAGGCTAGCGCTAGTATCTCAGCACTAAATACGTGTCCAACTGTCCAGTGTCTGCACATCCTGCTCCCCACGTCTGGTAAGATGACTGGACCAAAGGATCATCCGAGAAGGAGGCTGCATGAAAGAACCAAGTTTTTTGAAGCATATTGGCTCGCAATATGATCTTATTATCTCCTCTTGCCTCTGTTTACCACGGCGACATAACCCCGAAGCCGAGAAGCCCCCGCGGATCAGCCGGAAATACAATACCAAGAGATCCCCCAGTTCAAACGTAAATACCACCTGAAATTCCTTATCTGCAAACCCCATCTTATGAAAATAAATGCCGGTTCGACTGCCGATCTGTCGATTGTCTGATTATAAACCCGCCCACATCCGAAACCCAAAATAGAAGCTTCCGAAAGTAAGCTTCCCCGCACAAGCTTAAATACATATCTCCGCCAGTAGCTGCATCTGTGCGCTGCAGACTTTACTTTGTACATCTCACACTTGGAATATATTATATCGTGGCATAAGAGCAACAATGTCAATCCAATCGCACCCCAAACTCACCGGTCTGGACCTCATCCAAGCCACCTACAAGAAAGTCGGAGACCATGAAATCCGAACAGACATCCTCATCCCACAAAAGCCATTCACAGGCAAGAGACCCGTAATCCTCCGCTTCCACGGCGGCGGTCTGGTATAAACCCCGTTATACACCTCTCCCCGATCCAAACCCGTACTAACAAAACAAAACCAGGTAATGGGCGACTCCCTCTACATGGACTTCTGGCCATGGTGGCTATCAGACGTAGCGCTCCAAGAAAACGCAATAATAATTAGCCCAAACTACCGCCTGCTCCCAGGCTCAACCAGTAGCGAAATCTACAGTGACATCGAAGACTTCTGGACCTGGGTCCGGAGCCCCACTCTAACAACCCTCCTCGCGGCCCACTCAACACCCACACACGCTGATCTCTCACGGGTACTGAGCTTCGGCGAGTCAGCCGGCGGACTGCTGAGTCTGTACCTGGCGCTTGCGCACCCGGATGAGATCCGGTCCTGCACGGCTGCGTATCCGTGGGTTGATCCGTGCTCTGAGGCGTTTGTTAAGCCGCGGACTGTGGGACCGTTTGGGATGATGCTTCCTGAGAGTGTTGTTACGGAGACGATGGGTGTTGTTGTTCCGGGCACTGTTGAGTCTTCCGTTGTGGAGCAAGGGCGATTAGGATTCATGCTTGCGGCTACTCTTTATGGGGTCCTTGGGCGGCTTTATGAGCGTGGGGTTGAGGGGTTGGAGAGGGAGGTGAGGTTCCCTGGTGTTAAGATTGAGCAGGAGGGGGTTAGAATTCCGGAGGGTGGGATTGCTATTATTCATGGGCGGCAGGATAGTATTGTTCCTGTTGGGGATGTGGAGAAGTTTGTTAAGCGTGCGCGGGAGGTGTTTAGCGAGTTGCCGGGTGATCGGATTGTTTTTACTGTTAAGGAGGGGGAGCATGGGTTTGATACTGGTTTGAGGTTTGAGGAGGTTTGGTTGCAGGAGACTTTTAAGGTTGCGATTCAGACTTGGTTGGCATAGATTGATTAGATTAGATAAATGTACCGGCTAATCCCTGTCATTCCTTGACTTCCTCTTTCCATTCTAGTGTCCCTGGCCGATAATTGGCCAGTAACAATGAGGCTGAGCGGTCTCTTAATCTAGATCTAAATGATCTCTATAATACGCTATGCGAGTACATTGGACTCAGAATGTATCCTATGACCTGTTACGGGTGCCTTTCTCCAGCGTAACACGACAGCGGTACAGGTACGTAGTGCAACCAGTATTTTAGGACTATGCGAGTGGACGAAAATTCAGACTGCCAATCACCACTATGACGACATTTATGCCCCTTACTTTTACAAAATCATACAGGAGTGTGTAAAATACCTCATTATAACCATACAGGACTAAATAGGGTGATGGTGATTTATGCAAATAGTCATGATACAGTAATCGGTCCAAGACCATAGTTCTCATTATTGACGTAAAGTAACTTTTCACTGGAAATATCCCAGCATCGCCTTGACAGGCAACAATAGAGTAAAAACTCATGATAAATTAAACAAGGCGCACGCTATATGAAAAATATACCGAGAAATGCAAAATGTTCAATGCCAAAGCAGCTCATGGCCCTCAGCCTTGAAGCGAGCAACCATGTAGCCAGGGCTGCAATTTGCCTCCCAATCCTCATCGAAGCCCGAGTCCGGGTTGTGTGGGTTGAGAGAACCCTTCCTCGCGGAGAGCATTGAGACGCCACGAGGAATCTCCTCTAGGCCCGGTGATTCGGAATCGCTGTCGCCACATGGGCATGTAGAGGTCGTTCTGGCTCCTGGTGTTGTGCAGGGGCAAAGGCCTAGGGAGCGATTGCATGGGACGCATTTGTAGTGGGCTGGACCGGAGCCCGTGGATACGCGAACGCCCGGGAGTCCGCATTGTTGGCATTTCCAGCCTGAGGAGTGTTGTGTTGATTGGATGGTCATGATGATAGAGGGTGGACTCTGGGTCATTTGACTATAGGTATTGTATGAGTAACTGGTAGACATGACAGGGAGGTGTCGTCATAACTTACACTTTGAAGTATAGAACTGAGGAAATAAGGTACCCGTCGTAGTATAGGCTGAATTGATGATCAGTTCTCAAGTCCGGGGAACTTCTCTTATAAGATTTCGCGGGGGAGGACGTAGATCATTATGACGCTATTTGACGCTATTTGATCCATCGCTGGCTCAAAGATGGGACAAAGGGGCAACCGGCAACCCCGGATCGGTGTTGAGATCACGTAAAATCACGTAAAAGTGTGGGGATCTGGACTCCAACTTTGATCGTAAACGGAAGCCTTGACTGGATCGGGTAAGGGCATCCCCGACGCAAACCGAGTTGTTAGGTAATATCGCGCAAGTCGGTCAAGTGACTGGACTCGTTTACGTTTCTGTTAGTAAATGCGTTGCTATTTTCAGTGAGGTGCAAACTCGAATGCAGATGATGTGCTCCCGTGATGAGGCATTATTCTTTTCGGTGGGTATTCCCCCGCATTTTGGTTCTAGTCTTACCCCAACTGCAGGTATATTCTAGATCTTTATTTACCGCTACTTGTCGCTGAAGAAGTATAGCTATACCAGTTGTACATATATTTAGACTTGCCCCTTGAAATGAAGGTGGCCTGTGATCATATGCGAATAGAATAGCGACACGTAATAGAATTAATATGGAGGTGAAGTCAACTATCCAAACAGGGATTAATGAAGATCAAATGGTCTAGCAGAAGTGCCTGAATGCTCTCGGCGTCCTCTCGGCGTGCTGTCGGCGTACAATTGCATCGCTCGGCGCTACAGGATGAAAAGAATTGCATCAATTGCGTCATTTTGAAGTGGGTAGGTGTCTCCACCCTTCTCTGCGCCATCCTAACGCTTTTCTTGATCGGATGGGGTGATCCAGGAAAATGAGAGGACAAGACGATGACTACGCATTGCAAACTGGACCACCCACGTGGGTATTCTTCTCCAGGTCTAGAATTCGGACTGGGATGATCAGAGGTGCTCACTGATTGGACGTTGAGGCCGACCTTCCGTGATCACGTTACAAGACCCAGCAAGATTATTTGCTCAGGTGACTCATGCTAAGATTTACTCGTCTGAATGATTCGGTGATAGTATAGATCTTTATATAGCGAAAGGGAAGAAGGATCATTCGGGAAAAATAGCAGTGGCATATGTATAGTCTAAATAATTAACAATTATCGTATCTATGTACGCCTGTCAAGCAGGTAAATGACAACGTAAAATAAGAACATGATAAAAACGCTCCAAGAAGCAACCCAAAAAATAGACAGAAAAATTATCAACAGAGAAAGATAAGTACAAGCAAGAAAAGAGTGACAGTCTAGTTACCGCTCTTCGACTTCTTGCCAGGAATGAGCTTCTTGAAGGATTCCTTCATATCAGCGGAGTTCCAGCGCTTAACACGGACAAGGTAGTACATGACAACAGCCATGAAGACATTGAAAGCAATAAAGGCCCACATGATACCAAAGTTGCGCCACCTCTGGGAGTATTCGATGCCCGTCGAAGACAAGTACTGATCAGCAACCGTGAGCGAGCAGTAGTTGCAATCACTAGTGGCTTCCGGGTTAAGCAGCTGCCCACCAGCGGCGTTGATATACTTCTGCATATACTGCATGCAAGTTTGGCCAGAAGGTGGACTGAAAGTAGAAACTTCAGCCGGTGAGCAAACGACCGCGCGGTTGTGTAGCTGGGTGCCGGCCATACCGCCGACCCAGTAGGTGAAGGGCGAGACACGGTACATGAAGATCCAGAAGCCGGGCAATGCGGTTGGGGGCTGCATCACACCACAGAAAGTGAGGGACATAGCGAAGAGGAGGATGACGACTGCACTGGCGGTTTGTTCGTCTGGGAGACCGGCGATCACCATGTGAGTGAAGGTACTAGCGTAGATGAAGAAGACAATGCAGAAGAGGAGGACTGTGCCTTGGGTTGCTGAGTCGGGGATTCCGACGACGGCGTAGAAGTAGCAGGCATATGTCAACACACCCATTACGATCATGTAGGGGACTTCGACGACCATGTTGGCGATCAGGAAGGCTTTCCAGGAGTAGGACTTGCTGGGACGTTCACGGCCCTCGTAGAGGGATCTCTGGGTCACGAATACGGGCATGATCTGTTGCGCCAATGACGAGAAAATAGTGCAGAGCATGAACAGTGAGTAAACGATCGTCTGCATTCCCTGGAGAGATGACTTGGCTTGGTAGAAGGAGAAACCGATGAAGAGACCAGAGGCCATACCGAGACCCCATTTGGCCAGAACGTAGCTAGGCATGCGCCAGTATTGCTGGAACACACGGTATGTGACGAGGTAGAGCTGGAACCAGAAAGGCATGGCGAATTCAGCGTGACTCTTGGCAGAGTCGTGCTCATCGGAAGAATCGGTCTTGCCCTTCATTTCTTCGTGGATACGGTTGATCTCAGTCTGAACTCCTTTGCTTTCATCGCTCTGCTTCCACACGTCGAACCAATCCTGGCCCTGGTCGTTCTTGCCGGCATTCACGATACCCAACATGTACTCCGCAGGGTTCTCGTCGTCGGCACACTTACGTGCGCCGTTTGACTCGAAGTACTCAAGCATGGTGCTGGAGTTGTCTCCCACTGGACCGAAGTATACGGTCTTACCACCACGGGCGAGGAACAGTAGCTGATCGAATTGCTGGAAGAGGATGGCGCTGGGTTGATGGATGGTGCAGAGGACTGCCTGGCCATGCTCGGCAAGCTTGCGAAGGAATGCACAAATAGCCCAAGAGCTCTGAGAGTCGAGACCACTGAAAAGAACGTTAGTTACTGGCACATCAAGAGGGGATGTGCATCAAGATAAACTCACCTGGTAGGCTCATCCAAGAAAAGAAGCAGCTTGGGCTTCGCAGCCAACTCAACACCGATAGTCAACAGCTTGCGCTGCTCGACATTCAGACCCTCGCCAGGAACACCAACAATGGCTTCTGCAAACTCCTCCATTTTCAGCATTCTAATGACATCCTCGACGTAATCGTACTTCTCCTTGATCGAGACCGAAGCAGGCTGACGCAGCATAGCACTGAAACGAAGAGATTCGCGTACAGTAGCAGTGTCAAGGTGAAGATCCTGCTGCTGGACATAGCCAGTCTTCCGCTGGAAACTGTCATCGAGGCCAGTACCATTGACAAACATATCACCGGTAATGACACCCATGGAAGTCCGGTGGGCTAAGACATCGAGCAAAGTGGTCTTACCGGCACCACTGACACCCATAAGGGCAGTGAGAGTTCCGGGCTTGACCCATCCAGAAACATTGTCCAAAAGTCGGCGAGGCTCACCCTTGATCTCGATGTCGTAGGACACGTCGCGCCAAGTGAAAACATCAGTCTGAGGTTGAATGGCGCCCATGCCCTTGTCATCAGACGTTGTAGTGCGCTCGGCCACAACTGGGTTCTTGGTGTTTTCCACATCAGATCCGGACTTCTTGTTGTCCTGCATGCTGGGAGGCGCATGACCGCGACGGAAGACAAGGGCCTCAGCGGTGCTTGTGGTGGAGGAATTCAACTCGCAAGCGACGAAGTAGATGAGCATGAAGCCAACCAAGAATGCTATCAGGATACCGAAGTTTCGCCAGACGTGACTGTAGCTGTAGGAGTAGTTCAGTTGGATGTAGAGGTCACCATTGACAGTCAACGAGCCAGGCTCCGAACCAGCTGCCGAGCAACTGAATGCGCTACCCGACAGGTCGGCATAGGAGGGCACGAAGCTCGAGCAAGGGAAGTCGCGACCGTGGAACTCATTTGCAATCAGAATTTCGAAGGCATAGTAGATAGGGTTGAGGTAATGGATCCATTCGAACCATGGATGCATGGATGGAACAGGGAGGACGAAACCGGTGTAGACAATAAGGGCAAGAATCATGACTCCTGCCAGACCCATCGCCTGCGAGATTGTCTTCGTAATAGCTGCCAGTGTGCGGAAGACTGCACTCATAACAAGCGTGATAATGAATGTGATGAGGAAGTAGAGGAAGAAGTTGCCTGCATCACGCTTCAGACCAGCCAGGAAGTATAGAATGATGTTGAAGACAACAGACAAAGCAAACTTCACTGGTATGTCAGAAAGGACACCAGCAATGGCTTCCGTGGCTGGGTGATAAAAGGCGAATGAGTTGTGTTTCTCGACGATAGGGCGTTGGGAGTAAAGACTGTTGATTTCGGACATAGCTGTAAGGGCGTTGAGGAGGACGGCAAAGAACAAAGTTGCACCCTTTGACGTGAAGCCGGCAGTTGCATCTGCTGTCCCGTAGAATACAGAACCAATGATGAGAGCCATAATGATATTGGAGACGACAGTGGAAACAGTCGAGGCAGCATCGTTCCATAGTCGTTGATACGCGCGAACGGTATTGAGCTTGATCTGCATGGGAACACTGATGATGTATGGAGACTTGGGCCGGGTGTGATTGGCTTGAGCACCACGCTTCCGTTCCTGCAGTTCAAGAGCTGCAGGCGCATCCTGGACCATAGGGTTCTTCGCTTCATAATCAGCAATCTCGCCCTGCAGTTGCTTGTATTGAGGAGATTTGAGCCATGCGGCTTCGAAGTCTTCGGGGGTGCGGGGGACACGGTTTTCCATGCCAGGCTTGGCTTTGCGCTCCTGGGGATTGGTCACCGAGGTGAGGAAATCTCCAGTGGTCTGTCGAGCCGGGCAATCCCAACCCTGTTCCTCAAAGTATGACTTGGCCCCGGCAGCGGTTCCGAAGTAGACTTGATGGCCTTCATAGAGAACAATCACCTTATCAAAGACATCGTAGATGCTCTGACTGGCTTGATAAGCCGCGACTGCGTGGGTTGAGCCGGTGATATCAGAAGACAGACGCAAAGCCTCAACAAACTTCAATGCGGTGGCCGAATCCAATCCTCGGGTAGAATTATCCCAGGCTGCAATTGGAGCATGAGCCACAGCCATCTCTGCAATACTGACACGCTTGCGCTCTCCACCCGAGACACCGCGGATGAAATCGTCTCCGACGCGCGTGTTGTAGGTGTGTGAGAGTCCAAAGACTGCCATTGTGATCTCGGCCACATACCGGGCGTGATCCGCTCGGGACATGCCTTCGAATCGATGGGTGGGAGTCCTGGTCGAGGCAGCGAACTCCAGTGTTTGACCAACGGTCAGATGGGGGAAGTGCCGATCAACCTATAGTGACAGGCATTAGCTGATATTCCAAGAGAGTGGAAGTATGGCAAATCTTACCTCCTGGTTGTATACTAGTTCACCCTTGAACTCCTTTATCATGCGAGATTGGGGGATTCCATTGTAATGAATGACACTCTCGGAATCCTTCTGCAGACCATGCAGCTCTCCAGTAATGGACTTCAAAAGGGTACTGCAGCCAGCACCCGGACGGCCCAGCACGAGCAATAGCTCGCCACTCTTCATCAGGCCATTGAAGTCTTTCAAAATGCGCCTCTGAGGCGACTTAGAGTGACGGAACAACTGGGGCAGGCGTAATGGAGCAGTCAATGTCGATGAAACGGTATCTTGGTACTGCAATGCAGCACCAGATCCATATACATTGAGATCCTTGAAAATAACGTCCGATGTATGTCCCTGAGGGCCATCTCGGCTGATATCCTTGAAAGCAAGCTTGAGCCACTTTCGCAAGTCAAAGCTACCCGATTGGGGATCAAGGGCTGGGTCTTGTTCGGCAAGGGCGGTCAACGAGTCACCTCCCCAGGTCGATTGGCGGCGAGATCGTTGGGTGGCGATTCTTGTGAGGGTCTCTACATCGACTTCATCGATGAGGGTCATAGGGGAGTCCTCTGTGTCGGTCGAGTGATCGCCGGTGTTGGGTGGAGATCCATGTTTTTCCCTCAGCTCGAAGGAGCTTGTATCCGACGCCATGATGACGCAGTGGATTATAAGCAGGATTTAGATGAAGAGAGAGCAAGTTTGAAACGAGGCACTTAAAACAATCAAAGGGTGGGAAAGAACTAATATTTAAATGTCTGTTCACACATGGTCCGGCCGTTTCGGGTATGTCAACTCCCCTTTTAATGCATGTGGGCCCGGAGGCGGATGAACTGCAACTATTAACTATTATTGGACTCAGCCTTGACATGGTGGAGCGATGAATCATCACCTCACGTATCGGACTTAGTTCAGGCCCGACATGTGGTAAATTTCTAACGGCTCAAATGCAAAACTTAATTCTCGGCCCGCCAGCTGGCAGTCGGTCCGCTGAGTCAGCGGCTTCCGAGCCTGGACCGGGACGGAGTGCCAAGGTTCCGAGATTTATGAGTGCATAAGCGCCAGATCTATGATCTACTTACGGAGTATGCCGGGGTCAAGATCGCCCGGCTTGACTCTAGCTTGCGAGGGCTTGCAAGGATCATCCGTCGCTTACAATCGTGTTCCCCTCACTTCGGTCTTTCAGTCTATTTATTAGGGTGTCTGCAAATTCATGCATTTTAACTTTTTCTTTCTTAGCTATTCCAATCATTATGAACTGCCATTCGGATGAAAATTCGGTCGAATATGGTCCAGCCAGGTCTCTCGGCTCGGGTTCTCAGGGCCCGCTAGGGCGGGCCCACATCACGGATTTGGTTTGTCCTAAATCCGCCCGGATGGCTCAGGCGGACATACGGTACCCGGATATATCTCCACTACAGTATTGTAAAGCTCTTCAAAAATAGCAAGACCCTCAGAAAATCCTGGGAACCTAGCGCCCCTGAGCTATGACCTAAATGACACTAGGACATGCCATGCCACGTTATCAAGGGGTCTATTCTTTAATTTCGCGTCATCCCCCATTCGTGCAACCCTCTGACAATTTCAGCTCCCTTTCCTTATCTACGTCGGATCGTCTTTAGCCCGCCTTGGCGCAAAGGAAGCATTCGCCAGCAGTGACTTGTATACAGTCCTTGCCTAGGAATTGTACAGTGCCTGAAACATGCACCTGTCCTTCAGCTAGTTCAGATTGCAGTCTTGAAGTGCAACCGGTTCGCATCCTAGTGCATTGATCTTCCTTGGCAAGATTCAATGCGATATTGACTTTCTAGCATATCTGATCAGACCCAGAAAAAAGTGAACGCGGTCAACTTACTGTCTTACGAGTGAGAAGAGTGGTTTGTTTTGCTTGGCCAATGAAAATGAGCTTGTCCGACCGGGCTAGTTGTGCAGCAAGACTTGCATCCGTACGGGCTACAACCTCGAAGCCGTGATGCTTTCGGTCGTTAACAATGGATTCATTAAGCTTCTTGGCACCCCACAGGATATTACGAGTAAGTTCGCAAGTCTTGAGGACCATCCGGACTTTCTGGTCATTGAATTACCGATATGCCTCCGCTGCCTCTTCCAGTTTCATGGAGCATTCACCTAAGAAGGACATTTTGTCTCGTACCTTGCCCAGTGTCTGAAGGGCCTTTTCGAAGATACCATGCACAGGACACCGTCCCCATGCGATGGTCACATTTTTACCGTCTAGCACCGGACCCTCGAGAGCAACTGTTTCCGTCTGAGCACCCACGCTGCCGATACTACCGAACGGACGCAAAATATCCAGGCAGAGGCGCATGGCATCAAGTGTTCCCACCAACTCGAGCACATCATCCGCACCGCGTCCATCGGTCGCAGCCTCGATAGCCGCGCCCGGTTCTTCAGTGAGCAACAGCGTCTTTGCACCTAGACACTCCGCTTCTGCAAGGTGGGACCATGTGGCAAAAACGGTATCGTATCGTGTCAACGCGGTTGCAATAGCGCATATTCCAAACGGGCCGCACCAAGCCACAGCCGTGGCACTTGATTTAGCTTCCTCTGCCGATAATGTGTTTAGAAAGCGAGAAGCACAGAAATATCCCGTGGGGAATATGTCTGCCATGAGAACGAGCAAATTGGGTGGAATGGATGAGGGCGCATGGATCCATGATGGGTTTTCTTGAGGCACGCGAATATATGCAACCTGTTCCCCACCAATGCTTGTGGTTCCTGCGCTGTTCCCCAGACAGATAGTTATTGCAAAGTCTCGCGGACATGCCAAGAGACGGCTGGCCACAAGCAATAACTTGCTTGCCCATAAAATCAAGCAGCGTTGTAAGGCTCTTGAGGTTAGGGTCTGTCTCTGCGCAGCCCAGGAAGAACGTTGACGTGTGGAAAGTGGCACTGTCATAAATTAATGACATAATTGGCCACCATAGCTAATAACCTCGGAAAGCATGCCTCTATACTAAGCCTATAAGGGCAACAAATATAGAAAGAGGAATAGTCTAAACAGGATTTGAGTGCGGTACGTGCGGGGCTCGGCAACCTCCGATCTTGATAAACAGGCTTGGCCCCCAACGTCCTCCCGGTGTTCCACTACACCTCCCCAGCCATGGCGGTCCAATCCCTACGAGATATAAACGCCTATAACCTGCGCACCTTCAAACACCACTATGTCTCCGAGATCTCAGGCTCTCTTGGTGATCTGGGCACATTCCTACCAATCGCCATCGCCCTAGCGGCGAATGGCACCGTCTCCCTCGCCAGCACGTTAGTCTTCTCGGGCGTCTTCAACATACTAACAGGTCTATTTTTCGGAATCCCGCTACCAGTTCAGCCGATGAAAGCTATCGCCGCCGTTGCCATCGCGCGTAGTTTCTCAAACGGCTCGATCGCCGCGGCGGGCATCTTCGTCGGTGCTTGTATCCTGCTCTTCAGTGTAACCGGGATCCTACATTGGTTCGCCAATGTTATTCCTATCCCTGTTATCAAGGGTATCCAGGTTGGCGCGGGGTTGTCTCTGATCATCGCCGCCTGTGGGAACATGCTTCACCCATTGGGGTGGATCAGTCCGTCCTGGGCGGATAACCGTCTCTGGGCGATCGCTGCCTTCGTGGCGCTTGTGTTGACTAATGTCTTTCGTCGAGTACCGTATGCCCTCGCCGTGTTTGTGTTGGGCTTGGTATTTGCCATTATCCGCACCGTGCTGGCGGGACATATGCCCGGCTTCGAGGTTTGGCATCCTTTTGCTCTGATTCCGACACCACATCAATGGCGTGTTGGTGCTGTGGATGCTGGTATTGGTCAGATTCCATTGACGACGTTGAACTCCATTGTTGCAGTTGTTCATCTCGCTCATGACCTGCTGCCAAACGTGCGCACCCCATCCATCACCCATGTTGGAATTAGTGTGGCTGGTATGAACTTACTGGGGTGTTGGTTCGGTGCGATGCCCGTCTGCCATGGCTCTGGTGGACTTGCGGCTCAGTATCGGTTCGGCGCCCGCTCCGGCGCAAGTGTCATATTCCTTGGCGTGCTGAAGCTTATTATCGGCTTCCTATTTGGCGAGACGTTGGTTGATCTTCTGCGACGTTTCCCTTCTGCCTTCCTCGGTGTTATGGTTATCGCTGCTGGTGTGGAGCTGCTTAGCGTTGGAGAAAGTCTTAACACTACTGGTGCTCGGGACCTCAACCAGGCAGGGACCGGTCTTTTGGCCAGTGCTGAGCAGCATCTGGGTCCTATCCTCACAGACGAGGAACGAAGCCGTCGCTGGACTATCATGATGGTCACAGTAGGAATGCTGGTCGGTTTCAAGAACGATGCTATCGGCTTTATTGCTGGAATCGTGTGTCACTGTGCCTATGAGCTTCCTGGATGGTGGGAGAAGGCGCGGAGCCGTTGGTCGGAGGGGCGTCTACGGTTGCGCGACTAGATTTCTCCATGAACATGGTTGCGGTCCCCATACATTATCCGCAGACTTGCACATCTGCCTTACAGAGCAGGCCTCTTTTCGGCATCAACCCCTTGTACAGAGGATTTCCTGTCTATATTCTATAACACTCAAGTGTCTTTCTCTTCGTCGCATCTTTGGGAGACCGGTTGAGCTGCACATTCCATGCAAGCCAAATTGGGATTCAAAAGATTACATATTTCTGGACATTCACTCTCGACAAATGATTGTATTTTGTGTTTTGAGTATATAAGAAGCAATTCATATGGTTATACTGTATCATCCCACCCAGTCCTAGATCACTTTGTTGACATCAAACCCAGTCTGTATTGGCACCCGCGCACCAGTACTAGGATTCTCTAACTGCCTCGACTCAACATCCCTCCTTGTACCACGACCAATCGTCCTTTGATGATGCCCGGTAACATTGTCAACTTCAAACTCGCCAAGCTGGTAATAAGCATCAGTCATAGGATCAAAAACTCGGCTATCCCTGGGCTGCACACCTATATCAAAGTCATCCCCATCACCATCAAGCAACTGAGCCGCCGCGCCGCCAGCAAGGATCAGCCCAGAATGCGAAACAAGACCAGGCGTCGTACGCGTCGTCGGCGTCGGCGTCTCATCGTCTTCATCTACAGCCGTAATCCGCCTCACACCACCAGCCGAAGTTCCCGCCGAGGTAGAACCCACACCTGCCGGCTCCCGCAGTGCGAGCTGTTCCTGGCCGGTACTATCATACCGACGTTCCTCGATCATAGCCGGCTGGCCGAGGTCCTGGTGGGCTGTACGGACGATGGTTGTGCCGTCGGACTCGGTGTGCGAGGTGGTTGCATAGCGATGACCGGTTGTGGCTTGGCCGTCGTTGCCGTTGGTTGTGGAACTGTAGAAGTATGAGGATGAACTTGTGAAAGATTCGGGCATCTTCGTGAACGGCGCGCTGAGTGGATGTGCGAGATAAAAAGGTTGGTCCGGTCCACCTCCGCCAGAAGAGTTGTTGTTGGTGAATTAGGTGTTATGTTTATGTATTGTTGGTATAGTTGAGAGCTTTTGGATTGTGTTTTGCTTCATGCAGATGCGGAGCCGGCGCTGCATGGATTCGTAATGTATGTACAGTAGATAACTTTGATTCTGTTTCTTACTTGCTCGTTTCAATATATATATATATAGTCCGTGGCTGTTTTGTGGCAAGCACTACTTGCCGCTTGCATCATTGCCTCCTATGGCGACAGTCTTGATTGGACTTTGGAGGAGGCTAGAACGCTCGGAGACCTGTCGGTAGAACTGAGAGGACTGGAATAATATCCCAGTGTGAAGCACGAACCAAAATGACAGCTGAACGGACATGAAGCATCCTATAGATCTCGGCGCACGGACCCCCCAGCCAATCAGTTCAATATCAAAATCGCTTATCTCTCCCCGCTCCTCCCCTCATCCCTCAACCCTAAACCACCTGGGACCCAACCCAGACCCCAACATGTCCGGCCTCACCGAATCCCAAGTCGCCTCCTTCCGCGAAAACGGGTACCTAGTACTCCCAGACTATCTCACCCCAACAGAAACAAACACCCTAATAACAGAAACAAACAACCTCCTCCGCGACTTCCCGCTAGACACCCACCCCCTAACGCAATTCACAACGGGCGATGGCATAGACGAAAGCACCAATCACGTCGGCGACGACTACTTCCTAAACTCAGGCGACAAGATCCGCTTCTTCTTCGAGCCCGACGCCTTCAGCACAAAACCCGACCCTGTAACCGGCCGTGCAGCACTTCTAAAACCGAAGAATCTTGCCGTTAACAAAATCGGGCATTCTCTACACACTTTATCGCCGCCTTTCAAGGCCGTCTCACTCAATGAGCGCAATGCTGCCGTTGCGAAGTCGCTAGGCTTTGCGGACCCGCGCGTGCTGCAGTCTATGGTTATTCTCAAACAACCTTCTATTGGTGGTGCGGTTCCTTCGCATCGGGATTCTGAATTCTTATATACGGATCCTCCTTCGGCGGTTGGGTGGTGGTATGCGTTGCAAGATGCAAGCCCGAAGAATGGTACGCTGGGGATGTGGAAGGGTTCGCATACCGGGCGGAAGGGGGGTCATATTAAGCGGCGATTTGTGAGGAAGGGGGATGGGGGCACGGAGTTTATTGAGAACGCTGGTCCTGCATTGCCGAGGGGGATGGAGGAGGAGAAGGTTTCTGAGCCTTCTGATGAGGATTTGGAGATTTTGGACATTAAGGCTGGGTCTTTGGTGCTTATTCATGGGAACGTGTTGCATAAGAGTGAGAAGAATACTAGTGACCGGAGTCGGTTTGCTTATACTTTTCATGTTATTGAGGGTGGGGAGGGGTGGGAATATGATGAGCGGAATTGGTTGCAGCCTCCTGCTGGGGGTTTTTCGAAATTGGAGACTTGTGTTTAGGTTTAGGTGATGTTTGAGGATGGATATGATTTTGATACATAGTCATTGAATGCTTGTAAATACTGTCGACTTTTTTTATTCTATGCAAATCCTGTATAAAATTTGATGGCCCGCCATGTACACCGAGTGTGTAAATCCCAGACACCCCGAACTCCAAGTCAGCTGTGATAGTCGGAACGAATCAGGTTGCCTTTAGCATGTCGAGCATTCCCTTTGTTTGCCATGCTTGCTGGGCCATCTCGACCTCATTGCGCACCCTGCTGTGAAGCCGCTGCACCATCTTGTCGACTTGCGTTGACTGACCGAGATTGCCAGAGTAGATGTCGAGGAGGTTCATGGCGACCTCGACGCTGAGGTTGACCAGACGGGGCTCGCGGATGCTCTTGTGGACCCACTGGAGAACCGGCTGGAGAGTAATCTCGTCACGGTCCTTAAGAGAAGCGCGCAGGGCGGAGCGGTGGCGCAAAGCAGTGAGACATGTGAGTTGGGCGGTGGTGTCGGAAGAGGCAAGAACGGTGTCCAGCGCAGTTGAGTAGCGTGCCTTGCGGAGATCGTGATCCCATGGCTGTTCTCTCTTGCGCTTCTTGCTGTCCTGGCCTTCAATGACGATTTCCACGCCCTCCCCGATGAAATCGCGTCCACGCAGACGCTTCTCCCATCCAGAGCCGCGGAGCTTCTTGTTCTTCTTTGCGACTTCCCGGTCGTGCTCCTCCAGCTTACCCTCCAGCAGGGCAGCCATTTCCTTCCGGCGCTCCTTCTCCTTGGCCTTTTGTTGACCAGAGAGACGGGTCTTGATAGATAGCAGACCTGACTGCATACCCACAGCAATGTGCTTGTCCTCATACTCGGTTCCAGAAGTGATCGCACGCAGAGACAAAATGGGCGAGGGGTACTTAGAACCAGAGACAGGGTTCCACCCTGTGGTCTCAAAGACTTTCATGTGTCCATCGAGCGCACCACTGAGCAAACGCTCACCATTAGAAGCCAGCGCAAGAGCAGTGACAGTCTTTTGGTGGCTTTGAATCATGTGCAATGGCTTACCGGCCACGATATCCAGCACGGCGATCTTATTATCAGCCGCAGCCAGAACTGTAGTGCCCGTAGGCATGGGCAGCACGCTCTCGATTGGCGCACCCATCTTGAAAGTCATAGCGGCACGGCTCGCCACGCGAGGGTCCCACAGGCGCACAGTACGATCGTAAGAACCCGACACGACAAGACCAGAAGAGGCCATTGAGCCGGGCATGAATGCACCACTGCGCACGTAATCACTGTGGCCGACGAAGGTGCGCGCACTGTTTTGCGAGGGCAAGTCCCACAGACGGACAGTGCGGTCATCACTGGCTGTGAGAACGGAGGTGGGATCGCTGGGCGAGAACTTGCTCACCCATACGGGCTGTTTGTGTTCTTTCCATGTCTTCAGAATAGCGCGCGACTTGACATCGAAAACTTGCACGGAACCTGTGTCGTCACCAGTCACCAAGACGCGGCCATCGGGACGAACGTCGGTGCCGCGCACAGTATCATCGAATCGGGTGATCGTCCGTAGAAGTTTCCGAGTGCGAATGGAGTAGATTTGAACTCGGGCACCCGTTGTCACGGTGAAGACATCAGGCGGTTGTGTGAGAGATGGGAAGGCCGCAGCGGAGGAAGGAACAGCGGGCTGAGTGATGAGATTTACCGGACCATTGGCTGGCGATGGGATCAGAAGCGGGTTCTTGAAGGTGCGCCAGTATTGCTGTTCCGGCGTTAATTGCGTCGAGGGTAGCGAGGCGAGCTTGACCTGTTGCAGAGGCAGGACGGGGGCTGCCATGGTGGCAGTGTGTATCAAAGAGCAGTCGGATGGAGAAGATTAGAGTGAAGGTGATTAGGTTGGAGCAATTAATGGTAGAGCTGGGCCCCCGACGAATATCTTGTTATCGTGAAGTTCATGAAGTCCATCTTTTTTCTGCCGATCAAAAAAGTTCGTCTGGCCCAATCGGGAATGGTGGCGGTAGCTGTTCGGGCCTTAGGCTGCCACAGTTAAATTGGCAGCCTCAGGCCATAAGGCAGAAATATCATCCCCGTTCTCCCCATTCCAGACCAAACCTTGCAAGTATAGATGGAAAACATAAGCGAGTAACATATGAACCTACGGTAAACTTCGGGCCAAATATGACCATTCACATCGGTATTTGCGACACATAAGAAACTTAGTGCTCGACCTTGGAACATTCCACGCCCAGCACATCCACCTCATGCTTGGGCTGTTGGATTGTGGACAAAGTGCTAAATCATTCATAGTTTTCCGGCTTTCTCGGCTTTTCAGAAGTCTGGGCCTTTCTACAGCATCCTGGGTCTCACTATCTCACTCCTGCATAGCATCTATGTGATATAGCTGACATTTGACATAGTTCATCCCAGGATATCCATCTCCACATCAACGTGCTCGGTACGAGAGACCCGCCTTGGTGATCAGCTGGTCCAGAAAGTAGATAAATCTCCGGCAAGGCCATTTTCCATTGACTTTCCAGCCTAGCACAGCCGAGATCTGTGCAGGTTTCCACCCTGTTAATAATAGTAATCTTGGGGGCTAAATGATAAAATGATGAAAGGAATGGGGCAATGAGGTAGGCAACATAATTAAATCATACGATTCTATATTGAGCAGGGGATAAGTACACTAAAACAATACTGTCTCAGTAATATTGACAATGTATGAGATCGCAAGGTGGATATGCAATAAACAGCAAGACGTTTACACCTGTATGTCTGGCTCAATCAGTGGTCGCTATGGCGATGCGGTGGGGGGTAGCAGATCCATCGGGATGCAGCTCAACCCTAAAGGTGGGGGAGCCGCGACAGCTTGACAGAACCTCACAGCGGAAACCGGATTCAAGAAGTACTGTAAAGTGTCTATGACGATCTGATCTGGACCTGATCGCCAATCGCTGTGTTTTCCTTGTCCCACTACGGGAATGCAAGTCTGAATTGGAGGTGGCTGGGAATCGAGATCCACAAAAGTGCCTGACAGGGGTTGGGTGTAAAGGAATTGAAGCTACAGTTATCCATGTTTGTTGTTAATAAGTGAACAAGTGAATATAGGCAATAGTAGACCCGATATAAGGAATAGGGAAGTGAAGCATCAATGCAGCGACGCAACAGTAGCTCATTGTTGTGATGTACATGTAAGGTCACGTATGGTAAAACACCCGAGTCCAGACGCCGGCGCCAGGGGTTACAACCAATCAGACCACCTGATCTGATACACCCCAGCCACCGCCAATACCGTAGACATTCCAGCTCTATGTTTTCTCTTTCTTTTCTTCTTCTCTCTCGCACTTCCTGAGACACTGGGGTGATTGAGTCTTTCTGAACACCTGGGACTCAAACGCCATGTCGACCAAACTCACCCACACCAAGGTCAACCATGCTGCCGGCATCTTCGCCGATATCTCGGTCGATGGCCCAATCATCGGTACCCTGGTTGCGATCATTGATCGCGCGAAGAACCTTCCAAACCGCAAGACGATGGGAAAGCAGAACCCTTACTGTGCAGCAAGATTGGGCAAGGAAGCAAAGAAAACACAAACAGACCTGCGGGGAGGACAAACACCTCGATGGTAAGCTAGAGCAACGAATCGCGGAGGGGATGTGCGCTTACACGATTGTCTAGGGATTCGGAGCTCCGATTCACCGTACACGAATCCCCAGATTACTTCAAGTTGAAGGTCTCGGTATTCAATGACGATAAGAAGACCGACATGATCGGTGAGACCTGGATCGACTTGCACAACTTGATCATTCCTGGTGGAAGCCAGAACGACCACTGGCACCCATTGCAATGCCGTGGAAAATATGCAGGAGATATTCGAATTGAAATGACTTATTACGACACGCGAGAGCAAGATGAGGCTGTGCTTGAACGCAGACAAGAAGCCGCGGACAGGGTCCAGGGTAAGATCCCCAGCGCACCTAGCAGCACTGGAGTGTCTGGTCCTCGGCAATTAAAGGACGTCAAGCGCCGTCCCCTGCCCAGTGGCCCACCTGGAGCTCCAGCTGCAGCTCCAGCACGACCAGCGCCGCTTGAACACGTCCATTCTGCGCCTCCCCCTCTTCAACACCCAGTTCCGTCCAGACCGGCAATTCCTGAGCATGCAAACCCCATGCCTGTTCCTCCAGAGCCTCTAGCATACGCCCCGAGACCCTCGGAGCCTGCATACGAGGAATCCATGTATCGTGCACCATCTCCCGTGCCCCAGTCTCTGCCCCCGTCTCGGGGTGGATACGACGGTGCTGATGCTTACACGCAAGAATGGGAAGAGCAAGCCGTGGCGCCTCTCTCACGAAGAACCACTCATGAAATCCCATGTCATGCCCAGGAAGGCCCCGAGGACCCGTATGACTCGCGTCCTCAGCAACCGCGGAGCCAGTCCGATTATGATCAGCCACCCTCTCGAGACTACGGGTTAGCTAGGCAAGGGCCGGTGTATGAGGCAGATATGCGGGGCAGAATGTACAACCACGGACATCAAGATCACTATGTTGAAGACCCTCGCTACAACCCTGATCCTGCGGCTTATGGGCCTGTGACACATGCATATGAGCTGCCAGCTCAAGACTTCCCTAGGTCGGCTTCCTTTTCGGGCCCAGTGGATGACCCTAGATACCACCCGCACTCCGTTAGGCCTCTCCAAATAACCGGCCGTCCTGAACATCACCCAGAATACGCCACAATGCAACCCCGAGTTGAGGATGAAGATGAGGATGGGATGATGCCACCTCCACCACCACTTCACCGATCTCGAGAGTCGCATTCTCAGTTGCGCGCCACGAGAACTTCCCCACAGTCTTACGTGCCTTATATCCCCAAGCAAACTCCTTCACGGCCACCAGCAACCAACTTGCCGTCATCTATGTCTACGCCATCCCACCTAATGGGGCATTCCCCGGCCGTGCCAGCAAGCTTGGTTGCTGGCTATGAACCAGAAGATGCATCCGAGAGAGCAGCATTTGAAAGGTCGGCTCGGAGACGCAGTTCACACTGGGACGATGAGATGATGCTGTCTGAGGCACCTGCACCGGTTCCAGTCTCAGCACCTGTTCTCTACGAAGCTCCTATTCACCCTCTACGGACGTCTCCGCGGCCCATTGCTGAGAGACCACCCTCCAGCAGAGGTGGGTCTGGATCTGTGAGCCCTGATATGCGCGCAGTGACGAGGAAGTCCGTCAGTCCGCGACCTTCATCTTCAGATGGTCGTGGTAGTTCTTCAATCCCTTTCTCACCCGACTCTTACAGCACCCTCAACCCTCATACATCTCGTCCCCCCAGCCGAGACCCTTCTCCAGGCTATGACTCACCCTCCCACTCCAGAGATTCTCTGGTGCGCGCTCAAAGCGAGCCTCCACGAGACGTAGATCAGCCAATTATCGGAGACGATGGACGTGAGATTGATCCGTCTGACCATCTCCCCACCGATACCTGGGCCCCCGAACCAGAAAGAAAGAACCGCAAACCCGAGGTCATTATCCGCTTCAAGCATTCGCCCCGCCCAACATCAAGAGGAAACGAGTCTACCACCTCCCGTGCACCAGGTCCCCCTCGTGTAGGCTTCAAAACAGAGACCACATACGACCGCTCGCCGAAAAAGTACGCACCAGCACACGTACACGCCAGCCCAGGATCAATGGTCCGCACTCCACCCCGCATGGATTATGCACATGGACGCTCCGACAGCTACACAGACAGCCGTGGCTACAGCACACCAACATCAACCGAGCGTCCCCGCTCCTCTCGAGGTTCCGTCTCTCCGTCGCCTAGCGCTCGCTCACCACTCTACGACTACAACACAGGACCCCCAATCCCTTCAAAGGTGCCAATCACCCACGGCAACCCAAGCTACCCTGTCATGTCGGGGAACCCTAACGGCAATGTCCGCATGGACGCCTTGAGCCGCGAACTAAGTACGATCGATATCGGCTCGGCAGGTTGTAGTCCTGGTCGTGGAGCAATCCGCAAATACGTACCTAGGTCTTCAGCTTCTATGGGCTACGCCAGTTAAACTCTTTTCTGATTTTGCATGTTATGACTTATGTACTTATGTACTGCGACGTTTCCTGGGTTATTTCTTGATCTTATATCCCGGTTGGGGCTCTCTTCGACTCTGCTTTTCAGATTGCGTTTGTTTTTGTTTCTCGATATCCGGCAAAGATGGCGTTTGGCTTGGGGTTCTTGGATTTGGTTTGTGAGATTTATACATCTTTGGTCATGTACACATAACGGAATAGCCGATGATACCTTGTGGAAATGAATCTTGATTCTTGTTTCTTGCTCTTATTCCTTTTTTTTTTTTTTTTTTCTGTTGTAGCCTTGATACTGTCGTGCTTTTTTACGCTGTCCTTGGGTGGCTTGATATCGCCCGCCCTGAAGCTTGTATAATATTCCAGATCCTGCTTTTCGAGCTCTATGGGGGTGTAGCACGTGATTCATATACAGTAGATAGGTCACGTGGTGGTATATATGGGAGGAGCCCTACCTTCCTAATTGGGACGCAAAACAACCTTCTATCAACCACTTTTATCCCTACTTTCTAACACCCCACCGAAATAGCTGAGTGGTAAAACACTGCTGCTACTGTATTGGCCGTACCGTACAGTGCGAGTCCGGGTTCGACCCGAACGTCGGAGCTCCCGGTGGACTTTTTTTCTTTTTTGGAGGTTCGTTATTGGTTGTCGTGCCCATCTATTGATCTCAGGGACTAACAGGCTGATCGTATTTACCTATATGTATCTTGTTTATCTGTCTGGCCTTTGTCAAACCACCGGCTCTCCAACCGGCAATTTTGAACTTTCGTGTATGACAAGCGGCTGAGGTCCTTTGTAATGCTTGAAGATCATACCTGAAGCAGGACAAGGGGGGCACAGCCACCAGCACTGAAGTACTCTAACGGCAGCGCGTGAGCCGCCCTTTCTACTTGTATCCTTGTATCTTCGATTATGTCCTGTTCGGCATCCATATATGCTGTTGTTGAAAGCCTACAGGGAGAATTTGAGAACACAGCTCATTACCTCTGCTTCTGAGGCTGGACGTTATCTTAAAACCATGCTCTTGTACTGCTACTCAAGCTGTCTGACCTTTAAAAGCCTCATACGTCTTTTCAAGCCTTAGCAGTGTGGACTGCCAATAGCCTCGCTCTTGTATCGCCATGAAATACGTAGTAAAATGTCAAGGGACAAGACACTCTATGCTGTAATGACCTACTGTTAAACTCATATTAAAACAATCAAGTCCAATCTTCGTAGTTTGTAGGCAAATTCCCTCCCAGATCCCTAGCCTCGAGCAAGCACACCTTGGGAAAGTGAAAGCAAACACTATCCAATATAAAAACCCAAAGCCCTATCCAATTCATCTTCCTCCTCTCCTATCCTCGTCTTCCATCATCCATCCCCCAAGCTTATCCTTCCATTTCTTTGCCTGCTTGAGACTTGCATCACGGTATGAGACTCATCCATCATCAGATATCTGCAGATCAATGTCTAACTCTATACATTCATCACAGATGAATCTACCGCGTCAGACCAACTCTGCTCCTGGCAGCCCGGAGGGCAACCATCAGGGTCAACCTGCAGCAGGGTATGTACACAAGACATCAAAGCTTTCATATATCTTTCCTATCCATCCTCTACCCTCTCATCACGTCCCTCTTGTCCTCTATCTCGTTCCAACGTGCCACCTTAACACAGCGAGTTTGTGTTGTTTTAACGGGTCACGTCTTCGAGGATATTGGGATAGCCCTATCCTACCTGGCACCTAACACTGGATGTCTCGTGAGACATCCTTTGCCATTTCCATCATCACACACGAATATCTCCTACTCTACGCTCTTTAGGAACCCCTCAACACCTTGCCTTGAATCTATCCTTGCACTGGAAATTATACCATGGAGGTCTAAATATCACTTCTAATACTTCGTGCTTAGACGCCCGGGCTTCACGGCGATCAATACAGATGATATTCTTGCCGAGCATACTGGGTAAGTATGTCCGCCTATTTCTTATCGTTCCTTTGCATGGGAATTTTACACCTCTCTTCCGCTTTTCTTGAGCTTGGTCATCCACTTGTCCACATACAGCTGGAGAAAGATTGAAGGCAATATGGCTGTTTCAAGGACTTATTCTCGCGAAGTTTGTTCAGATTCATGGTCTTTGATAGAACTATGGCAAGACTCCAGCATCGGCAGTGCCCTCGAAAAACGTGGCACTGACCTGGATCAACGGCCAACAGTGGTTAAAGTTTTGACATGGCCCTATCAGGCATCATGTAGCTCAATAGGCTTCGCAAGAGACACCGCTATTATCTTAGAACTGTTCTTCATTTGCATGCTCTATCTCCGATCATTTCGCGTTTCATGTCTTGAGCTACCCTTTCTCACTCCTCTTTATACTACCTCATCTTGTGAAAGGATCTCTGCTAACAATTATCATCAGCTTTCGCAGCGCGCTCCACGGACCTCAGACTCTCGACAGGTAAGCATACAAAGCAAGCAACCTGATACCTTCCTTGCTCTTATCTCACAGTCCTTTTGATTCCCTTCACTCGCCCTTCATCAATTCATCACTTGCTTTTCGCTTCTCAAGAAGGCTCGGCTTGTCTAGCAAGTCTACGTTGTTTAAATGAACCTTTACTAACTTAGTCCTTTTCTATAGCCTCAATCAACCCTTCTCTCTTGGTTCTTACCGCCTTAGTGAAAGTCCACCCCAGCAGCCAGCCTACGCACCTCTTTCACGGCCTACTTTGCCTCTTGCGGGAGTCTTGAGCGGTTCAAATGCGCCGTTCCTCGCCTACCCTCTTACAACTCCCTTCCCGCAACCATACCCCGACCTTGTCCCTTACACCAATGCACGAGTCACTCGGGGCAGATATGATCCTGCACAGGGAGCTCGGTTGAGGGAGGAGAATGAGCGTCTGAACCCCTACAATCCTGAGTACCGGTCGAGGGTGGATCATCCCCCTCAAAGGGCTCGGAGCAGAAGTCCTGAGTCCAGGAACCTCATGAAGGGTAATCGCCTAGAGGTACTGCTGCAATTTGTCAACGAGGACAGCTCCGTGCTAACCACAGCCTTGACTCCACGCCACCAGGGACCTCCCAGACACAGACAAGGACAGGAAATCGCGAAGCCAGAAGACGAGCAGAAGGACCCGGCGTGCGAATTCTCCGCACCGTGCCGGATGGGGCCTTCGCCAGATGGCATGCACTGGCGAAAGGTCGTCTCGCACGTCTTCGGAAGAAACAAAGCCTCGACCAAGCTGTTTCCCCAGTACGTCTGGGTGCACTACTGCCGGAAGCACTACCAGCGAGCCCGGTATCGGGCCGATCAATGGCCCTTCACCCAGTGTGACCTTCTCCTGGAGTCCCTTAACCGAATGGAACGCTGGGGCGGAGTTGACAGCTTCGAGCTCATCCTTCGCCGCCGTGAGCAACTCCGTGTTGACAGCGAACCCGACGCCGACAGCAACGAGCAACTTGCAGGAGTCAGAACCACTGCGTCGACCACCCGCAAGGAAACCCGTGCTTCCCGGGCTTTGGGGACTCCTCAGCGGAGCCGCAAGCATCCCACGGCGATAAATGCCCCGGTTCCTTTGTGGCTTCGCCAGCTGGTTGGAAAATCAAAATCCTTTGGCAACATCCGCGAGCTCGTAGAGCATATCCGTACTTACCTCGGCGACTTGCGCAAGGAAGAACGCGCAGAGCAGCTCTCGCTTTCGATGAGCCCAAGTCTTTCTGTCAGTCCACGCCACGCCGCTGGCAAGGCTCGCAAGCGTCCTATGAAGACGACTGAGTTCAAGAACAACCAACGTCTTCAGACGAGCCGTGTCCGCTTCCCTGATGTTGAGATTCTGCCTACTTTCAAATCTTGGGTTGTGGAGGCTGCGCTGCGCCAGCGATCGACCAGCAAGCAGGAAGTTAAGGAAGAGAGCCAGCACCCGCACATCCCAGACAACGAGCGGGTTGTGGAATTGGACGATGCTGAGAGTAATCAGGGTAGTCAGACCGGCCCTGCTGATACTCACCCTGCCGCACACACTCCAGATGTTCCCGTTGATGCCGCCGCCGTTGAGGGGACTCAGGACCACTATCAGTCTCGGATTGGCAGAGCCGGGACCAACAGCGGAAACTCGGAGAGCCAGCGACGACGTAGTCAGCGGGTGTACGTGGACTTGCTGAACCGGGTGTCCGGCCATGGTTCTGTCAAGAAGCCCCGGGATCCCAAGCGCTAGGTTGGAAGAGCGGTTGCTCAACTGGTCGAGTTCAACAGCTTCGTCTTCGATACTGGTGAAATCCTTTCTCTTTGGTCATCTTGGTTTACCCAGTCACAGTGGTACGGCTTCGTATTCCGAGCTGAGACGACCAACCTTGGTTTGTCAGGCAGTCGGTATTGGGTCTCATGGGAAGGGGCCATGCACAACTTGATCAGAATTTTCGGATACCCTTCTTTCGTGCGCATTACACAGATGGGGCTTTCAGGGAGATAAGGGTGATGGGATTGGGAAGATAAGAAGAAAAAAAGACAGAAGACCTAAAAAAGAAGAGGGAGAGAGGGGTTTACTAGCATTACTGCTGGTGTTGTCAGGAAAGAGTGTTGATATGGCGGGCTTTGGGGACTCTGGTGGAGGTTACGGAGGTAAGGACTTACACGCTGGTTTTGCAAAGGTCAATTGTTGCTAGAGGCAGATGAATGAAAGACTTCGATATCATATTTCTTGTTCTATGTAGCGAGTGTATAGAAGTAAGTATCCAGGCCGTTTTATATAGTACAATCATCCCACAAGGCGACACAAGATCAGTATAACGTGGGGATAGCTTCCAGCTATACGACAGCTATTCTATTTAGATAAAAAAAGGGTTAAGCGAATGTTTTCATGCGAGACAATCGAAATATATTCCGTACAATGAGCGAAACCGCATCAAATAGACCTAGACCACGCTTGCTGGAAAAGACACATACCCGAATGCAGCAGAAACCAAAAGCACCTATGCAACCGCAACCACAGCCACTCAAAAAAAAAAAAAAAAGCCAGTATTAACAGGAAATTAATATATGTATCATGATCGTTTTGTGTATGAACAAGAGCCAGATCCCCCACGATAGTATAGTGATAGTCAAGCCTGGTCTAACTCGCCACAGCCAGCTGGGCCACGAGATCAGACGCTACATCCAGGAAGGGGTAAGGGCTGGTGAATTCCTTCTCCTTGTTCATGAAACGCTTGCTGATGGGATGCCACTCGGTGTCGCCATTGGCACGGATGACGTTCTGGTAGCCGTCGCATTTGAAGTCGACCATGTAATTGTTTTCTTCGAGTTGGTACAGCTGGATATCGATGAAGACCCAAACACCGTAGGTAATGTTTGGGAGTCCGCTTTGTTGGTTGGCAGAGGAGGCTCCTGAAGTGATGCCGCTGTCTGGCGCGGAGGAAACGTGGGAGTCTTTGCTCTTGTCTTCTGTCGGGGCGGGGATGCCTAAGATGTTGAAGCGGCGGCGCAATTCTTCTAGGTCGCTGCGGCTGTTGTAGACGCTGGTGGAGGCCCCTGGTGCCTTGATGCCTTCTTTAAGCAGGCGTGCGCGGATGAACCAAGGATCCTTCGGGATGTAGTAGTCGGAGGGTAGGTCGGGATATTTGCTCTGTAGAGGTTTGGGTTTATCGGGAGAAGAAGTTGCATCAGGGCCAATGTTTGTGCCTGATTCGACGGGCTGAATATCCCACAGTCCGCCCTGGGCGGCAATTGCCCGGTACAGGTACAGCATGGCCTCATAGGGTTGGTTCCGGGACCGAATACCGAATTGCCACTTGCGGCTTCTCTTTGGTTGTTTTTCGAGGGGTTGGCCTATTGGTGGCTCGAAGCGCAGCTTGTCCAAATCAACAACACTGCGTGAATGAGGTTTCAACGCCCGGGCTGTGGCAGCCTGCTCTTCGGCTGACATGTCCCGATAAGCAGCGCCATGGCCCTCTTGTTCAAGATGGGCCGCTTCTTGGCGCCGTTGCTCAAGCATTTCGTGGCGAGCTCTTTGCTCTCGGTCACGTTGTTCCATGAGCTGGTCATGGACATATGGCAAGCTAGTGGGGAGGATCCGAACATGGCTGATGCGAGGTTCTTCTTCGGTGTCTGCGTGCTGGGCATCCTCCGATGGCTTACGGCGAGAGACACTTTGAGTTCTGTTAACGACAGCGGCAGGAGTCGGTTGGGCTCGAGGAGCAGGTGTGCGGTCTGCGGACGAAGGTGCAGCGCTCCTCTGCTGAGAAACATTCTGAGCCAACAAATTATCTTCCGTCGGGGCTATTACAATTCTGTTAGCGAAAGGCAGCGGGGAAACGGCTAGTTGAGAACTCACAATTAGTCTGCATCATCTCATTCTCGACGACGATGGAAAACGCATCCTTAATTGCACTGGGCTCAGGGTGTCTAAGCGCTTCCTCAATATCCTCTCTGCCGTAGCCCATGCTTCGTTCAAGCTTCGAGACTGCAATGCGATGTATCTTATGCTGGACTGGCGCCGGCTTGGCGGGGTCGAGTTTGCCGTTATCAACCTTCTTCGGATCCACACCCGGCGCAATGAACTCCTCGGGTGGTGGTTGCAAGTAGGGAGGAGATTCTTGAGAAACCATGGGTCCTGTCGGATCTCGGGGATGGTAATTCGGTGAACGGGGTGGACTTGGAGCATCGACCGGATCAAGCGTGCTGCTCCAGATGAGATGTATCCAGGAATGTGGAAGGTGCCCGCGGCGATCTTCTTAAAGAGGGCAGGGATATAGTCATCATCGAAGGGCAATCGGCCCACCAACAATACGTAGAGGATCACACCACAACTCCACACATCCACCTCGGGCCCCGCGTAAAGCTTGCCAGAGATAACCTCCGGGGCCGCGTAGTTTGGACTACCGCAACTCGTCTTCAGGAAATTTCCGTCCGTCATAATATTACTCAAACCGAAATCCGCAATCTTCACGTTCTTCTGGCTGTCGATAAGCAGGTTCTCGGGCTTCAAGTCACGATGGACAATCTTGTGTCGATGACAGTATTCCACGGCGCAGATGATTTGCTGGAAGAACTTCCGAGCTTCATCATCACCACACCTTCCCTTTCGTACCAGGTAATCGAACAACTCGCGCTCGGCGTATTCCAGCACCATCACAATATCGGTCTTCGTGGCAATCACTGTATACCTGTTCGGAAGCTATGGGTCAGTTATATGAAACCACAATGGCACTTGGATCGCGGGCAATCGTACAATTTGATAATGTGAGGGTGTCGGAGCAATTGCAAGTACTGAATCTCTCGCTCCACACGACCAACCATGTCTCGGGAGAGCAGTTTGCGTCGTGAGATGATCTTGAGAGCCACCTGCCGGCCACTTGGCTGGTGAATGGCGAGCTTCACTTTGCCAAAGGAGCCCTCACCCAGTATCTTCACGGTCTGGTACTGGTCGAGGCGCTGCATGTCCCGCGTGGTGGAGGGTGACTGTGTTGGATCCTCATTCCTGACGGTCGGCCGCGATGGCGGGGGCATTGCCATGGCGGAGGGGTTAGGAGGTGCCCTTGGACGACGATCACGGTCGGAGGGGCCAAGGGGGATGGCGAGGTCTTCCTCATCGAAAGCGGCGGCCATGGTAGAGAAATGACAACGTGACAACGTGACGTGATTGATTTTCCGGTTCGGCCGCTGCTGACTGTACGGGGATTTTTGGCTTTCTATTTTTGCCCTCAAAACATTGCCCGGTGCCAATCAGTTGAGTAGTCTTCTCTCCACAACAGAACCGAGGGTGGATATGGAAGCCTGGCGGGGGATGAGATGGAGGGGTTGATGAAGGTGGCGGGAGGATGAAGAGAAGGGCGTTGGGGGAGAGGGACAGTCACAAACAAACAACTTGTTCAATGAGGTTTCGAGCCACGACAGACGACCGACACCTGGGCAAGTCTGGGGAGTCCTCCAGTCTGCCCCTTACTAAGCTGCTCCTCTCCACCTCAAATCTCACGATGTTCCTCACGTGGACGTACACACACGTAGCCACAACCTCGACATTTATATTATAAGTATGAATTATGTTATAATTATATGAACAGAAATGAGGCTCCCTCATTCAGTCATTTATAATTGACACCTTGATAGATTGCATTTCCATCTTTGAACTACTAGCTTCAAGCAAAGATATATATATCCGGCCAAGTCTTCAACATCCACATCTTTCTTATCAATAGCCCTAATGCACCTCTGCACCTTGTTTTTGATCAAACGTTGGTCTGTGTTATCCACTAGCCAGATCCAACAAGAGCTGTGGTTTAATTTTTTTTTAGTTAAAGAATTTTCCTTGCCGAGGCTCCGAGTGCAACTGTGTGTCATGGATAGTGGGTCAAGACCCAGATGAATGTGGCTTAAAGTCAATTTGATCGAGATTGTTCATATTCATACATCTTCCGAGGTATCTGGAGCTATATCATCTGGCAATTGAAGCAATTTTACTCCATACTGTCCCACTCTACATGCATACGCTCAGCCAGTCAGCCCTAGTGCTAATCAAGTGGGCTATGCATAAACACAGCCTCTGATCCTTGAGCATCTCATCGAGAGGTCATGATATGATCACAGATGTAATCGAAGCAAATCTGGAGATGCAAGGTAAGTTATACATCATAGTATATACATTCCCAAGGTACCTAGATCACCATATTAAACAGTATGGCTGGGGAAGTACCCCGGGGGTTGAGTCATATTGCGGCTTAGAGCGATCAAGCGGGGGGTCGGGGTCTCAGAAGGGTTTAGCGCTGAGTCGGGGACCCCGAAGAGGAAAGGCGCCTCTGACAGCCCAGCGCATACATAGAATCAACGGTTGCCTCAGGTCTGGCGTTCTTCACCTTCTCCGGAAGCCAATACATACTATACAGCCTCAGGCCTCTCTTCTTTACGACCTACCTTGACTCCTCTCTCGGCTTCAACGACCAACTCTTGCCGACCCGCATCATCTCTTACCTCCGTCTCTCTTTGACACTCAATCTTTTCAATTCTTAGATACCCCAAGTGATACCCATTCTATTCGTGATTTTTCAGTTATGGCTTTCGTTGGAGATCAGTTCTTCCCTCAGATGGATGCAAACCCTACCGAGTGGGTTGACTTTGATCAATTCCTCGACCTTCCTGCCGGGTACGGGGAGGTATCGCCCTCAGAAACTACCATCTCTCCCCAGGATTTGGCTCTACCTTACGAAGATGATCAGAGCTTCATCTTCACTCCTTCTCCCTCCGAGCCCCCGCAGTCCACCTGGACAGGTATGACCAACCCCCTGACCCAGGAGGATACGATGGGCTACTCGATGGATGGAGGGTACATGCCAGACCCCGCTGCGCCTTTGTTCGACGATGATTCCGTCTCGGGGTACAACCCGTATGACAGTACAATGACATTCCGGAATCTGGTGGAGGCGCAGGCTGCCGCCGACCCGCGTGTCGCTTCTATCAAGGAGAAGCGCCGCGAAGCAGCAATCGCATTGCATCTCCAGCGTCTGTGTGATGCCACAGCTCTCGATCTGGATATGTCGTCGGACTCCAACACCAGCTTCTCATCCCCAAGCTGGTCCGACTACATGCGCGGAAGCACATCCCCTCAACCAGCGCGCCCAAGCGTGGAGAACACATCCGTCCCCGGGGCATCCCCTCCGGGAGCTATGGAGATGGTTCTTGACCTCAACATGAACGCCACCGCCAACGTTCCGAAAAAGCAAAAGCCTCGTTCTCAGGCACAGAGAGAGAACTACATCAAGGCTCGGAAGTATGGAGCCTGTGAGAAGCACAAGAAGCAACACAAGCGAGTAAGTTCTGACCATATCATTGATCCTTCTGTCCTGGAACCTCTTTGAGCAATGCGCTAACATGCACCTAGTGCAACTGCCTGGAAAAGGCTGCTGCCCGTGCCGGAGTCACCGACGTACCGACAGATGCCGCGTTCCAAGAAAGGCCAAGGCAACCAATGCTTCATGTGCCAATTCTTCCCGAGGCGCGCTATTCGGGAACCATGAGCCACGATCCAGTCCTCAGCTCACCTCAAGTACTCCCGACCGTCAAGGCGATCAGGAAGCCAGCAAGCAGTTCGTCGGGACACGATCCGTCGATGGAACTTCCTGCTGTGACTCGATCTTCCAGAGGAATTCTTCAGACAACCGAGACCCCAAAGAGCACATCGCCGGGACACTATACGGTTCTTGTATCTGGGAAGCCAGCGTTCAAGACCTCATCGGGTCACGATATTGTTCTTTCTACGGGAAAAGCTGTTGCGAAGAATATATCACCGGGACACGACACGGTTCTTGGATCTGGAAAACCAGATTTCAAAACCTCATCGGGTCACGACATTGTTTCCACGTCGGGAAAGAGTGCTGCGAAGAGTACATCACCGGGACACGATGTCGGTCTCCCCGAAGGAAGACAATGCAACTCCTCCTTGGCATCCCAGTCAAGTCCCGTATCTCGGAAGCCCGCTGGCAACTCGGCCCTGCGGTGGCGCGTATCGACCCCCGCGTCGATTGGTGGTGTTGCCACTTCCACTGGAGAACTTCAACAGTCGTCACCCAACCAATCAACCCCTGGCACGCTCTGTCATCCAGTACTGGATGTGCGGCCTAGGACCACTCGGTCGTCTCGTACCGCGGACAACGTCTCTGTCCCAACGACAAGCGTACCAGGTACACTTCAAGGAGCGATCCCAGGGGCTATTGCCGGAAACCAAAGGTTCCGTCACTCCCCACTGGCAGTTTGGAACTCTGGTGTCATGGATGTGCGTGGGCACTATGGTCAGCACAATGCCTCCGAGGCAGTTGCCAGATCATCCGCGCCTGTCTCTGGCGGTTTGCGATCCGTACCAAGGGACCAGCTACCCGTGCCGTCTCGGCGCGGTGCTCCCGATGTCTTTGGAAACGGCCTCGTTCGGTCGCTTTGCGAAAGTGTTGGTGGTATTACTTCCACTATTGTTTTGGTGCTTTCTGGTGGTCTCCAAAACTCGTCGGGTGCCTGGCTTTCGCCAGCGTCCTTGGCTGCTTCTTCTGAGAACATGATCAGCAAGTGCCTATCTTTTTCTGGTAGACATTTAATGTCTGCTAAGAATAACTTACATCTGCTCGGTATGCGGACCACTTGGTTCGTATAAAGAACGGTGCGCATGTCCTTCGAGACATGGCGCTCAATGTTGGAGGCAGAGCGCGCTTTGCAGGTCGATGGGTCGGATGAATGTTGGGCTATGAGCGATGATACCATTGTTTCATATAGGAAAGGCGTTTAGAGCAGACTTGCTGTATGGGATTAAAATCTTTCCAGATGATAAAATTACGAATTTATTTACAATTGACCATTCAAAGTACCCACAGTCCACCGTATACAGTATGCAGTAAATCCCCAAGTTGGCTTGTCCCGCCAAGCTCAGCCCCACGATGCGAGAGCCCTAAAGCTTCCCGTCCATCCAACATCCCTTTCTTCTCCAACCATCATGACGGAATTGAAGTACCGCTACAGCACACTCCCAAGCTACTTCCTACAGGATGACCCGGCCACCGATCCAGCCACCTTCGACTATGTAAGTAACTCAGGGACACAGGCCTTAGCAAGCCCGGTGGAGACAGGCTGTGACGTACTCAAAACACCAATATCTAATGCACCAACCAGGTCAAATCGGACTTCGGCCTAATCGCCAAGTCCTACGACACAGAAACAGAAACCTCCCAGACCAGCCAATGGCAACGTTTTAGTGAACACATCAAGACACTGAATGACAGCAACCCCCGCCAAAATTATAAGGTTCTCTTCCTTGGACGGCACGGCGAGGGCGTCCACAACGTCGCCGAGACCCGCTATGGTACGAAGGCGTGGGATGTTTGTAGACCCATACCCCCAACATCTCTTCAGAATATTAACAACCACGTGTAGGAACACTGGTCTCTGCTAGACGGAGACGAGCACGGAAGCTGGGTTGATGCCCGCCTTACCGAGAAGGGTATCTCACAAGCAAAGACTGCCCACGCTGCTTGGGAAGAGCAGATCAAGAAGGGTGTTCCGGCACCGCAGTCTTATTATGTTAGTCCCTTGAACCGGTGTCTGGCTACTGCGCAGATTACTTTTGCTGGATTGCCTATTCCTGGTACTGAGCCTTTTAAGCCGACTGTTAAAGAGGTAGGCCCTTTCCCTGCACCTTTCATTCCTTCTTTGAAAGGCATGTAATAGATAAGTCCATGACTGAGATGATATCTAACATTAACCCTCAACTCCCCAGCTCCTCCGCGAAACAATGGGCCTACACACCTGTGACAAGCGCTCAGCAGCATCAGCCATCGCAGCCGAGTACCCAGAGTACACCATCGAACCCGGCTTCACCGAAGCCGATGAACTATGGGACGCGAAGACGCGCGAGTCAGACCAGGACCGGGATGCGCGACTCCGCCGGTTCCTTGACGATGTCTTTGCTACTGATGAGAATGTATTCGTCTCCATGACTGCGCATTCCGGTGCTATTAGTAGTATTCTGGAGGTTGTTGGGCATCGGCGGTTCCCGCTTGCGACTGGGGGTGTTATTCCTGTCGTTGTTGTTGCTGAGAAAGAGGGGCCGCCACCTGCGCCGGCCACTGCGCGGGATCCGGAGATGATGAGGACTTCTACGGCTGTGCTTATGGCTTTGCTTGAGCGGGCTGGTGGGGATGGGAGATTGTCGAGTTTGATGAGTGCTGTTTCTGGGGGAAGGGCGACGAAGGAGGAGATGGAGGAGTTTACGGCGATTGTTAATAAACAGGCTTTTCCTAATTAGGGGAAATGAGGGAGAAGTGGTGGGGTGATGTTGAAAATATTGATGGGAAATTTATTCAGTAGTGTACATGGGTCGCTCGGCTCCGGGGAGATGCGAAGTCGAGAGCGACTTTCTCTGTCCCAAAATGCAAATTCTCGCCTCCGAATCGGCTAATGGCAAGACAAATGAAACCGGAATGGTCCAACGGGCGTAAACCGAAGAGCTAGATATAAATAATACAAACGCCAAAGTATCACAATTACCAGCTGTAGTACTGGTTCTGTGTGGGGATCTTGCGGTCCGGCAGTTGAGTCCAGAGCTGGTCGCGGCGAGCACGCTGGGCCTTGGCCTCACGGTCCTCCCACTCGCGGATGCGAGTCTTCTCCTCCTTCAACAGAACCGAGAGACCTGTGGTAGGGGGACGCATCATGTTGATCTGGCCACGAGCACGGTGGTCCATCTCACGTCCGTACGGGCCACGGTTAACCCAGGCTTCCTGGATGTAGATATCGGAGGGGTTGGAGATCTTCTTGCGTTCGCCGTTCTTGAGGATGACCGTGATGGGCTTGGCTTCCTTGCCAGCCTCGAGACCCATACCGGAACGGACAATGGCAACGTTTTTGGCGTGTTCGAGGTGTCCCAATACATCCTGGGCGGCCTTCTTCTTGCTGAAGCGCATCTGGAGAATGGCCTCGTCGATGTTCTTGCCGGCGATCTGTCGAGCCAGAGGACCCAGCTTCTTTACCGAGGTCTTGAACCAGTGGGATTTCGAGAGCGATTCGCGCTCGGTGCGCTTGATCTGGACTTGCTTTGGTAGACGGCCTCGCTTGCGGATCTCGCGGACGGCCATTTTCCTCTCCCACCGCAGCTGGGAGTTGGGGTCCGGCAGGAGTCCTCGTTGTATACGGCCTTGATCGCGCTCAGATGATTCTCCGGCTGCGTGTTGCGGCTTGGAGGGCATTTGGGCCTTTGTCGGTTGGAAGTCGGACCCGAAGATCGAACTTGCGCCTAGTGAACCTTCATCCTTCTTAGGGGCCGAGGGTCGCTGGGTGACTTTGGCTCTGCTAGCGCCACCGAACATATTCTTCAAGCCGGACAACCATCCGCCGGAGGAGTTGTCGACATTAGAATCTGCGTAACGGGTTGGGGTTGAGGCTATCGTTCGTCGAGGCACGAAGGTGACACCGGTCCGGGCTACTGTTGGAGAGAAAGAGGCAAATGTCAGCGAAGCACGAAAGCCAATTGGAACCCAGCATACCTATGCGGACCATCTGCCCTGAAGTATAGAGTGCCATGGCTGTTGAGGTTGTTGATGCAGAGAGTCCGGGAAAAAGATGAAGTTCCCTGCACTTGTGGTCTGTGCGGGATGCCGGAGCCTGAGGCACGAAGTGTGATCGATCAGAATAGTGTCAAAGAAGCAACTTGCGACTTGGTGGGAAGAGGCAAGAGACACTGATAGATTGTTTCTCTGTAGCTTTGATTTACAGGTTGTCCACTTGCGCTTTTGTTCTTCTTTTGCGCATCGTCACTGTTTCTCTTCCTACCCATCTCCACAGTATCCACTAGCCCTCATCCTCAGTTCTTCTCTCTTTTTTGTCTTTCCCCTTCATCCCTCTCCCCTTCCCAGGCCATCTAGCCTGTGGTTCCCATCCTCTCCTTCTATCTGAGATCCTTCAACGCTCTTAGATCTCTCCTTGCGCTCTTGCCTTCGGCTCGGCCATTCCCCGTTAGTTTCAGAACCTCCATTCCTTTGGATCTTCGATTTCCCGACCTACCATCGCCAGATCAACACTGCGAAAGAAAGGCTACAGTTCGTCGCGCAACCTGCGTCGTGTACATATCCTACGTCATTTACACCCGGAATAACGAGGGGGATCTGGACACAACCTGCGCTGGTCGATGTAGGAATGGACGTGTTGTTGAGGAACTTCAAGACTGTCGTATGATCTGGATCTCTGCTACTTCCAGCACTATCCGTGGATATTCGACGGTGATAAACGTTTCCGGTACTTTTGTTCTTAACCGCTCAGCTCGAGCGATCTAGCTCCATCTTTCCACCAACATGGACATCAATTCACTCCTCTCGCCGGACTCGAATCCCAAGTCTGGAAATTCGACGCCCGTGCCCGCTCCCACGTCAAACGCTGCCCCCGCTGCCGGGCCATCTCCCCACAAGGCTATCCAGAGAGCTCGATCTGGCCCGAGACGGAAGGGAAAGACTTCGTCGCCCCTCGCGCAACAGGTATACGCGCCTGCTGGGATCCCAGAGTCTTCACCTACAGATGGCGGCTCCTCTTCCGGAGCCAAGGCCAGCGGCGGAAACGGCACATCACCTGTGACCGAAGGCCCACCGTCGCGACAAGCCTCCACACCCGGGATGGACACTCTGGCCGACCTGGCTTCGATGCAGCACCACCAACCGCAACGTCCGAACGCTGCTAGTATGCTGCGAAGCACCCAATCTTATGAGCACCAGCTGTCTCCCTCGACTATTCACCCCCACGTAAACTCCGTCAACCACAACACCCCTACCTCCCGAATCTCCTTCGATATCGCCATGTCAGACGGACGGGATCCTTCCCAAAGAACCTATGCTGCGACCTCGCTCGATCCGGAAGCGCAGCGGTTGGCGACCGAATTATTCCATCGGATTTCCTTGAATCCCCACACACATGATGCCCACGTGCAGTTTATCGGACTGCTGCATGCAGGGTTCGTGAACCACGTGTATCCACCGAACAACCCTGACGTACACGGCGATCCACGACGCTACGACTTGCTCAACGACTTGAAGACAGCCCGCGAAGAGATGGACAAGCTTTTCGCTATGGGAGAAGATCTCTGGGCTGAATGGATTCAAGATGAGAGTATGCTTGCTCATGATGTGGACGGTCGTATCGCTGTTATGGAACTCTGCCAGCGATCGGTGGAAGAGGAGTTTGGCAGCACAAAACTCTGGAATATCTACGGCGAATGGGTGCTTTATCTGTACCACTCCGCCCATGGCGAAGCTAGCTCCAGCCAGTGGACTGAGGAAGATCGGGCGGTTGGCCGCGAGGTATTCACCTGGCAGTCAGTCTTGCAAGTGTGGCAGAGGGGTGCAGATGCTACCAGATGGAGGATCAATAACAGCCATCTGGTGTGGGACCGCCTGCTCGATCTGTATGCCCAGGATATCGCTCGCGCGCCTTCGCAGGAAAAGATCAACCATCTTCGAGGACTTTATGACGTTCGTCTGCAGACCCCACATGCTACCTGGGACCAGACTTTCCAGAAGTTCTCGGGCTTTGTTTCGACCTATTACAACTCTAAGTATGAGGAGATCATGTCAGAGACCGTTGCTCGGGCGGCGGAGCCAAAAGCTCTTTATAACGCACGAGAGGAGTTTGAACTTCGCTTGGCTAAGGTGCAAGAGTCTGGTGACCGTGCCCTCGAGTGGACTGTGTACTCCGAGTACATTGACTGGGAATTGACTCGCGATCGGCGGAAGCGAGGAGAATTTTGTTTCGACCTCGTCAATGCTATCTACCAGCGCGCCGTCCTTCACTACCCCACCGATGTGTCCCTCTGGGAGGACTATGTCATGTTCCTCATCGGCGAATCTCTCAACCGCCGTACCTCTACTACAGCGATCTCGACTCTTGATCGTGCGACCCGTCATTGTCCCTGGTCCGGAAATCTCTGGTCTCAGTATCTATTGAGCTCAGAGAGAGAAAACCAGCCGTTCAATATCATCGCTGACATCAAGCACAAGGCTACTAGCACTGGACTCCTTGACGCTGGTGGACTGGAGGAGGTTCTGAAGGTCCACGTCACTTGGTGTAGTTACCTTCGCCGACGTGCCTTCCTCCCTGACTCTACGGATGAAGATCTGGATGTCGCCGAAGTCGGCATTCGCTCGGCCATCGAGAGTGTGCAAGAACTTGGCGAGAAGAAATACGGCCCGGCGTATCAGGGCGACCCCCTCTTCCGCCTGGAGCGGATTTACATTCGCTTCTCCAGTGAAAGCGGTAGCTGGGACACCGCACGTGAGACCTTCAAGGGCCTTATGGCCCGCCGTGGTGGCAGCTATGAATTTTGGCTCGCTTACTACGGATGGGAACTCATCTGCTGGAGCAAGTTCGTTCAGGGAGAGGCAACTGTGGATGCTGCGCGCCGAACCCCCAACCCGAGCTACGCTACTGCCGTGTTGAAAAAAGCGCTCAAGCGAACGGATTTGGATTGGCCGGACAAAATCGTCCAGACTTATATTACTCACTGTGAGGACTACGAGGACTCGGATGAGCTACAGCTGGCCGTGATCGAGACCCGCAAGGCAATGAGAGCCGTTACTGCTCGCAGAGAACGCGAGGCACAGGAGGCAGCGGCATTGGCTCAGCAGCAGCAACAACAACAGTGGGAGGCTGCGATGGAGGCTGCTCCTTCTCACGAGAAGAGAAAGCGGGACGATGTGGAGGATTTGCCAACCAGCAAGAAGGCCCGCAATGAAGAAGCGGATGCCAAGGAGGAGCCGAAAGAAGAAGCACATGCCGTTCTCCAACGGGACCGAGAGCACGCCACTGTGATTGTGAAAAACCTACCTCGCGACACTACTGAACATCAGGTTCGGCAATTCTTCCGTCATGTGAGTTGTCTATCAAGTTCAAACAGTTCAAACCTTTTGGATATTTGCTAACTACAGCTATAGATCGGTACCATCAACGGCGTCCGAATGCTCCAAGGAGAGGACAAGAACTCCGAGGTTGCGATCATCGAGTTCGAAACCAAAGACGAGGCCCTTAGTGCTGTCACCCGTGACCAAAAACGCTTCAATGACACCCAGAATGTCATTGATGTACAGATTGGAGCGGACACGACGTTATGGGTCACCAACTTTGCCTCAACTGCGGATGAGGAGTACATTCGCAGCCTCTTTTCTAAGGTATGCACTTTTTTCTAGCTGGGCAACACTCTTACTAACTTGTGATTAGTACGGCGAAGTAGTTGACGTTAGATTGCCCTCCCTCAAATTCGACACTAGTCGACGCTTCTGCTATGTGCAGTTTGCTACCTCAGCCGCGGCCCACCACGCTACAGAGCTCAATGGAATGCCGAATGAAAAGGGCAGGAAGCTTGTTGTTAAAATCTCTAACCCTGCGGAGAAAGCAGCTCGCAGTGGCGCGAGATACGATGGACGAGAGCTCTATATTGTTAACATTGACTGGAAGGCCAGTGATGAAGATCTCAAAGAGGCATTTGCTCAGTATGGCACCATTGAAAAGGTCCACATTGAGCGCAAGGCCGATGGTGGTAGTAAGGGCTTTGGCTCTATTGTCTTCTCTTCTAAGAATGAAGCCAATGAGGCCCTCGCAATGCATGACAAAATGTTCATGAGGCGCCCCCTTCGTGTCGAACTTGCTCAGGCTGGTGGCCCGGCCAAGCGCAGCACCCACACCGTCATCTCTCAAGTTGCCACGGCGGGATCACCCTCAGTCGAGGCCAACGGCACAGGCCCGGACGATCTGGAAGTGCCGGTTGGTGAGCACGCCCAGCGCACAATTGCCTTGATGAACATCCCCGACACCGTTAATGAGGATCGCGTTCGTGCCCTTGTTGAGCCATTTGGCCACTTGGTCAAGATCTCTCTGCGGCCGGATCATCAAGGTGCTGTTGTGGAGTTTGTCGACATCCACGACGCCGGCAAAGCCTCGATGGCGCTTGAAGGGAAGGAAATTGCCCCTGGACGCCCGATCCATGTTGGCAGGGTTTACGATCTGAAGCAACAACACGCTGAGCAGAAGACCAGCAAGGTCACCTCCCTCAAGCACGAAGCCCCAACGAAGAAGACGAACCTCCAGCCCACCGGTCCGATCAAACGCCCCCAGCAGCCTGGCGCGCGCGGAGGCCGGAAAGGTGGTCTTGGACAGAAACGATACACCGCAGCTCCCAGTGAGAAGCAACCTCCTGCGCCGGCGGGTTCCGACAAAATGGACACCACTACCGACGGTGACAGTGGCAAGCCCAAAAAGAGCAACGATGATTTCCGCGCTATGCTTCAAGGAAGCCGCCCGGAATGAAGTGCAAGTGCAATGACAGTTCCTGGCGCAATTGTTTTATTCTTACTCCTTTGGTACGGAATGTATCTGGCAGGCGTTTTTTTATTGTTTCTGGTGATCTTGATGCTTGATGCTTCGCTCTAGATCCGCATGTTCTCATCTGGGTCGGTCTTTCGCGCCATGCCATGACCTCTTCTTTTTTTTGTGGCACCATGCTGTCGTGTATATTATGACTGTATTTTGCTCCTAGTTCTAATGATGATGTCTTTTCCGAAGGGTTGTCCCTTGAGGCTCCCAAAGAGTGATTACTTTATTACACATGGATATTCTGTATACAGTGTACACTTGTTCTGGTATCCCTGATCTGTATTGGTCTATTCTATCTAATGTAAAATAGTCCTGTAACATATGACCATCTGTAGGTCTTCAGTGAGACAAAAAGCTTGAAAATGTACCAACTGCAGAAAGACCCTGCGCTCCGATTGGACCCAGAAACACGCGCAGATCGTCATGGCGCATTGACATCTGCCTTGATTTGGTCTGCGGGGAAGTAGTGTTTTGCACATGTCTTCACTCAACTTAAGTTGTAACTTATACTCGTACTTCCAAGGATTTGGCCGAATCCGTCTGTATACCTCGTGATCTCTAGCGGTGAGCTTATCGGCCCGCATCAGTCCCCGGGCCCTCACTTAGTACCACATACCACAGACCACCACCCCCTCCCTTGTTTCTTTTCCTCTCTCAACTACTCGGAATCTTGCGCTTACTTCATATCGCCTGCATACGTTCGTCCGATGCGCAGGTCGCTATCGCGCGAACCAAATCCTATCGACACATACTCGATCAACTCCAAACCCGGCAGGCAGCGATGGACTTCAACCTAGTGCCTCGCGGCACTGATCGAAACTACACGGGATTCTTCACAAAGACAATCGTCTACTCCGCGACACTTGTCATATTCCTCGCTTGTAAGTGGCTATACTTGGGACGAGGATACCAACCAGCCCAGCTGTGTCAGGTAGGCAAGTTGTAACTCGATACTAACCAAACCCGGCGAACAGCATTCGGTCTAACACTTTCCTCGATCATCATCCCAAAATGGGTCAGCTATCACAGTGAAAAGGTATATCTCTGTCTTGTCGCGATCGACAACCTTCATTCTTCAAGCTCCCCAAGCTCCAAGCTCCAAGATTCAAGGTTCCAGACTAACACTAATCGCTCCACTCCAGCCCGCCCACCATTACTCCTACGGTCTCCACCACCGATGCTCCTCCCTTACGGATACCTGCGAAAGCTTCCCCCAGCGCGAAGATTGCCATGGCGAAGATCGATACTTCTGCTCAATGTGGCGGTCTGTCGGGTTTCTGATGTCCTTTGCCGTCGTGCTGGAGGGCATGAGCGTTGTCGCATACCTGGTTATTCTCTCTGGCGGGAAACGGCTGCGTGAGAATGGGTGGGGTGTTCTCAGTTTACTGGTTCTGACGTCTGTTGTTGTGCAGGCGGCCAGTATGTCGATAGTGGTATGTTGACTTGGCTTTTTGTTGCTGGTGGAATCGTAAACTGATTGTTCGTGTTTGCAGGCATACCTGTTCGATAACGAGGATCGTTTCTTTGTTGGCTGGAAACTGGACCAGTCTTGGATCTTTTGCACTGTCAGTTGTTGTATTGGCCTTTTCTGCGCGGGCGCGGTTATTGTGGCTGCCAAGGTCCTTCCTTCTGAGGGTGGGTATGAGTTGATTCCTGATCATGATGAGCTTGGCGCCTCTTAAAAGCTGCTTTCAGGTATCTGGGGAGCTATATGCGCACACGGATGATGAACGGGACAGGTGCTTTTGCTATCATACGCCATTTTCGTTATTCTGTGGGGTTGACTATGTTTCATTCCTTTATTTTTTTCTGTATCTCATAATTTTGGGCTATTTCTGGGTTTGCAGATTGTTTCATGTCTAGTCTCTTTCGTCTTTCAGCTATGTTTTTCGGCGTTTAGGGTGGATATATCGTTTTGCCCTCTGGGATATGCTACGACTAATTGGAATGACGGACAAAATGACATATCTGTTTCTATGAACATCTCTGATGTATCTACCACTGGTTCTCGAGGTCATTCCGGGTCGTTCAATCAATCATATCTTCGTGTATCGTTTTGGTGACCTTATAGACAACAATACATCGGAATCAGCCACGCACACCAGTCTGGAAACAAGAATAAAAAAGCAGCACCCCACACGCAGCTCCAGAATGCGCAGGTGACAGAAAAATGCTCCAAATCCGTCTTATACGATCAATATACATCACAGCCAATATCCACCGATAGGTTGGACCTACCAGACAATCTCCTTCCCATTCAAACCCTCCACAGCAGGAATCAACGACCGGAGCGCATGACCATAATCACCACCATTCGGCGTACGCAACAGCGTATGGATATGGAACTTCTTCGGCTCCTCGTTATTCAAAAACACCCCGGAGTGATGATCAAACTCAACAAGAATCACAGGGCTCTGAATGCGATAATAGAACGGATCCTCATCCCCATACCCCCCAATCCAACAGAAGTATGTCTCATCCTCATGCGCGCGCACCTGATCAATCTTCATAGCCCGCGACTTCGCCGGCAGATAAAGCAAGTACTGCTCAAGAATGCCATACATGAACCCCTTCTGCTCAGCACTAAACGTCGACGCCAGAATGCCCTCATACGGCACTTCCCGGTTATCCCGGTACGCACCACACAAGTGGCGCTGATCATTCTTGTTCCAGCGCCCAGGCGGCATAGCTGGATCCTTCATGAGAGCAAAGACCCGCGCTGAAGCCTGCAATTCCGCAGAAAGAGATTGCATCAGCTGCAGGCCCAGCTTCTCCTCGATCTGCATAATGCGTGTACCGGCATGCGGACCCGTATCAATCTCGTTAGGCTCTGCACCCGTAAACCATGGCGAGGCGATGATCTGGCCCTTGTACAGGAAGATGTTCAGGCAAAGGTGGTGACCGTAGAAGGACCAGCCCCACGGCCTGGTGGTCGAGGGCCGGCCGAAGAGGACAAAGTTGTAGGAGAATTCGTTCATCACTGCTGGGGATTTGACTAGCTCGCCGAGGAAGTGGTTGATGCGCATGGCGCTGACGGCTTTGTCGTAGCCTTCTGGGGAGAGCGTTGTCTTTAGCACGTTCATTACTGCGTCGCGGGTTTGCAAGTTGACTTCGTCAAGCCGGATGCCTTTGTGCGCGAGGAGAAACTCGGGGTTTGACCATGTGCGCCAGTGGGGGAGTCGATGTGGTAGTTTATGGCTTCTTGTTGCTTGTCGTCTAGCTGGGCTGTTACTGCGTTGGTTGCGTCCACGATTTGTTGAATGGGGACATCTTCGTTTTGTAATGTGAATAGACCTGGGCGGACGTTTCCTGTGGTTTGTTGTTAGAATTTATGTATATGATATGGTATGATGTCGAATCTCCGCTGGTGCGTTGCGACTGTACTTACCGTCGGTGGTCACGCCCTTGAATGGCTCCTGCAATAGCTCCAACCAATGCATATATAGTGCATGCAGCCATGGCGGCTGGTGTCCGGTCTTAAAGTCGTGGGCATATTCGTGCGCATCTTGCTGGCACATCACCTCGAAGCGCTTTAGGCTCAAGTCTGGTAGGTATTGGCGGTACTCGCCGGTGGGCTTTTCCAACATTGCCTGGTTGGCCATGATTGATTGATAATACAGATTTGACCACGGAAATCTAGGGAACGGAATGAAGGAGAGCAAGTGAGCCCCTCCAAAAGGTATTATAGCTCGCTCAAACCCCACAGCTGTGAGCGGCGAGGCTTCCCCACGTTCGTGGGGATTGTGGGAAATTTCTTACCCGTAGGATTTGGTGGCGAATTGGCCCCGAATTGGCCAATCCGGATGGCCCGGAAAGGCATTTATCAGGTCCCTTCAGCAGATTAGTCTGGTCTTTGGGGATATTGTATGCATGTCCTCAATGCGGAGGTGACGGTTGTGCCGGCTGTTAGAAGCGAACCCTCATGTACCGTTGTCGGAGTACAACTCCCGATTTGGCAGATATTAACCTCCAAAGACCGTTTTAGAATGAAAGTCCAGACTAATTAGTTAGCTCTAGTGAGGTACCTACCTATGGATTATTCAAACACGTTTTTCTACCATTCCACCACCCCTTTCGATCTAGTGGCTATACCCGCCACATCTCTCAACTCTCCACCGCACTAACTTATAGCTTCATCTAAGTATATCACAACTCCAGTTCGACTCGGATCTTCCGGCCACGGATTCTCCGCCCCTCGGATGCTCCCCCGCATACCGAAAAATAGTGTCGCAGCTTTAAAACTCCAGACCCCGCGATCTTTTTCCACTTACAGTACTTTATCGCATCTCATACATCATAATGTCTCTGGAATTCACCAACCAACCTCCCGCGTCGCGGATCCCATATGCCATCCCTCAATTGGAGGGAGAGCGGATCACAATCCCGGGCAGCAAAGGCGTCTTCCGCATCTTGACCTCTGCAAAGCAAACCGGTGGATTGATGGCCGTGTTCACAAGCGGTGCTGTCCTTTCAGATGCTCCAGGATTCCACTACCATGACCGCGCACACGATGTTTTCTTGGTCACAAAGGGCTTCCTGAAGCTCTATAATGGAGACCAGTGCCGGATTATGGGTCCGGGTGACTTTGCATATGTTCCTCCGGTGTGTGAACGAATTATTGAGAAAAAAAGAAAAAACTGAGACATTGCTAATTTCCTGGTTAGAAAGTCATTCACATGCCCGACATGATTGGCCCCCATACAGAGCTTCAAGGCTTGATCACCCCCGGTGACTGGGTCGACTTCTTCCGTTATGTTTCAGAGCCCTTTGAGGGAGTCCTCGTTCCCGAATGTGATAATCGTGATTTGAAATCTCTTCTTATTCCCAAGGTCATGGCCGCCAAGGGACAGTTCGATGTCGTCTTCCAACCGCACCATGTACCCCCACAGGTGTCTGAGTGGACGAAGGAAGATGAGAAGTTACCGGATGGCCCGACAGGATACTTCCTGCGCGCCAACACAGGTCCCAGATGGATGCTTGGAGGTGTGATGTCTCGTCCATTTGTCACTACAACACAGAGCACTGGAGTTTGTGCCATCTCCAGCATTGAGTCGTCGAAGGATTACGGCGAGACTGTGTTCTCCAAGTATATGACTTTCCCCACGGTGGATCACTGCTTCCTTGTCATGGAGGGCGCGCTCCGGGTTAAGCTGCAAGGTGCTGATGATGCCGTCTTCCGTGAGGGTGAGACTGTTGTTATTCCTGCTGGACAGGCATTCTCGCTCGTCTTCGAGAGCAAGTTTGTTAAGTTCCACTCTTTCACCGATGGCGATGGTATTGAGTCATTGATCCACGCTGCGGGCAAGCCGTTCGAGGGCGTAGTGTTGCCAGATCAGGCACCAGAATATGAACAGTCTGAAGTGGAATCAGCCGCAGTGCGTCTGAATGTGACATTTTAGCGAGACAACCTTGGAAAGTTAGTCAAATGTATATAAGTTAGTGGATATAGAGAGACCACACCCCAATCTCAACAATTTCTTTCAAGAACACGCAATCCAACCTCCCAAGTATGAACTATATATCCCTCTGACCAACCGATCAACTCTAATTTATCTATTATACCCCGCATCTCTAACACATTGGCCTTCGAATTCCACATTGGCCTGCATTGTTCCTCCGCGCGTCACGTGCAGCGAAGCCTCCGGAAATTCCGGCCACCTCCAGTTATCCTCTTGGACTCCACTGTGACTGCGACATACATCAGATTGCTTATAGATTATGTCTCGATAATGCAAAATCTACAGTCTCCGCTTCCCCCTGCTGATGAGCAGTCTACGAAGCGCGCCAAACGGCCACGCGCTGCGCAGGCGTGCGACCGATGCAGGCTGAAGAAGTATAAGTGCGATGAGCAATATCCCTGCTTGCATTGTAAAAGTCGGTTCCTTGCTGATCAAACAACTTTTCAATGGGTGTTGACTAATATTCTACAGAAAGCGACCTTGTCTGCGTGTACCAGGGCAATTATCGAGAGCGCGAAAGCAGTCGCTCGGCAACGTGAGTGTCCTACCAGGATCATGTTCCGCTTGACTGGGCCCTGGAGACCCACATCGTACAAAACAAATTTACTAACAACTCGACAGCTATGTCGTGGACCTCGAGAAAAAGGTCGAGGAGCTGACATCAAAACTTCGTGCGGTGGAGGGCCGCCCAGTCGCCATATCGGGAACATCTCCGGCTGTCCCCAAAATTCCCCTCACTCAACCAACAGCCGGAGCCGAAACTACTCCATGCTCCATGCCCCGGCATGGATCCACACCCCGGGAAATAGCCAAACTACCCGAGGGACGTGAGGAGTCCGCCGAGAGCGCAGATGACGAGCTCAACGAGTTCAATCACCATACGAACGGCGTTGAATTCCACGGCAGTACATCTTCGGCTGCATTTCTTGGCCATCTTAAAAAAACGCGCGAGCCCAAGGGCCAGGTAGAACCATATCCTCGTGCAGCTGATTACTCACTCATCTCGACACTTCACAATCCGAGCTTCTCGCCATCATGCACCGCAGGACCGGCGCAGATGCTGTCAATTGAACAGCAGAATTATTACTTCGATCAAGCTCATATCTTTATGAATGGATATTTCGAGAACATTCACTTCATCCATCCTCTGATTGATAAGGAGGACTTCCTTTTGCGCGCTAATGACTTATGGTTTAACCGATCACGTGCCCCTGAGCCTAGCTTTGTTGCGTTGTACCTGAGTATTCTATCCTTTGGGTCATTGGTGCGAGTTTGGGATGAAGGTACCCTGGCTGGCCTGGGGCGCTTCGAATGGAGTCGGAAGCTGTTTGCCGAGGCGCAGGTTTACTTGAATCATCTGCGATTTTCAAACGATATTGAGACAGTCCAGTGTCTCTATATTATGGTACGTAGTTAACGCCTGTAGTACAGATCATGAGCTGACAGCACGCCAGGCGAAAATTTGCCAGAACGAGCTCAATCCTAACCGTTAGTCCTCGGCCTCCCTTATCATTGTCAAAATGCTCATACAGAAATCAGTCGCTTATATGTATCTTGGTCTGGCTGTGCGTACATGCCTGTCTGCTGGTTTCAATCGAGAGGTTCCGTGTCCAGGGGATAATGCGCAACGTGCCGGTTGGATATCGAAGACTTGGTGGTAAGTCACCACAACTTCATTGTTTTTGATCAGTTATTAACTTAGTCTGTTTAAAAAGGGGTCTGTTCTCTCTGGAAATGTAAGTCCATTGCATACTGATCCTCTGTTGTAATATAGCTGATAAAATGCAGAGAAATGAGCTTCTCAGTTGGACGCCCCGATACCCTTGGAATGGATGAATATCACAATCGCGCAATTCCAGAGCGAGATGACTCCGAGTTCGCCATCATTCCATGGATGATCGACTTTGCACAGATCATTCGACGGGTATCCGTCCAGATCTACCATTCTCGCATTTCATTGCAAGAGAAATTACAACTTGCCCTTCAGATCGAAATGGAGATGGATCGATGGCTCGCACGACTGCCAGAAAAGATCAAGCCAGATATCGGTGGTTATAGATTGTCCCGCAGTGCTTTGCGTGATCCAAAGTGGGCACGAAGACAACGGCTTGTGTTAGGAATCCGTGAGTCTATCCATTATAACAATTCGTGTCTAGTTTTAACACTCGTTTCAGGGTACTATAATGTCAAGATGCTGCTCTTCAGACCTTTCTTGAGCCATTTCACTCGCAAACTAAGACATCCGCCAAACGAATTGGACCAGACAATTGACAAATGCTTGGATGCAGCCATGAAGACTATCCAGGTCATCCATGATATCTACCGAGTTCACACTTTCTTCCGATGCTGGTATGATACTTCCATTCAAAGACTATGATTTCCTGCTGACTTTCATCAAGGTGGTACAACACAACCTACGTGATGTTCGCCACATCCACGCTTCTTCTTCCAATGTCCAAGCTTGGCATGAGCGCCGAAACTATGCCTCTACTCCAATCTGTGGAAATGGGCGTGGAAATATTAGAAGCTATGGATGAGTCCGTGGTGGCTCGCAAGTCAGTAGAAATCATCAGACAATATATTAGGGATTTCCGAGCCTCCGGTGCACCCCAACCGACAGCAGGGACGGCAGAGGGCGAACAAATCCCCGTATCTGCGGAAGCAAGCCACGGGCCAGGATTTGAAATTCCCGTATGTTCCATCATTAACTCCCCCATCATTATTGATTTTTCTAACCCTGAAATAGGAATGGGCCTACGGCTTCGGCTTCCCAGATTACTCTTTCGAGGGTATTGCTCGTCTATTCGACGATATTGGAGGACTACCAATGTTAGATGGGTAATCCATTTCAACGACCTTTGCCATTCTCTATGGTCACGTCGCTATTTCTTTGTAAATATCTATATAGTGTGCTATAAAAATCCCACACTTTGGCTGAAACAATTTGGATATACAATAAAAAACTACAAAATCAAACAAGACAGTGAACGACGCGAGGATTGTGATGCGGATTGTGATGCGAACACATCCGGGTTCTTCACGACGGCCATTTCAACCTCTTTGATGGCATCGTACCCGTACAACCATGGCTGTACTTCGGGACATGTCCTAATAAGTGTGTCAGTCGTGAAACCTTTAATGATTTGATTCAAGCAGAGTGAAACTCACCATCGACTCGGGAACGCGCCCTTGATCTCTTTACCCAACTGCGATAGGAAGACCTGATCGCGTTTCTCTTGTTCTGGGCCATTCTCCATGTGGAAATCGTGTCTCTGTTGTGCTATCAGCATTTCTTGCTTCCCAATATAGCAGAGAGATATCCAGTACCTGTTTGAATGTTTCCTTGACGATCGATTCTCCTCTGGATTTGCGCATGCTTTCGTACAGCCGCAGGATACGAGGGAGTTGTGTCTTGTTTGTCATCTGTCCTAGCAGGAGGCCGAGGACTGCACCGTCCTCTAGTGAGGAGTTGGCGCCTTGGGCTAGGTATGGGAGCATGGGGTGGCAGGCATCTCCGCTGTTATATCATATCAGTACTGTACAGATGTCTTCATCCCTCCCATCTGGGCTCCTTGGAAGGACTTACATGAAGACAAGGTTGGAGGTATCGTTGACCCATCGTTCCATTTCACCGTCTGAATTTATCAGTTTCAGTGTTCACATTTGGGATTGAAGGATTTCACTTACGATGCATGAGTTTCCACTTGTCTACTGTGGTGACATACTCCAAGAATCGGTTCAAACTAAGCGACCTTGTCAGCAAACATTCTCTCGTGTGAATCTCCCCATGATACTCACATCGGATCCCAACCAACAAACAACTCCCGCATCTCATCAACAGAACCAGCCTGTCTCGAAACTCCAGGGGGAAGGTTATCCGGCACAAGCAGGACAATGTTAAACATCTTCCCACCACGAAGGGAATAAGCAACCGCATGAGAACCGGGACCCGCCCAGAAATGCACCTCAGGTTTCTCGACCAGAGCCCGCAAATCCGGATCAGAGATCTGATCCGCGTCCAAGACAATTCGGTACGCCAAATCACCCGTGGGGAGAGGCTCATCCTTCTTCCCAACAAAAGCCTCACGACACCGAGACCAGAGACCATCAGCGGCAATAATCAAATCACCTGTGTATTTCTCCCCAGCCAAGGTATGCACAGTGGTAGTATCAAAATCGATCCGATTGACTTTTTGGCTCATGTGGAATGTACAACCAAGATCTTGAGCGCGCGCAAATAGCGCCTGCTGCAAATCGACGCGGTGCAGGTCAACAAAGGGCGCGTTATACTTTGCGCGGATGTTCTTATTGAAGTCTTCTTCATGAGCAAGCACTTCTCCTGAATACTTATGCACAGTGAGCTTTGTCGGCTCGGCAGCTGCATCCCACAGCGACTGGGGAAGTCTCCAGTGCTTAAGCAGCAGGGATGCATTAGGTGTAATCTGCAGACCGGCGCCCACCTCTGCAAGCTCCTTTGCTTGCTCGACTACTTGGACAGAATGACCCGACAGAGCGGCGGAGATGGCAGCGGCTATGCCACTCAGGCCAGCGCCTACAATGATAATGTGAAGGCGAGCTTCTTCGGGAACCTGCTAACGCGGTAAGCGGCGGATTTATTTGGGGACGAGTAGATGGACTGACCATATTTGCGAGATTTTAGTGAACTCGTTCCGTTGACGAACAATTCCAGCGACTTTTTTCAAATCAGGGAAATCGTGAAGATCGGCCAAATGCAGGCAATTTCTATCCCTTCGCTCCTCCTCCCAGGTGGAAGAATCACCGGGGTCATTTCCCCCGCCCCACGACTCGGGAAAGCCGAAGCCGGGTTTTCCTTGGAATTGCCGAAATGCGACTGCTTTGATTGTGTCAAACTAAGGGTTTGCTTTTCCACGTGAGGTGGATCTCGGCTTTGGTGCATAGTTTGACTGTTATTTTTCTGGGGTGTCGGCAGATCCCGAGGTTTGACATCTGGGGAAGTGGACTGCCATTCTTCGCTATTCTTCACTTGGGTCTCGAACATGTCAGACCGGATGATGAGCACTCCATTCTTTTGAATTTGTGTGGCTTTATTCACCATTTTCATTGACCGAGTCTTGTCCATTCATGTCAATGTTAGGGCAAGCGACTATGGTGTTCATGAAAGCACCAAGGATATGAACCATTTTCCCTTCAAATTACATTTGCCACGGGCATCTTCCAACTGCCGGGTGGGGGGAGGGGTTTGGTTTGAATAAAAATCTAAACGCTATTAACGTCCGTTTATTCGCCTGTGGCGTCGCTTAAGAAGAGCAGTTGAATGTGGACCCGAGTCGCATCCGAACGCCCTCCACTTTCCACGGACTACCCGAGATATGGGGGCGTCGCATCCAGACACGCCAAACCATGCGCTACCAAAGTACACATGTCCCCAGCCTATCTGCTTCGTGGGAATGTGAATTTGCGGGGAAAAGAGGCGCCTTAGCCTTGAATTCACCCTGAGTTCCCCCGTGCTGGAATATCCAGAGTGATTCGCTCTTTCAACCAGAGCTTCCACATTTCCGGACTCTAGTTTGGTGGGCAAGGTCTGCTATATGTATCTCTATCTCTTCCTCTCGTTCTCCTAGCGTCTTCTATATCTCTTTTCGACAAGTTCGGTGCCACGTCTTTATTTATTCACACTTAGCCTTGTGGGCTACATTTTAGACAGAATGTCAATTGACCCTAGGGTATGTGTCCACATCTTATGCACTAGTTGCACGACGGACATCAGACATCAGACCATGATAGTGCAATCCGGCTAACGTTTCGGCTTTGTAGCTCTTCCCCAAGCGGGTGACGTATAGCGCCCTGCTTACCGTCAATGTATTCGTGTTCATGGGTAATATGTATTCCGTGAGTCAACTAGCCCCTGATTCCTGTGCCTATGTGGTATACAGTATACTGACATGGCTTCAGTCCGGTATTGCGACAGGGTTCGGGTCCCTAGCTGCCGAATTTCATACGCCCTTCTCCACGCTTGCGGATTTGATCGCTTATTCGGTGCTGGCTATGGGGTTGGCCAACCTGTTTTGGATGCCCTTGGCCCTGACTTTCGGCAAGCGGCCCATCGTCATCATTTCAATGGCCATGTTCCTGGGTGGTATTATTTGGAGTGCCGTTGCGAAGGACTACAACAGTTTATTTGCCTCGCGAGTCTTTGCTAGTTTTGGTATTAACTCCTTTAGTCTCCAATTAATGGACCTTGACTAACAAGAGATAGGATATGGCTCAATTGAGTCTCTCGGTCCTAGCATTCTGGCTGGTATGTTCCCCTTTATAAGCTCACAGTCTTGGAACATTTATTAATGCACAACAGATCTATTCTACGAACGAAACTACTCTAGCGCCATGGCTGTCTATGCTGCCTTCCTATCCGGTGGATCGCAGATTGGTCCAGTCATCGCCGGTTATCTGATCGAAGCTAAGGGATGGAGATGGTTCTTCATTCTCTGCGCCATAATCGCCGCAGTCAACCTCGTAACAACCATCTTCATGCTCCCGGAGACTCTCTACGAAGTAGAACAGGAGCCCGAGGTCGTCAACGACATCGAGAAAGACGCCCACAGCCACGTCGAGGCAGTCACCCGCACCGAGACCCGTACCGAGGCTCGTGTCAAGATGGATTACGCTACATACTGGAGAGACCTCTGGTCATTCACCCTATCCAAGGAAGCAAAGGAACGCGGCATCCTCAAGCATCTCGTCTACCTCTGCATTCTTCCCTTCCCTATGCTCCTCGTCCCAGGAGTCCTGGTCGCGACAGTCATGTATGGCGTGGTTCTTGGAGCGTAAGTCACTTACAACCATCCATCCCACCACGATGGAACTAACAAAAACCGCAGCGTCGTCATCATCTCAACCATCGCCCCGGACCTCTTCTCCCCACCACCCTACCTCTTCTCCTCCGCCGACCTCGGCCTCTTCACATTCAGCAGCTTTGTCGGTATCATAGTAGCATGGCCAATCGCCGGTCCCTTAACCGATCGCCTCTCCCGCTGGCTCCGCAACCGCAACAACGGAGTCCACAAGCCTGAGCATCGTCTTCCAGCCTTGATTTTCCCATTCCTCATCTGCCCCATCGGACTAGTTGTCTTCGGGTACACTGTCGCACGCCACCAGCACTATATCCGTCCCGCTGTTGGATCCGCTATCTGTGCAGCGGGTCTGACACTCGTGCCGTCGGTTATGCTGTCTTATGTTGTGGACTCGTATCCTCGCACGAGTGGTGAGGCATTGGTACTAGTTAACACGTCTAAGAATGTGGTTGCTTTTGGTCTTACTAAAGGTGCTTATTCTTGGATGGCTAAGGAGGGCGTTGATAAGATGCTTTATGAGTTTGCTGGTATTGAGTGGGCTGTGTTGTTCTTGGCCTTGCCGCTGTATATCTTTGGTCCTTGGATTCGGCGCCGGACGCAGAAGTACTTCTAGGGGGTTTCTTTTCAAAGTTACGTAAATTAATTTTCGGTTACTGGGCCGGGAATTCATATAAGCTTTTCTTCTCCTTCTCCTTTTTCTTCTTCTTCTTCTTCTTCTTCTTCTTCTCTCTTATGGTAGGTCCCTCGTGCAGAGGTAAAACGTGAGCATTAGTCCTATCAGTAGATAATCTAATAATGGAGTTCTCTATGCCTGTACCCGTTGTATAAGTAGCGATGTCCCTTAGGACATTCACCCTCATGCAAGCGAAAGCATTAAACATCGACATCTAGTATTCCTGTGTTTCTCGTTGAGTCATTGCATCTAATACAAAATTCAACGTCAGAATATCAGACGGTGAAACTCTCCATTGCTAACTGATTTCGCGGCTGCAATAGTCCTAAAAAATGGACCCACTCCACCGCGGATGTCTCATTTCGAAGATCTTCCGCCTTAACCTTAAACTGACAACTAATCACACCTTTCAAAGGTATATCTGCCGTGCGTTTTGAATGACTTCAATTTAACAGCCAGACCCTACATCCAGTCTTATATAGTTCTCGGGTTTCCTCTTCGTGATACTTATATAGTTCTCCCTAGGGCTTCCCGGCTTAGGAGCCTAAGATCGCTGTTTTTCTACCGCCGGTTTTCCTTCTGTCAGATATTAAGAAGACGCTGCAATGCCAAGATACTACTCTGTTCATATGCCAATTAGGGATGCTCACTTGATCAACTTTCGTTCCATGCTTTAGGATTATGAGCCAGAATTAGAATTGCAGGGTGGACTAGGCAAAGGTCGGATATGTTGGGTTAAAAAAGAAGAGGATCTAGATTAGAGACCGGGAAATATGGCAGAAAAATGGTCATGCCACGGGCTTGTCCAGGAGGACACCTTTCTGAGTGGTCAGCCCTGGACTTTTGACACTGGCTCTTTGATGATGACTATTGCACTGGAAGGCAAAGATGACTCAAGCATTGTTATGATGGCATTCTAGCAGCAACGGCAACTGGCGTAACAAAGGGGATCTTAGAAGATTAGTTGGTTAAGTATCATGGTTCTGGAATCCGTCCTAGTAGAGCTCACCGTTTCCTCAATCAGGCCGATTTCAGCGAGCGAACCCTGCACCGCGTCATGTGTCCTCCACCAACTCATCACTTAGACTCTCCATCTCAGCTCGCATGTATACAGTAGCGCCACGGCATAGTTGACTTTTCTCAAAATCAATCAGTCGCGCCTTGTCGTCTTGAATAATGAAATTGTATCTGTTGGCGTCTCCATGGAGGATGCCAATGTCATGTAGGCGCTGAAGGGCAGATTGACAAGACGAAAGATCGTTGATATTTGCTTCACGCCCTTCGAGCTTTTCTAGCATGAAGCCAACTACACGGCCATGCTCGTGGACATGGCCAATGAACCGTGGGGCAAGGCCTGTATCTTCCAGGCTCTTATAAATGAGGGTCTCCAGCGATAAACGAGGTAGCTCCCATTCGAACCGTGCGACTTTAGCAATAACAGCTGTCGAGTTCATAGTAGCCAAGGGCTCGTCACCAGGGTAAGTTGCTTCGTACGTGGTAGCGGTAAACTGCTTTATTCTTTTCAAATCGAGACAGTCAACCACACAGGATGCCAAAGGTCTGTTATTCCAATGAAGGTTCTCTGCTGTAGTCTCATTGCGACCTCACCGCTCGACGGATCTCGATTGACGTACGCCACATTCCAGGTGTAGTCTTCCGGAAAGTCGGGCAACGAGCTGAGGGGCATGGAAAGTGTTGACCGTTCGAATGAACCAGCGCGGATGATTAGATATCTGACACGATTTTGGACCAAAATTCTGTACTCCACTGATTCCATTTTCTCTTTTCCTCCTTGAACTGTAGATGCTGTTTTTGGTGGACCTGGTACTCCACATCTGCTCCCTCGTAGCCTTAAGTATCCCAATAATACTATAATCATGAGACCTCTATAACAGCATGAAGCATAAACCCAGAAATAAAAATTTGATTGAGTCCACCAGCCAAGAAGGGCAGTGTCGAATTTGTAACTACAAATGCTCTGCAAGCAAGCGCGAAAGCAAACACACCTCGCGTGCTACATTTCCTATTTGGGATGGTGTTTAATCTGATTGGCCACCATTTTGAGGCTCGGCGTTTGCGCTTACCGGGCGATTGCGTAATTCCTGGCACTGTATCCGTCCTAAAGGGGATATGCGTGCATGTGCCTAACGTGACGACATCTCTAGCTAGGCCATGGATCATAATGTTAAGATTTTGATTACGTGTGCATATAGAGTCTTAATACGGCTGCTTTATCCACAAATGGATCCTTCTGCGGGCTAAAATTCGGGACAGGTGGATGATAGTAGCTTGATTGGTCTGTTGTGGGCTTCTTTAGTCTTCCTACAAGTTGAACACCGTGCTTTCGGACTCCGCCTGTTTGCGCAATATCCCTTTTGATTGTTGCCTACCACTCTAGGATGACACTGCACGTATTTAGCATGAGGTCAAACACTTGCGACAGTATGATAAAAAGAGATATAGAATAGAGGAAAGCTGAAAGTTGAGACACGCCTCGTATATAACATCCCAACCCGATCCTTCCTTTGCAGCAAACAAAAAGCCATATACAAAAAAAAGCGCCCCCCAGTGCAGTCTTGTAGAAACAACAACATAATGGCAAAAGGAAACAAAAATAAATCCAGTCCAGAGAGAAAATAAAGAGAAGACAGAAAATAGAACAAGAACCCAAAGACTACGCCACAACCAGCAAACAGCCCAGGGACGTATAAACCATGATACCCAAACAAGACTCAACCTGAATATTTCTTCAATACAACAGACAAATTTGTCACCCACCATCACACCCACACCACCAAATCCAAATCACGGATTCCGCGGTGTATTGGTATTGGTATTCGTCTCAACACTCCCACAGCTCGTCCCACCACGACCCCAAGACCTCCCAACATTCGGATCAGGATGTGAAGGATAAGAGGTGGACGAACTGCGGCTCAACGAGCCAGGCGACGACGGAGCCGAGGAGCCAGGCGTTCCTGTCCCTGCCGATGCAGATGTGAAGTTTGCTGTTGATCTAGCTGCAGGTGCAGCTGCGGCCGCGGTTGGGTTGCATTGGGCGCAGATGAAGATGTTGAAGCCGCGGCCGTTGCAGCTGGTGCAAATTGAGCCTCTAGGGATATTTTTCAGTATTTGTCCTGATCTGATCTGATTTCTGGTCTGTGATGGTTTTGCTTGTGTTCTGATGATGTATTGGTATGCTATGGATGGTATGGAATGGGATGCATACCTTGGGGCATTCCCTGCACAGCTCTTGCATGTCAGTACTGTGCGCCCGCCGATGCAGGAGATGTGTTGTGGGTCGAGGTTTAGGAGCGAGTTTGTTGAGCTGGCCATTGTTTTGGGCGGTGGATGTATTGGAGTAGGTGATGGTAGTGTCAGTGGAATACTGTATGTGCGGAATGGAAAGTATTGATATGCAGAGACTGAGTAGTTGAAGACAGAGGCTTTATCTTTCTCTGGTCTTTGTCTTTTGTCTCAAAGCGCCGTCAACCAAAAGAAAAGCGGTATATGATCCGCGAGACAAGAAGCCAAAAGCAAAAGGCAGTATAATATAATATCACAGTCAAGAATTGACGACCAGACAAAAAGGCAGAATCTCGTCTACGCCAGAGTATAATGAAGCTAGGACTAGACCCAGCGACAACTGGAATCCTTATACAAGAGGAAAAAAAAACCAAGGCAGTGGCACGAAGTGTCCCGAGGGTTCCAAATGTTACATATGCAGCACTTGTGGAAATCAGGATCGAGGTATGGAATGATCAGCAGGACAAGTATCGCGCACCTGAACGGTGATAGGATGAAGAGACTCCCAGGTACACATGTACATTAGCCAGGTGTAGTGTCTATCCCAAATTTGCATACGGAGGCGGACCTTGTAATCCAATGACATGGCTTGATCATCTTCGGATAAGTTACAGATTTCCAGAAGGCAGATGGCCAATTACACGCACAGGAGTAGATCTGGATATGAGGGGGCGAGCGGCGCAGAAACCGTTCTTGGCTTAGTCGAGCTATGAAACCCCGCCTGGCGTGCCTGTCGAGCTAAGGTACGCCAAGGTACGCCAAGGTACGCAGACTGCATAGATACAGGGTTATATGAAACAGGACCTGGTGGGAGGGAGCGGGCTTTTCGTATGCCGATATACGGAGGACGTGGGTCAATACACTTGGGTCTACAAACTTCCCGGGCTACGTTCGCAAAAGGGCTAGGTCGTGTTGTATTGCAACGGTGTCCTGGTGGGTTTGATTAACGGAAGTTCTGCCGGAAGGAGAAAAGTGGTGGATGCTGTGGAACGGAGTGGAATGTTTCTAGCAGGTTGGCAAATGGAAGGTCGTCTAGTGTTGGGCAGACTGTCGTTCATGTGCTTGCTATGGTGGAAAGATGTCCCAAGAGCATGGCCGCCACCACAACTTTGTGTCACAAACCACAGTTATCCGCTGTGGGTTGGTGGATTCTGACCGCGTGAAGATGCAGTATACACTCGGTCTCGCTAAGATGGCTCGGTTCAGGAGACGTCACTGAGCTCGGCTGCAGGCCTTGGATGTGAGAACTCCAACCACGGATGGCTGCATCAGGCCACGCGACCCTGATCTGATCTCCGAATTGTAGAGACCATACTGGCCATGTTGCCGTGGGTCGCGTTTAGATGAAATTGTGAGAATCCACGCGGTGGGCCTCGTAAGTCTTCTTGCGTAGGACCGTTGAAGCGAGACTGGCTTTTGGCTTTCCATTCCAACCGATAAAGGGCGAAGGGTCATGCAAGGAATTTGCTGACAACCAACCTGGTCCCTCAGATGGTCATCTGCGCAACTCGCTTAAGAGGCCTGCATCAGGTCGGGAGGGTGTCAATAGTTCGAGGGACGTCAATGCCTCTCCACAAGCGCACGGATTCGCAAGTCATAAAACAACGGCATGGGTACGATGCACGCTGACGATATGCCGCGGAGATATGCACTGATCGACCGAGCCCGAATATCACATTTATGATCCTCTAAATACAGTAACCCGGGAAGCAAGACCCGGAAGAGACGGATGCGCAGACCTGACAAGCGTTGCATGCGTTGCCGACATCAGGGATCGAAAAAAAAGAGAAAGAAGAGCTGCAAGTGTAAAGTGAGGTGAAAAGAACCCCCTGTGAGAGGTGTGATCCACCAATCATGCAAAGAAATCAGAATCAAAATCTGGGAATGTAGCCAATAACACCCGGGAATTAATGTATCTGGACTCCGAAGCGCCGTGGATGCAACATAGCCTCAAGCAGGTAACCGTCGAAGGATTCATGGTGGGAGCGGCTGCATGAACAGGGGTCCAGAGAGAGCGGAAAAAGAAAAGCAAAGACGATTCCCTTTAACTGAGAGAACTGCGAGCAGGGGTGTCCTCTCTGCCATTTAGGCTTTTAACGTTGAGTCCGCTGTATGATCTGACAGTGCTTCATGCCGAATTGTTCCTCCATCTGCAGACTGGTCACATGCGGATTGAATGTGGAAATGGAACTCATCCTAAATATCTCGACTTGATTCCATCGATATTCGACGCAAAGCTATAGTAAAAATGGAGCTGATTCAGCCCGGCAATCTGCGTCTGTGGGTCCTGTGGGCTATAGACATGGCCTTTGAGCAGGCAGCGATCAATAAGCACGTGTGTCAAACGGCCGAGCCAAAAACACCTCACAAAGAGGGCCGAGGAGGTAAGTATGGCTGCAGCCAGCCACCTCAATCACGCGCTCCGGGGTTTGAACGCGGACTAGGGTCAAGGTGTTGGCGGCAAGGCTCAAGAAGGAGAAGGCTGAGACTTCCGAGATGGGTTCTCCCGGAATTACAGTACTTCACAGATCTCCCAGGTATCACCGCTAAATCCCGATGAGCACCCAAAAAAAGGGAGGGGGAGGAAGAACATACACAAAGGGTCGCAGGTCAGCTGACATGAAGGTGTTGGATACCTGCAGCCCGGTTGCCATTGTCGATGCACGAGACTGGTCAATTTGAAGTTGGAAATGTTCCTAGAGGCTGAAATCAGAAATATCAGATGTTATTGTAACTCAACATCTCTAGAAAAACAGGGGTTTGTAGATGAGATGGGAAAGTAAGGCGATAGAAGCCCTGATGTCGACTCGGATCTTTTCGGCCGCCGAAAGATCAGCATTAAGAAGACTATACCAGATGGTGGGACTGCACATAAATTCGGCGTTGATGGAATGATATCACCGGTTGGTTTCCAAATGAGACTACCCAGAGTTGGTACCTGGCAGAGTGGCACGATAGAGCACGCGCGCGAATGTGGTCGACTACGGAGGACAGAATAAGATAAATCATTCGCATTCACGCTCATTACAGCCTGCATAGCTATCACATTGAAAGAGAAAGATAAAGCGCGGTGATACGTGGCGTCGGCTCCATGGCAACCGCATCTGAACTAGTTCATGCTCATCTTGCCTTAGCCACGGCAAAAAATCAAAGCAAGGGGGAAAAAGAAGAGAGGAGCGACCCAGACTATCCGAACGCCCAGTTGTCAGGCTCCCATTAGCGTGACAGTAATCAGATCCTGCTGTCGTGTGTTGATAAACCCTCAGGATAACAATAGCAAAGAAAAATGAGAAAGCAAGCAGAAAAGGGCAACCATCCACCTCGTAAAGCAGAAACGCCTCCCCGGGAAGGTAATCTTTGTAAAATTGATACCGAGATTTGGCATCTCAGTATCAAATCATAAAATCGAAAAAGTGAAAGCAACGCTGTAGCGTTCAATGGAAATAGTCAGGGGGAGAGTGGCCAACATGGCAATAGTACCCAGGCCACCCAGAATAGCACCGACAACAGCTGTGGCAGCATGGCTAGCCAGGTTCTTCGAAGGTGTTAGATGGTTGGACTTGACTCGCTTCGTTGGAGGCTCATTTTCGGAAAGAGCGGAGATAATAGCATCCCGAACTTCAGCAGATGGAATTGTGTTGAGATCTGTGTCCTGGCTGTATGATTCCAGGGGCTGTGGGCGCTGGGCATCTTGAGAAAGGCTCTGAGACTCAAAATCGTTGGAGCTGGATTCCATCTGTGTGGCGGTCCGCTTCAGATCCTTCTGGGGAGAACGGAATGGTCCATCAGCATATGGCATCCCTTCTTTTGAAGCGGGGTGCCACGGAGCCAGCAGAGGATAAGAGTGGCTCATGGAGGATCCATTTGCGGACTGATCCACGAGAGCACTTAATCGAGCCTGAGGTAATATGCTCTGACAGGAGCTCGGAAGCTCACTAGAGACGGCAGAATTAGGGAATTGAGCAGCGGGGTTGATCATTGCGGGTGAAGTCGGTGTGGTCAGTGTCTCTTTGACGGACGCATTCTCAGGTATGTCGCGCACGCAGGGTAGCTCAGGTAGCTTCGGGGTAACTGGGCGGCACACCGGCTGTTTGGCGGCTTTGGAATCAAGGACAGTCGTGGCTTCTGGCCGCTCTGGGCACGGAGAGGTAGGGGTTGGCAGAGACGATCCCGAGTCGTTGTTTCCTGGGTAGAAGTTAGGCATAGAAGATGCGACATCCATGAACTTCGTAAGTCGTCTAATGTAGGCCTCCTCGGGGCAAGTGTCGTTCTCAACCTCGTCCTCAGACTCGGAGTTATCTTCATCTTCGTCATCTTCATTCTCAGAGCCTTTATCTTCGGATTCGTCATCTTCGCTTGAACCCTCTTCATTTGAGTCGTCTGAGTCGTACTCTGAATCATCTTCATCATCTTCATCATCCAGTTCCTGGCCGAAAGGCGTCATCCAAGGCACCGAGAATTCTTCCATGTGGCCCTCTTGCAAAATGCTAGAGCCATCCGAGGCATCAGATGCATCGGAACGATCATAGATGGAATCATCCCCGTCCCCGTCATTCAAGTCCCCTTCTTCTTCATCCAACTCATCCGAGTCCATAGAATCGTCATCAGAGGGCAGGTCCTCACAGAAGTTTGAATCCCAGTAGGGTGTGAACTCGTACCACTGACATCCAACCATCTGGGGTTCCCATTCTCTCACGATCCAGAATTTGTGACAGTCGTCAACATGGGACTCGGTGGCAATTTCGGCTTTGGTTGCTTCACTCAGAAGCTCCCATGGCTTCTCAACGATCCACCACCAGTCGCTCATCCGGAGATCATTCTCTTCATCTCCATCCAGAATCCAGAATCTGCGCTTGTCGACGAACCAATATCTGAGAGCGGGACCGGGCACACGATGGTAAGTGGTGTCTGATTCCTCCTCTGAGTTAAATTCCCAAGGAACCTCGGTTCCGTTCCAAGGCTGGAAGTCAGGGGAATCGTCAACCATGTAGGATGATTTGGCCAGTGAGCAGCGGCGGGCGGAGTGGATA